AATAGCAGCCAGTAGACAACCACATTCCCTTGTCAGTACTCACAGATCAGCAATAAATAGCTAAATAGGTACAATAAGCAGTCAAGTTCCACAGAGCAAGGGATAAATACAATAAGATCCACAAATATGAGACACAAGGTAAGGAATAAAACACTCCTGAAGCTCCAGTTCAGCACAGACCACATATGACCATCAGCCGACTTCCAGGCATTTAAAAGCCTGATGGCTGAGGGGATAAAAGAGTTTGCGTATCTGTTCGTTTTCCTTGGGGGTGCATAGTAGCGCCGCCCAGAGGGCGTAAGAAGAAAGTCCAGGCTGATCCAAAATTCCTCTGGCTTTCTTGACCACACGCTTCTCCCAAAGAGAGCTCAGGTCTGTCATCTGCACTCCTATAATCCTGGAGCAGACTTTAACAGTCTGGTTCAGGCTGTTTCTGTCCTTTACTGAAAGTCCAATAAACGCTAACAGATTTTCAATAAAAGAATGATAAAAACAAGATAAAATCCCCTCAGAAACACCAAAGGAGTTCAGCTTCCACAGCGAGTAAATCCTTTGTTGGCCACGTTTAACTATTGACTCTGTACTGCACACAAACTTTAGGTCAGAGTCAAACACAGTTCCAAGATACGTGTAGGATTTCAATTTTATTCCTATACTTCAATTTTGCCGTCTTTACTTTTGCCTTTACCTCCCTGGAGGCAGCCTTTATCTCTAGTGGCACCCCAGAATAGACTGACACAGACCTGAGTGTTGTGCACATGCACCAGAGTCGCCAAACCAGGCTTTAAGCTCGATGTTGAACTGCATGGGTGTGTATTTAACAAGCATTAAAAGGCATGGTTGACGACTGTAGAGATTGGTAATTACTATGAACCTCGTTTCTATGGCGATCATGGTCCTAAAGTGCGATCTCCACAAAGTAAAAAAAAGAACAGAAAAAGTCCATTCACCCTATCAGGTACAGGGCTGCAAAAACATTGACCAATGGGAGCCATCTGTCCTGGACTGCTCCTATTGGTCAATCTCCCGCGCCGCTTCTCCATCCAATCACCTCGCTGTATTCGACACACCCCTCTCCCGTAGTTCTGACTCGTCCCCTCCCACTCTCCCGGCCCTCCTCGGAGCTCTGAGCGGCTAAAAGTAGCGTAGCAGCTTAGCTAAAGGAGCTGTGATGGAGAAGGCCGCAAAAAAAAAAAAAACATCTGCTCGCCCCTCCGCCAAAAGTGGGAAGAAAACGCAAGCCGACAGAAGAAAGGGCGGAGACAAGAGGAAATGTGACCATTGAGGAATCTAACACGAGTAAACCGGGTCATCCTTGGAGCGGTGGAGAAAGCTCCGCCAGGATTTGGTCCTGAAAACAGACGCCGAAACAGTGAAACAGGGTTTTTGTTGAACAGGTCGTTTTTATCGTCTTTTATCGTGGCACATGTTACATAAATAACTCTCATTAGTCTCTGCAAAGTCAACACGCTAGCTGTCCAGACAGCTGCAGACGGCGCTCGCTAGCAGAGCTGGCGTTTACTGCCACTAGTCACTAACAAAACGACACGGTGAATCCTATTTGAAGCTAGCGTAGGATCTTCTGTGGCCGGCTTCTTGCTCTGCCGGCGGTGGTGTGTCTTTGGGAGGGGGATACAGGTTCGTGGGGGAGTAATCGTGGAGTTCAGAGGGGAGAGGTGTGTGTGTGTGGGGGGTGGGACGCTTTTTTCAAATCTGCCTCAACGGCTCAGTTTTTTTCAACTGCTTCTCAGATAGTCAACCAGGACTTTAAGTGACGGAGAGGGACGTGAAATAGATCAGACTTTCCCATCGTAAAAACAAAACGCACAGAGACGTAAAAGTGATCGTGTTTTCATTGTTAGCATTTTGCATTATCTAGGTTTGTTATTTTTGACTTAGGGTGCGATTACATTAAAAGTTTTAGACAACGAATCTAATAAATTTGTAGCGCCTTTAGCCTGACCAGAATAACACACTATGACACCTACAATGTCTCTAGGTTTGGAGAGCTGGTAATAGTAATTCATCACGATAGCATGAAGTTAACAGCTGACGGTTTATTGCCACAGGTAGGTAATACTTTGCAGTGTATGAAAATGAAAAATACAGAAAAATCATAAATCATCATTGCCTAATCCGGCAACAAAAAAAAACAGTCTATACATAGAGTGCAGAACAAATAACCATTACTATCCAAATCATGGTATCTTTCTACTTTCCACTCTACTTCACTCTGTATCTTCCATATCTATACCCAGATGCAGGATGTACAGTATTCGTTTGTGCTTCACTTAGGTTGACCCAGTTTTTTAGCTCTTGTCTGGTCTACCTCCGTTTTAAGCGCCCGTTATTCCTCCAGAGACTCCAATCAGGTTGGGGGAGACGGGGAATGGCTTTGTTTACAGTCAGAAAGAGCGGGGGCCTATTCTACGAAGCAAGTTCAACCCAGCGAGGTAGCCTTGGAGCTACCTTGCTCAACTGACCGCGGTAGCCAGCGGTCTCGCTAAACGATCTTATGACGCTGGTTATCAACCTCGCAAGTGGATCCAGCTTTACATGCATGCACGCATGTAAGGCGGAGCCCGCCGCATCTGACCAATCACAAACATGGACCAGTCTGGAGCGTCAGAGCAGGCCGGAGAGCAAAGGACCGCATACTTCACAAACGAGGAGCCGGAGACAATCATGAGAAAGTATGAAGAATTCAGATCTATCATAAACCTCAAGAGCAACACCGTCGCCACTGCAAAAGCACGGAAGGAATGGTGGCAGAAAACTGCCGACAGTCTCAATGCGTAAGTGTAATGTGCAAAAAAACTTTGATGCCATTATCACCCTGAAATAGCACTGTTCAACATGCGCTTTTAACATGCACCAGACATGTCTAATTCATTTGTTCATTCCGTGTTTACATTGTTTGTGTGACCACCTTTATGGCCATATGAGTCTTTCATAAAGGTGGTCAAAAGTAAGTGGGTCCATGCCGTACCTGAAAACTCTTGCACTCCGGAGTGCTCCTCGGACAATGCGAGCACCGCCGTCTATAGGATCCTCCAAGAACGGACAAGCCATTTTTCGAGAGAGCTCATTGGTCAGTGGGCGGGGTTTTAATACTTGGTGAGTTCCATCTGGAACCTAACCTGCCCCGGAGCAGGTTAGCCATTCAGCTTACGTTGCCATGGAGACTCGCCTCGCTAAGAAGTGAACCCGCGTCATAAAACAGGAAACCCCGAACTTACCCTGGAGGTTACCTCGCTAAGCAGTAATCCTGCTTCGTAGAACAGGCCCCAGGCCGCTCAAAAATGTTAAAATGTTGACTACACAGACATAACAAAACACAGTGATGTCGTTATATGACCGATTCATGTCATCAATAACTAATAACTATTGACTGATATTAACAGATTTTTTGTTTACCCCACCTTGAACATAAACACACTTATTTATTTAAAACAGAACATCAAGATTTATCTTTTCAACCACAGATGAGATCTCGTTTTAACTCTTTTAACTGTAATTTTTACAGTATTTAATCATTGTTTTAAACCATCATGAACAGTGCAGTTAAACACATTATTTAAGTCAAAAGACACTTTTTTTCACAATTGGCATCAAATCAACTCCAGGGCTCTCAAGTCTCACGCATTCAGCGTGTGACACACGCATTCCCACCCGTTCACACGCTCACACGCCACACATTGTATTTCTCACGCATTTAAATGAACATGGTGATGTCGACCAAGTTGCACCTCTTTAACTATAGAACAGGTAGGAATCAACTGAGTTCCTCCGAGAGTTCAGAAGCTGCGTGCCACGCGCAAGCCAATCAAATAAAGTATATCTACTGAACAGCCAATCAAAAAGCAGCATTGCTGTATCCGGGTAGATTTTGATATCTCGCGGTTTGACTACAGAAGAATAAGGACGAGATAGACCCGATGATTACAGTAAGTCAGTAACCTACACATGCAGAGACCGCAACACCTCATGGCATATAAACTCATATAATAAACTAAAGCCCTATGCTATTGCTATTAACAGCTGCATTGATGAATTTAGCCTCTGTACAGCCATTTCCAGCCATTTTCCCCTCCACAAAAGCAGCATTTCTCATATATCTCAAATATAAGTTCTGATACTCATGACAGTGTAATGCTCATGTACCAAAGGATTAAGTATCTCCATATTTGTGAAACCTATACTAAAGTACAATTCATCTAAATGCTCCACAGTGCTGATTTTAACAACTCTCCTTCACAACAGGTAACTTTACGACTTAATACTTATATATTAATGACTTTATTCTCCCAAATAATAACTTTATTCTCTAAGATTTAAAAACGTCTTTTTTGTAATTGTGCCCCTTATACTCCGTTGTATTTAAGAGATAATTATACTGATAATTATCTTCAATCACCCAGGGCTCTCAAGTTTTGAACTAACCTTAGAGTCTAAGGTTAGTTCAAAACTTGAGAGCCCTGCAACACAAATTAGCATACCTGTAATCTCTACTCTCTCTCCCTCTCTTCTGCTACAATGGGCAATTTAGCTCAGCCAGCTACATCATTAGCATTCCCATTACAGGTAATACCTGAATTAGCATAGCGGCGCTAGCTGCGATTAGCATTAGCTTCGCGCTAGCTCGTTAGCGATCTCTTTAAAGCCATTTTCCAAGCTCACAGTGATACCGCAGCTACCACAGTGGGATTAAAATACCAGGAAACCCCGACTAGTTTTATAAGCATACTCCAATGAAAGAATTTTTTTTACACTATACTAATATTAACAGCTAAACTCGAGGCCTAGCCCCTTAGCATGTAGTATTTTCCTTACCGGAGCTCTCACAGAGGTTAAACACGGTGAAACCGGCTCCTTCCCTCACACGCACACTCCCAGGATTTTACCTAAATAAATAGAACATCTATCAATATAGTGCCTAATGATCCATCATTAATTTACGTGGTTTTTATCATGTTACATACCCCGGTTCATCAGCTTGTTTAAGTGCGGGTGCTCCGGTCAGTAGCTAGATGGCGCTCGCACAGACTGAGATCATGTTCCATGGTCATGTCACTGAGCACAGGGCTGATGCGCCACCATGAGGTGGGCTGAGGTATTACAGGATTTAAATCACATAAATTGCTCAAGTCACTACGACGGAGTATTAGGGCCACAAGAGGAAAAAATAATGAATTAGGGCCACATTTGGGTAAAAAAAAATTATTAGGTCTACATTTACAAAAAAATATATTAGGGCCACATTGGTATCAACCATAAGAACAAATAAGTAACAAGTAAAAAAAAATTAAATACACTTGTGGCATGCTGAAGCTGTTACCAGTAAAGCTTGTCAAACCGCTCATTCCTGTGAAGCTTCCATTCTTCCAAGTGTGAACCCGGGCTTGGTATCCTTACACCATGCATGCGTGGATTCTCTCCATCTTCCTCCCACAGCACAAAAACAGTCTCGTCAGGTTAATTGGTCTCTCTAAATTGCCCATAGGTGTGAGTGTGAGCATGACTGGTAATTTGTCTCTATATGTCAGCCCTGTGATAGACTGGTGACCTTTCCAGGATGTACCCAACCCTGAACGGTAAAAGTGGTGCATCGCGCTGATAGTGGGGGGAAAAAAAGGAAGACCTTTCAGGGTATTTTGTTCAACAGAAATGATGAAGTCGGTGAAGTTTCAGCCCAGCTGCTTGACATTTCCCTTAAACCAGGTATCAGACCTTAAAACCACGTTATGGTGATCATCTTTTCAAGCTAAATAAAGTCGAAGCAATATGTTTGCCGTTTTTTAGCACCAAAGATTTCCCAATTTCTGTGGGTGTAAACTTTAACAGCTGTAAATCTGACACGACACTTCAAAGGTCATCCCAAAAAAAAAGCCTCCTGTAAATCAAAAGAGATTTAAGTGCCCACAGACACACACACACATACGTAACCACACATACATAAATACATACATGTTCTTCATCCATATTTCATTTTCTGTTTCACTGAGCTTGTCTGTTATGAGTTACAAAAGTGTTTGCCATTATTTTGTGTTGTACTGTGATCTACTCTCTCTGTGCTCGTGTCCCCTTCCTTTTTTTCTGTTTCAGCTTAATGCTTTACAAGATGATAGTTAATCCCTGTTGCACATTTCTATAATTATTTTCTTTTCAGCTTGTTGCCATAAAAACAAAATATTCTAATCATAATAGTCTGAAGGGAGTGACTAGCCCGTCTGCATCCATGCCAACAAAGTAATTAACTCTGCAAACAAAGGCTTACAGTGGGTGTTACATGCATATGCTACTCTTAGAAATCAATATGGATTTGTGTTGAGTATTGAAAGGACTGTAATCCAAAAAGAATGTTTAATGCACATTTGAATGTAGTTGTCAAGAGATATATAATCCTACAGCTTTACAGCCCAGGAGAAAAAAGGAGAAATAAAAGACGAAGACTTTTTCTGCTTCTCTTCATTTTAGGAAATAACAAAAAAAACTCCTGCTGTCTGTGCTTCTTGAAATGTCGTCTTTGCATTTAAATACGCCACTCCTGCCTTTATGCTGCAGACATTTTTCGTTTAAATCAACTTATTTTTCGATGATGCATAATATGAACTTGTAGTATATGCAAATATGAATTTTAAATGGCACACACTGCAGTGCATTTTTTTGTTGTCTGTCACCTCTGCACAACCAAAGAAAAAAAATCTCATCATTTATAACTATTTTACTTTGATTTATTTAGATCTAATTTGACCATAAAAGCCTCACTGAAATTAAAAGTCTCTTTTACAAGAGAGCCAAGACAGCTGCAGCACGTTCCAACAAAGTTAAAGACATACAAACACAATTAAAAAGTAAACACAAATTCAGCAACAAAAAAACAACTACCTGCAAGAAAAGATAAAGATTTTTGATAGTTTTTGTTTATTTTTTTTCACACAGTAGAGAACAGCAAGATTATTAGCATGATCAGTTCTGCTTTAGTAAAGCAAAACCAGAACTAACAACCTAAACACAGTTTGCTGTAAGAGAAGATAAAGATTTTTTTTTTTTTATACAGTATGATTATCATGATCAGTCGATCATCGAACTGCGGCCCAGGTTGTCCTGATGCCAAGTGTACATGTGGACACCCTTATGTCTGAACATGGTGTTCATTATGGACAGTCTATGATGAGCACAGAAATCCAATAACAAATCACCACAAAGTTCAGATCCGGGGGGCCGTTCCTCCCAATCACGCCACCTGGGATCTCACTTTCGTTGGCAACATCGGTGTTGAGGTCCCCCAGTAGAACAAGGGAGTCCTCAAAGGAGCGCTCCCTAGCACCCCTTCCAAGGACTCCAAGAAGGGTGGACACTCTGAGCTGTTGTTTGGAGCATAGGCACAAACAACAGTCAGGATCCGTCCCCCTCTCCGAAGGCGAAGGGAGGCTACCCTCTCGCCCACCGGAGTAAACCCCAACACACAGACACAGAGCCAAGGAGCAACAAGTATTGCCACCCCTGCCTGGCACCTCTCACCAGTGGCAACTTCAGAGAAGAAGAAGTCCAGCCCCACTCAAGAGGTCTGGTTTGAGAGCCCACACTAGGTGTTGAGGCGAGTCCGACTATATCTAGCTGGATCTTCTTCAGGCGAGAGAAACTCGGTGCCAAATATTTGTCTGCTTTAGTAAAGCAAAACCAGAACTAACAACCTAAACACAGTTTGCTGTAAGAGAAGATAAAGATTTTTTTTTTTTTTATACAGTGTTATTATCATGATCAGTTGATCATCGAACTGCGGCCCAGGTTGTCCTGATGCCAAGTGTACATGTGGACACCCTTATGTCTGAACATGGTGTTCATTATGGACAGTCTATGATGAGCACAGAAATCCAATAACAAAGCACTACAAAGTTCAGATCCGGGGGGCCGTTCCTCCCAATCACGCCACCTGGGATCTCACTTTCGTTGGCAACATGGGTGTTGAGGTCCCCCAGTAGAACAAAGGAGTCCTCCGAAGGAGCGCTCTCCAGCACCCCTTCCAAGAACTCCAAGAAGGGTGGACACTCTGAGCTGTTGTTTGGAGCATAGGTACAAACAACAGTCAGGATCCGCCCCCCTATCCGAAGGCGAAGGGAGGCTACCCTCTCGCCCACTGGAGTAAACCCCAACACACAGACACAGAGCCAGGGAGCAACAAGGATTGCCACCCCTGCCCGGCACCTCTCACCAGTGGCCACTCCAGAGAAGATGAAGTCCAGCCCCACTCAAGAGGTCTGGTTTGAGAGCCCACACTAGGTGTCGAGGCGAGTCCAACTATATCTAGCTGGAACTTCTTCAGGCAAGAGAAACTCGGTGCCAAATATTTGTCTGCTTTAGTAAAGCAAAACCAGAACTAACAACCTAAACACAGTTTGCTGTAAGAGAAGATAAAGATTTTTTTTTTATACAGTATATTTATAATGATCAGTCGATCATCGAACTGCGGCCCAGGTTGTCCTGATGCCAAGTGGACATGTGGACACCCTTATGTCTGAACATGATGTTCATTATGGACAGTCACTAGGTGTCGAGGCGAGTCCAACTATATCTAGCTGGAACTTCTTTGGGCGAGAGAAACTCAGAGCCAAATATCCCTGGAGGCATAAAGCTCCGGGGATCATTGGGACACACAAACCCCCTCCACCACGGTAAGGTGGTAGCTCGAGGAGGGGATATATATGTTTTGTTATGTTTTTAAAGTTTTTTTTTAAAGTGGCTAATTAACCTAATTAACCTGTGGGAGGAAACCGGAGCACCCGGAGTAAACCCAAACGGGGAGAACATGCAAACTCCCAGGACCCCAGGACCTTCTAGCTGTGAGGCGACAGTGCTAACGGTTAAACCACCTCAGAACTGTTTCATACCATTGTGGTTGTGTAGGTTGCGTAACGGAAGCAGTACAGTTAGTGTCCTTGTCCTTTCTCCTGTTTCGTTTCTGTGAAGGTGATGAAGAAAAATTGTTAGCACAAAAGTCCAGAGGTGAACAATGACACATATAAGAAAGACGATGTGCATAAGGCTAAGACAAAAAATAGTCTGGTGATCTTTTAAGACTAACAAGAAACTGATCTAAATTTACTTTGACTAACATAGTTTGTTACACAGACGCCATTGTGCTGACATTGGCTGTATAAAAAGATGGACAACATGGTAGCTCCTTAAAGGTGAAGCCAAAATGCTCAGAGCTTTCCAGTGTATGTTAAAAAGCCCATCTACTTTCTTTTAACAGGTGGGATGGGGATCCAACTGTAAAATCAAGATGTTAGCATTTATCGCAGAAGCTATTTTGGCTTCACTTCTGTACAACAGAAAGGGATGGAGGTGGATCATCCAGCTTTGTATAGTATGTACAGTCAATGGCATCAGTACTTGACTTTTTCATTAAACTCGACAAATGAATAATCAGAATAATCTATTTTTGTTTATTTTTAGTATGGTCTTACTAATTGATTCCACGTGTACTTACCTTTTTAAAGATGTTGCGGAGGTAACGCCAGGAGAAAAAGCCGGAATCAGGAGGTGTGCTTGGAGCGTGAGAAGGATGTTCTTGCTCGCCATTCGACATAAACGTGAAGTTGGCATGGGACGGGCTAACAGCTTTATTTGGTTCTGGCGCTTGACCAGGGCTGACTTTTTTCTTTCGCCATGCAGTCAAACGTTTCCAAAAGCTTTTCTTCTTCGGGATGTGTTCATCTCTGGCTGTACTGTCTTCTTCTGGGTGAATCTCCGAACTTTTCTTTTGTGTCTTCATTTTGATGACCATGGCTCGGCCCGTGAGGATGGACCGCATGGTTGCAATAGCCGAGGTCAAAGTTGTTTTGTCTGTTGACAACTTGCGACTGGCTGGAGGAGTGTCACAGAGGTTCTCTGCCAGTGGAGCTTGAAACAGGTCAGTGTTCACTGCTTGGAGGACCTCTGCTGCTAATGCTTTGCCTAATTCAGGTGAAATAGTTACTTGGGTGTCACCACCAAGAACATCATGGAAAGCTTGTTCGAAGATCCTTTCAAAATCCCTCTGAATGTCCTGGTTGAACTTCTCCGGCAGATGTTTGCGGGATAACGGGCTCCTCAGGATGAAGGTTTCAGATAGGGGGGAACTTTTGAGGATCGACCTGTACAGATGTCTGATGATTGAGTCTGCGCTGTACTGCAGGACATCAGTGCACATCTTGACCAGCTGCTCCTTCACATCAATGTTGTACACTCCTTCGCTGACTTCTCTCCATTGCCTGAAAACACAAAAACACAGGGTTAGACACAGATGTTCATGCACACAGATGTTCATGCACACAAATGCCAATAATGTATCCAATTGTATATTAGAATTTTTACATAAGACATGATCAATGATAACTTACTCTTCACTGAGACTTTGGAAGAGTCCTCTTATGATGGCAGCAATCTCCGAATGTTCAAGGTCAATTACCACGTCTTCTGCTGCTACTTTATTTGGACTGGCCACATCTTCTGCTGCTACTTTATTTGGACTGGCCACGTCTTCTGCTGCTACTTTATTTGGTTTGGCTTTTTTAGCATATTTAGGGAGAATTTTCTTCTCCTCGCCAATGCAGGTCTTCTGAACCCCTTTGTAGAATGGTTTCCACGGCGGCTTCTTTTGTACCGGGGCAGAATTAATTTTCCTCAGAGCACTGACATCCTTAGAGGTCTGCAGAGTATTCACATTCCTGCTAACCACATAACAGGTTTTGTCTGTCTTGGTGGCCTGTGATGGGCCCCTTGACATCTGAGTGACTCCGCTCGCCTGAACCCCTTTGTACAATGGTTTCCTCTGCCAGTTTGTTGTTAGCGGGGCAGATTTAGTTTTCCTTAGAGCACTGACTGAAACGCCCTCATTGGGTTTTCTCGGGTGGGCATAGCACTGGTCAGGTTTGGTTAAAGATTTCCCCTCAGAATTAGGGACATTTTCCTTCTTCTCGCCAATGCAGGTCTTCTTAAGCCCTTTTCCTAATGGTTTGCAAGGGGCCTTCTTTTTCACCGTGGCAGAATTAGTTTTGTGCAGAGCATGGACATCCTCAAAAGTCTGCAGAGTCTTCTCACTACTGTTAACCTTTGTTGGCTGTCCTCCAGCTTCGGACTCCTCACTTCCTTCCACTTTGACTGGTAAGACTTGAATTTGCAGGATGGTTGGAGTTGGATCCACCCTGGCAAAATCAGTTTCACTAGTTTTAGAAGTAGAAGTCTTGGTAGCCTGTGATGGGCCCCTTGACATCTGAGTGACTCTGCCTGCCTGGTCAGAAGCTGAAACGCCCTCATTGGGTTTTCTCGGGTGGGCATAGCACTGGTCAGGTTTGGTTAAAGATTCCTCCTCAGATTTAGGGACATTTTCCTTCTTCTCGCCAATGCAGGTCTTCTTAAGCCCTTTTCTTAATGGGTTGCAAGGGGCCTTCTTTTTCACCGTGGCAGAATTAGTTTTGTGCAGAGCATGGACATCCTCAAAAGTCTGCAGAGTCTTCTCACTACTGTTAACCTTTGTTGGCTGTCCTCCAGCTTCGGACTCCTCACTTCCTTCCACTTTGACTGGTAAGACTTGAATTTGCAGGATGGTTGGAGTTGGATCCACCCTGGCAAAATCAGTTTCACTAGTTTTAGAAGTAGAAGTCTTGGTAGCCTGTGATGGGCCCCTTGACATCTGAGTGACTCTGCCTGCCTGGTCAGAAGCTGAAACGCCCTCATTGGGTTTTCTCAGGTGGGCATAGCACTGGTCAGGTTTGGTTAAAGCTTCCTCCTCAGATTTAGGGACATTTTCCTTCTTCTCGCCAATGCAGGTCTTCTTAAGCCCTTTTCTTAATGGTTTGCAAGGGGCGTTCTTTTTCACCGTGGCAGAATTACTTTTGTGCAGAGCATGGAGATCCTCAAAAGTCTGCAGAGCATGGACATCCTCAAAAGTCTGCAGAGCATGGAGATCCTCAAAAGTCTGCAGAGCATGGACATCCTCAAAAGTCTGCAGAGTCTTCTCACTACTGTTAACCTTTGTTGGCTGTCCTCCAGCTTCGGACTCCTCACTTCCTTCCGCTATGACTGGTAAGACTTGAATTTGCAGGATGGTTGGAGTTGGATCCACCCTGGCAAAATCAGTTTCACTAGTTTTAGAAGTAAACTTCACCTCCTCTGGCAACACCTCTGAACTTTCAGAGATCTTGATGGCCAAGATCAAAGTTGGTTTTTTTGTTGACAACTTGTGACTGGCTGGAGGAGTGTCCCAGAGGTTCTCTGCCTGTGGAGCTTGAAACAGGACAGTGTTCACTTCTTGGAGGACCTCTGCTGTAGAATTAGTTTCCTCTGGAACATTGACATCTTCACCATGCTCAGCAGCCATTCTGCGCATTTCAAAGAACCTGTGATGCTCCGCCTTTCGTCGAAGGTATTCTTCATCATCTTCTTCATTATAATCATCATGCTCAGTTTCGTCAAAGTTGAATAAATGCATCTGCTCTCTGAGAGTTTGAGCCGCGCGTTCCATCACCTCTGGGGTGAGCATGTTGACAAGCGCAGCGATCATCTCACTTTCTCTGTCTTGTGGGCTTGAAGTTAAAGCCTAGAGAAGAAACACAAACAATATTTTAATCACTGAAACCCTTTCATCAAATAAAAATATTTACTTTTTCATATCATGCCATAAGTCGTGTCTGATGCTGCATTCGAGTTACCTCGGAAGTCAGATGTCGGAGCTGAAAATGATGTCACACCCAAGTTCCAAGGGTTTCGTTACCAAGTCGGAAAAAAGCAAAATTGGAGGCCTGAAACAAGATGGCTACATCTACAAAAGTTATTTCAGTGTTTGCCTTATATTCGGACAAGGCGAGTGATGACATAAGTTTTGTTAGATATAGCCATCTTGTTACCACCTCCGATTTGGGTTTTTTTCAACTGAAACACTGGGAACTTGTGATGTCATTTTGAACGCTGACTTCCAAGGTTTTTTGCTTAGGTTGCAACACTTAACATATTTTACTGTTTTTGCCTTCCTTCTGTTATTAAATATTTTTAATTTAGGGTGATTTGCGGTTCAGAACAATGTTTTAATGTAATTTTTTTGTTTCTAAATTAAATTGCCTTATCCTCAGACCACTATAACTTTTTAAAAATATGATTTTTTCCTTTTGTGTAAGGCAGGGAGGATTAGCATCAATTCATCTCGCTAAACCACAGATTTACACTATAAATGTAATTTTATAAAAGCAAAAACAACTTAAGTTTTTAAAAAATCCTATCATACAAATGGTTTCACTTTTAAACTAACATAAAGTTAGCATTCATAAACTTACCAGTCGTTGTGCACTCATTTTCGATTGTCTTGTTTTCTTCTTGGATTAAAATGTTTATCTAAACTCTGAGGTTGTCTCTCAGTATAAAGTTGTCTTGCAGTCTCTCAGTATAAAGTGTTCTTGCTGTCTTTAAGTTTGCTTTTAGCAGATCAAAGGATGGTGACGTCACCACATTTTGATCAAAGGTGGTGACGTCACCAAAGATGATGATGTCACATCCCACGGTGACGTCACGCAGCGCAATGACGGGAATTTCTTCGACGTTCCATCCATCTGTGTCGTTGAGCTGTGGCCCCGCCCCCTTTTCAGTGAAACCTGTCAATCAAAATCGTCTCGCAGCAAATGACAACTCCAGAGTATTTGGCAATTTAATGGTTTAGAATAACAAAACTTGATTTTGAAATAGTTATTGAGAGTACAAATCCACATGTATGTCAACAATACAACAAACAACAACATTAAAAAATATCTTACGAGTACGACGGAGTATTAGGGCCACATTAAGAAAAAAAAAAAGACTTCGAGATTAAAGTCATTAATCTACGAGTATAAAGTCATTACTAATGAGAATAAGATCGTAATAAAGTAATTATCTACGAGAATAAAGTCGTACTATAATCATAACTTACGAGAATAAAGTCGTAATTAAGTCATTACTGATTTACGAGAATAAAGTCGTCGTAAGTAATGATTTTATTCTCGTAAATTAATGACTTTAATCTCGAAGTTTTATTTATTTATTTTTCTTAATGCTGCCCTAATACTCCGTCGTATACAAGATCAAAAACAGTTATAGAAAAATGTCCAAAGCTTTGACAGACACCCTGGAGCGCGTTCAGCAGCGGCCCCGGAAGTGTTTGTTCACGGTTAAAAGCCAGTTGACCAAGCTAGCTAGCTTGTTAGCTGTGAGCCGGGTTCAGTCATTGTGCGGGGATGGAGGTGACACGCAGGAGTAAGTCACGAACATATTTTTGCTCACTTGATTTTAACCTCGATACAAACGACATAATAATTCTCATCAGAGCATTGGGCTGATATGAGTGTATAGTCGGAAGTACTCATTAACCCTCACTGTTTTTGTGCTGCTCGCTAGCTTATTAGCCACACAGCTGCGGGTTTCTGCGTGTGTGTGCGGGTTTGCTAACACGCTCCATCACGCTATAATGATGTTCACGCACTTTCTCTTTTCCAGATTTTAAAGATTGCCTTAGTGCGGTGTACTGCGCGATAGAGGAGGCGGACTTCCTAGCCATCGATGGAGAGTTTTCAGGTAAGAAACAGCGTGAGAGTTCTCCCACAATCCGACATTTCATCTTCTTTTTTATCCTTAATTTCATTCAATTAATATTGCAAACATTCAATACAAACAAGGAAAAATCTCAAACAAGTGAATAAAAGGAGCAGAAAGAAGAAAACTCTTTCATAAGATATTAATCAACTAAACACACAATAATAAAAATAAACAAGAGCTGCAGGCCAACATGCCTGTTACAGTTCATTATTTCTTATTCTCAAAAACTAACAGAAAAGACCACATTAATTCACATTTTTCCACAAAACAAACAGACCAAGACTTAGATGAACACATTTCCCTGTATTTTCTCAACATACTGGCTTTGACACTTTTTGTAAAGATCAAATCTGATTTGTCTTCTTTAGTTTCTTTCTTCAGATTGTTCCACAAACGTATTCCTCTCACTGTAACACAGCGCTCCTTCAGTTTAGCTCTGAATCTTGGCTTTTTCAATATTTCAAATCCTTTTAAATTATAATAAACGTCCTCTTTTTTTACATCGGCTCTGGATGTTGACTGGTAAAATGTTCCTATGAGATTTATACATAATCGGCAACATACTGAAATCTACTCACTCATTGAATTTCAACAACTGTACCTAACCTTATCCACAGTACATATAGGGCCCAATTTAAACGCCAGGATTGTGCAAATAGACGAGTTTCTGTGCAACGTCATCGCAGGTATTCACGCGCAGCCTCAGGGCAGAAAGCGGGACATTTCTTATTTGTTTCCTAGCGAAGTCAACAGAGGAACAAAATGACAACAAGCTGTTGTGCTGTAAACAGCACGAATCGGCAAAACAAACAATCGGCAAACATTACGACCCTGCTCCTGATGTTAGAAACCTCTAAAACAACGTCACAACCTGTGTTGTGAAATTCATGGATATTTCAGCAAGCGATTTCTCAATGAAATGACATTTTCTCGCAACTGTGTCAGGGAGAACTTGCAAACAATGCGGCGTCTTCGTTGATTTGAGTTCACTCTAAAGCAGGCATTTGCCCCGCAGTCGCGCTCGCACCTAGTATTGTTTGCACACAAGAAACCCATCTGTTGGAGATGAAATAACGGTGTACTTTGTTCACAGGGATAAGCGACGGTCCTAATGTCAGTGCACTCACAAACGGGCTGGACACCCCGGAGGAGCGATACACCAAGCTGAAAAAGGTTTGCACTGTTAATAGCAAAAGATCGTACATCATGCTCATACAAGTTCCCGTCTAAACACCACCACTTATACTGTTTTACCTCCTATTAAACCGGATCCTACTGTCCTGCAGCACTCCATGGACTTCCTGCTGTTCCAGTTCGGATTATGCACATTCAAGTACGACCAGGCAAAGTCAAAGTGAGTGAATTCTGCTTAATAGAAACAGAGTTATTGTTATTGATTTGGCATTGATGCTGTCAGATTCAATGTGCATCTCCCCAAGGACTTAAAGTAAGATTTGCAAAGGCTCAACAAAATCTGTGTTTCTCAAAGAAGCTTGGAAGTACCCGTATACTTGATATAAATTGTGTTTAAGTAGTTTTATACAAGTTTACACTTCATAAAACTGGGCTCTTTTTCTGCCTGCTTTTGGGTGGAAGTATTTGTGCCTACCCTGCAGCCCAGGGTAGAACTGTAGGACTGTAATCTCAGTACTTAAAAGGATATTCTGGTGTAAAATTAATTCAGGGTCAAACAGACCGTAACACCGAGTTAGACACCCCCTCCAGAGTTGCCGACCGCTTGCTTCTCTAGTTTTACCAACTTTAGTAACGACCGCAGGATAGCAATACGCAGCGGTCTATGGATCCAGCCAGTTGTTTGTACGGAGACCGGGCAAGTCCATCGACTGCAGCGGGGGGATGCAGCTCAAGGAAGAACATTTATGATTATTTCTTCATGGAAATATGATCAGACTGAGATGCTAAGGCAGAAGAACTACTGCGTCTGCAGAGCAAAATGATTAATATGGTGATTATTACTTCAAGGAAATGATAAAGAAATGATCATAAATGTTCTTCCTTGAGCTGCGTCACCCCGCTGTAGTCTGTAATGGACTGGCCTGAGGTCTCGCTACAAACAAGTGGCTGCTGAAAGAGAGTAGGTGAGTTGTGTTTAGTCTCTTTGCTAAAGAAATGAGTCAAAGTTAAAAAGATGTTTGGTGTCTAGTACTATGGCTGTGACCCTATATGTCCTGTTGATGAAGTTAGGTGCTGTTCTGAGCATTATTTGTGGCTATAGAGTGGCGTTTGGGTTGAGGTTTGTTTATGGCTCCTCTGACCAGCATATCAAATCTGCAAGCATTATAATCAATGTGAGTCATTCCACAGAATCTGTCTGGCGTTGCTGCGGATCGGCTCCAGCGGCCGGATGAGATATGCAAGGCTTCTATTTTTGCTGGAGCACGGCGCATCAATTCAGTGCAGCGCAGCATGAGCAGCAGCGAAAGTTGTACACGGTTATAGAGTTAAAATATCTGTTTAATTTCAAAATAAAATAAAGTCGATACATTAAACTGTTGTTAATTTGATAATAGGAGAGGCCAGGGTTGTGGGATCTGGGTGTTTATATACCCTGCCGTTTATTTACAACAATCGGCGGATCTCAATTTACCGTCACCACTTTTTTAGTTTCAGACAAAGCTGAGGTCCATAAATATTTTCCTTCAGTGTCGATGCCAATTTCTGTTTCTAAAGCACTTTTGCAACCGAATGCCAAAAAACGGTCATCTAGCTTTAGTTTGAGTGGCAGGCGGCTTATTGTCGTCGACCACAGCTACTTGAATACACTCATTAATCCTCTTTGCTCTGTTTGCTGTTGTCTCTGCAGGTATATCATAAAGCCTTTTAATTTTTATATATTCCCGAAACCGTTCAACAGGACGTCCCCCGACATAAAGTTCATCTGTCAAGTAAGTCGGTGTTGCTCATCTGGGCTATCGATAGTCTCTCAGTGAAGTGAGATAAGTGACTGTGGATATTAAAAGTTACTGCTCCTGAAAATGCCTGGTCAGCTGCAGAGACATGATGTGTTGCTTGGCATTTTGTTTGAAAGTTGTGAAAATGTCAGATCATCTTTTGTCATTTCAGAGTTCCAGTATCGACTTTCTGGCCAGTCAGGGGTTCGACTTCAACAAGGTGTTCTGTAACGGTGAGTGCACGTGTCTTTATTTCCATTTCTTTCAGTGTTTGTATCCATTTCTTTTTGTAATAGTCATCATGTGGATTGATCAGAACGGATGGTGGGTTTTGAAAGAACACGACACAACCACAGATCATGATACGGAGTGAAGTGACGTGTTTCTGTTGCTTGTTTTTAAAGGAATCCCTTACCTAAACCAAAATGAGGAAGCCCAGCTGAGGGAGCAAATGGAAGAGAGGAGAAATCAACATGCTAACGGCGTGGGGACACCATCTTTCATCTCCCCGTCCTCCTCCAAAGGCCCCGCCCATGTACCTGAAGAGCACAAAGACTTCATCAACAAAGTCATGTAAGGGCGTCTATAATAGAGTACATGCACCAAAGCAGGGGTGTTTCAGGTTATAGGGGCAGGGCTCCACAGTGCGACAGTTTCACTCACATTTGTGACTAAAAATAGATGTGTGTGTATTGTAAAATGTATTTAGCGGCACATGTGCGCATAAAAAAATCGGGCTAGGCAACAAATGTTTTTTCATGTAAATACGGCGGTGAAGTTAGTTTTAGGTTAGATATTCGACGGACATTAACTGAGGATCTACTGGTGTCCTCTTACTCTCCATAGCCGGGAATAACAACAGCAGCGGCACGGTTAAATCTACTCAGCGGTCAACGCTGGGTGTTGAATAAGGGACCATCAATAAATTACCGGTTGATATTCTCAGAAAAGGCTGTTTTTTCCTTCAATAGCTTCCATGTCACGTGACCAACTGACCTAAAATTGATTTTTAATAATCGTACTTATGGCGCCCAATAAAACAAACATTGTTTGATCAATTTTTATTGTGCCCCTAAAGTTCTTTGTGTGCTCCTTGTGAAAGAAGTCAGTGTCAAGCCCTGCACGGTGGTACGAATAACTGTGGCTTGGTGGAGTTTGGTGTACGCTTATCCTGCGTCTTTGTCCCGGGAGGTCCAGATCCTGATATCGTCTCTTCTTGTTTTCCCCACAGAGAGAAGGTGGAGGCGCTCTTCACTAACTCCGAAAAGACTTTGGATTTGGAGCCTTGCACAGGGTAACCCGACCCTGTACCTCAGAATACCACACCCACACTGATCTGGATTACATGAATTTATCTGCACCACATTTTGACCGCACTTATATAATTTTTGTTTTCCGCAGGTTTCAGAGAAAGCTGATCTACCAGACTCTGAACTGGAAGTATGTGAAGTCGAACACTTAGCCACGCGATTGTTGTTGTGTGGAGACGAAACACTGAAGACTTTGTTTTTGTTTCCCAGGTTTCCTAAGGGGCTTCATGTGGAGACAGTGGAAACAGAAAAGGTAAAAAAATGTTTTTCTCTCAGCAGATTGTGCCCCGTGGTTTTGTTTTTGTGTGTCGGTGAAATATTGATGCCACTTGTGTGTGTGTGTGTGTGCGTGCAGAAGGAGCGATTCATTCAGGTCAGCAAAGTAGACGAGGAGGAGAGGAAGAGGAGGGAGCAGCAGAAACTGGAGAGGGAGCAGGTGAGCCCACTTCTGGTCCTGCAGACCTTGTATCTCCTCGAAGATTGTTTACGTTTCATTTTCATTCCCTCACACACGATAGGAGGAGCTAAATGATGCTGTGGGCTTCTCCAGAGTCATCCACGCCATCTCCAAATCGGTGAGTGAGCGCTGACTGTTTCACTTCACCCTTGTAGTTTTAAACATGAGGCGTTTCAGTTAACAGTCGGACTCCTTTGCTGTTTTCGAATTGGCCTTCTGCGTACTCCTGCCGGCCGCAGTATGCAGTACACACTCTCTGCTATTCCAGGTGCTTTACATTGTGGGTGACAGTAGGCGAAGCAGACTGGTCCGATACATACTGTGAAATTTTCCCGAATCAGTACGTCATCCGGGTATTTTTGGCATGCTGCAAATTTCGCATTTGTTCTCCCACTGCATACGACATTTCTGGTGAATCAGTACGTACTGCTGGTATAGGAGGAGAATTTGAAAACGGCCCGTGACCTTTTCTTTCTCTCGCTGTCGCTAAATCTGCTTGATTGGATGTATTTTAAAAACCTGACTTTGATCATTTTTTTTCAGGGTAAACTTGTGGTCGGCCACAACATGCTGTTAGACGTGATGCACACCATCCATCAGTTTTACTGCTCTCTGCCTGAGGTACAGAAAAAATCCAAGCGGATATTTTAAATCCGGAGTTTTTTTGCTGCATAAAACAGAAGTTTAAGCAAACCAGGTAATTAATCTCTTCTTTCTTCAGGATCTTAAAGACTTCAAAGAAGTCACCATGTGTCTGTTTCCAAGGTAAACTTCCTCTTTTAACTCGTTTACTCCTCAACAGCAGATGCTTTTTGATGCTCTTAAGGTTCAACTTCAAGTGTTTGTCACGTTTTCCCGCAGACTCCTGGACACAAAGCTGATGGCGTCCACTCAGCCTTTCAAGGTGAGACACCTCAGCGCTGCGGCAGAAGAGCATCAACACCAAATATCGATGTTTCTACAAGGTTTAAAAGTGGAATAATTTTGACGTTGATTTGCTTGAAAATAAAAAAGGTGATCTGCAGGAGGTTATGTTGCGTTCCAGTTACCTCAGTAGTCAGGTGTCTGAGCAGGGAATGACGTTACACCTGAGCTGACGGTGTTCCAGTAAACAAGTCGGAAAACCAAGATGGACGTCTGCTGTACGCCGTTGTCAGTTGTTGTCAGCTGTCGTTAGCAATTCTCAGTTGTTGTTAGCGGTTGCCAGTTAGTGTTGGCTGTTGTTAGCAGTTGTTGGTTGTTGTTAGTGGTTGCAAGTTGTTGTTGTTATCGGTTGTCAGTTGTTGTTGTTATTAGTTGTTGTTGTTAGCTGTTGTCAATTGTTGTTAGCGGTTGTCAGTTGTTGTTGTTATTAGTTGTTGTTGTTAGCTGTTGTCAATTGTTGTTAGCGGTTGTCAGTTGTTAGCTGTTGTCATCTGTTTTCAGTTGTTGTTAGCGGTTGTCTGTTGTTGTTGTTGTTGTTGTTGTTAGCTGTTGTCAGTGGTTAGCGGTTGTAAGTTGTGCTGTTAGCGGTGCTCAGTTTTTTTTAGCGGTTGTCAGTTGTTGTTGTTAGCTGTTGTCAGCTGTTTTCAGTTGTCGTTAGCGGTTGTCAGCTGTTGTCAGTTTTTGTTAGCTGTCATTAGTGGTTATCAGTTGTTGTTGTTAGTTGTTGTTAGCTGTTGTCAGCTGTTGTTAGTGGTTGTCAGCTGTTGTTAGTGGTTGTCAGTTGTTATGAGCTGTTGTCAGTTGTTGTCAGCGGTTGTCAGTTTTTGTTAGCTGTCGTTAGTGGTTATCAGTTGTTGTTGTTAGTTGTTGTTAGCTGTTGTCAGCAGCTGCTTTTAGCGGTTATTAGTTGTTGTTAGCGGTTGTTTGTTGTTGTTAGCTATACCAGTTGTAAACAAACACAACACAGTATTTGACTCTTACAAACACAGTATCCCCGAGTTCACAGTTAGACGTTACAACAAAAACCACTTATTTAATTTCACAAAAACGAAACAGAAGCGCTAATAAATAAAACATTAGGAGATCTTCACTGTTGATGAACTGCGCTGCCATCTTGGATTATGACGTTGTCGTCAAGTCGGGGTTGGTGACCATCGTCAGACTTTTGAAAGACAGTTAAAAAGTCAGAGCTCGGAAATCCTGACTTTGAGTACAAGTGGAATGCACCATTAAAACCAGTCGAGGCGATCTAATAAGGTGTGACCTCATGTCTCGTGTTTTTGTGTCTTTGAGTTTTTATCACGTGCAAAAATCTGTTTTAAAATGTTGATATTTTCTCCAAGTTGACGGCGTGGATTCGACTTTGTGTTTCAGGAGCTGATCACGAACACGTCTCTGGCAGAGTTGGAGAAGCAGCTTAAAGAGAGCCCGTTTAAATCGCCACAAGTCGGTGAGTGAATGAACACGAGGTCCTCGAGGTTTGGACTGAAAGTTGTAGAAACTCACCTCGACTCTTTAACTGTTCCTGTTAGAAACGGCCGAGGGGTTTCACAGCTACGACACGGCCCAGGAGCAGCTCCACGAGGCCGGGTACGACGCCTACATCACCGGCCTTTGTTTCATCTCGATGGCCAACTACCTGGGTAACGAACACGCTGATCCTGTTTGCAAATGAAAAGGGGAAAGTCTGACCTGTGTGTCATTTCATGGCGATCTCTTCTTCTCTTTTCAGGCTCTTTCCTGACTCCACCTAAAGCTTACATCTCGGCTCGCTCCAAACTGATCGAACCTTTCTTTAACAAGTAAGAACTTCGCTTCAAGTCACAAAATTCAAGTTCCCTTTCACTTCCTGTTAAAAATGATCATGTTGTTTTCTCCTGAAGGCTTTTCCTGATGAGGATAATAGATATCCCCTACCTCAACATCACGGGACCAGACTGTAAGTGAGATGAATGTCGGCGCTCTAAAAGGCGCCCTGTGGAGACTCCATTGGTCCTTTTTCTGAATGATAGCTGATAGGAAGAGAAAAGAAGCAAATCACTCAAAAACAACAGACTTATTAAATGTTTGAAAAGTGATCCGAGTGATGTGATCACTCTTTTTTTTGGAGAAGACTCCACGGGGCTCCTTTTTTACGGCTGTTTGAAGTAATTTTTTATCCATAAAAGGCAAAAACAAAGAACCAAAATCAGGTCCACAGGCGCGCAGCTCACTGGTTTCTGTCTTTGAACCTTTCAGTGCAGCCGAAGAGAGACCACGTCCTCCACGTCACCTTCCCGAAAGAATGGAAGACGAGCGACATCTACCAGCTCTTCAGTGCCTTCGGTACAGCCTCTGCCCCGTGACTCTGCTTCCACGAGGATATGACCCGGTTATTTGTTCTGATCACTTTCCACTTCTCGTGTCCACACAGGAAACATCCAGGTGTCGTGGATCGATGACACTTCAGCATTCGTGTCTCTGAGTCAAACAGACCAGGTGCAGATAGGTGAGTTTGACACCCGCAGCTGCGTTCATTCTGGACTGGTGGCAGCGGTCTGTTTACATTTCCCCTCTCAACACGCAGCTATGAACACCAGCCGCTATGCAGAGAGCTACAGGATCCAGACGTACGCCGAGTACATCCAGGGTAAACAGCAGGAGAAGGAGAAGGTCAGTCAGACGCCCAAGACTTGGGGAGAGGACAGCTGGGTGAAATCTCACTACACTCCCTCCAGCACTTCAGCTGGTTTTGGATTCTCCAGGTACACCGCTGCCCTCACACCTACAGCTTATTTAAAGTTTCTCCGCCTTATATTGATGGATGTATGACTTCCTTTTTTTTTTGTCCTCCAGAAGCTTGAGGAAACGCAGCATCAGCCCCGTTCAAGGAGAGCAGGGGGAGCTGGGAGACTCTCTAATTACAGACGGCTGGAGTAACTTCTCATACCCGGATAGCAGGGGCAGCAAGAAGATGAAAACTGACGGTGTGTGAACGCGCTCGTGTTGAATTACTTCACTGCTGCAGTGTGGTAACAAGCAGCCTGGGAGTCTCAGCTCACCTTAAGGGACCGGGGGGGGAACGTTGTGAATTATCATCCCAGGCAAATAGATTTAGCGAGTTAATGAAGTCTGAGTAACACGTTAAAGAGGAGGGCTCATCTTCTGTTAGTGACCACCTGCTGCAGAAGGAGCAGGTCAGAGGTCTGCTGACTGAAAAGGCTCAGAGAAAACTTTCAACCAAAGTTTGTGACTCTATTTATATTTTTTCATTATTGATACAGTCCATTGGGCTGATAGATTTCCAGTCCAGTTCATGGTCTTAAAGGAATATTCCGGCGTACATTTAAGGTATAGTCAAATACACCGTCACACCGAGTTAGAGACCCCCTCGAGAGATGAAAGAATACCCAAATCTACCCCAACCCAATCCCTCATTCCTACCCCACAATCTAAACGCAACAGAAACAGGATTAAAATGGATGAACTGAAAAAGGGCTATTACGTGGAAACAGGAAAGTACGCATCAAGGATTCAAGAAATGAAATTTAAGAAATAATAAATAAAACGACTGACCGCTTCCTTCTCTAGTTACACCAACTTTAGTAACGACAAACCTCAACCAAAACACCACTCTATAGCCACAAATAATGCTCAGAACAGCACCTAACTTCATCAACAGGACATATAGGGTCACAGACAGTACTAGACACCAAACATCTTTTGAACTTTGACTAAGAGACCAAACACAACTCACCTACTCTCTTCCAGCAGCCGCCTGTTAATGGGGGAGCCCTGACGAGTCGATCACTGAGTGCAGCTGAAAATTTATATTTATTATTACTTCATGTAAATACAATCAGACCGAGACAGTAAGGCAGAAGAACTACCGCGTCTGCAGTGCAAAAAGATTAATATGATGATTATTAATTCAAGGAAATGATCCGCTGCACTCAGTGATCGTTTCATTTTCATTTTTATCCTTAATTTCATTCATTTAATATTTCAAACATTTAATACAAACAAGGAAAAATCTCAAACATGTGAATAAAAGGAGCAGAAAGAAGAAAACTCTTTCATAAGATATTAATCAACTAAACACACAATAATAAAAATAAACAAGAGCTGCAGGCCAACATGCCTGTTACAGTTCATTATTTCTTATTCTCAAAAACGAACAGAAAAGACCACATTAATTCACATTTTTCCACAAAACAAACAGACCAAGACTTAGATGAACACATTTCCCTGTATTTACTCAACATACGGGCTTTGACACTTTTTTAAAAGATCAAATCTGATTTGTCTTCTTTAGTTTCTTTCTTCAGATTGTTCCACAAACTTATTCCTCTCACTGTAACACAGCGCTCCTTCAGTTTAGCTCTGAATCTTGGCTTTTTCAATATTTCAAATCCTTTTAAATTATAATCAACTTCCTCTTTTACGGTGTGTTTAAGTTTGTCAGTAAGTTTACATTTTTTTCATTATTGATAGAGTCCACTAGGCTGATCGATTTCCAGACCAGTTCCTGATCTTAAATTCAATCGTTAAGACTGCTTTATGTTTCTAATATAAACTTATGTGACATGTCTTCATCAGTCATCCTGCTCTCTTTGTTTCGACACCATCCTGTCTGCACTAACTCTATCTCCGTGTGGTAAATTTCAGTATGATGAGTAAAATCGTTGTTGTGTTTTCCAGCGTCGAGCGAACAGGCCAACACAGAAGCCATTGAGAGTAAAACCTCAGAGGGATGGCTGAAGACGGCGTGAGTAAAATCGCTCTCTGTCGTTTCTGCTGTCAGCGTTTACAGGTGTACGCCTTTAAACGGTTGCTGTTCCCCCTCCCCCGCAGAGATTTATCAGATGCAGCCGGGTCGAGTCCGGGCCCCGATGAGGACAAGTCCCCTGAGGGCGAAGACGAGTTCGGGGATGCTGACGGGACGGTCACTTGGCAACAAGCGCCATCAACGGTCCACGGGAGGAAAGGTCAAAAGAACAAGAAGAAGCAGACTGAAGGTGTGTTTGTGTTTAACCTGCGATTTCACCTCTGTGCTTTTTTACAAGAAGACCAGACTTCAGAGGCTCCCTGGCCTTTATGAAAGGAGCTAGTTCAGACATGTACAGCCGTGGCCAATGTGCTATTGTGACGCACATTTCTGCTGTGTTTGATCGAGTAAAAATGCTCACAGCTGATCACCGTGATCGAACTGAAATTTATCACGATTATATAATCGCCTGGTCCTAGAAGAGAGGTTCAGTTATTGTGAGGAAGACTTCAGGGCGCCTGAGAAAGTTCAGCAAGAACCCGGACTGCCTCCTAAAGTTGTAGGGTTTCTTCTCGGTGAAGGGAGTGGGCTCACTCACAGTTTTGTCCAAGACCATGGCCGTGAATAAAGAACGGTACCAAAACATCATCGGAGAGCAACTTCTCAACTTCAGATCAGTTTGGTGACAAAAAACGCCTTTTCCAGCATGATGGAGCGACTTACCATGAGGATGAAGTGAGAACATAGGCCCGAACTACACGTATATGGATATTTATTTATCATGATATTTTTGTCCTCCCGTCTAAATAAATCTATCTGTCCACACGTGTTAGTTCTCAAAAATATCTGCGTCCACACGTAGCCGTCAAACTCAATCCTATCTGGTGCCGCTTAAAAAAAATTCAGGAACAAAGCTACCTGATTGGCCGATGAATCGTAACAGCGTGATGTGTCATGCATTGTTTGCGGAAGCTACGCTAGTGCGTCGGGTCCATGTGACGGACCATGTGACCAATAAAAGTATTGGACGCAGCAGACGCTTCTGTGAGCTGGCTGACTGATGGATGTAATTGTATAAAACAAGGTTCACTTGCAAGGCTGAAATTAGCCCCAAAAGGTCAAAACAAACGTAAAGAATACCCTGTCTGTCCACCAACGTTGTTGTTGTTTTTCTTCTTAATTCGCATGCGCGAGCTGCGGTTTGATGTCATCGATCCGTAAGAGTCCAACCACATGAATCCACTACGGATACGGGATACGGATATTTTTTTAGTTCTCCACTTGTTTTTTCGGATTCAGATTTATCCAGTTTGAGTGTTCCAAACTCCCGTTTTGGTGTGGTAGGGAGGCCTAATCGGAGATAAATATGTGCGGTTTGAAATATATCCGCATTCGTGTAGTTCGGGTCTAAGTGGCTCGAGGAAAAAAAAAAAAAAAAGTACAAATTTGATCGAGAATTTGTGGTCAATCCTCAAGACGTGGGCGGACAAACAAAAACTTTTAAATTGACACTTATGAAATGTTTGTGATTCTGCTTTAGTATGACGTAGAAACATCTGAGAAAAAGATCTAAAAACCCTGAAGCAGCAGAGTTTGTGAAAATTCATATTTATGTCATTCTCAAAACCTTTTGCCACGGTTGTTGATACCTTAAATAAGCCTTCAATCGAATAACCAACTGGTGGATGAGTCGCTCTTCTCATCTTTGTGTTTTTCTGTCTCTTCACTCGCACAGCCGCCGAATCTACAACATCACTGTTCGAGGTTCCTGAGGTCTGGTAGCGAGAGCCGGAGGGCGGAGAGGCTGCTGTCCCACGCTGAGCCGCTGCTCTGAGTCTCCTCCTAAGCACTTGGGCTGCTCTCCTGTAAGGTTGAACACCAGCAAGAGTGGCGCACGCCCTTAAACCCATACGTTCGCTCAGCAGCCGCGGACGCCGTGTCCGAAGCTCTTAGCCAAGCTGCTGGACCGCACTGTCGAAAGAGAAAACACAAGCCATAAAAGACGGTCGCCATATTTTCATTTCGTAACGGAGGAGCGGGAAACTCTTCTGGGTAAACACACTCACAAACACATCAGCAGAACCTTCACGTCTTAACCCTCCTTAAGGTCGAGTTTCTTCACGGACACTCAGACTGGAATCTGCCGCCACAGCTATGCTATCACTCTGAAATCACTTTGAACAACACGCTCACCTCCATCAGTCTTAGACGACCTGGTGTGGATGTTGTGTGCGCGAGTCGGTGCATGTGTGTGTGTGCGTGTGTGTGTGAGAGAGAGATGTGACTTTTCCTGAGGCTTTGTATCTGTGTAAATCCTTATCATGAAATGTGACCCACACCCACACCCACACACCCACCTGACAGGTTCCTGTAGTTTACAATATCTGGGTTATTTAGGATTTTAATGCAGACAAATATTTTTAAAAGTCAGTCGTGTCTCCTTTCCCAGTTTTATCAAACCTGTATAATCTTCTCAGTAATGTGATGTTTATTATCGGTGGCGTTTTGGTCCTTCATGGGAGGTGCTTGTCTTTTTTTTTTGTTGTTGTTTTTGTTTATTTTTGTACAGAATTGGTTTCTTTACCTTTTTTGTGTTGAATGTTTTGTAACCGTGTCAACCTGCAACAAAGCTAAAGTATGTTCTAATGCAAAATGTGTAAACCGTTAAAAAGACGTTAAAAACACCTTTTTGTATAAGATGAAGTTTAAAAATCCTGAAATATTTCCTTGAGAGGGAAAACATTAAAGAATGTTTCTTAGTATCTCTGTTCTGGTCTCCTCCTTTAGCCGAACACTGAATATTAATGTTCTTATTTTAACATCGAGACGTTTTTCCTCTTCAAGTTCAGCGTCCTCTGAGTTTTAAGAAGTCAGGAAGACCTGAACCATCACAGGAGTCCTTTCAGGGTCCAACAAAAACCTCAACCTGCAGGTCTGATGTCCAGAACCAAAGAACTTCACTGAAGGACGGGTCAAGATTCTGGTCTGAGGGATGTCTTCAGGCTGGACATCGTCAATGAGGACTTCAGAACAGAAAAGGAAGGATTGAGGGTAGAGGTAGGAAGAAAGGAAGGATGAAGGGTAGAGGTAGGAAGAAAGGGTGGAGAGAGGGAAGGAATGATGGATGGCGTGAGAGAAGGACGATGGAGGTAAGGAAGGAAGGAAGGATGGAGGGTAGAGGTAGGAGGGAAGGATGGATGGAGGGTAGAGGTAGGAGGGAAGGATGGATGGAGGAAAGGAAAGAAGGGTAGAGAGAAGGAAAAATGTAAGGGAAGTAGAAATGGATGGATGGAGTAAGGGAAGGAAGGATAGAGGGTAGGAAGTAGGGATGGATGGAGAGGGAAAAATGGAGCTGAAAAGATGAAGGGATGGAAAGAAGGATGGATGGAGTAAGGGAAGGAAGGGTAGGAAAGATAGAGGGTAGGAAGTAGGAAAGGATGGAGAGAAAGATGGCTGAGAAGATGAAGGGATGGAAAGAAGGAAGGGTAGATGGAGAGGAAAGGTAGAGGGAAGGAAGGGTAGATGGAGAGAGAAAAGGAAGGATAGAGGAAAGGAAGGAAGAGTAGAGGGAAGGAACAATGGATGGAGTAAGGGAAGGAAGGATAGATGGTAGGAAGGAAGGATGGAGAATAGGAAAGGGAGGGATAGCTGAAAGGATGGAAAAAGGAAGAATGAGAACAGGAAGGAGGAAAGGGTGGAAGGCAGGACAGATTGATGGAAGGAAGGGTGGATGAAGGTTAGGTAGGAAGGACAAGGGAAGGAAGGAGAAATAAGGAAGGACAGATTAAAGCAAGGATGGATGGATGGAGTAAAGGAAGGAAATTTGGAAGGGAAAGGAAGAATGGATGGATGCAAAAAGGGTGGAAGAAAGGAAGAAAGAAAAAAGGATGAATGGAAGGAAGAAGGAAAGGAGAAAAGCGAGAAAGAAGATCTGCTGCTGTGACCGTCTGAGCAGAAGATCTGTATTTAGTTCCTGGTTCTCCTCCTTGTCCTCTCTCTCTCTCTCTCTCTCTCTCTCTCTCTCTCTCTCTCTCTCTCTCTCTCTCTCTCTCTCTCTCTCTCTCTCTCTCTCTCTCTCTCTCTCTCTCTCTCTCTCTCTCTCTCTCTCTCTCTCTCTCTCTCTCTCTCTCTCTCTCTCTCAGTTTTCTGAAGCTCGTTTGGTCGTTCGAGGACGTTCTTCAGAGAGAGATGGAGGTGTAAAATAATTCTGACAGGTAAGAAAGGTCAGGTGTGGAAGAGGAGAACAACTAAACATGACGGTGAAAGACGAGGAGACGGAGTTTAAGGCCAAAGTGGATTTAATGGACACAGTTCAGGATAAATAAAAACACTGTTCAAAGAAGAAGAAGAAGTCCCTTTGGTACCAAAGGTTTTGACTTCAGTCCAGAGTCCCAGAAAAGACCCTGTAAACGTTCAAATGTGGAAACGTCCTTGAGTTTCTTCAATGTTTTATCTCATTTTTCAAGTTTTACTTTGTTCCAGTGACAGGAAGTCGTTTTATAGTGCAGGTTCGGAGAATCTCCTCCACCGAGGACCGGGTCCGGGTCTTGTCAGGATGCTTCCTTCACCCCCATGAGGCACAAACCGGTCTGGAGTCCCTGAGTGCTGTGGAGGGAGAGAAAGGCTCAGAAACGTTTCACGGTCTGGATTTCTCCGACGCCGTCACAGTCCTCACCTCGAGTGTCCCGGCAGCACGACTACAGACAAGGTGTCTTCTGAGAGAGACCTGAAGAGCTTCTTCAGGGAGCGGTCCAGCTTCCTCATCAGGAGATCCACGTCCCGGTCCTACACAGAAATAAACAAACGTGTTTATTCGTCCTCAGACTCATCAAACTTCATCCTACTAAAAGTCCTTCACACAAACTTTCTCACACTTCCTCCCACACGCCGTCTGGAGTCGTTGGAGTTTGGATCTGTAAGGGATCGATTCTTAATGAAATGATCAGAAGATGACCTGCTGCAAACTTTCAGTCCAAACTAACCAGAACCACCACCATCGCCGTGTTTTTAAAAATGAGTCATTTTACAGTTTGCAGCCAGCAGAGTCCGAGTGTTGCTCGAGTCCAAAAAAGGAGGTCTGAAGGGGGACCGAGACCAGGACCAAGTTAGAAAAAGCAAAGTTTAAAAATGTATGATGTTATCGTCCGTCTTTGACAGACTCCTGCTTCTGTTCTTATTTTCTAGGTTTTCATTTTAGGAGACGATGTGAACCGACTCGGCTGCTGTATCAGGACCTGATCACCCCGTCAACTCAGATAACTGAGTCATGTGACCAACGTGTGCACGATCAGTCTGAACTCAGACGAGACATTCGTTTATATCGGTGGATCAATAAAGGTGTAAAAAAACATCTTCAATTATTACCTTAAACTGGGAGATTCTTTCATGTATCTGATCAATAATTTCTCTTTAATATCTACGTGATTATTAAATTTCAATTTGGGGATCAATAAAGTTCTTCTTATCTAAACTGTTATTGAAAAGCTGATATTGGTCAAACATAAGTAAAAATTACTTCATTTCAATAAAAATAACTTTATTTAGTTATAATAACTTCATTTTAGAAAAAATGATAACTTTATTTTAGTAATGATATCTTTCTTTAAATAATAATAACTTTATTTTAATAATAACTTTAATAATAATAACTTTTTAAATAATTATAACCTTATTCTAATAATAATAATAACTTAATTTAAATCAATAATTTTATTTAATTAAGATATATTAATTTAAGTTATAATAATTTTTTTTTAAAAATAACTTTATTTTAATAAAAATAAATTTATTTCAATGACTATTTTAATCATAATAACTTGATTTAATCAAGATATATTTAATTTAGTTAAAACAACTTTATTTTAGAAAAATAACTTGATTTTAATAATAATGACTTTATTTTAGTAATATCTTTCTATTAATAATAATTTCAATCATAACTTTAATAATATTTTAAATTATAACTTTATTTTCATTGTAACTTTATTTTAAGAATAACAACTTTATTTTAGTCATAATATCTTTATTTGAATAAAAATATAATTTTTTTAGTACTAACGTTTAATTTAGTAATAACTGTAATTTAGTGATATTTGAACTTTATTTAAATAATAACCTTATTTTGGTAATAATAACTTTATCTTAATATTAAAATATTTTGGTAATAATAACCTTATTTTAAAAATAACTTAATTTTAGTAATAACTTTATTTTAGCAATAATTACTTTATTTTATTAATAATAATAATTACTTTATTTAAATAATAACTTTTGACTTTTTCGTTCATAATAATAAAAAAATATATATTATTATTATTATTATCAGATTTGAGTCAGAATTAATACCCTTTTTTTAGATCAATCTCAGAATTTCGACTTATTTGTTCATAATAATATATATATATATATATATATATATATATATATACATATACATATATATATATATATATTTATATATACATATATATATATATATATATATATATATATATATATATATATATATATATATATATATATATACATATATATATACATATACATATATATATATATATATATATATATATATATATATATATATATATATAATATATATATATATGTATATTTATATATATGTTGGACCCTTTTTTTTTCCCAGTGGCCCCGGTCCTCTTCTGTTTAATCGACACCGACTGTAAATTCTGTCTGTAAATCCTCGTTTTTACCTGAGTACTGACGTGCATGTGGGTCTCCTTGTCGTCTGCTGCCTCAGTATCTGGATCCGCATTAGCAGTTGTCATGGAAACCCATGAGGGTAAGTGTGCTGGGGTCAGAGAAGGACAAACGAGGAAGTGTTTCTTCTTCAGGAGTTCATCGGAGGCTCTCAGAGCAGCATGTTTGTCCTCTGAGCTCTCAAACTCTGTAGGAACAGACACAGACAGGTCACCTCTCACACAAACACAGAAAAACTCAGTCAGCTTGTTTCTGATTCGTCCACTCACTTATGTACGCGTGTCTTGCGTGTTTCCCGGGTTTTGCGGGCAGGAGGACACTCTCCACCGCTCCAAAGGGACTGAACGTCTCTCTGATCGCGTCCTCAGACAGTTTGGACTTTGAGTTTCTCGGCTGTAGACGTTTACCGTTGACTTTTGACGGTGGGAAGGTGTCGGTAACATCAGCAGGACTTAGACCAGAACCCTCAACATCCAAGGTGAGTCCGTTGACCTTGGCAGGAGCCGGGACACACTCAGCCAAACTGGACTTCAGTTTCACAGCAAAGATGTGGCTGGTGCTGTCGTCCATCAGAGCATCGAGGGTCAGATCCAAGTCCAGCATTGACTCATTAACCGGCCTCTGGACCTGGAACAGAAAAACGTTAGCTGTGGTCTGAAAGGAAGAGGAGACAGAGAGGAGGAAAGGAGGTGAGGAGGGTTACCTTTATGGGCTGTCCCTGCATATTTAGATTATTCAGAGTCTTCACAGCCAAAACTGCTCCTTCCAGCAGCTCGAACTCCACCTCTGCGTGAACCTGGAGACCAGAGATGATCAGGAAATAGAAAAAAAAATCAACTTTGAGGAGGAAATCTGACTCTTTTAAAGCTCTACTATCTGTGACAGAAACTGAAGCGAGCAGGTTTGAAGTCTCTACCCTGAAAGTTGTCCTCAACATTTTGACTTCCTGAACAGGTCCGCAGCAGGAAAACAGCCGCCTCACTTCGCCCTCGGAGACGCCTGCAGGGAACGGGCCGGCAAACACCACACACATCTCTCTGAGATTTGCACACACCTGCAGCAAGAACACGCACACACATTATGCAGGATTTCACAAAACACTCCGACACTCTAAATGCATAATATTCAGGGAAGTGTCTCACCGTCTGATGCTGGAGCTCCTGCGTAGGAAAAGATCTCTTCAGGTGGTCAGAGAAAGAGGAAAAGTGGAGCAGGGAGAGGAAGGGGTGAGGAGTTTTTCTCCTGAAGGAGGCCAGAACCTGAAACACAAATAAAAACAAAGTGAAGAAAGAAAAGATGTAAGAAAAAAAAGAGAAAGAGGCAGAGGGACTTGAATGTCACCTTTAGTTTAAGTAATAAAAACAAAAACTAAGAAAACAATCAAAACAGGTTCTTTAACGTGACCCGTCAGGTTCTTCATCTCTTCATGGAAATACAATCAGACCAAGACGCTAAGGCGGAAGAACTACCGCGTCTGTAAAATGATTAATATGGTGATTATTACTTCAAGGAAATGATAAAGAAATGATCATAAATGTTCTTCCTTGAGCTGCGTCACCCCGCTGTAGTCCATAACGGACTGGCCTGAGGTCTCGCTACAAACGAGCGTCTTTCTGCTGCAGACCGCTGTGTATTTCTATCCTGCGGTCGTTACTAAAGTTGGTAAAACTAGAGAAGCAAGCGGTCGGCAACATTCATCTCTGGAGGGGGAGTCTAACTCAGAGTTACGGTGTGTTTGACCCTAAACTTATTTTACGCCGGTCCCTTTAAGATCAGGACCTCCTGATGTCTCACCTCCTTGTCCGAGTTGTGCCACTCCTGGTTGGACAGATCCAGAGCGACGTCTGAACGCTTTCCCATGAAAACTACAGACCGGCCGAGAGTCTGAAGTATATCTGCGAACCTGGAGACGAATCATTTGTTAAATAAAGCTGCAGCTGAAAATGAAATTTGATGTTTCACTCAGTTAAAGGTGGGGTAGGCAGGAATCCGTTAAAGAAGCGTCTTTTATTTGTGGTGTTTATACAAAAAATCTTTTAATATCAGTCAATAGTTATTAGTTATTGATGACATTTGAATATTTTGATATCTGAATTTAATTGGAACGATACGAGCAAGCAGGAGCGTCTGTTTGTGGGCGGGGCTTGTTGGAGCAGAGAGGGAGGGGTAGAGTTTACATTCAAGATTTCTCCTAAAAACTGGAACTTCCTCAGATCCTGACTACCCCACCTTTAACGGAGAGGAAAAGCCTCTGGAGCAGCAGCAGCTCAGAGGAGAGGACACACTCAGATTAAAGACGATTTTCTTTTCTTTGAACACTAAACAAATCTGATCCACCTGAGACTCGGAGTCGGGGGTGGAGGAGCGCAGTCAGCTGACTCCTCCTCGATCGTGTATCCCCACAGATCCTCCAGATGAACCTCTACAACCTGAAAACGAGAACACAAACTTCGTTATATCAACTCTGTGCGTGTGTGTGTGTGTGTGTGTGTGTGTGTGTGTGTGTGTGTGTGTGTGTGTGTGTGTGTGTGTGTGTGTGTGTGTGTGAGGAGTTACCTGGCGAGGTCCTGCATTAATGAAGTACTGAGCTAACTCCAGAGCCGCCAGAGCGTCCTCCACAGGATTATGGCCTCTCTTCTCCTCAGTCTGAATCTGCCTCCTGGAACAAAAGAGTAAAAACTCAAAGTTAGCCGAGTTAGCAGAGGGAGACACAGCGGGGGGTAAAAGAAAGATTAAAAAGAAGAGAGAAAGAAAAAAAATAAAAGAAGGAAAGGAAAGAGAAAGAAAAGAAAGAAAGATAAAAGAAAGAAAGAAAATGAAGAAAGAAAAAACAAAAGAAAGAAAGAAGAGAAAAAAGAAACAACAAGAGAAAAGAAAGAAAGAAAGGAAAGAGAAAGAAAAGAAAGAAAGATAAAAGAAAGAAAGAAAATGAAGAAAGAAAAAACAAAAGAAAGGAAGAAAGAAAGAAAGAACGAGAGAAAAGAAAGAAAGAAAGAAAGAAAGGAAAGAGAAAGAAAAGAAAGAAATATGAAACGAAGAAAGAAAATGAAGAAAGAAAAAACAAAAGAAAGGAAGAAAGAAAGAAAGAACGAGAGAAAAGAGAAAGAAAGAAAGAAAGGAAAGAGAAAGAAAAGAAAGAAATATAAAACGAAGAAAGAAAATGAAGAAAGAAAAAACAAAAGAAAGGAAGAAAGAAAGAAAGAAAGAAAGAAAAGAAAGAAAGAAAGGAAAGAGAAAGAAAGAAAGAAATATAAAACGTAGAAAGAAAATGAAGAAAGAAAAAACAAAAGAAAGAAAGGAAGACAGAAAGAAAGAAAGAAAGAAGAGAAAAAGAAAGAACGAGAGAAAAGAAAGGAAAGAGAAAGAAAAGAAAGAAATATAAAACGAAGAAAGAAAAAAGTAAAAAAAGAAGAGAGAAAGAAAGGAAGAAAGAAAGAAAAAAAGAAGAAAGAAAAAATAAAAAAGAAAGAGAAGAAAGAAAGGAAGAGAGAAAAGAAAGAAAGATAAAAGAAAGAAAACATAAAACAAGGAAAAGAAAGAAAGAAAGAAAGATAGAAAAAAGAAAAAAGAAAGAAAGAAAGAAAGAAAGAAAGAAAGAAAGAAAGAAAGAAAGACTGACTTGAGGACGGTCTCAGCGAGGACCTTCAGCTTAAACTTCTGTCCGAACTCTCTCCTGAACAGCAGAGCGGTGTCGATCACATGTCGGTGGATCATCTTCAGGGGACACAACAAAACACGGGTTAGAGTTCGAGAGTTTCTCCAAAACTGAGACGCATCGGAAACAGATAATCGGGTCGTTACGATGTTTACGATGGAGACTGGACTGCAAGGCTAACAGCAGAACGCTGAAAGGGCGGACCAGAGTCGAGCGGTTTTATCACCGCAGGGCACGAGCGGACGGGTTCCTCAGCTGGGTTAGTCCCAGTACCGAGATCTAAAGGACTCTGCTTCTGTTCGCACCGTCAGACTTTCATAAGATTTTCAAACAACGTCACAAAGAAACTCCAGTTTTTCTCTTTCTCAGACCTTTGAACATTTCCACAAGAACTCACTTTCAGAGCCACAAGGTCGTTGTTTAGCGAATGTCCCACCAGAACTGCGTCGCTCGGCAACAGCGTCCTGAGTTTGGTTTGAACGTCCCGCAGAGTGGTTGTGATCGGTCGCAACATTCCCGGGGTTATACCAGAGAACCTATGAGAAGACACCGAAAGAAAGAGGAGATCAGAGCCGATGTTTTTTTTTCTCAGGCGTTGTTCTGGTATCTGTGTACGCGTACGTACTTGGTGAGGTAGTTGAGGATCCGGTTCTGAGGTTTCACCAGCTCATCCAGCACACAGTTCCCGTCATGATCCACCAAAGAGACCCGAGTCAGCTCGTATCCCTTCACTGTTAGACACTGAAGCAAAACATCAACAACAACAACACATGCTTAACTTTGAAGCAAAGTGGAAACGCAGAGATGAGGAAAGTCGACAGTTGAAGATCTTATAACCGATAAAAAAAAACAAAATCAATTTAGGAGATTATTCTTTAGTTTTTAAACTTATTTTACAAACAAACTTTTATCATCCAAACAGCTGCAAAATGTTCTTATATAAAACAAAAAGAACAACCCTCTAATAGACGACTAAATGTCTGCTTTTATAACCTTCCACACTGGTTTAACAGTCGGTGCGTTTACATGACACTGGAGAAAACCGAATTATCGTCTTTATTCCGATTAAGTCCAGACATCTGAAGTGTATGTAAACACCTTAATCCGACTATAATCGGAGTTTGAGAACTCAGATTTAGGCTACATTCACATTGCAGGTTCTGATGCACAATTCGGATTTTTGTTAAATCCGATCTTCTTGTGCGGTCGTTCACATTGCAACAACGAATGCGACATCTAATGTAAACAGAATGCATCCGTGAAGTGACCCACATGCGCACAAACAACAAATTGCTTTTCTCGCCTGTTTGTGTTGTCGAACAATGGTGACGTTTGTCGCATATTGATGACGTATAGGTCGGATGAACGCGACCTGAGCGTTCACACTGCAGTCACATCGGATACATATCCGATTTATATCCACATACAGAAGAGGCCTGGGTCAGATTAGAACAAATCAGAGTTGACCTGTTCACATTTAGATGAAAAAATCAGATAAGGTTAAAAAAATCGGAATTAAACCCAGATGATGCGATTGGAATTCGATTTTCTCTACCATGTAACCAGCGTAGTCGGAGTATGATCGGACAATGCATGTGTGCGTGCGCCACGCCCCCGTAACCCGGAACAAAAACACCGGAGAAGAGGAGTAGTGTGCGAAAAAGTAGCACGTCTATCATGTAGGACAAAAACAATGCTGTACGATGCTCGGACCTGCTGCTGTTGTTGACGGTTGTACGGGGTCGGAAACAGCGCTGCTGAAAAGACCCATATCGCCCCCTAGTTTTGGGGAGGAGTACACGTTCACGTCAATAATTTAATTTTCTCAGCTGCATGTATAAGCCGACAAGGAGCGAAGTCCGATTCGGTGAAAAAAATGAATTATGAGTTAGTCTGATTAAACTGTGCATGTAAACACACTGACTGGGTTTGCTTTGCTCACAAACTTTAAAATCAGATCACAATAACAAACTAAACAGGGTTTATTCATCTGGGAAATTACCTCTGCGCTGTTGAAGAAAATGAGTGTAACAATGATCCAATCTCACCATTTCACAGTCAAGTCCAAACAGAGGGCTGCTGTCGGTCACATACTCCACACTGTCTGTGTTCACAAAGTCCTCAAAGCCCGGCATCCCTGCGGGAGAGACGACAAAAAGGCTCCTAAGACCAGGACCTACCTTGAACTCAATGTGTAAAATAAAAGTTTAATTTTAACATAAAATCCCCTCCAAGGTGGCGGTGTATCCAAAGAGTTGGACATGTGATCATGGAGAGACTCACCTTTGACAGGATAGTGACTCTTGATCATCTGCTCCTGGGAGAGAGCGTACGCCGTCAGTCCTCTCCTCTGAGTCCCGAACTTGGTGATGACGGGGTGACTCCTCAGAGCTGCAGAGAGAAGCGGCACACACACACACACGGACGATAAAGATAAAGACGATCTGCGAATATACTTCACCAAATGATGCGAAGAAGTATGTACAGGCAGAAGGTTTGGGTCAAACACTTTTAATACATCGATTACACAGTTACAAAGATAATTCATTCATAAACTCCTATTTCTACACACTTCTCACCTTTGTGCAGTCCTGTGTTTTCATTGTAGTTTTTAGAAATGTTGACACCCTCTGATTCTGGGATCTTACTCCTGAAGATTTCTGAAGCCACATCGTTAGACGTTGGAGTAAATGTCACCCTCTAATCGAGAAAGACAAAAAAACGTTCGTCTGGAAACGCTCCCTAAACGATTATATCCAAATATGTGGATGTAATTCCTCCCGTTTCCACCTGTACTCACGGTGGTATAGTTTTTCCGCAGGTGTTTCAGAGTGAGGTAGTGTTTGTAAAAGTGGCTCTGTGTCAAGCCTTCAACGATCACCACATTTAAAGCTTTAATCCTCCTCTGATGGGCGAGACGACACCAACTATATGAGACACGGGAGAGGACATAAGACTTAAAATAGATCATTTAGATTATCGGACGAGCGCAGGGACAGAGATAACTTTCATTACAGAGAGTTACCTGATGAGGTCTTACTTGCCAAATCATTACCTGGGCTGTTTAATGCCACCTGTTTTCCCCAGAGCGGCGTAACGCAGCAGCTCTGTCAGCTCATTCACTGTAATTGGTTGTTGAAGGTGGTCGGGCAGCACAGAGATCCTCAGTGAGCGGGAGGATCCTCCACGCTCCAGTAACTCTTCACCAGGTGGTGCAGTTTTTAATCTTTTTGCCTTCTCTTGTTCAGCGGGGTCGATGCTCAGTCTTTTCAGTCCTTTGCATGTCATCGCTGCTGCGGCTTCTGCAGGAGACGCCATCTTTAAGTTGATGGTTATACTCCTGAAGCAGAAAAAAACAGGTATTAAAAATGGTGAATAATCATCAATGTTATGCAAATAACTATGCAAATAAAAAATTATAAAACTAACAAACGAAAGAAAAGTTTGGATAAAACTCTGTTAATGTTGTCTTAATCTTCGATCACATATTTCCTTGTTCTTATACACTTTTAGGACATTTTAGTTGGTTGGCAGCTCTCTATGAAGCTAAAATAAACTAAAAGAAAAGGAAAAAGAATTCTGAAACTTTGGAGGGAGGCAGAAGTGTGTATAGAGCAGGATCTCATCACCCCCATACTGGTTTTACACAAATACTGTCACTGACACCAAATATTAGTATTTAAACTCAATAAAAACCCACTCCAACAGTTCCCCTTTAAGATTCCCCATTAGAGTCATTTCTTAACCCTCAAATAATCAGATATCTTGCAGCATCGTGGTACAATATTTGTTAATAATCGCAAAATGGATATATCGTAAAGGGGAACTGTAAAATATCGTGAGTCCCCCTGCGATTTCTAACCCAGATATCCAACTAATCTTACAGCACGGCTGTTGAGGGAGACATAATGAAAGTGGAAGTTTTAATGAAAATTGTTTTTCAGATAGAAACCCTCAAGACTGGATAGGGGAGAGTGGGATAAGATGATCCACTACATCAAGTCGATCCTAGTTTAGTCTCAAACCCGTGTATCAGCAGATATTTCAGGATGTTGTTCATCCCTGCAAACCAACAGAATGAGTGTAAACAGAACTGTAATCTTGATAATATAGCATGACAAAATAAAGTGGTCTCTTACCCGTGTATGGGGTAAGTTGACCATAGGAACGGGGTAAGTTGAGCCAACTGGTTTGTGCTCAAGTCCTCTTTTTTTCTGTGAAGCTCTACTTTTAAAAGTTATTAGAAGGTTCATGTTTTCTATGATTGACACTTAATACAGCCTATGGGTGTTCAGGGATTGCGTAGCTCACCCGGTGGATACGCTGTTTGAGCCGAGCGTCATCACAGCGACTCTTGGCAATACCCCCACCGAATGCGAACAACGCAAAATCCCGAAAATACAGAGAGCTTTTCGGCTTCAAATCCATATCCGTAACTGATGACGGACTAAATTCCCTTCCAAGAGTGAAACATGTATTTTTTTTGTAAATAAACGTCTAACCCCTTCACCTTCTTGTGCTTCTAACCTTCACAGACTCCATGAATTGATGCCCATCTCCTTAATATTTGGTCACATGATCAATTTCTTTGACCAACTTACCCTTTGGCTCAACTTACCCCGGTCTCCCCTACATAGAGAGCTGTTTTTACATAGAAATAACATGAATATGTTCTCTCAACTTTCTCACCATCCCCGGCTGTCTCATAAAATCATTTTAGAAAAGAAAAACAATAACTCAGGTACAAACTAATGCAGGTTTACATGGATGATTATACTGACTTGTCAACAAATACTCTGTAAACACGAGTCTCAATTATTAAAATTATACGACTGTTTAAAATATTCTTATAATTATGTGTTTGAGTGAGAACAGCTATAATTACCTGATGTTTGTTGATCTGTAGACTCTACATTCATGTTTTTCCTGCACTGATAAAAGCTAAAACACATGGCTAACAGGGACTTCCGCAGACTCAAACTTCCATTCATACTTCCGGTTTGTAACTACCAAAATAAGATGAAGTACTGCTTTGATATCGACTAATGTACAAGATTTACGCCGAGTATTGTGTAAAGAACAGTGACGCTCATTTAAGATTTAGCTAGTATTTTGATTTTGTTTATTCACTGTTTATGATTCTCTCAAAATGTGGTTAAATTTTTCGATCGAATATTGAATGCTTTTATTTTGAAGAAACAATTGTAATACCGGAAATTTAGTTCGTTTAGTTTTGATAAACATCGGCGCCTTTTCTATGATCGACCATTTTTATCTTCAGTTGATTAAGCTGACTCGCAGCCCAAAGTAATCGACCCCAGGCGGAGCCATTTAAAAATCGGCGCGTTTGTTTGTTTCTCGTTTTTTTTAAGTCACAAAATCTTCCTGCTAAAACACATCTGGATGTTTCGATTTAGGAAACGTGGAACATTATGTCAACAAAGAAACTGGCCAGGTGAGAAATCGATCAGTCGATTCGCGTCGTTTAGTGATAGTTAACCGAAACACAAACAAACGAAACCACCAAAATGTGAGTCAGTCTGGTAAATGTTCTGTTGTGAGATAAATCTCTATCGGTGTGAAATAAAGAGATTATATCCTGTTTCTTAACTTACAGTATTTGCGTGTTTTAATTTTGTAGTGTAAAATGTTTGTTTATCGTCAGAAATAAACTGAGTCTAGGGTTAATTTGATAATATTTCTGATTTCTCTGTCTCCTCAGAAAACTTGGTTTACTGAGGCAGAGGAGTCAGTCTTCTCAGGGGTCAAAGAAATCTCTCATATCCAGTAAGTTAAAGTATTTTTATTACAGATATTCATGTTCCTTTTTCATTTCATATTCATTCTGCATTAATCTGTAAATGTTGTTTATTTTAAAACGTTTTTCAGATCAATCATTTTCATACCTGATTGTGATCGACTTTGAATCAACTTGTTGGAAAGAGAAAAACTACCACAGCCAGGAAATCAGTGAGTAAACCTGTGGATATATGTCGGGATTATCTTTCTTTATCTCAAACTTTAAGAACAACAACAAAACAAACTAGAAACAAAAACACTGAACAAAATAATACATATAGTTGAATCCAGAAGTTTAAATACACTCTAAAAAGACACCTAACTTTTTTTCCTCACTGTCTAACATTAAATCAGATTAAACTTTTCCTGTTTTTATAAAATTGGGATCACCAAAATTGTTTTTATATGCTAAATGCCAAAATGCTAAGAGAGAATTTTTTTTATTATTTTCTCAAGAGTCAAAAGTTAAAAACATAAACTTGTATGACTTGGGTCAAATGTTTTGGATATGCCTCTCACAATAGTTTGTAGGAATTTTGGCCCATTTCTCCGGACAGAACTGGTGTAACTGATCCAAGTTAAATTTTCAGTAGGATTAAGATCAGGGCTTTGTGATGGCCACTTCAAAACATTGACTTTGTTATCCTTACGACACTTTGTAACCAGTTTGGCAGGATGTTTAGAGTCACTATCCATTTGGAAAACCCATCTGCACCCAAGCTTTAACTATGTGGCTGATGTCTTGAGATGTTGCTTGAGATTTCCCACATAATGTTCTTTCCTCATGATGCCATCCATTTTGTGGAGTATACCAGTCCCTCCTGCAGCCAAACAACCCCACAACATGATCTTGAAGACAAAATTGGCAACTGGACTGTGTAGAGTCGAGAAGACGTTTCGCCTCTTCTCCAAGAAGCTCCTTCAGTTCTAAATATTGCTGGTGTGAGGAGCTGATATTTATCTTACTGGAGAAGGGGACAGACAACGACTGGGAGGAGTTGGAATAAATGGGTCGTAGAGACCCATCTCTGTGTGTGTGTGTGTGTGTGTGTGTGTGTGTGTGTGTGTGTGTGTGTGTGTGTGTGTGTGTGTGTGTGTGTGTGTGTGTGTGTGTGTGTGTGTGTGTCCGAGCGTCGTTAACAACCCCTGTCATGTGACCACATGACCCATGCCACCTGGGTCATGTGGTCCCATGGTCCCAGGTCTGCATTGTAAGTGCCGGAGAGATTATGCCTGAGTCCACCCCTCTGTTCAGAGAAGGTTTCTCCAGCCTGGTAAAGATGGCTTCTTTAACTCCTCTATCAAACCATCTGTCTTCTCTGGCCAACACCTGTACATTGCTGTCTTCGAAAGAGTGACCCGTGTCCTTTAAGTTAAGGTGGACCGCTGAGTAAATAATAATTTTATCCAAATAAACTTAAATCACCATAAACCTAAATTATTATCCACATCTTAAGTAACTAAAATTGCATTTAGGCTCCTACAGACGGTGAGGTAAAAAGGTTATGTGCCTTTTTATATAGTGTATGTGAACTTCTGGTTTCAACTGTATAAACACCAAACAACTGTACATGTCAAAGATAAATTTACATGACATATGTTTGTCAAAAATAAACAGTTTGAGAAAGAAAAGAATGAAGCAAAGAGCTTATCTAGTCCTGACCCTTCTTTGGAAATTAGAGAAAATCTAATTATATAAATAACAAAGATCTGTATAAATACCTTCATATTATACACACAGATAGCTGCTCAACACTACATAGGTTACTTATTATAATTGTCTGCATGTTATAATAATAATCAGTGTTATAATATTCAGAATTAATATTACTTCTATACAATTAAGTATATTTAGTATAAAACGAATGAGTATCTGTTTAATACTCATTCCTACTGAATTCATTTATATGTTCCATTTTTTTCATCTGCAGTCGAGTTTCCTGCTGTTCTGCTGAACACATCCACAGGAGAGATAGAGTCTGAATTTCATACCTACGTTCAACCCCAAGAACACCCGACTCTGTCTGAGTTCTGCACTGAGCTGACTGGGATCACTCAGGTGTTTATACAGAAAAACACACGCAGATACAACATGACGATGAGCTTCTTGATTCCTAGATTTCTTTGTTTTACAGGCTCAAGTCGAGGCAGGAATCCCTCTTCAGATCTGTCTCCCTCGGTTCGGCCGCTGGTTGCAGAATCTGCAGCTGGAGAAGGGTGTGGTCTTTCCAAACACACAACAGAAATCTGCTGCAGAGTCACCGTCTCAGAAACTGTGTACCTTTGTCACGTGGTCAGGTAAAAGTCGACTGTCCTGCTCTAAAACTTCAAAGCCTTGAATCATTGTTTCCTCCTGATAAGAGATCTCTGCCTCACTTGCCGAGGACCTTTTTTCCAGAACATGTTACTTATCCTCTCTGCCTCCTTCTGCGCTGTGTTCCAGACTGGGATCTCGGAGTTTGTTTGCAGTATGAGTGTAAACGCAAGCAGCTCTATAAACCCGATGTGCTCAACAGCTGGATCGACCTGAGGAGCACCTACAGGGTAAACGCACAGTCACTTATTTTTTCACCTTTATTCTTTCATCCATGCTTATGGCTGTGCCAAAATAAAATTATATTATGATTTTGTGAATCTGTTTTTTCATTTCATATCTGCAAAACTCTTAAAGTTTACAGAACATTTCACTCGACCAATTTATGAACCCAAAGATTTTGACTTAATAGTAAAAACCAGGATGAGAGAGGGACTAGACTGTCAACTAGAAGAAAGTTCTAACTATTAAAGGATGAATTCAGTTACTAAATATTCTCTTATCTATTCAGCTCTGCTTATAAATTTACAAACCCTTTTTTTTGTTTTAGATGTTTTATGACAGGAAACCTAAAGGACTGAACGGGGCGCTCCAGGATCTAGGAATCCAGTTTTCGGGGAGAGAGCACTCTGGTATGAAAAAGGGAGATTTCTTCAAATTGTCTGTTAAATATCCTTTCTAGATGTAAAAAACGAGCTTGATCCAATCCCTCATTTTCCTTTTTATAATTTTACTCAGGTTTGGATGATGCCAGAAATACAGCTCAGTTGGCAGCGAGGATGATGAGGGATGGTTGTGTGATGAAGATCACCAGAAGCCTGGTGAAGGTGAGTGCTCGTCCGACACTGAACGCCAACTCCTAAATCCCCGGCCTGCTTCTGTCAAAGACGACGACAACGAGGAAATCTTTGTGACTGGAGCTGTTTATGACAGAAAGAGTGGAATTTTAAAGTTTATTATGAATATTTTACAAATAAAGAACCATTCAACTCAACTTCAGTTGATCACATATTAAAGGTTTTTAATTTTTTTTGTCTAAAAGTCTCTGATTACATCTTTTATCTCCTTCCTATAGACCCCATTAATGGTCAAACCCGTCTCTGGAACCACAGACAACAAAACAGAAAAACCCGACAGAGAGGAAAACACACTCAGCACAAACAAACTCTCATCATGTCAGCGTTCCTCAAACATCTGTCACATTAAAGCAGGTGTAGAAAAAGTTCCAAAGGATTCAGACACCAAGGAGGATTCAGGTTTGGTCTGTCAAAACCTGATCTCACCAAAGACACTACTGAACGGGACAACGACATTCTTATTGGGACACAGCAGGAGGTCTTTCACAGCAAAGTCAGTCGACAATAATTCCAGCAGCAGCAGCAGCCTCGTTCTGTGCTCGACTACTCTGGGCTGCCTTTCTAATCTTCCTCAGACAAACGCAGCAGCAATCGGGGAGGAAGAGGAAGGTGGAGAACTTTTAGTCGAGACAGAGGACAGGTGTGGGTCATATGATGATGGGGTTTTGGAGGGTGATACTGACTTTGTTAGCGATGCCGAGTATGTGTCTGGTGTTGACAGTGAATGTCAAGTGTGGGAGGAGCCTGAAGATACTCTCTCAGTGGGACATCATGTCACATTAAAAGACAACATAAGACAAATTGTAGGTTTCAAAAACAGCCGCAAGGAGATCAGAGAATCTCCAACAACGTCTTTAGGTGCAAATAACATGAGCTCCTACATTACGGTTTCCAGCACAGTTAAAGAAAGTGTGCAGCACTCGACAATCTCAGTGTCCAACTTTGAGTTTGCAGTGCCAAAACCTTTAAGCTCCAAATCAAACCAGCACAAACTAGGACCTAAAACCAGTGCACGAGTAGAAAAACAGTCCAACGGGTCCAATAAAAACTCAAACCTAATCACACCCTTTCTGGTTCGGCACAAAACCTTCATTCCAGAGAAGACCTCCACCCCTTATCCTTCATTCGCAAGACCCAATTCAAGTATCACCCGACCTCCAAATCACACTCTGAAATCTTCTTTCACCATCTACACTGACCCTGAAAATTCCTCCTCTTCCTCCATGTGTGGCTCTTTCAGCACCCCAAAGACAGCACCCCTCTCCTCCCTCTCGACAAACGCACCGCCTTCACGCACCGATCGGTCCTCCAGCTCTGAGACACTAAAGAGAGGGAGGAAAATCACATCCCCTCTGTGTGCATGCGGGCGCCGTGCCAAGCGTCAGGTTGTATCCAATGGTGGTCCAAACCACGGGAGAGGGTTTTACTGCTGTCCAGTCCGCCGGTCAGGAGGCGGAGGACAGATCAAGAAAGGGTGCGAGTTCTTCAAGTGGGAGTCAGCGCTGATGAAGAGCAGCTCGGTGTCTTCTCCTGCTGTCAGGTCCTCTGTCTCCCTCTGTCTCATGAGCTCAGCGCTGGGCTGTGGTCCACATCAGAGGTCAGGGATAAGAAAGAGCTGCTGACCTTATCATGGATAATTAACTTTGAAAAATAAGAGCTAAAGATACATTTTAGTATCAGAGGGGAAAACTGAGTGTTTATTTTACTCTGTTGATTTTCTCTTTGTCTCCTTATGGTTTTAATTTGCTCAAACTGCTCTCCTGAATTGATTTAATGAACTTGTCATCATGAAATATTGAACACAATTGAGTGTAACGCTGCTTGTTATGACATTTGTTCTTTTTAACACATCAACGTAAAACCAGTGTGAATGACCATGATAATTTATTCACTGAATTTGCTAATATGATCGTAGAGATGTGGTTTTTATTTTTGAAAAAATATGTTAAATCTCAGGTGTCATGTATTTAACAGTCAGTATGTTGTTTTGGACATGTGCTGTGGATACTTAATGAATTTAACCAATACATGTTTTATATTAATTTATATGGTAGTGTATTTCATTCACTTAAAAATATATATAACAGTATAGAGTGATCTATATCACAGCTAGATAACAATATTGAGTGGCTGTGATATAGAGTCATCTTTTTCACAGCCATCTATATCTATATGCTATAGAGTCATCTTTATCACAGCCATCTATATCTATATGCTCTATATGCTATAGAGTCATCTACATCACAACCATCTATAACAATATTGAGTGGCTGTGGTATAGAGTCATCTATATCACAGCCATCTATAACAGTATAGACTGCTTTGGTATAGAGTCATCTATATCACAGCCATCTATAACAATATTGATGGCTGTGGTATAGAGTCATCTATATCACTGCCGTCTAGAGAAACTACTATGATAAGCAGTAAGTGAAAAACAGGGCAAAAAGATTGGATGAATATCTTCATAAATCTGATAATTTCCCTCATTTCCTCATAGTTCAAACATCTTAGTTTAATTTTAGATGGTTTGGTACTTCACAGCTCTTTTTAGTCACTCTCTGTTTGTACAGGACGCTTAGAAAACGTTTCGCGAAGAGGCCGCAGACTTTTGTCCCTCGTCGGGCACCGTAGAGCTCCTCCAAAAACGTGCTGTGTTGTGAGTGAATGAGAGCGCTAACACTGAAACAGCTGCAGTTTAGAGATAAACACACTTTTAAACGGCTACATAGTGCCATTTTTGTTCACTCCAAGTGATCTTTGTAGAGCTGACCTCACCGCTGTTGAACTTCAAACGTGAGTTCACCGTAATTATTTAGCTAACGGCTAATAAAGCGTAGAGGGAATAACCAACAGAAGACGACAGTCCGCTTCACCGGAGCGAAAATCAGGGTCTGTAGTCTGTTAAAAGGTTCTTCTACTAACATGTCAGCCGTGCCAAACGAGTCCAGAAAGAGGAGCAAGAAGCGGTACGGGGGTGGGCAACCCAACAAGCGGTTTAAGAGCTCCTCATTGGAGGTGGGCATGGAGGGGATCCTCATCACCTGTAACATGAACGAGAGGAAGTGCACGGCCGAGGCCTTCAACCTGCTCAACGAGTACGCAGACCAGATCTACGGACCCGAGAAAGTGAGTCCAGAAGTACACACTTTATAGGGTCCAAGAGAGGAAGTCCAGGAGTACACACCTTATAGTATAAGAGAGAGTAAGTCTAGAAGTACACACTCTATAGGACTGAGCAAGTAGGTCCAGGAGTACACACTTGATGGGACCTGAGAGAGAAAGTCCAGGAGTACACACTTTAAAGGGTCCGAGAGAGTAAGTCTAGGAGTACACACTTTAAAGGGTCCGAGAGTGTAAGTCTAGGAGTACACACTTTAGAGGGCCTGAGAGGTCCAGGAGTACACACTTTATAGGACCCAAGAGAGTAAGTCCAGGAGTACACACTAAAGAGGGCCTGAGAGAGTAAGTCCAGGAGTACACACTTTATAGGACCAAATGAGTAAGTCCAGGAGTACACCCTTTAAAGAGTCTGAGAGAGTAAGTCTAGGAGTACACACTTTAGAGGGCCTGAGAGGTCCAGGAGTACACACTTATAGGACCCGATAGGTTCAGGAGTACACACTTTAAAGGGTCAAAGAGAGTAAGTCCAGGAGTACACACTTTATAGGACTCAAGAGAGTAAGTCCAGGAGTACACACTTTATGAGACCTGAGAGAGTAAGTCCAGGAGTACACACTTTATAGGACCGGAGAGGTCCAGGAGTACACACTTTATAGGACCGGAGAGGTCCAGGAGTACACACTTTATAGGACCAATAGAGTAAGTCCAGGAGTACACACTTTATCTGTTTGTTACTGCAGTCATCATGTAAGCGTGTTACTCTAAATCATATCTGCATGTCCAGTTTTGAAGTATTTAGCCTATAGGGTATGGCAACATCGGTTTATTAATGAAGTTCTACTCTCGTGATCCAAGTTTCAAGATAACAGTGAGAGTAGCAGCAAAGAAGAAGAGGAAGATGAGGAAGAAGATGTTGCTGAAGCTCTCAAGAAGGAAGTGTCACAGCTGCAAGCATCTGGAACCAAACAGGAGAGACGCTTCCAGGCTTGTGATAGCGGAGCGAACAACGTCATCTTCATCAGAACAAGAAATCTGGGTAAGACCTGTTGTTGGACGAACGAGTCTGACGTTTCATTCAGACATTTGGTGGTTGATAATGTTTTGGTTTTTTCACTCAGAATCTGACAAGCTGGTTCATCACATCCTGTCTGATCTTCACACCACAAAGAAGAAGAAGTCGAGAGTGATTCTTCGGATGCTGCCGGTGAGTGCTCAAACACAGCTGACTAACTGACTGTCTTCAGTGTGGTACATGTTATTTAGCAGACAGAGGCCGTTTTCGAATTCTCCTTCTATCCCAGCAGTACGCACTGATTCGCCATAAATTTAGTATGCAGTATGCAGTAGGCGAACAAATGCTAAATTTGCAGTATGCCAAAAATACCCGATACCGTGGTTATTTTTACCGTCATCAAGGAGGTTGACAATAACTGAATCATCAGCAAACTTTAAAATATGTCTAATTTTCCTGCTTCTCCTTATTCTTTATACTGTACGGTACGCCTGATGTTGACCACACACGGCGCGGTCCATCAGCCATGTTTCCATCACACAGCTGGACAGGCGGCTGGCATTAGAGGGGGTCTAAAGGAGGAGTTTGTATTAGAGGGTTTTTACTGGAGTTGTCAAACTACCAAAGAGACAAAGGGAAATAAGACCAAACGAAGGCGCCATCAGTTGACATGTTTAGCGAGGATTGGAACTTCTTTCATTAAGCAGGAAAATAGGACAACATAACTGACAACATAACTTTGCTGTGGCGCTTTGCTTGGGTCCTATGGTGCCGTGGTGAGAATCAATTGACGCCAGATCATCAAGTCATTGCATAGATAGATAGATAGATAGATAGATAGATTTATTGGTCCCTGTGGGGAAATTTGTCTTCACCAACTGTACATTACATAAAAGGACAAAAATGCACATCACACAGGCCAGACCTTAAGGAATAGACAACTAATGAGAAACACCCGGGCAGCAGCAATTGGCAACAAGCAGCAAGGAGGCAACAGGACAGATTATTCACCGGGGCCGACTATTCAGGGCATCTATAGCTGCCGGGACCAAGCTTTCCCTAAAGCAGGCCTTGCGAAACCTCAGGGTTCCCTACCTGCGTTTTGACAGAACACGTTTTGATGGTATTGGGCTAAAAAATCCAGAAAAAATCAAATTAAATCACATAAAAGATTTTTTTCAGTGCGTAAATAAATGGGCAACTCTGTAGTGTCTGTGCCATTTACCAGGGTACGATGGACTTTTCCATACTGGAAACCAGCTAAACTGGGCCAACCATACTACAGAATAACAGCCGACTTGCAGTCAGACTGCATACTACTATAGAACACAGTATACAGTATATACTGCATGCAGGAGTACTCATTAGGCCAATTCGAAAACAGCCACGGTGTTGCTGTTATATTATGCTCACCTGGATATGTCTAATCCTTGTTTTTGTCTCATCCAGGTAACTGGAACATGCAAGGCCTTCCAGGATGACATGGTGAAGTACCTGACCACTTACCTGGAACCTTGGTTCAAAACCCCCAACTGTGCTACCTACCAGATCACCTTCAAGGCTCGCAACAGCAGCCACAACAAAAGAGACGAGATCATCAAGTCTATTGCAGGTAGTGTTTGACTGAATTTATGATTGTAGGTCATGTGATCTGATCATTTAGCCAAACTGATTCACCTTCTTTACTGTTCCAGCTCTGGTGGGGAAGCTGAACCCGAAGAACAAGGTCGATTTGACCAACCCAGAACTGACAATCATTGTGGAGGTCATCAAATCTGTGTGCTGCATCAGTGTGGTAAAGGACTACACGCTGTTTAGAAAGTACAACGTCCAGGAAGTAGTAAAAGAGGACACACCAAAGTCCGATGTGACCACAGCAAAAACAGAAACAAATACAGCTGAGGAGAAAGAGAAATGTGTCACAGAGGAGACAAACGAAGAAGAGAAGAAAGGGAAGGATGAAAACGGTGACAAAAGTACGCCACAGGACGACAAGGAGGTCGATAAGGGTGAAGGTGACGAGAAGTGATGCTTTGGATTAGAGAAACTATCCGTTTATTTCATTACGTCATCTCAAGTTGCTTTGTATTATCGTGATTTTTTTCCAGGTTCATTACATTACTTGAAAAATAACATAGGCCAAAGCTGATCCCAACAGTTCTCCCTGTGTGATTGATTATTTCTCGTCTTCATAGAACTGTATCTAATGCCTCAGTTCCTCATTGATACTTATTTGACGTGTTCATTTTTAAAAGGCAGTGATATGTTGACTCCCCTGCAGCAATATTCCATCAACTCATGGCTGTTTGTTTTTTGTATTCAGAATTTCTGTAATTTTATTGGTGGAGGAGAGAGTTTTGTTCAGGAGTCTTTTTTGGTAACGTGTTTCTTTGAGCAGTCCCTGAATTAAAGCTCCATGTGTGTGTTTGACTCCCTTTCACTTCGTTACAGTCTCTTACATTTATGGTACAGCGTCAGATATTGTAAAGGAGACTGTGGATTAAAAGAAAAAAGCACAAACTTGATCAAATAAGTACTACATTTTTCTGCCTCACAGCCTAAGGATGCAGGTCATTTTACTGAATAATAGACCCTGAAAGGCAGCTTATCACAGACTGCAAAAATGACTATTTGAGCCTCAACATTAAAAACAGACAGTTATTTCTTTAAACCACAAGATGGAGCCAGTACCTTGTTATGCAGACAGACTCTATGGCATCTTGATAACTGGTTAAACTGCTGGATGTCTAATTGATCAATATATTTGATTAGTTTAGTGTGGTTCCTACAAAAATCCACAGTTATAGCAGTTATGGGGTCATTTTAGTCATTTTAATTGTGATTTTAATCTAAAATTTGGTCCGTGTATTTATACATATATATATACACACACATATACATATATATATATACTATTTTTCTTTTGCTTTAGTAACCCCTTTTCAGATCTCTGAATCAAAGAACCCCTATAAGAGATGACCATCTGTTGCTTAGAAAACTATATCTGGAATATCATCGATGTCATGCAGAAATCTCCAATCTTCTTTTTTTACCTTTTTTTTTTTTTCCTTGTTAGATCTGTGGATTTGTCCACCACAGACTTTGAATGAACAACAACGGACCTTAGAGAGAATATCATAAATGAAAACACATGAAACTGTGCTGAATGCTTAAGTTTATTATTATTTTGTTTTTCTCAAAGAAAAGCTGCAGTTTCAACATGTCCAAACATCTCAGAGCCACAATCACTCTGCTGTGAGACTAAAGTCTTCAAACCTGACGGGGATCACAGACTTTATCTTTGAGTCCAACAGGAAGTTTGATTTCCAAGAAAAGACGATCAAATCAAAGTTCTTGTTTAATAAAAATTAAGACCAACTAAACACACCGACTTTCCTTCACGCAGCGTCCTCCAGCCTCAGCTGAATCAAGACTTTGAGTCTCTATGAACCACGACCGTATTGACCTGAATATAGGAGCACCCTGATGATAAAACCTTCCTCCACGTTTCGACTCACTTTGAGGACTTTTTAAAGACCAAATCTAGTTTTTGTTTGGATGAAAAATAATAATAATCAATTGGACACAGTGACTGAAACAAGCTGAGTTGATGTTTTTAACATGTTTTGGTTCAAATAAAGTTTTTACTATCTTGAAATGACATTGTGACGGTGAAATGAAATAAAAAATGATCTGGTGTAAATGAAGAACCAACATAGTGTGACACAGACAGAGCATAGATCTATTGATACTAGATAAGCTGAACAGGACAGATCTGTTCACAATAGTTCTATCTTTAATGTTTCTGTAGTGTGAGCAGACTATGACATGAGCTGTCCTGGCTTCTGATTGGATCTTTACAGGTCAGCTGATGGCATTTACAGCCTCTGATTGGCTAATAACAGAAATGACACTTTGTTACTGAGATTAATCCATAAACCATCAGATTATTTTCATTTTGGAGGGCTGGGATCAGAAAGGTCTCTGAAAACACACCGATCTTCTCTGTGGGATAGAAAATCTTTGGAGTGTCACAGAAACACAAATTTATCTCCTGAAAGCTGACTTTCAGGTCTAATTTATGGTTTAATAATTGTGTTTGTTCATCCAAACAGGAGGGAATCGATTATTGATGAGCACAAAGATGATATGAGAACAAAAACATGTAAAGAGAGGGAAAATAATGTCTAATAATATAAAATAAGGTCAATTTACCTACAGACAATATTTACAATCATTTAAGAAAATTAAGAAGAAAACGGATGAATAAAAATAAGCAGAAGAAAAAATAAAAGCTCTTAAATTTCCTGCAAACCCCAAACCCTGTCCTCCTCCTCCCTTTACCTCCATCTCTCCTCAGTTCTCTTCCTCTCCCTTCAGTTTATATTCGGTCTCTAACGGTGTGAAGGAAAGAAAAAACCTTTGGGTTTAATCAGAACTTCTGACTGATCTTCTCTCACACATGGTATCAACTCCTGCTGCAGAAATATGAGGAAATAAATCAACTCCACCTCTTTATAGTTCCACTGGGTGGCGCTGCATCATGGTAAAAACAAAGTAATCCAATCAGTGTGTAAATTTATGATCATGTTTCCATCAACAGAACAAACCTGTTCAGACTGTTTGATCCCAGAATATGAGGGAAAATATCAAATATCCAGAGTCCAGGTCCTGAGCTGATCTCAGAGCAGGTCAAAGTGCAGCTCCCAGAGTCCTCTCCGCCCGCTGTTATTGGTCAGTCAGTCTCTTAGGAACACGGCCCAGTCAGAGACTCACCTCACCCTCACTGCTGCTGCCTCCACCTCTCTGATCATCAGGAAACAGATGATCTTCTCTTTAATCACTCTGACAGATGCTACTTCCATCTGAGGAGAGAAAAAAAGACGATCAGTGTTTCCACTCTGAGACTCACTTCATCAGTTTACAGACCAGCAGGTCTCAGTCCTGCTCAGACCAGAAGTGATGGTGTAAAGCAGCAGGTTTCCTCACAAATAAACCAACATCATCAGAATAAAGAAATCATTCCTGTCAAATGTGTTAAAGCTGATCGAACAAACCTGCTGTGAAAACAACAAGTATAAAGAACAGCTGTCTGTTTTCAGACTTAGAGGTCAAAATCAACAAGTTAGCAGAGAAATAAAGTCTGTGTTGAATACAGAGAACTATAAACTGGACTTCAGAGCAGAAACTGAACATTTCTGTTTCATTATGTCTCATTTCTACATTTGATCTGAAATATAGAGACGAGGAGACACTTTTTTCATCACTGACACTCTTACACTCCTGGTTTGATGATTTCTGTTCTCACAGCTTCACTAAAGAAATAATCCTCTGAGAGGGTCGAAGAGTCAGCAGGAAATACTGAATATCTGCTGTGATACTGTGTGGAGTGGAACAGGAGAGATCAGCACAGACTAACTCCAACTCTATACTGACTCCAGAGTCTCCAGTCTGTAGTCTGGACTCTTTTGAAGATCACACAGCAGCTTCACGTCTGAATCCTGCAGATTGTTTCCAAACAGCCACAGAGTTTTCAGATGAGAGGGGTTGGACTTCAGAGCTGACGCCAGAGAAGAACAGCTGATCTCTGTCAAACTGCAGCGACTCAACCTAAATAAAGAGGAAATAATGAGATTTTAGACAAAAATGATCCAGTTTGAAACCTGATGTCTTACATCTGTAGAGTTCAGGGGAAAGGTTTGGAAAGTATGAATCAAAGAAAGTGACGCTCCAAAGAGCTGAACCAAACAGGAAATAAGTCTGAAACAGTGAATTCAAAAACATATTAAATAGTGAAATGAAAAACTCAGAGACTTTTTTTACTGATTGTAGATGCAGCTCAAAAATTTCCAGAAAATGTCAGCGACTTCAGGACGGATGGGAAATAAAGGATGATCAGAATATTTAAACTTTGCTGAACCAAAAGTATCACGTCTTTGAGAGGTAAATATTTCAGTCTAAACACAGTAAGTCTTCAGAAAAGTGAAGATAAACCAGAAAATTCAGATTTTCACACAAAGATTCAAAAACGAAATTCAAAGTAACAGAGCTGGACTTTCATCAGAGTCAGAAACTAAACTCTGAGTTTTTTCTATTCCCTGATCTTGTCCTGAACAAAAGTTTGAATGGTTCTCGTCTGACAAATCTCCCCCTGCTTCTGTTTTCTGTCTGAATGAGCTTCTTGGTGTTTTTAGTGACTCTAAATTTATAAAGAATCATTATTACTTTAATAACTGTGATGAAAACAATGATGCTAACTGAAGCAACAACAACAACAACACAAGGAAACTGGGAGCCCAAGTTTAGTCCATGACTTTATCCTTATTATTGTAATGTGTCAAAAAGACTAATAAACACCTGTCACACTCAGGTCTGATATCAGTATGATATGGTTGTATTAAAAGAATATTGACTCATGAATATGTTCAAAATGTCTCTAAATCAAAAGAATCTCTAAGAAATCTAAATCTAAAAGTTTCTATCGGCAAGGTTTATGACCGAAGCTGCTGACTGATGGGACTTTAACACACCTTTGTTGTTGACAAAGTTTACTGTACGAAAAAGATGAGCTGTGTTCCTGAGCTGCATGGATGGTGAATTCACTGCATCCTTGAACATTTGAATGATTTAGAGACCGAGGAAGTAAACCCGTCAACATCACTGCAGTGATCATCTGAACCATTTATAAAATATCATCAACATCCAATCAACAAAATAACTCAGTTTTCCTCCATCTGTATCGGATTGATAATTCAATAAAAAAAAAACTCTGAATTTATGTGAGAAAGAAGAAAGTTCTGGAAATATTAAAGAATTCTATGAAAATTTGAATTGAGTTTAAAAAAATGAATAAACTTAAAAATCAACAACAGAAACTGACAAAGACTAAACTTACATCAGAGTCTCCAGTTTACAGTTTGGACTCTGTAGAAAGTCACACAGCAGCTTCACTCCTGAATCCTGCAGCTTGTTGTTACCCAGGTCCAGATGTCTCAGATGGGAGGGGTTGGACTTCAGAGCTGAGACCAGAGAAGAACAGCTGATCTCTGACAAACTGCAGTTATAAAGGCTGAAAAAAGAAAAAATCATTGAACCTCTGAAGAAACTGTTCCTCCGTTTCATGATTGAATGTTCTTGAGCTCCTGAAGGACATGGAGGAAGAACTTTTTCAGAGTTGATCTTGAGGAACTTTGTAAAATCCTATCTAAACTTTTTGAAGATCTCGAGAAATTTTAAGTCAAGGACATTTTAAAGAAACCTTTAGTGAGATCATGAGACACTAATGTGAGAAATCACAAAGGTTTTTTTGTAGTCCTGAATTCTTCATGAAGATGAAAATAGTCAGGAGTTTATTCAGGGGTCTGTCCGTCTGCTTTCAACAACTGCCAAACTACTCTTAAATAAACCAACAGATCATTGATCAGAGAGGTTTTTATGGACCAACTGGACAAGATGATGTTCATGTTCAACAAACTGAAGTAAAAAAATCTGGATCTGGTTTTTACACATGAACACGACAAAGAAGAAATTCAAGTTTTCAAGAGTTTCCAAATGAAATATCCAGAGTTGGATTAACTTTGTTCTTCAGGTTTCAATCTGCAGCTCATCATTTCTCTGACACTTCATTCATTCATTCATTCATTCATTAGTGATCACATTAATCGTGGATCAGTTCAATATCAGCCTTTAGTCTGTGCTGCTCCTGCCCTCTACAAGCATGTGTAATATTTGTGGGACTGATTTTCTCCTGCTTCCTTTCTCCATCCATCGTTCTCCTCAAAGTCAACTCTGAAATGTCAGATTTTTCAAACAGTTCGACCAAAGTTGATGGAAAAACCACAGAGAAAAATCTAAGGCAGCAGCTGTCACATCTTATTGTTAGATCAGAAGGAAATGGTGTCTCACTTCAGAGTCTCCAGTCTGCAGTTTGGACTCTCCAGTCCTGCAGAGAGAAGCTTCACTCCTGAATCCTGCAGATCGTTTTCACTTAGGTTCAGATGTCTCAGATGGGAGGGGTTGGACTTCAGAGCTGAGGCCACAACTTCACAGTGAGTCTCTGAGAGTCTACAATCCCAAAATCTGTAACACACATAAATATCAAACAATATTTAACTGAAGGGTAATTTGATGTTTCTCTTCAAAAACAACTCAAACATGATCTTTGGTTTGACAGACGGCCTGTTTTTAACCAGACAGATACTAATATCAGGACCACAGCCATGAGAGAAGACAGGAAGTCAAAGTTTAGAAGAAAAAAAAACTGTTCAGATGTTCAAGACAAATGACTCCATGACTTATTTTAGTCATTCTGTCCTCTAACAGTGTTGTCTTCATGTTAGTGCAGCTGGATCATTATGATTGTGTGAATTCTTGAGTTCTGGTTGGAGAAGGGGACTGAGAACCAGGTTTTTGGTCCTGGTATGTGATTGGTTAGTATCCAAAGTACCTCTTGGAGAATCAGTGCTCCTCTCAGTACTTCATGTTGATATCCTGCTGTAATGTAAGTCTTTCCATAGACACTGACCGATCAGAGGATGACTCACTGAATCACAGCAGCTCCTTTTTCTCTAATTGGTTCAACATAAAATCATTTTTTTAGCAGCTTAGAGCTGGTTTGACTCTGAACATTTGAAGAGTTGAAGATTTCTTTGTTTTCACAATGAAAGTTTTTTCTCCATGTAACATTCCCTTCAGCAGCAGAAACAAGTTTATAAAACCTGATGAATCCAGAGAGACCTTTAAGAGACAGAAACAAAGACCCACGGAACCTCTGTCTTTGGGCTCTGGTCATCTCTCTCGCTCTCTGTCTGTCGCTCTCTCTCTTTGTCTCTCCCTCTCGGCACATTATCGGCCAATACTTAAACCTGAAGAGCTGTGGTCAAAGTTGGGTTGAGGTTATTTGAACTCTAGGGGGCGTACGTTCTCATGACTCCTTTTAAAATAACAGATTGAATTTTGCAAGTTTGTGTGCTTCATGCAGAAACAAACATTTGGAGTCAGGGGGAATAAAACAGATTCATCTTTGAACACGTTTTCTTCACTTTATTAAATTTTTGCTCTTAATCATGAAGTGAAGTATCAATAATGAGTCCTGATAATATCAACATGGAGGATCAATATGGGTACCTGTATTAATTTAACCTAATGACAGCCATGCTAATTATGGACTTCTCTGATCCCTAAAAAATTTGTTAGTCCATTTAGACCTGGTTCAGTCTCACAGACTCAGACCTGGATCAAACCCCAGTCTGCTTCAGTGTTTGTTCAAAGGCTGTTTCAGCAGAAGGCAGCAGTCTGACCAATTTACATCAATATCTTAAACAGAGGCATGCAGCTGAGTGGGAGAAATGTGACCACTACAGCCCACCAACACCTCAACATTAGAGGAATCATCTTCAGTCTGCATCACCATGACAACAAAGGGACACCATGGAAAACTGATGATGATGATGATGATGCAGTCACACTGCTTCTCCTTAGAGACATGGTGTCCCTATATACAGTGGAAGAGCACGGCTGTTTCCACATGCTATGAGGTGTTATGAGACAGACTAGTGTCAGTGCCAACCTGCAGCACCGAGGGCAAAGAGAGAGAGAGAGAGAGAGAGTCATTAACATCCTATTTCCACCATTGTTTTCAGACAGATGGAGCTGCTGTCCAAATAACTCATGCGTTCTCATCATGCATATGTTCTACAGCACCCCGTCCAATGCACTCATGCGCTGTTGGAGACCATTTGTCATGGGAACCTTCAACGCATGCACAGCAAGAGAAGAGGCGAGGCTGATACAGCTCGCACACTGTGCTGAGAAATGGGGAGTGGAGATCCTGAGGATCCAAGAACACAGAAGAGTGCACACTGACAACTGGATTGTGTACAGCAGAGTGGAGAGATGCACGTTCATCTCTCATCTCTCATCAGCGTGGCGAAATGAGGCCCACGCCGCAACAGGTGGTGTAGGGTTAATGCTGGGCCCCTGGGCGTGCAATGCTCTCCGTCGGGTTTACCAGCACACCGACAGGATTCTGAGCGCTGAGTTCTCGAGCAACCCAGTAACAACAGTCATAGTCGTGTACTCACCCACCAATGTGGCATCATCTGAGCAGGTGGAGATGCTCTTCGAGGACCTTGTAACAGCTGCCAGAGGCGTCCTAACGCACAACTTCCTGGCAATCCTAGGGGACTTCAATGCGAGGCTTGGACCAGAGGACGCACCCTTCCCTTACCACGACTCTACCAACCGCAACTGCGCCTACCTCACAGCCTTTCTGACAGAACACGAGCTACCGGTGGCAAACACCATGTTCCGGAAAAGAACAGGAAAGAGGTGGACCTTCCGAGAACGAGCCACGGGAACGCTACGGCAACTAGACTATATCCTAGTGAGGAAGAAGTGGAGGAACTCCACCATGAATGCAGAGCCATACAGCACCTTCAGTTCGGTAGGCTCAGACCACCGTGTGGTCTCCATGAGAGTTCACCTGAGCCTCAGGCTCCCCAGACCAAGTCCCAGAATCCGGTATGACTGGAAAGCTTTCTCTAGTGACCCTGGCCTTCAAACCAGATACACGGAGGAGGTGAGGAAACGATAACAGCAGCTGGACAAGGGAGCGGAGCCCAGTGGCAAATACAGAAGATTCGTCATTGCAAACGAGGAGGCAACCAGGCTGTGTGTGCCCATGATGGAAAGAGTTAGAACCCCTCTGCGATCCAAGCACCCAGAGGTCATAGCAGCACAGGGGAAGGTGGAGGAAGCCCGCCTCAACTTTGAGTGGGAACCAACTGCGGAGAGGTGTGGGGAGCTGAATGAAGCCAAACAGTGTCTTTTCAGCACATATGACACCATCAAAGGGGAGGAACTGATGGAGAGAGTATGGAGGGTGCAGGAAGTGCAAGGTGTACAGCAATATGGGGAGACCTGGAGGGTCATCAATGAAATGACAGGGCGGAAGAGAACCAAAGAGGGACAGGTGGAGGGACACAGCCCTGAGGAGTGGGTGACCACCTGGACCAGCCACTTCCAAAGGCTGCTGGGAGCAACAGCAGATACAGCAGGGGAAGAAGAGGTACCACCAGTCCTCCAAAACCTCAACATTGAAGATGGTCCCTTCACACTCGGAGAGCTCGCCGGGGCGAAAACCACAGTGAGAGTGGGAAAAAGTGCTGGTCCAGATGGCATGCCCCCAGAGGTCCTGAAGAACTGTGATCTCAGCGACATCATCCTAGAGTTCTGCAACCTTACTTTGCTGCACAATGGGCTGCCTGACATGTGGTCTCTATCGAACATCGTCCCAGTGCCCAAAGCCAGACAACTACCAACGCATCAGCCTGACATGCATCACTGTGAAAGTCCACAACCGCATGATACTAAACAGGGTCCGGCACACAATCGACCCTCACTTTAGGGAGAATCAGAACGGTTTTCTACAGCCCAGATCCTGGCACTTAGGCGAATGATTGAGGAGGTGAAGAAGGACAACCTGACTGCAGTCCTATGCTTTATAGATTTCAAGAAGGCATTTGACTCGATCCACTGAAGCATGATGGTGAAGATCCTGAAGGCATACGGTATTCCTCCCAACCTTCTCCAAGCAATAGAGACCATGTATGCAGGAACAAGGGCCAAGGTGGTGACCCCAGATGGCAACAGCGAGGAGTTTGACATCCTGGATGGGGTTATGCAAGGGGACACACTAGCCCCTTTCCTCTTCATCATTGTCCTTGATTATGTACTCAGGAAGGCAATCAGTGGGCGAGAGCAGGGACTTGGCTTCACGCTAACACCAAGGAGGTCGAGGCGACACCCTGCAGTGGTCCTCACAGACCTTGACTATGCGGATGACATAAGTCTGCTCTCCAACAACGTGGAACAAGCACAAGAACTACTGAACAGGATAGAGCTAGAGTGCACCAAGGTTGGCCTTAGGCTAAATGCAAAGAAAACTGAGGTCATCACCTACAACATTCCACCAGAACAGCAACCTCTGACTACAGCAGGAGGCACTGTGCTGAAAGAAGTCGAGGACTCCAACCCTGGAGAAATCCCTAGATGGGTGCTACACCAGGATGTTGCCTGCAGTGATTAATATCAGAAAGAACACACATGTAACCAACGGAACACTGTACGAGGGAATACCAAGGGTGAGCGAGAAGATTGCTGTAAGGAGAATGAGACTAGCAGGACACTGCCAAAGGCATCAGGAACTGCCAGCCAGCAAATTGGTGTTGTGGTAACCAACACATGGGTATCGGTCTAGAGAACGTCCTACACTAAGATACGTGGACACACTCAAGAAGGATGCAGGAGCTCAGAGTACCAACGAATTGGCGAGATGAATGGAGAATCAGGATGACTGGAAGCAACGATGGAAGGCTAGTATGAGGATGACCTACAGAGATATGTTCTAGTCCACCATATATTATCCAGTGAGTGGTGGAAAATGATGTTAGTTTTCATGGTTGTATTGATTATGAATATTGAATGATGAACATGATGGTACAGAGACAGTTCTGCCACTGTGTAGAAAATGATCCAGTTCTATTTTCACCATCAATGCTGTCAACACCCTCATTTACAACAGATTCATCATTTCCAACCTGAAAACCAGCAGGAAGAAGCTGCAGACACCTTCTTCAAACTCAAGTTCACCACAATTGACTGAGATGTTAATTTGGACTGGACTGATATCATCTTCAGAAGACCTCTGTGTGTCCTCAGATATGGTCGCTGATTTGTCCTGAAAGTTTGACTTTATTCATTACAGACATGATTACAAACAAAGAGGTCCTCCACAGTTAGGACAAGTTCTCAGGGGTCCACAGGTAGACCTCATCCTGGGCTAACGGGACTTTAGACACCAGGATCATGTTTTTGCTAAAGAAACCCCCTCCCTGTTATTTGAGAGGATTTCTATTTGAAGAAGAACATCAACAGTAACGTGGACATTAGAAGAACTACAGGGATCATTTACACTATTCTGAGAATAAAACCTGGACTTACACGGCCTCTCTGCAGTTCCTCACAGCTGGGATCAGTCTCTGTTTTCCCTGGTTTGATGTGTTATAATTATATAAGTTCAACTCATCCAGAACCTCCTCTGACATCTGCAGCATGTAGGCCAGAGCAGAGCAGTGGATCTCTGAGAGTTTCTTCTCTGATCTGTTCTTTGACTTCAGGAACTTTTGAATCTCCTGATGAACTGACAGATCGTTCATCTCCATCAGACAGTGGAAGATGTTGATGCTTCTGTCAGGAGAGATATCTTTACTGTTCATCTCCTTCAGGTTGTTGATGACTCTTTGGATCATTCCTGGACTGTTGTCTGTGTGACCCAGCAGACTTCCTAAGAGTCTCTGGTTTGACTTTAGAGAGAGTCCATGAAGGAAGCGAACAAACAGGTCCAGGTGACCGTTTTTACTGAGAAGGGATTTTATCATGACTCTCTTCAGGAAGACATCCAGAGATGGACCACGGCTCAAAGTGACCTCAAAAAAACTCATGAAACGTTCACGAATACACTTTGGTTCTGGGTCAGTGTACTGGTGTCCTTTTAGGAAAGTATTCAGAACTTCTGTGTTCCTGTTTGTGAAACTGTGGATCATGTAGACTGCAGACAGAAACTCCTGAACACTCAGATGAACGAAACAGTAAACAGTTTTCTGGAAGATCACACTCTCTCTTCTGAAGATCTCTGTACAAACTCCTGAGTACACCGAGGCGTCTGAGACATCCAGACCACACCGCTCCAGGTCTTCTTGGTAGAACATGATGTCTCCTTTCTTCAGATGTTCAAAGGCCAGCCTCCCCAGCTTCAGGAGGACTTCTCTGTCAGCCTCAGTCAGCTCCTGAGGACTTGTCTCATGTCCTCCTCCATACTTCTGCTTCTTCCTCTTAGTCTGAACCAGCAGGAAGTGTGAGTACATGTCAGTCAGGGTCTTGGGCAGCTCTCCTCTCTGCTCTCTGCTCATCATGTCCTCCAGAACTGTCGCAGTGATCCAGCAGAAGACCGGGATCTGACACATGATGTGGAGGCTCTTGGAGGACTTGATGTGTGAGATGATTCTTCTGGACAGATCTTCATCTGTGAACCTCTTCCTGAAGTACTCCTCCTTCTGGTCGTCAGTGAAGCCTCGTACTTCTGTTACCCTGTCCACACGTGAAGGAGGGATCTGATTGGCTGCTGCAGGTCGAGAAGTTATCCAGATGAGAGCTGAGGGGAGCAGGTTCCCCTTGATGAGGTTTGTTAGCAGAACGTTCAGTGAAGACTTCTGTGTGACGTCAGACATGACCTCAGAGTCTGTGAAATCCAGAGACAGTCTACTTTCATCCAGACCGTCAAAGATGAACAGAAGTTTACAGACAGCCAGCGTCTCTGCTGTGACCTTCTCTAGGGTTGGATGGAAAACATGGAGCAGACTCAGAAGACTGAAGCGCTCATCTCTGATCAGGTTCAGCTCCCTGAATGAAAGCAGGACCACCAGATGGAGGTCTTGGTTCTCCAAACCCTCTGCCCAGTCCAGAGTGAACTTCTGTGCTGAGAAGGTTTTTCCAACCCCAGCCACGCCGTTGGTCAGAACCACTCTGATGACCTTCTTCTGTTGGTCAGGTAAGGTTTTAAAGATCTCATGACACTTGATGGGTTCGTCATGGAGGGTCTTCATCTTTGAAGCTGTCTCCAGCTGTCTCACCTCATGTTGGGTGTTCACCTCTTCACTCAGTCCCTCTGTGATGTAGAGCTCAGTGAAGATCCTGTTGAGGAGGGTTTGACTACTTCCTGTTTCATCACTTCCTTCATTCACACGTTCACATCTCCTCTTCAGACTGATCTTATGTTCATCTAAAACCTCCTGCAGACCGTGATCTTCTGAAAGAGAAGAAAAATAAAATGAACCAAACTTCTCAACACTAAAACGTCAGTGAAAAATCAGTCAGCTGTGTTGTCATCCACACAGACTTTTCCTCCGAGTGCTCTTTAAATTACTGTAACTTTGCAATAGCTTGTGCTTTCAGAAAAACTGCAATGGTTTCTGAAAGCGAAGAAGTTGTGCCACATAGCCAATATACAGTTATTATGGTAATTTCACCCCTGCTGTTTAGGGAAGTAAGAAAATCTGTCCCTCCGTCCCCTCTCCCCCTCTCAAGCGGATAGACACACAACAGAGTGTAGAAATGGAGCAAAAAGAAAGAGGAAGTGACAAAAAAGCGATTATTTCAAAGGAAAATGACTGGAATACAACCCTTCCGGGTTAGAAAACCTCCACTGAGGTTTACAGACGACTTTGAGACCGATGGAGCAGCTTTCAGAGCAACTTCAGACAAAGAAAGGTAAAGTTTGACGGGTTGATTTTCTGTGTGGGTTTCTGGATGAATGAAGCGCTCTCTGTGTAGTTTTTAGTTTATTTAAGTTTTTTGTTGACCTGCGACTTGACCTAAATGTGGCGCATGCATTATTTGGTGACTTTTTTAGTGTTGTGTTGAAAGTTGAGTTTGTTTGCAGAGTGTGCCATTCTTTGTTTGTGCTTGAGCAGCTGTCGTCAAGAGGCACATCTGGGAGAGAGAGAGAGAGAGAGAGAGAGGAAGATGCCACACTCAGTATTGTAGAGGGAGGAAAGGCCATGAGGATGCTGGAGGTTCTGGTGGTGCTGTGAGACAGCGAAGCCGCTCACTACATCATCCTTGATGAAATTCTGAAGCAGAACCTGATGATGGAGCCCCCCCACCCACTGAGGTTCAACCCAAAACCTTTCCCTGGTGCTTTCAGGAGGAGCTTGCTGCACATCTTCTAACAGTTTGTCTCCAGCAAGTGACAAACACCTACGTGTCCCAATAAGCCATGGACAGCTGGACAAGAACTAGCATGGGGAGACAACGCTGCAAACTCTGTCATAAGGAGAACTGCCTGGAAGTGTGAGGGGTGTGATGTGGAGCTGTGTCTGCAGCCAGAAAGGAACAGCTTCTGACAGTTCCACAAAGACCTCTGAGTGAGAGAGGAGTGTGTTTGCAGCCAGAGAGGAGAAAAGAAGAAGAAACGCCTGAACATAGTTGTATTTATTTAACCTGTTTTTGCACTTGGAGAGACAGAACTCCAAAGTTTTCATTGTAAATTTGTTTGTTCCTCTTCAAATGTCTGATTTCAAATGAAAAATCTGTTGTTCATGAATATTTTCTGTTTTTTCTCATTAAAACTCAAAAGATCTTATTCCATTTTTGTGTTTTTCTTTAACTTAAAATGATAAAGCACTCTTTTAACAGTAAATTGTACATGACAGCCAGATATTGAAAGTTCAAGGTGTTCTGGAAAAATGGGTAAAAATACTCACTTATAGGACATTTTCTGCCAATTTCATGGCTGGAGGTGTGTTCTAAAGAAAAAGATTGGTCCCTGCACGAGTGTCCACAGCGGGTAGAGACTGGATCCTTCAGGAAGTCCTGACATAAAGAACATCTGGACAGCTGCTCCTCCACAGAGTCACATCTCTGTGTCTCTCTGTGGAAATAAAGAACATTTATTTTCTTTATCATTATCATTTCATGTTTGAAAGATACAGCATTATTATATATTATATAAGTATTTATTAAACCAGAGTTTCTGACCTCACTCTTTTCTCCAACATAAAACAATCTCCTGTAAAATTTTCAGCAGCTACTGCCTCAAAGTGTGGAGACAGGAGAAAAAACTAAACTGATTTTTGAAGGTAGAGAGATTTTCTCTGACAGTTTAAAACATTTTTGACCAATCAGATCTAAAGGTCTAATAACTAGGGCCAATTCTAGCCCGTTTGAGACTAATTGGTAATCAGCCAAAACTCGCCAATTTTCACCGATATTTTCAGAAATAAAATGCGGAGAATAAGATTCAGTTTCACTTCGAAAATGTTTCGCCATTTGAAAAGATCCCCCAACTTATCCAGTAGATGGCGCAGCGACCTCATGACAATATTCATCCACTAACTACCTCACAGCGCAGCAGAGTGACGGATCTGAAGCAGGCAGCTCTTGAAAATGCTTGTCTGGTCCGAGTTTGATTCATGATAAATACGTGGACGATAATTAGTTGGTCTTCCTGTCGGCATGAAGAGCAGTAGCCTACAGTTTATCTACAGAATATATTTTTTATAACTTCAAAAAATCGGACCCCCCCCCCCCCCAATACTTGGTATCGGCCCCAAAAATCCATATTTGTCAGGCCCTACTAATAACAGACAGATGCTTTGAATGAGTTTCCATTTTTCAGGATTTATTTCTTCATTCCTCTTTTGGTATTTTCTGACCACAGACTGTTTTCTGGGGTCTATACACCACAGTCCAAAGACTTTCAGGCTCAAAATGTCCCAAACACAGGAACCAAATCAGAAAATACAGAGGTCAGAATCCTTTTCAAATGCTGTTTTATACGACCTTCATTTTTATAAACATTAGGGATAATAAGTAAATCTGAGCTCAGTGACTTTTTCTTTACTAGCCCTTTATCCAGGTCGACAGGTTCAACAGGAAAATTAGCATTTTTCTCACCATGGTCACAGAGGGGTCAGAATTAAGAGTTCTGTTTTTGAAACATCAATTGTTGGTGGTTGAAAAGTGTTTCTCTTACTGTGAATCTGACAGTCCTGGTTCTTTACTGAAGTTTAGAGGATCATCTTTAGACCGGTCACTCTTCATAGACAGACAGTCGGACATGACAGACTTTGCTCTGCCCTCCTCTGATGGTCCTGGTTCTTTACTGAAGTATAGAGGCTCATCTTTAGACCGGTCACTCTTCATAGACAGACAGTCGAACATGACAGACTTTGCTCTGCCCTCCTCTTCCTTGACACCATTTCTCATCTTCTCCATCTTCTGTTGTGCAAATTTATGGAAGATGAAACCAAGTTAAACAACCTGAGGACAAAGTAGACAAACAGGTGAGATACAAACAGGAAGAGTGTTCAGAAATAAAACAGGAATCAGAAACGAAGTAGAGTCTGAAAAAGCTTAATCCCCCTCTTTAAGAGTTAAACAGGTTTAATGTCCAAGTACTTCTGATGTCTCCTCACCCTGCAGGGTCTCTCTCTGATCCTTGTCTGATTCACGGTCAAAACAAAAATGGCTGTGAGGTCCCTGAACTCTCATAAAAAATCTAAACGGACTGGATTAAATTTGAAATGAGCCTCTAAATGAAAATATTCTCATTTTTGTTTTTACTAAAAAGACAAGTCTAAACAAAGAGGAGGAAGAACTGCACGTACACAGTTTCCTGTATGAAGAACTGATCCAGCTCTTTGTCTAGTCAGGTTTCTTTGTTTTACAGTTTTAAGTGTTTTAGTCAGTAAATCATTTTTCATTAACAGATGATACAGATAAAGAGTTTGACATTAAAACAAAAACAGAGTAAACACTCACCCTGTCTCCTCGTCCTCTCCTCTCTCTGCTCTGTTCTTCTCTCAAAATGGAGTCTGTTTAACTCACATACTTTCACTTTCACTGTTTTCACTGAAACCTAAACCACCAGATCACAGACTCTTCTCCTCATTTACTGACAGTTTTTGATCATCTTTTAAGTTCAGTATTCTTGACAATCATCTTCCTCTCCTGAGTCCACATTAAAATAAGTTCACTAAAAGAGGAACTTGGATGGTTGAGTCTCAGTTTATTTTTAATGCAGCAGCTTCACCTGCTGGTTAAGCCAACAAACTACCAGATGAGCACTCCTCTTCTCATACCCCAAATAAATGTGAATATTTTGTTGAACAGGTTTTTATTTTTTTTGCACGAAGTGTGATTGTGTTGTCACTACACAAACTCCTCCTTTACCTAACTTTACAAAGATCACTGTCCAACATCATATTCAGTGTAGGAGCCAAATATGTTGATGTGATATCATACAATGAGCTGCAGTTCACTTTGTATATCTGTCTCCATACACCCAGCACGAGTAAAATCATTCACGCGAATGAATTACATGTTAAATTCATGTTAAAACGCGATTAGACGCTCGTACTACTCTGGCGGCGCGAATGACGCGAATTGGGCGGAAGTTGAATAAACCGTCCCCGGTTGATTTATGGTCTGACTCTCCGACTGATGTTTCACAAAGTTTTAATTTTTTTTATTAATGGTTCCTTTAAACTTCCATGAACAGTGTGAACACACTGTAAGAGCTAGAGAAAACAATAAGAACAATATACTGCATGCAGGAGTACTCATTAGGCCAATTCGCAAACAGCCACAGTGTTGCTGTTATATTATGCTAATCCTTGTTTTTGTCTCATCCAGGTAACTGGAACATGCAAGGCCTTCCAGGATGACATGGTGAAGTACCTGACCACTTACCTGGAACCTTGGTTCAAAACCCCCAACTGTGCTACCTACCAGATCACCTTCAAGGCTCGCAACAGCAGCCACAACAAAAGAGACGAGATCATCAAGTCTATTGCAGGTAGTGTTTGACTGAATTTATGATTGTAGGTCATGTGATCTGATCATTTAGCCAAACTGATTCACCTTCTTTACTGTTCCAGCTCTGGTGGGGAAGCTGAACCCGAAGAACAAGGTCGATTTGACCAACCCAGAACTGACAATCATTGTGGAGGTCATCAAATCTGTGTGCTGCATCAGTGTGGTAAAGGACTACACGCTGTTTAGAAAGTACAACGTCCAGGAAGTAGTAAAAGAGGACACACCAAAGTCCGATGTGACCACAGCAAAAACAGAAACAAACACAGCTGAGGAGAAAGAGAAATGTGTCACAGAGGAGACAAAAGAAGAAGAGAAGAAAGGGAAGGATGAAAACGGTGACAAAAGTACGCCACAGGACGACAAGGAGGTCGATAAGGGTGAAGGTGACGAGAAGTGATGCTTTGGGTTAGAGAAACGATCCGTTTATTTCATTACGTCATCTCAAGTTGCTTTGTATTATCGTGATTTTTTTCCAGGTTCATTACATTACTTGAAAAATAACATAGGCCAAAGCTGATCCCAACAGTTCTCCCTGTGTGATTGATTATTTCTTGTCTTCATAGAACTGTATCTAATGCCTCAGTTCCTCATTGGTACTTATTTGACGTGTTCATTTTTAAAAGGCAGTGATATGTTGACTCCCCTGCAGCAATATTCCATCAACTCGTGGCTGTTTGTTTTTTGTATTCAGAATTTCTGTAATTTTATTGGTGGAGGAGAGAGTTTTGTTCAGGAGTTTTTTTTGGTAACGTGTTTCTTTGAGCAGTCCCTGAATTAAAGCTCCATGTGTGTGTTTGACTCCCTTTCACTTGGTTAGAGTCTCTTACATTTATGGTACAGAGTCAGATATTGTAAAGGAGACTGTGGATTAAAAAAAAAGCACAAACTTCAGTACTAAATTTTTCTGCCTCGCAGCCTAATGATGCAGGTCATTTTACTGAATAATGGACCCTGAAAGGTAGCTTATCACAGACTGCAAAAATGACTATTTGAGCCCCAACATTAAAAACAGACAGTTAATTCTTTAAACCACAAGATGGAGCCAGTACCTTGTTATGCAGACAGACTCTGGCATCTTGATAACTGGTTAAACTGCTGGATGTCTAATTGATCAATATATTTGATTAGTTTAGTGTCATTCCTACAAAAATCCACAGTTATAGCAGTTATGGGGTCATTTTAGTCATTTTAGTCGTGATTTTAATCTAAAATTTGGTCCGTGTATTTATACATACATATAAACACATATACATATATATATATATATATATATATATATATATATACATTTTTTTCTTTTGCTTTAGTGACCCCTTTTCAGATCTCTGAATCAAAGAACCCCTATAAGAGACGACCACCTGTTGCTTAGAAAACTATATCTAGAATATCGTTGATATCATGCAGAAATCTCCTATCTTCTTTTTTTACCTTTTTTTGTTAAATGTGTAGATTTGTCCACCACAGACTTTGAATGAACAGTAACCTACCTTAGAGACAAAATCATAAATGAAAACACATGAAACTGTGCTGCATGATTAATTTTTTTGTTGTTTCTCTCAGAGAAAAGCTGCAGTTTCAACATGTCCAAACATCTTAGAGCCACAATCACTCTGCTGTGAGACTAAAGTCTTCAAACCTGACGGGGACCACAGACTTTATCTTTGAGTCCAACAGGAAGTTTGATTTCCAAGAAAAGACGATCAAATCAAAGTTCTTGTTTAATAAAAATTAAGACCAACTAAACACACCGACTTTCCTTCACGCAGCGTCCTCCAGCCTCAGCTGAATCAAGACTTTGAGTCTCTATAAACCACGACCATATTGACCTGAATATAGGAGCACCCTGATGATAAAACCTTCCTCCACTTTTTAAAACTCACTTTGAGGACTTTTCAAAGACCAAATCTAGTTTTTGTTTGAATGAAAATAAGATTTTTTGGACACAGTGAAAGAAACAAGCTGAGCTGATGTTTTCAACGTTTTGGTTCAAATAAAGTTTTTATTATCTTTAAATGACACTGTGACAGTGAAATGATATAAAAAATGATCTGGTGTAAATGAAGAACCAACATAGTGTTACACAGACAGAGCATAGATCTATTGATACTAGATAAGCTGAACAGGACAGATCTGTTCACAATAGTTCTATCTTTAATGTTTCTGTAGTGTGTGCAGACTGTGACATGTGCTGTCCTGGCTTCTGATTGGATCTTTACAGGTCAGCTGATGGCAGATACAGCCTCTGATTGGCTAATAACAGAAATGACACTTTGTTACTGAAATTAATCCATAAACCATCAGATTATTTTCATTTTGGAGGGCTGGGATCAGAAAGGTCTCTGAAAACACACCGATCTTCTCTGTGGGATAGAAAATCTTTGGAGTGTCACAGAAACACAAATTTATCTCCTGAAAGCTGACGGTCTCACAAAGCCAGTGGATTTTACAGGAAGTCACTCCACTGTAGCATCAATTTATGAAGCTGAGATTGTAATCAACAACACTGAGTTTATAAAACAGCATCGACCACGTTAGTGACCTGAATAGATGCTGTTTTATAAACTCCATTAACAAAACAAACCTGTTCAGACTGTTTGATCCCAGAATATGAGGGAAAAGATCAAATATCCAAAGTCCAGGTCCTGAGCTGATCTCAGAGCAGGTCAAAGTGCAGCTCCCAGAGTCCTCTCCGCCCGCTGTGATTGGTCAGTCAGTCTCTCAGTAACACGGCCCAGTCAGAGACTCACCTCACCCTCACTGCTGCTGCCTCCACCTCTCTGATCATCAGGAAACACATGATCCTCTTCTTAATCACTCTGACACATGTCACCACCATCTGAGGAGAGAAAAAAAAGAAAATCAGTGTTTCCACTCTGAGACGCACTTCATCAGTTTACAGACCAGCAGGTCTCAGTCTCAGATGGTGTAAAGCAGCAGGTTTCCTCACAAATAAACCAACATCATCAAAATAAAGAAATCATTCCTGTCAAATGTGTTAAAGCTGATCGAACAAACCTGCTGTGAAAATAACAAGTATAAAGAACAGCTGCCTGTTTTCAGACTTAGAGGTCAAAATCAACAAGTTAGCAGAGAAATAAAGTCTGTGTTGAATACAGAGAACTATAAACTGGACTTCAGAGCAGAAACTGAACATTTCTATTTCATTATGTCTCATTTCTACATTTGATCTGAAATATAGAGACGAGGAGACACTTTTTTCATCACTGACACTCTTACACTCCTGGTTTGATGATTTCTGTTCTCACAGCTTCACTAAAGAAATAATCCTCTGAGAGGGTCGAAGAGTCAGCAGGAAATACTGAATATCTGCTGTGATACTGTGTGGAGTGGAACAGGAGAGATCAGCACAGACTAACTCCAACTCTATACTGACATCAGAGTCTTCAGTTTGTAGTCTGGACTCTTCTGAAGATAACACAGCAGCTTCTTGTCTGAATCCTGCAGATTGTTGAATCTCAAGTCCAGATCTTTCAGATGGGAGGGGTTGGACTTCAGAGCTGAGGCCAGAGAAGAACAGCTGATCTCTGTCAAACTGCAGCCACTCAACCTAAATAAAGAGGAAATAATGAGATTTTAGACAAAAATGATCCAGTTTGAAACCTGATGTCTTAAATCTGTAAAGTTTGGGGGAAAGGTTTGGAAAGTCTGAATCAAAGAAAAGTGACGCTCCAAAAAGCTGAACCAAACAGGAAGTAAGTTTGAAACAGTGAATTCAAAAACACATGAAATAGTGAAATAAAAAACTCAGAGAATTTTTTACTGATTGTAGATGCAGCTCAATACTCTTAATATCAGCGACTTCAGGACGGATGGGAAATAAAGGATGTTCAGAATATTTTCACTTTGTTGAACCAAAAATATCACGTCTTTGAGAGGTAAATATTTCAGTCTAAACACAGCAAGGCCTCAGAAAAGTGCAGATAAACCAGAAAATTCAGATTTTCACACAAAGATTCAAAAACAATCAAAATTCAAAGTAACAGAGCTGGACTTTCATCAGAGTCAGAAACTAAACTCTGAGTTTTTTCTATTCCCTGATCTTGTCCTGAACTAAAGTTTGAATGGTTCTCGTCTGAAAAATCTCCCCCTGCTTCTGTTTTCTGTCTGAATGTGCTTCTCACTGTGAACTCTACAAAGAGTTTTCTTCTTGGGTTCAGGTTTTAATTCACTGGAGCTCAGCAGTGATCGAACTGGAGTCAATCAAATAATCCACTGATGCAGAAAATCTACTCTGGACTGAAGGTGTTCAGTCTGGGTCAGTATTTCAGTCCTGAGTCAGCAGTTTAGTGTCATCACCCCATCAAATCATGATCATGTTTGAACGGAGGGAAAAAGTCTGACCACAGAGTCTTCAGTTTAGAGTTTGGACTCTGCAGAAAGTCACACAGCAGCTTCACTCCTGAATCCTTCAGATTGTTGCCGCTCAGGTTCAGATGTCTCAGATGGGAGGGGTTGGACTTCAGAGCTGAGGCCAGAGAAGAACAGCTGATCTCTGACAAACTGCAGTTATACAGTCTGAAAAAAGAAAAGAGAATGAAGATAAAAATAATTATTAATCAAACTTCAGGTGTTCAGGTTTAAAATATGGAGCTTAGAAAACTCCAACAGGAGACCTTTGGACCAGATCCAGTCTGTCAGAGCTCATGATCTGGTCTGCTCTGACCCTCCATGTAAAATAACAGACAAGACATCAAATGTGATGGAGCACTGGTTTGGATTAGTCTCCAAACCAGTGCTCTCTCTCTCTCTGTCTGTGTCTTTCTGTCTGTGTCTCTCTGTCTGTATTTGTGTGTCTGTCAGTGTAAATTCAGGCGTCTGTGTTTCTAACTGTCAGAGCAGATCTTTCTCGTTTCCTTCTCATGAAAACTCAAACCTCATATACTGACCGATTAAACTCATTTAATGAAAAATTGATTTTTTTCAGATTTGGTTTGTTTGATGTTTTTTGTGACATGATCAGAGGACATCAAGGATTATGAAAAAGTGATAAAAATGGGTATGAAATTTTGATGGCAGGTCCCTTTTAAAGAGACACACAGACGTCATGAAGCCTGATCTAATGTCTGCCACCGCTGTCTTTTTCTTAGGAAGTTTGGTTGAATTCACTCCAGCATGTCCTCTAGACATGAAAACATCATCAACATGAGTCAACTCTGCATGAGAGGTGGACACCTGAATTTTCCAACCACTTCAAAGTTTGTATCCTGGACTGTTTGGATGAAATCTCTGCTAACAGCTGATTGTTGTTGTTGTGAGGATGTGCTCACAGGGTCTGGTCTGTGCTGAGGAGTTATTCAGGGGGTTGAAATGACGGAGCTCTGACAGCAGGATTTCTGACTGAAGCTGCTGACAGATGGGACTTTAACACAAAAATTGAAATTAAGTTAAATTAAACAAAAATCTACACAAAAAAACAGACAAAGACTAAACTTACCTCAGAGTCTCCAGTTTACAGTTTGGACTCTGCAGAAAGTCACACAGCAGCTTCACTCCTGAATCCTGCAGATTGTTAAAACCCAGGTTCAGATGTCTCAGATGGGAGGGGTTGGACTTCAGAGCTGAGACCAGAGAAGAACAGCTGATCTCTGACAAACTGCAGCTGCTCAGTCTGGAAAAAAAGAAAAAATCATTGAACCTCTGAAGAAACTGTTCCTGCTTTTGATGATTCAATGTTCTTGACCCCTGAAGGTCATGGAAGAAGAACTTTTCCAGAGTTGATCTTGAGGAACTTTGTAAAATCCTCTCTAAACTTTTTGAAGGTCCCAAAAAAATTTTAAGAAAACTTTAGTGAGATCCTGAGACACTAATGTGAGAAATCTCAAAGGTTTTTTTCTGTAGTCCTGAATTCTTCATGAAGATGAAAATAGTCAGGAGTTTATTCAGGGGTCTGTCCGTCTGCTGTCAACAGCTGCCAAACTACTCTTAAATAAACTAACAGATCATTGATCAGAGAGGTTTTTATGGACCAACTGGACAAGATGATGTTCATGTTCAACAAACTGAAGTGAAAACTGCAGAAAAATCTGGATCTGGTTTTTACATTTGAACACGACTGAGCAAAGAAGAAATTCAAGTTTTCAAGAGTTTCCAAATGAAATATCCAGAGTTGGATTAACTTTGTTCTTCAGGTTTTAATCTGCAGCTCATCATTTCTCTGACACTTCATTCATTCATTAGTGATCACATTAATTGTGGATCAGTTCAGTAACAGCCTTTAGTCTGTGCTGCTCCTGCCCTCTACAAGCATGTGTAATATTTGTGGGACTGATTTTCTCCTGCTTCCTTTCTACATCCATCGTTCTACTCAAAGTCAACTCTGAAATGTCGGATTTTTCTTCCTGTGTTGAAGTTTAACAACGACAAATTCAAACTGCTCGACCAAAGTTGATGGAAAAACCACAGAGAAAAATCTAAGGCAGCAGCTGTCACATCTTATTGTTAGATCAGAAGGAAATGGTGTCTGACCCCAGAGTCTTCAGTCTGCAGTTTGGACTCTCCAGTCCTGCACACAGAAGCTTCACTCCTGAATCCTGCAGTTTGTTTACACTCAGGTCCAGATGTCTCAGATGGGAGGGGTTGGACTTCAGGGCTGAGGCCACAACTTCACAGTGAGTCTTCGAGAGTCCACAGTATGAAAGTCTGTAACAACATTAATATCAAACAATATTTAACTGAAGGGTAATTTGATGTTTCTCTTGAAAAACAACTCAAACATGATCTTTGGTTTGACAGACGGCCTGTTTTTAACCAGACAGATACTAATATCAGGACCACAGCCATGAGAGAAGACAGGAAGTCAAAGTTTAGACGAAAAAAAAAACTGTTCAGATGTTCAAGACAAATGACTCCATGACTTATTTTAGTCGTTCTGTTCTCTAACAGTGTTGTCATCATGCTAGTGCAGCTGGATCATTATGATTGTGTGAATTCTTGAGTTCTGGTTGGAGAAGGGGACTGAGAAGAACCAAGTTTGTGGTCCTGGTAGTAGATACAGCATCTGAGTTTACGGTGAGGGCTCAGAGGGCTCGATGATAAGGTTTATGGAAAACCTGCTGACCACGGAGCTGGCTCTCCGCGACGGTATGTCCCTGCAGATTCAGCGAGCTCATAGGGACCTGACATTACACCTCGGTCTATTGTGATAAACTTTCAGCAGTCTGACGTCAAAGAAACGGGATTGAAGTTGGCTTAGAAAAGAAAATCCACCTTAACAACAAACAGTTTTCTTTGATCATGATTATGCATACGAAGTGATGGAAAAACGCAGAGCCTACGGGGAAATAAAAAAAGTGCTGAGAGAGAAAAAGGCATTCGATTACAAACCCCATTCACGTGGATCTCGATTTACTGAAGCACCGGCCCACACACCTACGAAGACACACACCAAGCCGCACAAGAGCTACGGGCACACGAGATTGCGGTGCCCGCTGCCAAAGAGGATCCAGCCCCCAACTTAGAGGAGAGGATTCTGAAGGCGTTCCCATGGCAACGGGCATAGACATTGCATTTCTACAAGAAAATCTGTACTAACCGAGCCTTTCTGCAGTTCCTCACAGCTGGGATCAGTCTCTGTCGTCCCTGGCCTGATGTCTTATACTTATATAAGTCCAACTCATCCAGAACCTCCTCTGACATCTGCAGCATGTAGGCCAGAGCAGAGCAGTGGATCTCTGAGAGTTCCTTCTTCGATCTGTTCTCTGACTTCAGGAACTCTTGGATCTCCTGATGAACTGACAGATCGTTCATCTCCATCAGACAGTGGAAGATGTTGATGCTTCTGTCAGGAGAGATATCTTCACTGTTCATCTCCTTCAGGTTCTTGATGACTCTTTGGATCATTTCTGGACTGTTGTGTGTGTGACCCAGCAGACCTCCTAAGAGTCTCTGGTTTGACTCCAGAGAGAGACCATGAAGGAAGCGAACAAACAGGTCCAGGTGACCGTTTTCACTGAGAAGGGATTTCTCCATGACACTCTTCAGGAAGACATCCAGAGAAGAATAAGAAACCATCTCTGAAGAAAACATTTTGTCTTCGTCTTCAGCTTCGTCTTTGTCTTCATCTTGGTGTTCCTCATCGTTGTCTTTTAGGAAAGTCTTCGGAGCTTCTGTGTTCCTCTTTGTCAAACTGTGGATCCTGTAGACTGCAGCCAGAAACTCCTGAACACTCAGATGAACGAAACAGTAAACAGTTTTCTGGAAGATCACACTCTCTCTTCTGAAGATCTCTGTACAAACTCCTGAGTCCACCGAGGCCTCTGAGACATCCAGACCACACCGCTCCAGGTCTTCTTGGTAGAACATGATGTCTCCTTTCTCCAGATGTTCAAAGGCCAGCCTCCCCAGCTTCAGGAGGACTTCACTGTCAGCCTCCGTCAGCTCCTGAGGACTTGTCTCATGTCCTCCTTCATACTTCTGCTTCTTCCTCTTAGTCTGGACCAGCAGGAAGTGTGAGTACATGTCAGTCAGGGTCTTAGGCAGCTCTCCTCTCTCCTCTCTGCTCATCATGTCCTCCAGAACTGTAGCAGTGATCCAGCAGAAGACCGGGATCTGACACATGATGTGGAGGCTCCTGGAGGACTTGATGTGTGAGATGATTCTTCTGGACAGATCTTCATCTGTGAACCTCTTCCTGAAGTACTCCTCCTTCTGGTCGTCAGTGAAGCCTCGTACTTCTGTTACCCTGTCCACATGTGAAGGAGGGATCTGATTGGCTGCTGCAGGTCGAGAAGTTATCCAGATGAGAGCTGTGGGGAGCAGGTTCCCCTTGATGAGGTTTGTTATCAGAACGTTCAGTGAAGACGTCTGTGTGACGTCAGACACCACCTCAAAGTCTGTGAAATCCAGAGACAGTCTGCTTTCATCCAGACCGTCAAAGATGAACAGAAGTTTACAGACAGCCAGCGTCTCTGCTGTGACCTTCTCTAGTGTTGGATGGAAAACATGGAGCAGACTCAGAAGACTGAAGCGCTCATCTCTGATCAGGTTCAGCTCCCTGAATGAAAGCAGGACCACCAGATGGAGGTCTTGGTTCTCCAAACCCTCTGCCCAGTCCAGAGTGAACTTCTGCACTGAGAAGGTTTTTCCAACACCAGCCACGCCGTTGGTCAGAACCACTCTGATGAGCTTCTTCTGTTGGTCAGGTAAGGTTTTAAAGATCTCATGACACTTGATGGGCGTGTCATGGAGGGTCTCCATCTTTGAAGTTTTCTCCAGCTGTCTCACCTCATGTTGTGTGTTCACCTCTTCACTCAGTCCCTCTGTGATGTAGAGCTCAGTGAAGATCCTGTTGAGGAGGGTTTGACTACTTCCTGCTTCATCACGTCCTTCATTCACACGTTCACATCTCCTCTTCAGATTGATCTTATGTTCATCTAAAACCTCCTGCAGACCGCGATCTGCTGAAAGAGAAGAAAAATAAAATGAACCAAACTTCTCAACACTAAAACGTCTGTGAAAAATCAGTCAGCTGAGTTTTTATCCACTCAGACTTTTCCTCCGAGCGATGACACCTTTGCACGGCACTGTTTAAATTACTGTAACTCTATGATAGTTTGTGCTATCACAAAAATTCCAATGGTTTCTGAAAGCTGAGAAGTTGCGCTACACAGCCAATATATGTTTATTACAGTAATTTCACTCTGCTGTTTAGGGAAGTGGGGAAAATCAGTCTCTCCATCCCATAGACTGTATATAGAATGAACGCTGTCAGCCTCCTCGCTGGGTGAAGTTGTGGACAAACTTTAGAAATTAATGACACAGAATATAAATGTTTTTCCCCCTGGTTGCGATGTTGACACGTAGTCACCGTAACTCGGGGACTCCGCTCCGGACCAGCAGACGGATCGAATACGCTAGCGTACAGCGCCCACCGGATCCAATCCACCTCCATCATCGGAGGAGAAGGGCTTGCAAGATTACCAATGTTTCTGCCGAGACTAGACGAGATCTTGCGTGTGTCCCCGTGAGACACTGAATGAGATCCGCCGATTGGTGTATAAACGGCGGTGTGGGTTTAAGCCATAAGACTGATTTATGCTCAAGTTTTTTTCTGTACAGCTCCATTTTTAAAAGTTTTTATGGGGGTTCATGTTTTCTATGATTGAAAATTGAAGGCTAACCTCCAATTCCACCACACCCAGAATGACGACGAAAAGGCCATTCCTGCCGATTGTAGCTGATCGTAACCATTCAAGTTAACGTGTCAATCTCCACCGGCTTCTTTCCGTTCCTCCCTGGATCGCCGGACTTCTCAGCTGATCACAAGAGTTCTATTTTTTCCGGACGCCGGAGCATGGTGCATAAATTCAACACAGATTAACCCGTGCTGGAAAGGAAGTCGGGCACAGACACAAAATAAAACATTCGGCTTCTTTTCAAAATAAAACACTCTGTGTTTCGGGAGGATCATATTTCACACCATGCAAACGGGCGGAGACGAACAAGTGAAAGGTTTTTAGACGTCATTTCACCCCGATGACACCATGGATGAGGAGATGCTGATTCTAGAAGTCTAGAAGTAGATTTCCTCCTCTGGAAGGACACAATCTACTGCTTATATGTCTATGTGGCTGTCTTTAGAGAGACAACTCGTCATCATGCGATTGAACGTGAATCCACGGGTTCTTGTGAGTTCTCACGATTCCTGCTGTCCGTAATTCGCCAAGAAATTTAAATGGATCTGGTATATTAAGCCTGTTTTTGCACTTAAACAGTTATATTAAATATAAATATTTTCTCACTAAAACTCAAAAATCTTATTCCGCTTCTGTATTTTTCTTTATCTTAAAATGTTAAAGCACTCTTTTAACAGACAGTAAATTGTAAATGACAGCCAGATATTGAAAGTTCAAAGTGTTCTGGAAAAATGGGTAAAAAAACTCACTTATAGGACATTTTCTGCCAATTTAATGGCTAAAATCAGCAAAATAATCCAGGCAGAAATTGTGTAATTTAGGGTTTAAAGGACAGATGTTCAGACTTACTTCGATTAGAGCTGGACTGGCTGTCTGTCTGAAAGTCAAGAACTGTTCTGGTTCTTTTTCCACACTGGGGACAGGAGGTGTGTCCCAATGAAGTAGACTGGTCCCTGCATGAAGCCAGACACTGTCTGCAGAACCGGTGTCCACAGCGGGTAGAGACTGGATCCTTCAGGACGTCCTGACATAAAGAACAGCTGGACAGCTGCTCCTCCACAGAGTCAAATCTCTGTGTCTCTCTGTGGAAATAAAGAACATTTATTTTCTTTATAATTTCATGTTTGAAAGATTCAGAATAAGAAACATTTATTAAACCAGAGTTTCTGACCTCACTCTTTTCTCTAACATAAAACAATCTCCTGTAAAATATTCAGCTGCTGCTGCCTCAAAGTGTGGAGACATAAGAAAAAACTAAACTGTGATTTTTGAAGGTAGAGAGATTTTCTCTGACAGTTTAAAACATTTTAACCAATCAGATCTAAAGGTCCAATAACAGACTGATGCTTTGAATGAGTTTTCATTTCTCAGGATTTATTTCTTCTTTGGTCTTCTGGTATTTTGGGACCCACAGACTGTTTTCTGGGGTCTATAACACAGAAACCAAATCAGAAAATACAGAGGTCAGAATCTTTCCAAAAGCTGTATAGTGACTAGGAACGAAAACAAAGTCACTGAGAGGCTAAGTGAGGGAGCTTCGCATTGGTGACTCGCTACACAAACCACAAGCCGTTTCCATGTTTTCCGACTGAGTTCGCATTTATTTCCAACGCCGCACAAACAGACAGACAGGGCAAGGCAGGGCAAGATGTTCTATGGGCTTAGTTTGACGTTTAAATCAAGCGGTCAACAAAAAATACGCTCTCCCTACTCACCCCCTCTCCATGCAGCCGCCGCATCACCCAGGTGACTATATATCCATTCATTCAATCATTCAATGATTGCACCTTGACCACACCCCCTCGTGACGTACATGAAAGGTGCAGCCCAGACAGTTGATGTCAACACACACAAACCTAACTACTTCTGCATATGGCACCTACATGCTGTTTTAAACAACCTTCATTATCAACATGAGGAATAATAAGTAAATCTGTGCTCAGTGACTTTCTCTATACCAGCCCTTTATCCAGGTTGGCAGGTTCAACAGAAAAAACAGCATTTTGAGAGCAGAGATCATTTATCTCACCATGGTAACAGAGGGGGCAGGATTTAGAGTTTTTTTTTTGAAACATCAGTTGTTGGTGGTTGAAAAGTGTTTCTCTTACTGTGAATCTGAGGGTCCTGGTCCTTTACTGAAGTTTAGAGGATCACGTTTAGACCGGTCACTCTTCATAGACAGACAGTCGGACATGACAGACTTTGCTCTGCCCTCCTCTTCCTCAACACCATCACTCATTTTCTCCATCTTCTGTTGTGCAAATTTATGGAAGATGAAACCAAGTTATACAACCTGAGGACAAAGTAGACAAACAGGTGAGATACAAACAGGACGAGAGTGTTCAGAAATAAAAGAGGAATCAGAAAGGAAGTACAGAGTCTGAAAAAAGTTTAATCCCCCTCTTTAAGAGTTATACAGGTTTAATATCCAAGAACTTCTGATGCCTCCTCACCCTGCAGGGTCTCTCTCTGATCCTTGTCTGATTCATGGTCAAAACAATATCAGCTGTGAGGTCCCTGAACTCTCATAAAAAATCTAAACGGACTGGATTAAATTTGAAATGAGAGGCTAAATGAAAATATTCTCATTTTTGTTTTTTCTAAAAAGACAAGTCTAAACAAAGTGGAAAAACTGCACGTACAGTTTTCTGCAAGAACTGATCCAGCTCTTTGTCTGGTCAGGTTTCTTTGTTTTACAGTTTTTAAGTGTTTTAGTCAGTAAATCATTTTTCATTAACAGATGATACAGATAAAGAGTTTGACATTAAAACAAAAACAGAGTAAACACTCACCCTGTCTCCTCGTCCTCTCCTCTCTCTGCTCTGTTCTTATCTCAAAATGGAGTCTGTTTGTTTAACTCACATACTTTCACTTTCACTGTTTTCACTGAAACCTAAACCACCAGATCACAGACTCTTCTCCTCATTTACTGACAGTTTTTGATCATCTTTTAAGTTCAGTATTCTTGACAATCATCTTCCTCTCCTGAGTCCACATTAAAGAATAATTTCACTAAAACAGGAACTCACTCAAACAGGTTGAGTGAGTCTCAGTTTATTTTTAATGCAGCAGCTCCACCTGCTGGTTAAACCAACAAACTACCAGATGAGCACTCCTCTTCACAAACCCCAACTAAATGTGAATATTTTGTTGAACAGGTTTTTATTTTTGCACATAGTGTGACTGTGTTGTCACTACACAAACTCCTCCTTTACCTAACTTTACAAAGATCACTGTCCAACATCATATTCAGTGTAGGAGCCAAATATGTTGATGTGATAACAAAAAATGAGTTGCAGTTCACTTTGTATGTCTGTTTCCACACACCAATCGCGAGTAAAATCATTCACGCGAATGAATTACATGTTAAGTTAATGTTAAAACGCGATTAGACGCTGGTACTACTCTGGCGGCGCGAATGACGCGAATTGGGCGGAAGCTGAATGTAGCATCCCCAGTTGATTTATGGTCTGACTCTCCGACTGATGTTTCACAAAGTTTTAATTTTTTTTAAAATGGCTCCTTCAAACTTCCATGAACAGTGTGAACACACCGTAAGAGCTAGAGAAAACAATAAGAACAATATTAATACACTTTCTGTGACAAAAAATAGTTTTCCCCCTTAAATTATGTGTTTTATAAACCTTCAAGAATAATGAAATCAACTTTGTTGTTTTTAGCAAAATGACAATCTCAAATCTGAGTGTTTTAACTATAGGAGCAACTTAAACTAACACATGAATTCACCTCTTTTATAAACCAAATATCATATAATAAATTTTTAGGCATAATTTCAATACAGCAATAGAGCTTTGTGATAAATGAAACACATGTGGATGTAAAATATACATCGAGCGACATGCTATGAACTAAATGAATAACGTCTGTGTTAACCGTAACCATCATCGTAACTGTAGCATCTTTGCTAATACTCGGCGACACGAAACTCGACCAAACTTCATAAAAATATTTTTTTAAAAGTCCTTTAATGTTAATTCCAGTGAGAAAAGAAGCATATACGAACCTTGTGTCTCTATCAACCATAAACAATTTAAAGAGATCGTTACTGGCGGGTGGATCCTGACTTTTCATATCGTTTTACTGTCCGTGAATTACCAACTTCCGGTGGAATTTCCTTTCAAAATAAAGGCATTGGTCTCTGTTCTATTGCTTACGGAAGTTAAATAACAGCAAATAGGGGTTGTACCTTCAAAATAAGACTGACGATACCGACACATAATGTGGGTCATTTACACCGAACATGTCTCAATTTGAGCGGATATTCGCGCCCCGATAAACTAATCAGCACGAAGGTTGCCATGGTGACATATACAAAATGGAGGACGAACTGATCGTGTCGGTGTGTGGGTGCCCCGAATTATATGATAACTTTTCTTTATATTAGCGAAACCGGAATAAAAACGGAGCTGGTCTAAAGGCAAGTGAGTAAGGAGGTCGGATTACCTGGTGAATTGTTAAAAAAACATTGTCTATCACTTAATCCCGCCGGTGGAATTGGCCGGGATTACCGTTGAAATTACCGTTGACGCAAACCCGGAAGAGGATATGACATCAGTGACAATTTCCTCTTACTTTAACAACTCTCCCTTGAAACACAAGGTAAATTTACGACTCTACTCTAAAAGTCTTTCAAAATAACCCTTTTTTTCTCAATGCGGGCCAAATACTCTGTCGACCAAAGCATATGCCATCATGGAGAAATTTTGTGGAAATTGTCTTTAAAGTCCTTTCCTCTTTTTTGTCGTCACTTTGGTGTTTGTTGCATTTACCTCTATGTGCTTGTAAATATGTATTGTTTTGTGTCTGTATCTTTTGTTTTGTGAATGTATTGTATTGTATGTAGACGAGGTGGCAGAATTGAAAGAAAAAAACTACCTGTTCTTTCTTTCTTTCTTTCTTTCTTTCTTTCTTTCTTCTTTCTTTATCTCAAACTTTAAGAACAACATCAAAAAACAACAAAAAACAAAAACATCTAACAAGATATTACATATGTACACCAATTAACTGTAAGATAAGATAAATATAACTTTACACAACATATGTATGTAAAAAAAAAAACGTTTGAGAAGGAACAGAATGAAGCTTATCTAGTAAAGCCCCTTCTTTGCAAATTTGCACCCATAGACTAATATGGACAACTTGGTTCCGCCTGCAGTTATTATATGGATTTGAAGCCAAAAAGCTCTCGGTAATTCCGCGTTTTTTCTCCATTTCCTGAAACCAACATTGCGCAGTAGCGTTGTACGCACTCCACCACTTGCGCAGTAGCATTGTGCGCATTCGCCGAGAGTCGCCAGCGTATCCACCTGGTGAGCGACGCAATCTTCGTACGCCCATAGGCTGTATCAGGTGTCAATCATAGAAAACATGAACCCCCTTATAACTTTTAAAAACGGAGCTGCACAGAAAAAAGAGGACTTGAGCACAAACCAGTCTGACACTAACCACATGTCAACATCACAGGGGGGAGAAACATTTATATTCTGTGTCATTAATTTATAAAGTTTGTCCACAGCTCCATAGGGATGGCTGGAGGAGGCGGGATTTATGATCTATACTGCAGCCCGTCACCAGAGGGTGCTGTTCTCGGAGTGGCTTCACTCAGACGCTGTCCATTCTCTCCAATACAGTCTATGGTTGCTCTCTGTGGCTTTTCCTCATATCAGTCATGACGCAAGCCTGGGGACAGGGACATTTGGTGAGTCAACCAGGAAGACGTACCGAGGGTAGACCATCCCAATCATATATTATCATATATACATATAAATGTGTGTGTGTATAAACGTCTTTCTTATAGATATCTATGGTCAGGAGATCGGACAGTTTAAATGTCGCCTGCTAGCACGCTAACCAAACACCACTTAAAGACAGACGAGACCTGACTGGTTTTAGTCATTTTTTGAGAGATAATTCGGATATGAAACCAAATCGAACTTGTTATCATTTGGGTTAGATGTTGGTAATATTAAACGCAAAAGCCAGGGAATAACATATTGATTCAGTCTCAATTTAATACAGCCAGTTCAGAAAGAAAATAAATCTTTATGTCTCAAGACCTGTTACAGGGCTGACAGTAGCATGAAAAAATTATATTTAAAAATCTACTAAAATGTACTAAAAAGGGTTCAGCCTCTTGTAATTTAAGCCCCTACATTTATTTTCAGGGTAATACATTTAGCAATCATGGAGATATCCCTGTCTAACAGGGTTTACAGTTAGACAGAGAAATACAAGAGCTGCTTTATTCCCTTTTCGTTCCAGTTTTTACTCCATCACTTGTATGTTGTAAACAATCTTTTGTGCACATGTTTTTGTAGTATTGTCCTGGGTCTCTGTGTCCACCGAGTCTGTTGGCAAAGGTCATGAGGAGTTTTATAGTTTGTCTTTGGAGAAGTTCACTTTGTTCAAAGACTTGATGGTAGGCAAATAACTAAAATGAGGAGAAACTGTAATAAATAAATAAAAATTTCCTGAAAAGTGGTGCATTATAATTAGGTTTTCACTTGCATTCAATAAATGCATTAACCATACTTAGGACTTACAAAGTCTTTTTTCTCTGTCACGTTCACATTAACGAAATAGTGAATTTCTTTCTGCTCATTACACTTGTACTGACTCTGGTTGTGACCCGTCAGTCGTTATCTCCGCCATATTCAGCTAAAAACTCACAAATTGCGTTCCTACCGGCCCTCAGGTGCTCCAATCAGTGTGACCCGCTGACAGGCTTACAGCTGCAACACAGGGGGAAAGGACTGGATGTTTTCAGCCTGCCACTGTGTTATTAGCACAATACCAATTAGACTGGGTGACTTGCCTATATATAATGGCTCACATACAGTGATGCCTCGTAATGATATCACAGCGGTCACATCTTAATGATTATCCTGTCAGGTGAAATACTCGTCATAATAAAGACTGTAAAATGAATATAATTTAATGCAAATCCAGGTGTAATTTATAGGATTATTTGAGTTGAGAATATTTCGTCCAATCTGTAAAATGGTTTTCAATATTCTTGCATCAAGAGAACATTTACAGTAGTAATCGCTTTTGTGTTGTCTACAAGAGTAAATAGCCTCTGATGTTTTAATTGCCCCCATGGCCATGTCTAATTAAATCTCACCAGGTGCTAAAGCCAACTGCTCTTCAGCCAAATCGGCAAACAGACACGTACGCATTGTTCAGCCACCCAGGATTGTACACTTATTCAGGTTTAAATGTCACGGGCCTGTGAAACAATTGCATCCAAAGGCGCATGTGCACACAGTCCCCAGGGTCAGGATTAGCATCCATTGGTGTGGCTCCATATCTGACCTTTATGAGGGACTAAGTAGTGCTCTCCAGGGTCTCATTTGTCTCACTTTACCAGAACAATGGCTTCAACCCTTTCACCGCTGCAGCCTCCTCTCTCACAGCGCAGAATGAACATGTCAAGGATGTAAATGTTGAGCTTTCAGTTTTAAAGTGCTCCTATAGACGCTTTTTTTGTGTCACATTTAAAATAGTTAGTTGAACCCCCTTTTGGTTCCTAAACATGCAGATTTTCGTTTTTCTTACAAAACAAGATAAGCTGTGTCTGAAGGAAACCTTTTTCACGAGCTGTTATTTTTTACCCAAGACTTTTCTGCTTTTTCAGAAAGGTCTAAGTGTAGCTTCAAATAAGAAACCACACACACACACACACACACACACACACACACAAACTGATTGAAATACTGCTGCTATGAGCTACCTGTCATCATCTTTTGTAACGGAGCTCTATTGTTATTTCTTAGCCAGTAAAAGCCGTGTGCTGAATTTTCTGGCTTTCATTTAGCAGCTTCAGTTGTGTCTAACTTGAATAGATAATACTTGAACATTTCAGAGCTATTATTTTGTTATAATTAACACATATTTTTCAGCTATTAAACTGCCTTATTTTTTATGGTATACATTTCCTACGAAGCCCTGAGATATACGGTATAATTGGCAATTTCAGAGTTCCTCCTCAGTGTGAGGGTATATAAGGTTTTTAAGGGGACAAAGCTTGACTAATACAACGCTAACAATTTTAATTCTTTATTTTCACTTTAGCATGAGGTAGAGTTAAATTGATGCTGGTTTACAAAAGGTCATGGTAAAAGATAAACATAATTGAATAAAGGATAAAGAGTGCAGAGGAAAGGGTAGATAATAACAACAATTTAAAAATTTAATGATTAAGAAGTAATACCAATGTATAACAGTACGGAACAGTATGGATGGTGTTATATGGGAAAATATAAAATAAGGGGTGCATGTAGATGTGGATAAATGCATTCTGTATTTATGTTTCAGTACTGAAAGCATGAACTGGGGATGCAGAGTATTAAAATCATACTCTTGGTATCAGATGATAAAGATTGAAAAAGTTAATTATCAGAATTGGCAGATATGAAATTTTCCTCTAGTATGTAAGGCTGATAAAGTAATGCACATACAACGATGGCTTACATCCACCAGCAGCAAGCTTCATCCCGTCAACAGAAGTATTTCAAATAGGCCGGACAGTTGTGGACGTCCAAGTGTGTCTGAAAGTAAAAGCAGAAACCTGTCAGCAGTCTCTCCTGCAGTCGTTCAACAAAGCCCAGGAATACAGCAGCAAACATGTAAATAGTCACATGCAAAAGCAGATTAGAAAGTACGTCAGCGGACAAACTCTTGAAAAAAAAAATTAGGGAAAGTTGAAACTTATGGCAACCTGCAAAGTTGACTTGGATAGTGAATGTGCCGTTTGATTGATAAGGAATTATGGCCGCAAAAATGACCACAGAGTTGAACCTGAACATCTGGTAGCTACCACCAAAAAGGGATTATAAGCTTTGCTAAATGGGTATTTACTGCACAGCTATTGTATGGTGAGGCTTTTCTGTTATTTTGTGCATCCCTGGGTGTCAGTTTATGGCTCTCCAGAAGCTTTCTCTTTTGTCACACACACACACAAGCGTGCATTGTCAATAGATGCACATACCAACCATTTCTTTATTTATTTATATCTATTGTTACGCTGATGGGAAAATGGTTTGGAGGACATCTATTTCTCTGAGAGCATCTGCAGTTGTGTGTGTGTGTGTGTGTGTGTGTGTGTGTGTGTGTGTGTGTGTGTGTGTGTGTGTGTGTGTGTGTGTGTGTGTGTGTGTGTGTAGCAGCCAGCTGTGTGAATGGGGTTCAGTAATGAGAAATGCTTATCAACCCTCTCCAGCCTGTTAGCCTGGTGCCATTAGCTGTTACCCCAACAATCCTACAGGTAGGCCAAGAGTGCTCGTATTGATTCCAAACATTTGTATTTGTCGCTGAAAACGGAGCGACCAGCAGACGGATTTAGTTGATTAGGATTAGAGGAGCAGTAATTTGTGGAGGAAATAAGGGGGCATCTTAAGGGGACCATTAATGTTGGGAAATTAGTTTTCTTAATACCTGGGACGAAGTTGCTGTTTGAATGTAAATAACTGTTTATGTGCCTGGAGCATGCTGAAGAGGAGGAAGGTTTGGGGAAATAAAACATTTAGTCTTTTTCTTGTTTCTTCCCTCCACACACTCACTCCCTCGGTCCCACGAGCGGTGTAATCCTTGTAAGAGTGCTTTCCATATCACTGGGTGGCTTTCTCTGCAGAGAGGCGCATTTAGCATAATGCTAACAAGAACCTTGACAATTAGTTCGACAGGAGGGGTGACACGGGGGCAGAGAGACAGCGGGGCGGCGTGCGAGAAAAGAAAGTGAATTTGTGACATTTAAACAGCTTTAATTACTGTTAGTCTTATTCTTAATGATGATCAGTTCTAGTAGGTAAGATTGCCTTTATTAAATTCTGCTTATAATGAACTTAAGGGTCCAAATTACAGGACAGAAATGTTAAATACTTTACTTTACACGACCACCTGCTCGTTATACATTGTCCTGCTTGTTATCTGGCTCCATATACACTCCATATACAAACATGCTGACACTGATATTTAAAGATGTTTGAAGTGAATCAAAAGGATCTGTTCATGGAGCTAAAAGAGACAGGATAGTGTTGTTGTATAAATCTCAATATATCATAACGCAGTACTCACTGTATTACAAAATGTTAAAAATCACCGTGATAACATCGTATCGAGGGGCCACTGGTGATTCTCACCCCTCATCCCTGATACCATCATAAATGCAGGTTTTTTTGAGCTGTGTGCTGATAACAGGCTGAATGTGATCACAGACGATGGTTTAGTCAAATTCAAAAATGATCATATAATTTCAACAAACAATATAATTTAACAATTTTAACATGTTTGCAGCAGTTTCAGTTAGGGGTGGGAATTACTAGTGGCCCCACGATACGGTATTATCATGATACTTGATTTTTACAATTTTTTCAACTGTCTATCTAATTTAGCATTTGTCTTTCTTTATGTTTGTCTTATTTATGCTGTATTCTATTTTCATGTAGCGTATATTCCAAACCTTATATATTTGATGTACTAACTTTCTCCTGCTCTATGATGTCTCCTCTGTCAACCTTAGTGGACAAACAGTTGATTTTATTTTTCCATTATCACATATTTAACTTTATATTAGCGATTAATTTGAAATGAGATGACAAGATATATCACCAGACAAAATATCACGATACTACGCTGTTTTTTCTCCCATAGTTTCAGTCGAGTGCGGCTCAAAGTATAGGGATATCCAAAATACTGAAGCAACAGCTTTTGGCAACATTTCACAAAATATCTAAACTTTTTGGGGATTGTGGTTGTACATAGGTTTTAAAGGGGATTATGGGAACAGAAGACAGTTCTTGTAATATTTCTGAGTTAAAGAATAAACTCTACAACAGTTACACAAACTCAAAGTGAGGCTTTTAAATGTCGAACCTGCTTTTTCACTGTAACTTCCCTGCGTTTGCAGCTCCGAGTACAGTTTTATCTGTTATTTAAATGAACTGTATGTCAAAAATCCGCTGATAGTGTGAAAGATGGGCTTTATTCTGTCTGCTGGAACATGAATGTTGGTCAAACTCGGCGTATTCTGTTGCTAATGATGTGTGTTTTTGTCGGACAACAGCTGCTGCAGAGGTCCGAGAGTGTGACAGTAAAAAAAACATGTATATGTGATTTTCAGGCAGATGACAGACAAACAGAAGGGCTCCTCCAGAGGACATACAACTCTAACAGGATTGGAAATGGTACCCACCAGCTGTAAGAGGTAAGAGAGAAAGAGCCGGGGATGAGAGTCAAAGTGGGAGGAAGGAGGGGTGGAGACGTGAGGAGGAGTGTTTCCAGATCAGTTTAAAGAGGAGGAATTAACTGTCATTTGGCCGCAAAGTTGACCAAGAGGCGCGTTTGTGTTCGCCGCAGCGGCTTTGGACACGTGGGTGAGGAAGATGAAAACCTGCTGGTTAAAAGGAACAAGCTTTGAGATGAATGAAGCCGTTAAAGACATCATCAAACGCTGCAGGCACAGCAGGGGGCCTCGGGATACACCCGTCTGAGAGTTGGGTGGTGTGGGTGTGGGTGTGTGTGTGTTTAGTTTGGTACCGGCCTAATAAACCATCCGTTTGCAGGGAGGAGAGAACAGTGGATGCTGGGAGCGGGTGGGGGGTTACAACAGCCTTTATGCTCCATATTTACACTCCTTTCAAACGCACAGACGGACAGATACTCGGTCCTGCCCAGAGGTTCTTTGATGCTCGTCGATACCGCTGCGTGATGATGTCAGACGGCAGAGAGCGAGGGTGGGGAAGCATGATCAAAGGAGAGAGGGAGGGATGAAGACGCAGGAGAGGATATCCAAGACAACAACGGGACAAAGATGGCGACTGCTTCTGCAATGGGACGTCCACTGGCGTCCAGACCTTCTGATCACCGCTTTGAACCCTGGATGTGCAGCAGGTGTATTCACCGGCCTTTTTCTGACGGGATGACCACCAACACGACGACGACCACGACGCGCAGGAACCATCAAGCCAACCTCAGCCACCACCACCACCACCACCACTACCGCCGGGCTAGCACAGTAAGCTCTCCTCCGTCTACCTTAGCTTTCCCTCCGCTGCTGTTAACCATCAAAACCCGAACGCCCTGATGTCCGGTCGCCATCACTCCATCGCAACTATTTATCATGTGTTGCCATTCTTTTTAATAACACATTTTGTCGCCATTTCCCCTCTCTTTCTCAGCCCCTTTCATCATGGTCTTTTGGCTGTTAATATAGGCCTCTCTTGGCCATCAAAGGCAGCACATCAATCGCCTTGACTCCCAAGTGTATGTGTGAGGGTGAAAGAGAGAAAGGGAGAGTGGGGAAAAAAAGAAGAACATGTATCAGAGATCAAGGCGTGCTTTCATGCCTGATTTTGGCCCTGGTCTGGTTTTGCTTTTCCATCATCTTTCCATCCTCCTTTTTTTTTTTCCGCCCTTGTTCTAGGGCTGCAGACGCTCCCCGATACTCATCCACGTTTTGTCCCATCCCTCAGTGATCCAAATTTCCCCATCGCTGAAAAATAACATCTTTTGTCGGAGAAATGGAGGCAAAAAGACATTTTTTTTCTCTTTCTGTTTTTTTTCTTCTCTTTAAGAAGATTCTGTAGCTTCGCAGGCTACAGGGCCACAGCTCTGCCCCAATGATGACAATACGTGAAACAATATTTGAATAAGCAGCAGGAGGGCAGCCAGCTAATCCACTGTGGCTAATCCAGTATTGGTGCAGGCCATATTGGTAGCTGGAGTATTCAACCCCGTCACAATACACATCAGCAGGACGCCATGGCAGATATACTGACACTCTCACTACAGGCATGGCTGGGAAAGACCAGCAGATGGATGGATAGGTGGGTAGAGGGATGGGTGGATGGATGATATAGAGATAAGTGAACAGACAATCGCAGGGATGGTTGGAAAATTGTGATATTTTTACTTTTTTTTAAATTACTTTTACATCTTTTCCAGTTTTTATGAGTAGACATTCGGAGCAGATCAAGAAAAACTGGAATAATTGTGAGATTTGAAGGACAGATGGAGATGTTGGAGATGATATTCAGCCTTCAGCATCTGTCAGGTCTTTGTCTTAATTCATGTCTTAGTTTATGTTCACAAAAAGACCCCAAATATCAACGTTTTCATGTTGAAGAACCAAAGGTTTCACTGTACAAGATCAGGCCCGCTCCTAAGTCTTTGTTTTTTGGGGGGTTTTCATCCCAGCCAAACAAAATACTTGTCTCCAATTAATTTTCTTAAAGAGCAGAGGTCTGTTTCTCTTTCAAGAGGTATATAATGAAGATTTCACTCTCTGTGAGCATCTAAATGGGTCTTTGTGCTGGGAGGCCCCCAAGAGATAAGCCTGTTTCTGACAGGCCTCCGTACAGACGCCCAAATCTGCTGTGGCAGCTGGAACAAAGGGACCCCTGAGCTGGACCAGCACACTGACAAAAAGCCCCGTATCAGGTCTAAAAGAGCTGCCTCAATTTAAGAATTAATAATCTGCTTTTCCCTTCACTGGAAGTGGTTTTCATCACTAACTTTATAAAGTGGAAACTGAGAGTTCATCCCGGGACTTTCTGTCTTCAGACTGAGGCGGTTCAGACTCGAGTAAATCTGTGCAATGAAAGTAATAAAACTTAAGCTGGAAAAGTACAAATGAATAAAAAGTTGGGACTAACATATCATATCTAAAAACAAACAAAAAAGATATTTAACTTAAACAGAGTCTGATCTGATGATATTGTAAAAACCTCCAACAATCGTTTGTTGAGATTAAAAAAAGTGTCTGAATGTCTTTTTTAAATTCACATAGAAATCCACTGAAGTTTAGGGAAACCGCTGATGGGTCCACAATGTTTTAATAATCATAGAAAATGTAGTTAATTAGTTCTCGTTTAATCGTTAAATAGTTGATAATAAATTAATTTTACTCTGAAAAAAGTCCAGTTAGATTTTTCAGTGAAGGAAGTTTTTAATGTGGGGTCTTGAAACACTCCTCTCTCACAGTTTTATGTCTTTTTATACGGTGCTGTCAGCAAATTTGTTGTGCTGTAATAAACTGTGAGATGAAATATAAGGAGTTTAAACTTAAAAAGGAGAACATCAGATCTGTAAATATCAGGAGTGACTATTAGAGCTGTTTTCTACCTCCTGTTACTGCTCATGCTGCTTTGAGACCATTGTTCACTCAAGTGTTAGAATAGATTTAACCCTCCTGTCATCAGATATACGACACGTCTGCTGTAAGAGAGACGTACCGATACAACCAGAGATGATTTAACAGCACTGAAGGCTGCCCAGATCAGCTGTGATTATAACACTGAGTCTATCCATTCAGCAAGAACAATCCTAAAACTGCGATAATTGATGAGGATTAAAAGCAGCGAGTTCTAACATTGAAGAGGAGGAACAGAAGAAACTTAAAGCAGTCGGTTAATATCATAAATAATAGAAGCGGGAGAAAAAAAAACAATACAGCTTAGTATCCTGATATTTTCTCTGGTGATATATCGTATCGTCTCATTTATCAAATATCGATTTTTTCAAATTAATCACTAAAATAAAGTCAAACCCATAATAATGGGGAAAAAAATCAACTGTTTGTCCACTAAGGTTGGCAGAGGTAACACCATAGAGCAGGAGAAAGTTAGTACAACATATATATATATATATGTGGCAATATTTGCAATATACACTACATGAAAATAAAATACATCGTAAATAAGACAAACATAAAGGAAAGACAAATGCTGAATTAGCTAAACAGTTTAAAAATTGTATAAATTGCAAAATATTGTATTGCAATACTCACTGTATTGGAAAATGTTAAAAAATCGCAGTAATATCGCAATCATATGGTATCGTTGGGCCACTAATGATCCCCACCTTTGATAAATAAGGCACTTGAAGGAGAGATAAACTAAAATCTGTACTTTCAGACATCCTGCTCTAAAGTATGTAGTTTTCTGAGATCTATAATTATAAAATACCTGAAATCTAAACTTATACTGCAGTAAATCTTAAATATGTAAATGTGGGATATCTTCCTTTAGAGGCGGTGTTAAGTTTAGTGGTTTCAGTCTGACAGTCTTTGCTGCAGGGGTTGATGGTCCAACTCTCTTCAAAGAATCCTGAAATAATCATTTTAAAACACAAACTCTTCTTTATAAATCTGTATTTTGATTTGAACAGACAGGAAATTTAAAAGTTAAGAACAATATCAAACTAAAATAAGTCTAAAAACATTTTCAAATGTTAAATACTTTACTTTGCACGACCACCTGCTCGTTATACACTGTCCTGCTTGTTTTCTGGCTCCATATACTCCACATTCAAACATGCTGACACTGATATTTAAAGATGTTTGAAGTGAATCAAAAAGGATCTGTTCAGGGAGCTAAAAGAGACAGGATAGTGTTGTCCTTATCAGCCTACTTACAGGTCAAATTAACGTGAAACTGAACATTTCTCAGTCGAAGCAGTCCTATCAGCAGCAGCTGCACCTTCAGAGTTGTTGCTCCCTCTTCACTACAGTCTCAGTGTTACAGAACAGGTACCTGAATAAGTTAATGTCTGATTGTATTGGATAACACGCTCCTTCTCTACCTGTCCATCATGTCCAAAGTGAAAAACCAGCTCAGAAGGTTCAGATTCATTCAAGTCCAAGAAGTTGTGATTACAGTCAGGAGGGGATTTCCTGGAGGACAGACAGCCCGGCAGTGTCTTCAATGAGGGGAAGAGGGAAAGGTGTATCAGTGCCCCCCTGGGGTGATGACCTTTTTCAGCTAAGAGCTCAGACCTCTGCAGCACTCACACACACATACATACAGAAACACACACACAGAAACACATAAAGTGGAGGTTCATTATAGATTCATAAGTACCAACATGCCCCCAACCCCTCCTCACCAAGACATCATAAAGGTCAAGTTCATCTTCCTCAGTATTCTCTCAGTGTCTCCTCTCTCACTCGCTCCATTGTCTCCGGGGGCAACGCAGCAACCATAACAACAACAGCCTGTTGCAGCAAGAACCTGTGAGTGTGTGTGTGTGTTTGTGTTTGTGTGTTGACTGCCAAGGATATAAGCCAAAGTGGTATGAATACATTTACATAATGGAGCGTGTTTAGCTTGGCTGTAAAGTCTGCCAATCAAACACACTGAATAAAAAGGATTCTCAGGCCGTCACTGCAAACAGCTCCTCATCACACTCTGTATGAGCGCTGACCATCGAGACGGATCCTTCTAGATCCTTCATGCTGAGCTGTGTCCCACTCAGTCAGTGTTTGAGGAGACATTTACAACACTAATGTATATCTGAATATCCTGAATATACAGTATCTGGAACACATCTTTACCTTCTCCCCCAGTGCAGAAGTGGTGCTGAAATACTCCCGTTAACCCCCCTTAAAAACCATAAAAACAGTATATTATTCAGTGACACCAAATCAATCCACACAGAGGAGTCGGGCTCATTTATAAACATCGTAGTTTCACCTCCTCCTGTTGACAGTGTGGCAAAAATAATCAGATGGAGGAGATTTTTGATATCGCTCTCAGCAAAGAGAAGACGGCAACAAGGAGAGGGAAAACAGCACAGGAACTAGAGAGACATGTAAACGCACAATGAAGTGGCTCAAAGAGACATCAGACAAATTAAAGAAAACACACAAAGCAACCGCAACCTGCAAAACACTATAGACTTTTAAAGGGAGTCTGCGTCTGTTTAAAAAAATGATGGTTTTACTTGACGGTGAATAGTCAACGTTGAAGTATTAAAGTTTGCAAACTTTTAGTGACATTAATCAATTATTTTAAATCAATGAAAACTTGGTGACCAGATAATAAGCAGGTTAATGTGCAGTGACTTAGGGTCATACTTCACTTCAATCTCATTCCTCCTTAACTCTGTGAGAACAGAGCTGTCAATCAGGGTCTCATACTCGACCATGTTAACTTCAGAACCTAAACCCAGTTTCATCTCATAAATATCCCATTTATATTTTTTGTGTGCATGAGAAGCCTCTGAAGATGATGAAGATGTCATAAATAAGAACCATATCGCCAATGTGAGAGTCATGGTTTCCTGTTTAATATTCTAAGATGTTGTTTTTTTTACCCCCCATCACTCACAGGTTCAGACAACAATGGAAGAATTGTCCACAGACATGAGGACAGGTGTGTGGACCTCACCTGAGCCACCTGACCCCACCCTCTCCACATGGATCAGCTAGCCTGACAACCTCGCAGGAGTCATGGTAAACACCTGGAGATTTAACCTTGACATCTTCTTAAGTCAAAATTAGGCCTTTAAATCCTTCATTGTATATCTCTGCATTTCATTTTTGTATTCATTTAAGCCGCTGTAAACATCCACAGAGAGGCAGAGGAGCAAAATAAGAAAGTGGCTGCTCTTGGCAGCGACTCCTGGTACATGTAGGCACTGCCAGTCCTGCCTCTTCTTAGTCCGTATACGACGCATTGAGGGATTTTACTGCCTCACTCGAATACATTTTACAAAACCCAATTCCACTGAAGTTGGGAAATTGTGATAAACATAAATAAAAACAGAATACAATGATTTGCAAATGCTTTTCAACTTTTATGCAATTGAATACACCACAAAGACAAGATATTTAATGTTCAAACTCATAAACATTTTTTTTTTTTTTGCAAATAACAATTAACTCTGAATTTCCAGAGCGACCCCCAACGGGAATAAGCGGAAGAAAATGGATGGATGGATGTTGTTAGAGAGGCTTCAAGATCAGTTTCATTTTGACCTGCAGCTACTTAATGGTCTTTGTGAGGGGATTATGAAAAGCTGTGACAGAGGGGCGAATTATGTAAGATGATGAGCTGATGGACTGAGATGTTTCTGAATGTGTGAGGTCGATCATGAGAAGAGTTATTTCATTTCACAGTTTCTGCACTTCTTGTCTACAAAACGTGTTTTTAACAATAATTTGACCAGATTTGATGTTTCTGAGATCATATTTACATGCAGGGTTAAAATATTCACATCTAAAAAATCATCATCTACACATAAACATGCATGTAAGATAGTATGAAATGAGTTCACAGTCATGCATGTTCTTGGTTACATAAATTCCACATCTGGAGATGATATTGAGAGGAAATTGATTGGAAACTGCAGTCTAATCTCTCTCTCTCTCTCTCTCTCTCTCTCTCTCTCTCTCTCTCTCTCTCTCTCACACACACACACACACACACACACACACACACACACACACACACACACACACAGTCACAGCGGTGGTGGCAGCTCGGTGCTCCTGACTGACTGACAGCCCGGCGGAGGAGGCTGACAGGCGGGATGCTCAGGTGCTGTCCACGGCGGTGTCTTCTTCTTCTTCTTCTTCTTCTTCTCCGTGTCCTGTCACTCACCCTGCACTCAGCGGAGGTGGGAGCCGTTTACTGAACGACTGTCTCTCCAGGTAAGAAGATCCGCAGTGGGTCGCCTGGTTGTTTTGTCTCAGTTTTCCCCCCTGACATGTGGGCTCGTCTTAGATTTGTCTCGGAGCAAAGTGCTTCACCTGCTGAAGCTTAAATGTTTTAATTTTCTTTTCTTCTCTTTCCTTTTTCTCTTTAAGTTTGTGACTTTAAAATGTATGGATAAGAAAACTTGACGTACGAAACGAAATAGTCACCAAGTAGAGTCAATTAATAAGGCTCCGTTTGTGCCGTAATTCACTCACTGCTGTGGAATGATGTAGTACCTTTCCAGCCGCTAGGGGCGCTGCTGAGCGGAATAGCCCTGCTGGCATAGAATTGGAATATATAGAAGCGTAATTATGTATTAATGGTGGTCAAGTAAGGTATAGGTGAATTCTCAAATTTGCAATACTTCTTCTCTACATTTACCTAAAAATATATACAACAGATTGATAAGATTAAATCTATAACATCGATATATATATATATATATATATATATATATATATATATATTAAATATGGAATATAGAGAATGACTTAATAAGGCTGTTATGCAGATTTCAGCACATTATTTTTACTGGTTGGTTAAAATTAGACTCTGGATCAGCTCACAAAGTACTGCTAACATGTTAATGCTTGAGCAAAGTTTATTAAAATGTAACATATTGAAATGTTAAAGCACGCTAATGGCACTTAGTTAAATGTAATATAATGTATTTTAAGGTAAATATTGACAACAGCACTTCATACCATCTCTTACATACATATATGCATACATATTTATCTATGTTGTAAATCTATGTTGTACATACTATCCGCTATCTCTACACTATCTGATACTTGCGCTATTACACTCCAGGTTAGATGCTTAACTGCATTCCGTTGCATTGTTTTGAACAAGTGTAATGATAATAAGGTTGAATCTAATCTAAAAAATCTAATAACTAATATATACATTTTATAATTGTTGTGCTGCTGCATCTGTTAAGATTATTAATGATATGACTGTGGTTTTTAGCTGGAGTTATTGCAGCTACATGTTGGTTTCAAACAATGGATGATACAGATGAGACTTTAAAAAAAAAAACACTACCCCACTCGCTACAGGGGTTTAAATTATAATGGCTTTTTGGTGCAGTGTTGCAGTTTAAACCAAAGATATTCATGTAAATGCCTTTTTTAAGTGTTTATAAACATAGATTTAGCGCAGTGTGGGTCCCAACCCAAAAGTGGGTTGCAGACACATTCTGGATGGGTCACAAACATAGACTGTACATAGACTGGACATAGACTGCCTCCTCGCTGGGCGAAGCCACTCCGAGAACAGCACCCTCTGGTGACGGGCTGCAGTATAGGTCATAAATCCCGCCTCCTCCAGCAAAGCTTATGGAGCTGTGGACAATCTTTATAAATTTATTACACAGAATATAAATTTTCCTCCCCCCTGGTTGTGATGTTGACATGTAGTTACAGTCAGACTGGTTTGTGCTCAAGTCCTCTTTTTTCTGTAAAGTTCCATTTTTAAAAGTTATTAGGGGGTTCATGTTTTCTATGATTGACACTTGATACAGCCTATTGGTGGCCAAGGATTGCGTACCCAGGGGATACGCTGTTTGAGCCGAGCGTCATCACAGCGACTCCCCCGTCAAATGCGCACAACGCTACTACGCGACGCTGGTTACAGGAAATGAAGAAAAATCCTGGAAATACCGACTTTTATTGTCTTGGCTTTTATTTTGAAAAATAGCTCATTTTGAAAGGCACGCGTTATGTCATGGTCCTCCACGGTTTCTCATTAATGTGGTCTGAATGCAGTAAAATTACTTTTTTTATGTCTTTTAAATATACATGCTATATATTAATTTAAATATAGTTTAAATTTTAAAATTTCTAAGCTGAAAAGGCACCGATTTCACGGAATGACCCATTTATGTCAAGGATTTGAGTCTCTAAAGGTTTTATTTTTTATAAAAAGTAAAGGTTCTTGGTTTGAATTTTATAAAAGTGGGTTGGGACTTAAGGACCATGGGAAAATGTGGGTCCCAGAGTGAGACCAGTTGAGAGTTGTTTTTTTTATTAACATATTCAACAATTTGTAAAACTCTCAATGGGAGACAAGTGCAATTCAGATGTTCATCTTACTTTTACAGCACTACAGTGATAATATACATGAGAACAACATAATGCAGGAGAGAAAAAGACACAAAACTTACAGCAAGGCCTGCCTTAGAATTTCATACAAACAGCAAATGTAAATATTAGATAATTAATGCGTTACAACAGTACATATTTAGAGACATCATCACATAGAGTCTTTAATTAGTGACAAGGAAGCAAAATAAGATTTTAGATCTGTTTTAAACAATGCAAGTGATGGATTTTTATCCTGCCATTTACTTTTATGGATGTGGTATTTACCCATAATTATTATTATATTGCACATTTTGAAAGATTTGTTTGCCATGTTTTAATTTCCATACAGCACTTGTTCCAATTTCAAGTGTGCAACTTTATCCGTTTTAATTTTCAACTAGTTTACTAAATCACACTAAAAGTTCTCAATTAGGCTGCATGAGAAAAAAAAAAGATGTTCAGTTGTTTCAGCCGCTGCTTTAAACGCTGTCCCGTGTCTGTCGCTTCTATGCGCCGCAGCTCTATGAACGCACCACGCACCGCACGGCGTCCGCGTGCACGCACGTCTTCGCTCTCGCGCTGTATTATTGCTGTGAGCGCAGCCACCATGGGGAGTTAATGGGATAGTCGACGGGTTCTTTTCGTTAATATTTAATATCAAAAAGATATCCATATGCTGCGTTTCGGAGCCCACAGTTCACGCCAGTATCCCCAATGCAGCGGATTACGGGGACCGGGCTTTCAGAGACGGTAGGACGGATACTTTTGTGGAAAACAAGGGACGTTCACGTACCGAGCTAAGCTAGCCAGCTAACAAGCTAACCCAAACTAGTTAACAGTCAGGCCAGCAGAGTGGAAAACGTGCCTCCGCTTTCTTGTTCTGCTTCATCTTAGACGAGCTTACTATGTCGGTTTGAGCCGGTAGAAAAGTTCCCGTTGCTCGTGTCTGACTTTGAAGAGCGTAAATACGTGTAAAAATCACGCTTGTGTTGAAGTGTTTGCACGCAGGCCCATCTTGTGTGGTTGTAGAGTTTGTTTCTGTTCCCATCCCCCACCGTCTTTACAGGCCAAGATGAATGAGATCCTCACTTCAAAGCTCTGCCTCTGGTGGGGGCATTGCTACGAGGCTAGCTCGCTGTCTTAGCTTGTTAACATTATTTAGTGTTTGAGAAAACTCCGTCCATTCACACCGAGCTTTGTTTTGACATCTGTTGACGCTGTAAGCTGTGAAACCGACGAGCAGAACTTCATGTTGAACTTGAGCTCAGATTTTAACACAACAATAGACTGGACTGTGTCGGACCAAGGTTATGATCAGAGTTATGAAGTTTCAGGCAGAGTTAGCTCTCCTTTCTTTTCGACGTTTTGGTGTTTCATTTCAACAGCTTATTTCTCTGTTTGGAAAAGTTTTTTATAGCTAAAATGTACTTGAATACTTTCCATGTGTGAGACAGGAGAAGGATTGTTGTTAAAACTCAAAACTATGCACCATCTAATGATATAGATTCACATACAGAAGATTCACAGTGTCTCCTGTCCTCAGACCTCAAGAACACTGTGTGTGTTGGTGTGTCTGGGTCTGATTATGACAAAGATGAAGACAGAACATGTTTCTGATTTTGTGACTATTCAATACAGTTCAGTTAGGGCTGGGCGATATGGGAAAAAGGTTATCAGGTGTATTTTTTCAACATTAGTCAATATACGTACCACGATATAAAAACTGAAATCTAACAGTGTTTATTGTTAGCATGTCTTTGCAATACAATAAGTGACTCCATCTGTGAGGTCTTTGTGTCTCTTTGACGTTTTGTGGTAAGGCGTTGCGCTAGAGAAAGCGGATTGGATGGTCGTCCGTTTCAGCAGGCGCAGTGTTGTTTTCGTTGACGAGCTAAACATAAGTCTAAGATGAGTAAAATGTGACGAGTCGAATGTGGGTTTACATTGACTAGACGAAAACGTAAATGGTGGACGACGAACAGAGTTGCAGAATTCATGAGCATTTCGTCAGTCAAACACTACACATATAGCACATGCGCGTGCTCTGCGGCGTGGCGCTGTTTTAGGTGGTGAAAAAAGATTTGCGATATTCCACGACTTTGTGAGAACATGTACTCGACATAATTTGAAGTACACATTACTCTACTTCATGTCCGACCTCAAAAAACCAAAATACCTCCACACCACCGACGTTTTCGTTCCAGTGTTTTATATTGTTTTTGAGGGAAATTAATTTTCGATATATATCATTATTGTTTTATCGCCCAGCCCTAAAAGTGTTCGTCATGTTGAATACTTTACACTTGTGAGACAGGAGAAGGATTGTTATGAAAACTCAAATTACAAATACAGATTCACATACAGAAGATTCACAGTGTCTCCTGTGTTTGTGTGTCTGGGTCTGATTCTGACTCAGATGAAGACAGAAGCATGTTTCCCTGTGATTTTGTGACTATTCAATACAGTTCAGCCGGTTATAACAATCACTAAATCAATCTTTATCTATATGAGGCCAAGTCACAACAAATGTTAGCTAAAAATGCTGAACAGAAAGAGCTGATCTAGACCATACTCTTAAGCAAAGCATGGTTTTTAGTGTTATTTCAGCTAGTTTTCATTCTGTCACAACCTATAAACCTGATTGACAGTTCAGCGTTTAGTCTACGCTGTCATGACCTACACCACCGTGAACACAACACGCTCCTGCAGTCACTTTGCAACAGTCAACCTCGGTGATTCCTGGTTACTAACAGTGCACTTACCTGTTAGGCTACACCATTTGCTTATCTGTGCACAAGACATAATAGTGCAGAAATACAAGAATATTATGTTGGATTTGGGAGTGACTGATGTTAATAATTTAGTGGATCAATCACAAGGCTTGTGGTCTGGGTTGTTTTTTAGGTGGTCCATGTTAGTCCACCTGCACTGGTGTCTAGAACGATAAAACAACATATATGAAAATTACTTAACCCTCAATAACAATATGAATCATGGTCAAAATGCTTTCTGATAGTCATGTTTTGGTAGACTAGACGAATAGCCAATGAAAAGGGGAATTTCTGCGGGTCCACTTCACGCTGAACCAATCATTTGCTGAATTAGAACCAAGTAGCAAACAACTGCGTAGTAGTTCAGTCCACTTTCTCTAGCGCTAGGCCTTACGACAAAACGTCAAAGAGACACAAAGACGTCATAGATGCAGTAGTTTGTTTTATTGACATGTTGAAAGACATGCTACCAATAAGCACTGTTAAATTTCCTTTATTATATCGTGATAAACTTTTTTCCCATATCACCCAGCCCTATTAGGGCGTATGTGACGGTGTGGATTCAACGCAGAAGAATAAATCAGGCTTGAAGGGTTAAAATGGCGTCTTGGCTGCTCGCTAAATTAAGATAAAGGGTTAATTACGCACAGTTTTAACATGTAGCATATCAGTGAGCGTTATACTATTTCATGTATCTGATGTGCATGTACTAACATTTGGTTGCAGATAACTATGGCTGAATTATGTTGAAGAGTGTCAGTTTGACTCAGTGATGGAGAGGATGGGATCAGTCTCTGCGCTGACCTTCATCTCCTCTGTTGCTCCTCCCACAGCGTGAACTAACAGCTGTCTCGTCTTCATCGTAGGGTGAATTGTTTTCCAGCAAAATCATCACCAGAGGGGAAGATCTGACCTCTGCCTTGTGCAACCAGAGACATGAGTGTTGTCAGAGAATTACACGGGATCGGGTTCAGGGGCGGCGGTGGGGTTGTGGCCTCTCTGAGCAGCCCTACCCACTTTACCGAGGATGCCCCGCGACCCCCTGTTCCTGGTGAGGAGGGATCTGATGTGGACCCCCCGGTCCAGTCAGCTAACACCCGTCCAAACACCCTTTCCCAAACAGTCGGCTATCCTGCGTCATCCTCATTATCTAAAATGGGGGATCCAACCAGCTACACACCCTCCTCATCGTCAGCGACCCCGCGGCGCCCCGATCTGGACTTGGGGTACGAACCCGAGGGCTCGGCGTCACCGACTCCACCTTACCTGAAGTGGGCAGAGTCTCTCCACTCTCTCCTCGACGACCAGGAGGGCATCCAGCTGTTCCGTAACTTCCTGTGTCAGGAAGGGTGTGCGGACCTTCTCGACTTCTGGTTCGCCTGCTCGGGGTTCAGGAAGACGAGCCAGGAGAGGAGGGCGAAGCTGGCCAAGGTCATCTACAGGAAGTACATCGTAGACGGAAGTGGGATTGTCTCGAAGCAGATCAAAGCGGCCACGAAGAGCTTCATCAGAGACTGTGTAGGAAAACCACATCCAGACCCTGCTATGTTTGAACAGGTAATAAAATCCCTCATTTAGTGTGTGTGTGTGTGTGTGTGTGTGTGTGTGTGTGTGTGTGTGTGTGTGCGCTCCTAATGAGCGGTGTATTGTTTGATTACACAGCGATTTGTCAGTCTTTGTTTTTACCGTCTCTGCTCTGAAATTAGGTCTTCTTCTCCAGCCAGGCGTAGATTGAAACTTTCGGCTACAGCCAATGGCGGACCTCACTTCTGTGCAGAGACGCCGTTAAGAAACTGAAACCGAACTGTCTCATTTACGACACGAAAAAGTACCACAGTTAAATTTGTGGCGGCGGCGCTGAGCCGTCTGATGACTGATAAATGTGACCTTTGGACAGGCGAGACGGTCGAGAAAGTGCGGTTGTTTGAGAAGACGTCCACTTCTGTCGTAGAGGAGGTTGTATTCATGTGTGTGTACAGAAGATTTCCCTCCAAAGAAAGGCAGCACAGCAGCAGTTATTGTCGGCTCAGGGCTGCTGATGAACCTGCCATCATCATTCATAGCAGGAATGCTGTTTCCCCATTGGAAAGAATCTTTAGGGGGCAGGAACTATGGCCCAGGATCTATAACTGGACCTGGCTTTTCCTGAATTTGAAATACAGTTATAGTTCCTGGGTACTCCTGTGGCCTAAAACCTCCCTGTGTGTCTCCCTGTTTTAGACTGTTTTCAGGTTGAAGTTGTATTTTTCAAGGTTTGCTGCTTTACTAAGTCCAAGAAGTGAAGCTTTAGTTTAAGGTTTATGTCATTCACCCTCTCACCCACCTGGCTGCTCCATATGTGTGTCTTTACCGTTGTAGTTCCTCGGGCATCAAAAGAGAAACAACACAGACTGAGGTTACATAATCACCACAATGAACCAATTAGGACGGTTCAATTTTCTCTGCAGTGAATCTTTTCTGTTTGTTTCTCTCTGACGCTCTTATACTGAAGGTTTTTAAGTCGACACTGAAACATCAGTACGTACATTTTAATCCGTTCGCTCACCGCAGCCAATCACAGCCTGTTAAAACCTCGGAAAATCACCCATTGCTGTCAGTTTGTGCATGACGCACCTTTCTGTTTCTCCCCGGATCAAGACTGGATAAATGCAGTATATTTTAATTACTACAACAAAAGGAGCGCGTTAATAATACAGTTATACTGTTGGGTTTTTAAGTCTTATCATCTGCATCCAGGTCAAATGCTTGTATTACTCTGTGTCTGACACCTGCGAATATAAACAGAGAGAGTGATGTATTTCTCAGTAAACATTACTATAGGGCTGGGCGATAAACTGAAAATTCACCGATACTGAAATTTACGACAATAACCGACATCATTTTGTCCATATCGGTATTTTCAGTGTCAAAAAAATAAATAAATCAAAGTTGTTTTTGGATGTGTGTAGGTAGGCTATGGTCTCATGTCCCTTTAAGACGCTGTCCTACGTCAGAGACGGGACTCCACCCCATCCAGTCTGTAACAAAGAGGGAAAGACAGGTGAGGAGATGGAGGACGGTTCAAAAGTTGGAGCGGCTGAAGTAGACGAAGTTAATGTGGGAGGGGGTGAACAGGTGGTGGAGTAGTTATCGTCCATTTACTGTTATTGAGATGAACTGATCAATATATCTTGATATTGATTTGAGGACATATCGCCCAAGCCCTACATTACTAACACGTAAATTCAAATTCAAGTCATGTGAGGCTAAACTCCTCGCCGTCTTCTTCTGCATATAATTTTCACATGACTCTGATGGACATTCACTCCGAGTTCAAACACCCGCAGTGGTCCTCTTGATTTAACACGTTCATCAAACACACAGACACAAACTCTGTCTGTACAGCGGTCAGTTTTAACACTCTGACTTTTGTCCTCCGTCACCATCAAAAAAAGGTTCTGAAAGGGAAATCAAACATTTGAATTATTAAAGGATACCAACTCCAGTTCGATCCACCTCAGCTAAAAGTCTGAAATGAAGGACAAGCAAATTAAAAGGCCAAATCCATCAGATTTCATGAGTCAACGTCTCAGTCTCCTGGAAAACACAACTCAAAAACTCCTCGTTAACATCGATAAATACACCAAATGATTCCCCCAAACAGGTAATACCCGTGATCGCCGTCCTCCGGGGCGCAGATGTCCACATAAAAGTAATCCCCAAGATATCAAAAACAGTTAATCAAGTTCAAAAAGGATTGATTGATCAATAAAAATCTCTGGTAGTTAAAAAAGAAGAAATCAAATCAGAAAAATCTCACAAATCTGAAGCGCGGCTCCTCTGTTCTCCTCTGAGCGTCTGCAAAACCGCGGAACACCAGCCGGTGAATTCTTTTTTTAATTCACTTATTTTCAGGCAACAAGACGGTCCGAGGCCTTTCCTCATCTTTCCTCCCCACGACACATCCTGCCTCATATAACCTTTTCTTAATATTAATAATTGTCCCCAAATATCACCTGACGTTACAGGGAATCATTAACTGGACACCAACAACCAAGAAAACATCTTTCTTTCTTTTGACGCCGTCACATGTTCTCAGAGAGTCAGAGACATTTATCAACAAGAGAGTGATGCGGGTCCTGTAGCATCACGATTGTACACGCGCTCATGGCGGCTCAAATCGCTGTTTCCTGGAGTGTGTGTTAAGGTTGTCAAAAGCTGTTTGGATAGAATCAAGAGTATTAAAATGTATCTGAAAAAATCAGACTTACACTCAGCCTCACAGCGAATGTGAGAGACAGAGAGAGGGCAGCGTGTGTCACGAATACAAACCAAAGAGGAGAGGAAATAAGACGCTTTGTTATTGTTAGGCAGTGGTTCTGCTTCTTTAAGTCCGCTCTGTTGGCTGTGAGATGAAAGTGAGACATAGTGAGAACATCAGAACGTACCTGCAGAGGACCGATCCCACCGCACACTGTTGGGATTAACTGGGATGACTGGGAGGGAATATTCTGACATGAATGCTGCGTATCAGCAGAGAATCACCTCTGTCCACATTAATGTTGAAAAGCAGGACTGTGCTGTTTAACGTTGAGCAGGAGTCGGTAACAGATTTCATGCAGACTGATGCAAAGGTTATGGTTTGATTTCTCACCAAGAGGAATTGTGGGAAGTGGAGTCAGCATTCAGAGGCTTTCGGTAACGCGTTTGGTTTTGACTTTGTGTGTTTGCTCCAGGCTCAGACGGAGATCCAGGCCATGATGGAGGAGAACACCTACCCTCTGTTTCTCAAGTCGGATCTGTACCTGGAGTACACGCGGACAGGAGGGGAGAGCCCCAAGCCCAATCCCAGCGATCAGAGCCCTTCATCGGGTCCAGCCAAGCCTGTGCCTGGGTACTTGCCCACACTCGCCGAGGATGAGGAGTGGAGGTGAGAAAATGATGACGGTAGAAAAGCGCCATAAATCCAAAGAAGAGCAGACTATGATTTGCACTCGGAAAATCCGTAATTCTCAACTTGTAAATGTGCATATCAGAATTTTTGCACTTCCAACTTCAGATCTGCACGTCAGGATTTGTATCTGCTACTTCCTATCTGCTCGCTCAGTTGCGTCATCCTCCTTGCGTGATTTTTGGCACGATTCTCACGGTTAAATGTGAGAAACAAAGTGCACTCACAGACCTTGCTCTACCACTTGCATCCAGTGGGTGGCAGCGTGGTACTAAGTCTATGAAGGCGACCAGAGCCGCGCTGGTCCTCCTATCAGTTTTGTCCCAGTGGATTTGCCGTAATTTGCCATCCAAGATCAGAGGAAAGGATCGCAGCAAAACAAGACAGTTAATGGATCAGATAAAAGAAATCATGTTGTTGACAAGAGAACGTCATATTCAACTGATCCGTTAGTTGTTGCAGCTCTAAGAAGTTGTTTACAAAACAGATTAAAAAAGATGAATTTGGATGCAGATTCGTTTCAATTTCTCTTATTCTCTCACTTTCACTTGTGGAGTTTAACTTGACCAGTTAAACAGTTAAAAAAAAGCTTCCAACTCTGGCAAAAACGCAATATTAGAGGGAAAATTTCAAAATCACTTGCAATCCTGTACAAATTGAGAAAAGTATTGAATTCCAAGGCTTTGCATTTGTTCTACTACTCATTGATTAGCCCCTATATATCTTACTGTGTGGAACTGTGGGGATCCACCTTTAAAAACACTATAAATTCAATAATAAAACTGGAAAAAGGAGTTATACATATTATCAATAAGACTGATCACTTTGATCACACGGAGCCACTTTTTCTAAATTCTCATGTTATGAAATTTTATGATCTGTTTTATTATAAAATAATGCAAATAATGTTTAGAGCAAACCAAAAACGCTCCCTGACTCGATACAGAGGTTCTTTTCAATTCAGGACGGTCCGTATAATCTCAGAGGTGTTCGCAAATTTACTGTACAAAAAGCTAAGAAAGGAGAAAAGGAGACGTGTCTGCATTACTGGAGTTAAACTCTGGAATGATTCATAAATCTAAAACATGTCGTTCTTTTTTTTGGTTTTTTAAATAAATAGTTTGTAAAGCTGTTTTTGAAGCTTATAAGTGTGATTAATTATCTGTTGTTGTGGTTTCTTTGCTTTTCTGGAGGTCGGTAGCCTAAAAAGTTGACAACACAGGATAGTTCTGTATAAGCAGTCTGAATCTGCCTTTTCTGTCAATATTCAACACGTGATTCTTAATTTAGTGATTTTGTGTGAAATGTCAATATTGTGTACAATATTTGGTGTTGTCGTGACTGAATAAACAACGACTACTACTACTACAATATTCACTATGCCACTACAACAACAACTTGACACGGCTCCCCTCACACAAGACCACAGTGTTTCTGCCAAAATGCCCAAAACTGACTGCAAAAAATGTGGGTCAACCATGCCGGTGCATGTTCTGCTAGTCAAGGGACACAACAGGTTCACTCTTTTATTAACAAACCTATAATGATGATAGAAACATGTACTAAGTACTTTTGTTTACAAAGCATTCTATTATCATTCTGTTATTCATTATCTTGTAATGAGGTGTTAATGGCGACTTGCTGTGTTATACTTTTTAACGTTAGGGATCTTAAACAGATACATTAATGGCCTTGTGTGTCTTGGATAGCAAAATACGGCAAATCCACTGGGACAAAACTGATAGGAGGACCAGCGCGGCTCTGGTCGCCTTCATAGACTTAGTACCGCACTGCCACCCACTGGAGGCAAGTGGTAGAGCAAGGTCTGCGAGCGCACTTTGTTTCTCATATTCAACCGGGAGAATCGTACCAAAAATCATGTGAGGAGGATGACGTAACTGAGCGAGCAGATAGGAAGTAGCAAGTTGAGAATTATGGATTTTCCAAGTGCAAATCATAGTCTGCTCTTCTTTGGATTTATGGCACTTTTCTACCTTCATAGAAAATGAGTCACTGATTCAACAGAGAAGATGTCTCGAACGACGCTCTCTCTCTGATAATGTGCGAAACGATAAACGCTCCCAATGACTGACTGACAGATTCAACTTGTTCTGATCTCAGGTGTGGAGGAGGCGGGAAGGAAGCGGAGGAGGACAAGGATGAGGAGGAGTGTGGAGACACACCAGCTGGGAGGCTGACTCACAGCCTGCTGATGCAGACGGCGCCGCAGAGAGCCTCAGCGAACAGGAGGAGGCAGGAGAGCAGGGAGTACAGGTGTGTGTGTATGTGAGGGAGGACGGTCATGTCCCGGATGTGTCCTCTCTAGACTGACAGCAGAGAACTGAAATAAGAGGTCCCTGAAAAATGACAGAATGTGGTTATATGTAGGGCTTGGCGACAAAGCGATAATGATATATTTCAAAACTTAATTTCCCTCGATATCGATATAAAACATGGTCAATATGCTTTTTGATAGTCGTCATTCTGCCATGTTTAGGTAGACTATATGAAAAGGGGAGTCGCTCCGGGTCCGCCCTGCGCTGAACCGACCATTCAGTCCGTAAAAGACATGCTACCAATAAGCACTGGTAAACTTCATTTAAGAGTAACGGAACATTTAAGATTGACAAGTGATGTTTTTAATTTCGTGATATTTATTGATATCGACTGTAATGAAAAAAAACCAGCCCTAGTTATATGTGAAAACTGAAATGTATGGTCAGGGAGGTGTGTGAGGTCATTTTAAAAATCAGATTAATCATGAGTGAAGGCGGCAATACTTTGAATATTAAGTTTAGATGTTTATTCATTTATTTATGGTGAATTCTGGTCCACGTGCACGGGTAGAGACAATGTGAGAGAGCCTTATTTCAATGGAAGTAAGACTGAGTGATTATGTGATCGTGATAAATTTCAGTTCGATCACAGTGATCAGCTGTGTGCTTATGTACTCCATCAAAAATGTGCGTGACAGCAGCCAATCAGAGTCGAGCTTTTCCTAAATGCGGAGCCAACTAGATGTCGGCCACGACTTTGAGTCATCCTCCGAAGACGTTATTGGTGAGAAGTAAAGTTGTTCAATGTCGGTTGTGTGGCAGTGGTTCAGGTATCTCTAAACTGATATCGAGGAATTACGCCGAGGAAGTAAAGGAAGAGGAAGTAAAGTTCTCTCAAAGTTATTAACTCACAGTTAAACCATAAATATCTGGATTGAAACTAAAGCGACTGAATTAGAAACTCAGGGAAGTCTGTGGACCGGAAAAACCCTCCAGCTTTTTCAAACTTTGAAGGTGCGCCTCGTCATAACTGTCCCTATGCTCCTTCTCCTCCTCCTCAGAACATGGCGTGAACCTGTCAACCCGTACTACGCCAACATGGGCTACGCTCGCGCTCCAGCGACGAGTGCCAATGACAGCGAGCAGCAGAGCATGTCAAGTGACGCAGACACACTGTCACTGACCGACAGCAGTGTGTAAGTCCACATACTACCGTCTAAACGTCTACGATCACAGCGCTGTTTTGTTTTCTAAACGTTTACTGCTGTGTTTGTCTGCAGAGATGGTATTCCTCCATACAGATATCGGAAGCAGCATCGCAAGGAGATGCATGAAAGTGCCAAAGCTAATGGACGTGTGCCCCTACCTCATATACCTGTGAGTTTTTCAGAGATGTTTAGTCACACGAGCTGATGACATGATGCAGCAGAAAAACTCATCGAATGGTTTTCATACTTCATCTCAAACATGGTAATAAAGTAGATGCCGTCCAGCCCTTATGACTAAATGTGCATGTTGTTGTTTTCCTCCCTTTGTTTGTGTCTGCACACAGCGCACGTACCGCATGCCAAAGGACATCCACGTAAAGCCTGAGAGGTTTGCAGCAGAGCTCATCAGCAAGCTGGAGACGGTTCTCAGAGAGAGGGAGGCTCAGGAAAGACTTGAAGAGAGGCTGAAGAGAGTACGACTGGTGAGTGCGTCCTGCTGCGCTGCTCCAGGAACGCGTCATTAAGAATGATTTGAGCTATTCTGAGTTAAAACTGTTTGGTACAGTCGGCAAATGATCAGGCGCCGATGTTACCGGAGTATGACCTGCGAACTGACTCGTGGTGTTTACCTATTAGAGGCTTTTTGCCGTATTTGTTATTGTAAGATTGTCCTGCAGTGAGTCAGTTATGGCAGGATCACTAAATGACATTTTTAACAGCTTGTCTTCCTCGATTCTGTCAGTTTTATACCCAGATCCAGATCAGCCTTAGATTTAGGATATAGACAGTGGGTAAGGTGTGGAATTACATCGTTGTCTTCATTAGTAAAGGACGGGAAATTAACGGACTTTGAATCTATGTCTGGAAAATAAGGTCTAGGAAGACATGATGTGTACGGACCAGGGCCCGACCGATTTTAGACCATTTGAGACTGATCGGTAATTGGCCAAAACTCGCCGATTGTCGCCAATAATTTCAGAAATAGAATGCGGAGAAAAAGATTCAGTTTTACTTTGAAAATGTTTCGCCATTTGAAAAGTTACCCGACTTATCCTGTAGATGGCGCAGCGACTTCATGACAATCTTCATCCACTAACCACTGCCAGTATCGGCATCGGCCCCAAAAACTCCATATTAGTCGGGCCCTAGTACGGACACACACAAAGAGAACACTGTTATCAAAACGGGGTTAAAGGTCAGGTCACGAAAGAACAATCTGGGGTTCGTCCCCTTCTGCACACCGTGAATGAACGTGGTGGTTTCTGCGCACAGAGCAGTTTGTCCTTTCGATGGTAAAAACTTGTTAATCAAAGATCAGACTCATTAAAAACTTCGTCTCAAAGGTCGCCAAAATATCGCTGAATAAAACCGTTTCTCCTCACTTCACCTGTAACCGTCCCTCTTATCAATAATCGTCATTGATCGAATCTAATTGATATTTTTGTCTCCTTATCCCAACAGGAAGAAGAGGGTGATGATGCTGACATCTCCGTGACAACCTCCATTTCTTCTCACAGCATACCACTCCCCCTCCCCTCATCGTTTCCACCGCTATTCGGCGCCCGTTACTCAGAGACCACTGCTAACTCGGCAACGGTCGCCACATACGGCGGCCTCGTTGCCATGGAGGATTCCCACGATGACGACCCGGAGTCCATCCTGGACGAACACGTGCAGCGCGTGATGAAAACGCCAGGCTGCCAGTCGCCGGGGGCAACCAACAGCACCTTAGGGGGAGGTCGACATTCTCCTCCCAAATCATCGCGCTCGCCCGACGGGGGGATCGGACCTCCTCACTTCCCCCCACACCGAGGAGGCGGTCACACCCTGCCTCTCCCCGGGGTCAAAGGTATGCATCACCACAAGCAGCTGTATCACCACAGAGGAAGAGAAGGCCAGGAGGAGGCGGGCTCCAGGTCTCAGACCAACTTCATGTGGAACGGAGACCCGTCCGGCCAGTACGCAGGGAGGAGCCGTAACTATGCCGACGGGGCCGGGGCCAGCACACTGGAGGGCATGGGTTACAGGTGGGCTGCTGCTGCGGTTGAATCCTCTCTCACGCCTCTTTGAATTGACCCGACCTGATGAGCGTCTGTGTTTCCTTTTCATCCTGCAGCAGTAAAGGCAGCACGCTGTCACGGCGAGGTTGTAAGAAGGCGTCAGAGACATCGGGTAAAGGCGAGGAGAGCGGGCGCAACGTGGAGGGCCAGGTGCCTCTGGAGGACCTAGAGAGGAACCAGAAGATCCTGCAGTGGATGATGGAGGGCGACAGGCAGAGGAAGAGCTCACATGGGTGAGGAAGGGGAGGGGGAGATATGGTTAAAGGAGTAGTTCACTGTTTTCATCTCATTCCAACACCTTCCGCTCATCACGACTCTGGACACTAGGATGACTTCTCGTACCCAGGTTTAATGACAATTGAAAGGGTGAAACTAAAGGAAAACAAAAAATACAAGAAAGAAATGACATGAATTAAAATGAATTAAATGATCCTTTAAATGTAGATCAGAACACAGAGATAGACTCAGACAGTCTATTTCACTCTGTCACAACCTGAAGTGCCATTATAATCCGCACAGCGAAAAACAATTACTCAAAATGGCCACAAGATGGCAGCATAGGACCACAAATGAAAAGCATGACTCAGCGCTCACCTGCATGCAGCCAAACATAATCATACATCTTTTTACACTCTTAACCATGAACTTTTTATCGCAGAATAAACCACCATGACATGATTCAACATAAAAGAAAGCTACAAACCCACGACCTGAACCCTCTGCGAGACACGCCCCTGAAATCCTGAGGGCCGTTTAGAGAGGGGCCCCCAGAGCCTGCGGTTTACCAAAAAGCTGATATCTCAGCCTCTGTAGCAGAAACAAACAAAATTCAGAAAGTGTTTGAGAGCTTTCACATGTGGCTTTCAAGATGACTACCTTTTATTTTTCTGAACCTTCATCAGATTTTTTAAAAACCTTAAACAAACTCAAATGAAATAAAACGGCTGTATAAATAAAAGTAAAGACTCTGTACTGGAGAATAACAAACTATTCGCCCTTAAACTGTTTGAGTTTTAAATGTGAGACTGTTCTGTACTCCGTGGTTAAACCAGTCTCGCTCCTGTCCTCCCTCCAGCAGCAGCACCAGCAGCTCCAGGAGGACGGGAGCCAGCAGCGAGTCGCCGCGTCCAACATCAGTGGAGCGGCCGGGAGCCGTGCACCCCTGGGTCTCCGCCCAGCTGCGTAACAACCCCTCCTCTGTTTCCCCCGCCCTCCCTGGCTCGGCGTCCACCCAGGTCCAGCCCTCGCACCCTTTCATCCAGGACCCAGCTATGCCCCCCAACCCGGCTCCCAACCCGCTCACCCAGCTGGAGGAGGCTAGGAGGAGGCTGGAGGAGGAGAGGAGGAGGAACGCACTACAGCAGGCCAAGCAGAGGTGATTGATTTAAAACGTGAAGAACACGTTTTCAGAGTTTAAACGTTCCTGTTTCTGTTCGATTAAAGTTTGTTTGTTTTCTCTTAGGCATAAGTCTGGTAAGCGCCAAGTGTGTGAGAACATGACCGTGGCGTACTACTTCTGTGGAGAGCCAATCCCTTACCGGACATCAGTCAAAGGCCGGGTGGTGACTCTGGGCCAGTTCAAGGAGCTGCTTACCAAAAAGGGCCATTACAGGTGAGACTACCTGAGCAGGTGAAAGCCAGGTCACGTTTCTCCTTTTCTTCTTCCTTCTCTCAAATAATCGAGCTTTTCTGGTTTGGCCTTCAGGTTCTACTTCAAGAAAGTGAGTGACGAGTTTGACTGCGGCGTTGTGTTCGAGGAGGTTCGTGACGATGACGCCATCTTGCCCATCTTCGAGGAGAAGATCATCGGAAAGGTGGAGAAGGTGGACTGAAATGTTTCGGGAACAGGAAGATGACACAGATTATCTGAAAAACAAAGGTGAACTTTTGGATGAGACGGAAATTCAGCGGTAAGAGAGAGTACGACAGGAAGTAGAAAGATGGAAGTAGCAAAGTGGGACAGAAGGGAGACTGAGCGGCGTGGTAAAGGCTCGAGTATTAAGTATCAAGTTAAGGAGTTGGGTTTTTTTGACGGCATATCTGGATATCTGCGTCATGCCTAGATCAAACACACAGAGGAGAAGAAGAAGAAGAAGAAGCTGGGCCTGATGAAGCAGAAACTAAACAGAGGAACGTTTATGATTTCATCTGTCTCGTCTCCACTGTGGATTTTCAAGGAGCGCTGTTCAAATCGGATGTCTGTCCAGTCTTCCTCTTCGATGGATGGAAAAGGGTGAGGGGACTGCTGGAGGGAAAGGAGATCAAGTAGTCTTCCACTTCTGCTCTGGAGGAGTCTGTCCTCCGCAGACCATTACGATGCTGCTACATTACCACGGAAACTCTTCAATCGGTGCTCGGGACAGTCAAGAAAGCCTTTTTATTTTTTGTCTTTTTTTTTTTTGTTCCATTCGGGGGTCTCGCTGCCTTTTTGCTGTCTCTGATCCTCATCAGCTGGCCACAAGATAAAAAGGACAGGGGGATTTTTGGGAGGAGTGGAACTTGAGCCTGCTTCTCCTCCTCTTTTGTCGACGTCATAGCCTCAAAACAGAGACGTTTTCTCACCGTGATTCCTAGATGTCATGTAGTGATCTCTCACACCGACATGTTCAGACTACAGTTCTCCACACAACTTGTTTACCAAAGCTACATATTTTTGATAAAGACAAGTACCCTAGCTACTTGTTTCATTTTATTTGAATTGTCTATGTACAAGGCAGGTACTCTTACTTATTAATGCAGCCTAATTTCGCTATATCTCAACTTTAATGTCGTAATATTATTGTGTATGTTTTGAAGCTAGTTCATTAGTCATTTCAGGGCAGCCATGTTTTTGTTTCTCTCCTCTCTAGAACACAGATCTCCACCTCACTCCTGTACTGTTGCCGTTTTCTTCTCCTACCTGACGGATTTTTAGTTATCCGATTGTATCTTGGTTTTTATTTCCACCTTCAGAAACTCTCATGGAACATTTGAGCGCGCGCCTCAGATGAACAGTCGTCGACCACAGTATCTGTTGTCTCAAACAAGTCACACCTCATTTTTTCAGCTGTACTTTGAGCCTGTGTAACTCCAAGCTCAGCCTAGGTGCCTGCCTGCCTGCCTGCCTGCCTGCCTGGCCAGTGCCATTACTATCTGGAAAGCTTATTCTCAAGCCTGTTTGTGAGCGTTTAAAGCCTGCGTCATGTATGCCTGAACTCAGCCAAAGAGCATATCATGCGTCCCTTAAGCCTGCGTCATGCGTGTGTGTCTGCACAGTCTAAGTTTACGAGTGTCAAATGAATTGTCCATCATGAGCAGAAGGGAATCTCCGCCTTGGATTCGAAAAACAGGGTTCAATTCTGCATCTTATTCTGAAAGCACAGGCGGCATTTGCTTGTAGATTTTGCTGAATTGGTGAGAAAATCCAAACCAGTGTCATGAGTGTGTTGTAAACACAAAGTTACAGCCAGTTTGTACATGTGGTAAATGAACCAATGTAAGAAACTAAAGCTGCTTGTAATCCTGATCCATGATCATTTTAATTTTTGCAAACATTTTGGTGAGTTAAAAAGTAAGAAAAACAGTCGTCACAGTTCTCCTAAGCACAAAATGAAACCGTCAATGGTGCTTTAAAAGTCTTGTCCCTCAAACGTGGGTAAAAATCAAGTGAGTTGTCTTTCACTGGGCGCCTCGTTTGTTTAAAACATTAATAAACGCTCAGCTTCCTCTTTTACCTGATGAATTTCATAATAAAAACACGTGTGAGAGGAAAGAGTAACAAAAATAGTCACTATCCTTAAATCGAAGAGGTTTAAAAGGTGCTGGTTTGTTCCTTTTGTCACCTTTTAACCAGGTAGCTGTTAATAATCAGGTGAAGCTCAGCGCAGAGTAAGCCGGCTGTGACTTTGTGTTCGACGCACAGATATGAAACGTGGTTCCCGTGAAGCTGTTGAGCATATTTTAAATTTTGCAGACCTTTTCCTTGACTTTTCCTCCGGTTCGGCCCTGTGGTCAGGACACCATTAAGCACCGTGCAGACAGTGCACTGATCACACACCAGCTGTTTCTGCTGAATGTAGATCACTTAGTTAAACCTTTTAACCTCAAAAGAAATCCCTCTGGTCACATCGTCACGTCTGTCCTCATATTGATCGTAACCTGATTGTTTTGTGTTACTTTTACTGGGAGTTCATTGAATGTGTTGCTCAAACAAAGAGATCCTTCCCAACGTCTTGCAGGAATGTCAAACATGTTTTGTCCTGGGCCTTCGCCGAGACAGGGAAACAGGATGGTAAAACATATTTGTCCTAACTTCAATCCATTATGCCTTCAATATGAAATTTAATTCAATTTAAAATTTAGATATGTATTTGTTTATGAAAATAAAATGTAATTTTAATAATCACCAAGCATGTTCTTTATAAGGAATGTTTTCCTGATGAGTTGAATTATCTATTTTGTTTGAATGTTTATGTGCGAACAGCGACGGCCCTCTGATTTGATCGGTTTGTTAGAAAGAAAGCCCAGGGACAGTTGAATGACGATATTTGTTCAGAGTTGTTTCTCGTGATGATGATTCGATGGACAAAACAAACAGCAGCGTCTGTTGTGTTGTCAGTTTGTGTGAAACACAGTGCCTTTATCATGTTATCTATGGAAATACCTTTATCGAACCAATCCATGCTTTTTAATGGAACTTTTTACTTTCACTCAGTCCTGTTTGTTCTTTTTTTTTTTCTTGTTTTTAGCTGCAGTCATGCTTGCTCACTTCTGTATGGATAGATCCTCTGCTGTAAATATGTACATTATCATTTCATATGTGTCGTCAGACCCGCACCACATGTCCACGGTGTTTCTGTTTTTCAAAGGTAAACGCCAAGATGTCACTGTGCTGGTTCCACTTGTACATTTCTTTTAAAAAGGTACTTCATAATAAAGATGTTGATTAAAAAAAGAATTGACTTCATTCTCTGGCTTATAATGCAATAGTGACTCAAATTAAGGGTACCCAAAGATTCTCAACACACAGTGAGGTTCAAGAGAAAAAAAGCAAGAATGGAAGATACCGTGAGGTTGTCGGGACCCTCTGCAATTTGACCACTAAATTGACAGTGGGTGTCCTCACTGGTGCTCTAAATGACTGTGGACCATTAAGTCAAAGACAGATGTCAGTGTTTAACATCTGGATCAAATCTGCATGTTGCTTGATCAAGAGGTTTCTGCAGCCTGTGTGGCAGGATTGAAACAGTCAGTATGGGAGTTAAAGAAGCAACAGAAGTTGTGTTCCTCTCAAAAAATAAAACCAGCAGTGATTATAATAATGACTGTAATAATACGAGAACTCCTCTGTCGCATCACCATGGGCTTCGTCATTAGAAACAATGAGGAAAACCTCCGTTTTGTCACTGTTGAGTTCAAACCTTTTTGTAAGTATCAGTGGGTTGAGAAGCATTGTCAGCACTAGTTCAGCAAACCAAAACTGCCGCTACACATTTTCAGAGTAAGAGAAGATGATTTTTTATTGAGTTTTTGTTTTTTTCATTTTATTTTTTTTATGCAACATGTTTACTAGCATGATCAGTACTGGCTCAGCAAAGCAAACCAATACTAACAACCTGTACATAGTTTGCAGAAATATATATATATATATATATATATATATCATTTTATTTTTTTTCTACGTTTTTGATTTTTTTTTTTTGTAGAAAAGTAAAACATGATTATTAGCATGACTGGTTCAGCAAAGCAAGAAAGACAACAGTACTGCTTTAGTAGAGCAGTACTGTCGAGTACTGATATTGTACTGATACTGTACTGTACTGATATATACTGTCGAGTCTAGATATAGTCGGACTCGCCTCGACACCTAGTGTGGGCTCTCAAACCAGACCTCTTGAGTGGGGCTGGACTTCTTCTTCTCTGGAGTTGTCACTGGTGAGAGGCGCCAGGCAGGGGTGGCAATACTTATTGCTCCCTGGCTCTGTGTCTGTGTGTTGGGGTTTACTCCGGTGGACGAGAGGGTAGCCTCCCTTCACCTTTGGGTGGTGGTGTGGGGGGGAGGGGATCCTGACTGTTGTTTGTAGCTATGCTCCAAACAGCAGCTCAGAGGGACCTCAACGCCTATGTCGCTTACGACAGTGAGACCCAGAGGGGCGTGATTGGGAGGAACGGCCCCCCGGATCTGAACTTTGTGGTGCTTTGTTATTGGATTTCTGTGCTCATCACAGACTGTCCATAATGAACACCATGTTCAGACATAAGGGTGTCCACATGTACACTTGGCATCAGGACAACCTGGGCCGCAGTTCGATGATCGACTGATCATGATAATAATACTGTATAAAAAAAATAAATAAAAATCTTTATCTTCTCTTATAGCAAACTGTGTTTAGGTTGTTAGTTCTGGTTTTGTTCTACTAAAGCAGTATTGTCCTTTTTCTTGCTTTGCTGAACCAGTGTTTATATTTTGATTATGTTTGTATGTCTGTAACTTTGTTGGAACGTGCTGCAGCTTTCTTGGCCAAGACACGGGTAGTTAGTATTGGTTTTGCTTTGCTGAACCAGTACTGATCATGCTAATAATCATGTTGTACTTTACTACAAAAAAAAAAATCAAAAACGTAGGGAAAAAAAAAAAAAAAAAAAAATTATATATATTTATATATATATATATATATATATATATATTTCTGCAAACTATGTACAGGTTGTTAGTATTGGTTTGCTTTGCTGAACTAGTGCTGACAATGCTTCTCAACCCACTGATACTTATAAAAAGGTTTGAACTCAACAGTGACAAAACGGAGGTTTTCCTCATTGTTTTTAATGACGAAGCCTGTGGTGATGCGACAGAGGAGTTCTCGTATTAGAATAGAATAGAATAGAATATTCCTTTATTGATCCCCCATGGGGGAAATTTTTTTGTCACAGCAGCATCACAGACAAGACAAAAAGTGCAAAAAGTGCAAAAATGCAGTTATAGACAAGACAAAAAGTGCAAAAATGCAGTTATACTGTATTATTACAGTCATTATTATAATCACTGCTGGTTTTATTTTTTTGAGAGGAACACAACTTCTGTTGCTTCTTTAACTCCCATACTGACTGTTTCAATCCTGTGACACAGGCTGCAGAAACCTCTCGATCAAGCAATATGATCGATCAAAAATCATTTTCACTTTTCATGCATTATTCAATTTTTCAAACACATTCCAACTCATTTAAACTGATTCAAAGCTTTCTGATTCTTCAAGCCTCTTCCATACTCCAGAGTTTTTAATCATTTTAATTTTCACAAGTTGAATTATTATTATTTTATTATTATTATTATTCATGCATTCTTCAATTCATTCAATTGAGTTCTTCAAATTGATTCAAATCTTCCTGATACTTCAAACCTTCTTATCTTTCACATATTTTCAAAATTCAGCCATTCACAATAGCAGTTTAGCGATAGCAATTTCAACCGGAGCAATTCCACTTGCAATTTCTTCAGAAATTGCATTTTCTAGTTTATTCAAGTTCTCTCAACATAAATTTGAAGCTTTACGTTAAATGAAATATATTACTTTGCACTAATGTAATCAAAATACATGGAAAATTTACATGTGATTAAATTATCTAAAGTCAAGGTTTTTGGTACATATATTTTGTAATTGTACCTGTGACATCATCATCATGTGACATCAAGTTGTGACATCATCATGTACTCGTACTCGATGATGTCACTACATGATGATGTCACAGGTACAATTGTTTTGTAATTGAACCTGTGACATCATCATGTAGTGACATCATCAAGCTGTGATGATGTCATCCTTTGAAGGGAACTTCAAAGGATGACATCATCATTGGAATGTGGGCACTTCAGATGTCCATATAAATCCTGTCATGTTCCCTCACAAAAAGATTGTAAAAAATTTCACAGTCACTCCACAGTCCACAGTCTCTTGTATTTTCAGTGCTATCTTTCAGCATTTGCCTTAGTTTCCTATTGAAATTCCTATTGAATTTCCCTTTCCCAGACAAACTGCTGAATTACTAGACCATACACTAGACATTTTCTTTTAGCCAATAACAGCTATCCACAATGCAGAGCACACTGCAACTCAGAGAATTAATGAACAAGCTCAGGAGGATAAGAGGAACGACAAAATCCGGAAAATCAACAGGAAAAGAAGTAGGAGAGCTCCTGTTAATAGTGACAGACCTGTTGCCCTATAAAAATAATTTTGAGTCATTACAAGTATCTCTCAAGCAAAAGGATCATTCAATAACAACTTTGAACAATGAGTTGCAACAAAAGGAAGTTCAGTTGAAAATGCAGAGCGAACAGTTTGGATTGCAAATAGCATCCCTGACAAAGGAAAATCAGATGCTGAAAGACAGTAATATCCTCAATGCTTGCAAGATCACTGGCATGAAAGAATCAATCAGGGCGCTCGATGACAAGGTGATGGACAACAAAACACAAAACCTAAAGCTCCGAGATGAACTGAAAATGTACAAGCAGCATTGTTGCACACAGGATATTAATGAGAAAGCATTAAAAAAAAGAAATGCTGATAACGATGATGAAATTTTGTTGCTCAAACGGGAGATACAAAAACTAGAGGCAAGATTGAAGGACAATGAAAGGGCAACTGCAGAGGCCGCAAAGAGCAAGGAAAAGACAACACGTTATCAAAACAAACTGTCCGAGGCTCGAACAGAAATCAGTCTCGACAAGAAAGAAAACGATAACCTACACTGCACCGTCATGAGACAGGCTGCAGAGATTAAGTCAAAGACCACAGAGCTCGAGAAAGCTACATTTCAATATGAATCAGAGAAGTGCAAGCTGGCCTCTTGTCAGAATCGTCTTGATAAACTGAGGAAAGAAATGGAGGACTTTCGGGACATTACTGACAAGGATAATCAGAAGACCAGCTGTGATCTGAAAAAATTGGAGTCACAAATTGAAAAGTTACAGTTCGAAGCATCTCAATACGAGGAATGGGACATTAGACAAAAACAACAGATCAGTGAGCTCCAAAGTGTCCTACTTGAGAAGGAAGCAGAGATAACAAAAGAGAGACGAGAGAATATGCTTCTCAAAGGTAGATGTGCAGGGGCTGAGAGTGACACCGAAGACCTGCCAAAACGTCCTTTTTGCTCAGCTGTGAGCTCAAGAAGGGAGGGCAGTTCTTCCCGTTGCCAAATTGAGTATCCAAAGCCTCGACAGAAGCCTCAACAGAAGCCTCAACAGAAGGATCAACAGGACAACCAAGACAAAATGATGAAGGGGCAGAACGGCATGCTGGAGCAGATGAAAGATCAGGATGTGCACAAACAGTGCAGGCAAAAGATCAAGGAACTCAAGTTAAGTGAAAACGTGTATTCTTGTATTGAGAGAGGGTTAACAGAAAAGCTAAATGAAAAAACAAAGGAAATCCGCTGCCTAAGAATACAGCTGAAGGAGCTCCAAAGGAAGAAGCAACCAATCAGGCCAAAAAACCCTGACCAGGACGAAGCACAGAGTTCAAGCGATCCACTAATCTTAACTGGGACTCCTTTGAAACCAAACAAATTGAACAGATTCCAGCCCCGGCCCCCAATCATGACAAAAGCCGAAACCCATGACCAGGACAAAGCACAGAGTTCAAGCGATCCACTAATCTTAACTGGGACTCCTTTGAAACCAAACAAATTGAACAGATTCCAGCCCCTGCCCTCAATCATGACAAAAGCCGAAACCCCTGACCAGGACAAAGCACAGAGTTCAAGCGATCCACTAATCTTAACTGGGACTCCTTTGAAACCAAACGAATTGAACAGATTCCAGCCCCTGCCCTCAATCATGACAAAAGCCGAAACCCCTGACCAGGACAAAGCACAGAGTTCAAGCGATCCACTAATCATAATTAGGATTCCTTTCAAACCAAAGTAAAAGCACAAATTCCTGCCCCTGCCCCAAATCATTAAAAAGGGTCAAAACCCAGACCAGGACAAAGCACAGAATGTAAGGGCACCACTAAGTTTGCGTGTTCTCCCAGTGCCGTGTGGGTTTACTCCGGGTGCTCCGGTTTCCTCCCACAGGTTAATTAGGTTAATTAGCCACTTTCAAAAAAAAAAAACCTTTAAAAACAAGCTACCACCTTACCGTGGTGGAAGGGTTTGTGTGTCCCAATGATCCCAGGAGCTTTATACCATATGTCCTGGGTTCAAATCCGGGTCAGGTCAGGGTGTTTCTGTGTGGAGTTTCCATGTTCTCCCTGTGCCGTGTGGGTTTACTCCGGGTGCTCCGGTTTCCTCCCACAGGTTTATTAGTCACTTTCAAAAAAAAAAAAAACCTTTAAAAGCAAAACAAAACCCCACAAAATGAACAAATATATATATATATATATATTTGTTTATTTTGGGAGAACTTGAATAAACTAGAAAATGCAATTTCTAGTTCTGCAATTTCTGATTGAAGAACTAGAATTTATATATATATATATGTGTATATATATATATATATATATATATATATATATATATCCCCTCCTCGAGCTACCACCTTACCGTGGTGGAGGGGTTTGTGTGTCCCAATGATCCCTGGAGCTTTATGCCTCTGGAGGGTCACCCATGGCAAACAGGTCCTGGGGGAGGGATCAGACTAAGGGTAGCTCAAACAGACTCCTTATGATAGACAAATATTTGGCACCGAGTTTCTCTTGCCTGATGAAGTTCCAGCTAGATATAGTCGGACTCGCCTCGACACCTAGTGTGGGCTCTCAAACCAGACCTCTTGAGTGGGGCTGGACTTCTTCTCTGGAGTTGTCACTGGTGAGAGGCGCCGGGCAGGGGTGGCAATACTTATTGCTCCCTGGCTCTGTGTCTGTGTGTTGGGGTTTACTCCGGTGGACGAGAGGGTAGCCATACTCCAGTATAGCCTTCCATACTTCAGGGTTTTTAATCATTTTAATTTTCACAATTTGAATTGTTATTATTTTATTATTATTATTATTCATGCATTCTTCAATTCATTCAATTGAGTTCTTCAAATACATTCAAATCTTCCTGATACTTCAAACCTTCTTATCTTTCACATATTTTCAAAATTCAGCCATTCACAATAGCAGTTTAGCGATAGCAATTTCAACCGGAGCAATTCCACTCGCAATTTCTTCAGAAATTGCATTTTCTAGTTTATTCAAGTTCTCTCAACATAAATTTGAAGCTTTACGTTAAATGAAATATATTACTTTGCACTAATGTAATCAAAATACATGGAAAATTTACATGTGATTAAATTATCTAAAGTCAAGGTTTTTGGTACATATATTTTGTAATTGTACCTGTGACATCATCATCATGTGACATCAAGTTGTGACATCATCATCATGTGACATCAAGTTGTGACATCATCATGTACTCTATGATGTCACATCTTGATGATGTCACTACATGATGATGTCACAGGTTCAATTACAAAAAAATTGTACCTGTGACATCATCATGTAGTGACATCATCAAGCTGTGATGATGTCATCCTTTGAAGGGAACTTCAAAGGATGACATCATCATTGGAATGTGGGCACTTCAGATGTCCATATAAATCCTGTCATGTTCCCTCACAAAAAGATTGTAAAAAATTTCAGTCACTCCACAGTCCACAGTCTCTTGTATTTTCAGTGCTATCTTTCAGCATTTGCCTTAGTTTCCTATTGAAATTCCTATTGAATTTCCCTTTCCCAGACAAACTGCTGAATTACTAGACCATACACTAGACATTTTCTTTTAGCCAATAACAGCTATCCACAATGCAGAGCACACTGCAACTCAGAGAATTAATGAACAAGCTCAGGAGGATAAGAGGAACGACAAAATCCGGAAAATCAACAGGAAAAGAAGTAGGAGAGCTTCTGTTAATAGTGACAGACCTGTTGCCCTATAAAAATAATTTTGAGTCATTACAAGTATCTCTCAAGCAAAAGGATCATTCAATAACAACTTTGAACAATGAGTTGCAACAAAAAGAAGTTCAGTTGAAAATGCAGAGCGAACAGTTTGGATTGCAAATAGCATCCCTGACAAAGGAAAATCAGATGCTGAAAGACAGTAATATCCTCAATGCTTGCAAGATCACTGGCATGAAAGAATCAATCAGGGCGCTCGATGACAAGGTGATGGACAACAAAACACAAAACCTAAAGCTCCGAGATGAACTGAAAATGTACAAGCAGCATTGTTGCACACAGGATATTAATGAGAAGGCATTAAAAAAAAGAAATGCTGATAACGATGATGAAATTTTGTTGCTCAAACGGGAGATACAAAAACTAGAGGCAAGATTGAAGGACAATGAAAGGGCAACTGCAGAGGCCGCAAAGAGCAAGGAAAAGACAACACGTTATCAAAACAAACTGTCCGAGGCTCGAACAGAAATCAGTCTCGACAAGAAAGAAAACGATAACCTACACTGCACCGTCATGAGACAGGCTGCAGAGATTAAGTCAAAGACCACAGAGCTCGAGAAAGCTACATTTCAATATGAATCAGAGAAGTGCAAGCTGGCCTCCTGTCAGAATCGTCTTGATAAACTGAGGAAAGAAATGGAGGACTTTCGGGACATTACTGACAAGGATAATCAGAAGACCAGCTGTGATCTGAAAAAATTGGAGTCACAAATTGAAAAGTTACAGTTCGAAGCATCTCAATACGAGGAATGGGACATTAGACAAAAACAACAGATCAGTGAGCTCCAAAGTGTCCTACTTGAGAAGGAAGCGGAGATAACAAAAGAGAGACGAGAGAATATGCTTCTCAAAGGTAGATGTGCAGGGGCTGAGAGTGACACCGAAGACCTGCCAAAACGTCCTTTTTGCTCAGCTGTGAGCTCAAGAAGGGAGGGCAGTTCTTCCCGTTGCCAAATTGAGTATCCAAAGCCTCGACAGAAGCCTCAACAGAAGCCTCAACAGAAGCCTCAACAGGACAACCAAGACAAAATGATGAAGGGGCAGAACGGCATGCTGGAGCAGATGAAAGATCAGGATGTGCACAAACAGTGCAGGCAAAAGATCAAGGAACTCAAGTTAAGTGAAAACGTGTATTCTTGTATTGAGAGAGGGTTAACAGAAAAGCTAAATGAAAAAACAAAGGAAATCCGCTGCCTAAGAATACAGCTGAAGGAGCTCCAAAGGAAGAAGCAACCAATCAGGCCAAAAAACCCTGACCAGGACAAAGCACAGAGTTCAAGCGATCCACTAATCTTAACTGGGACTCCTTTGAAACCAAACAAATTGAACAGATTCCAGCCCCGGCCCCCAATCATGACAAAAGCCGAAACCCCTGACCAGGACGAAGCACAGAGTTCAAGCGATCCACTAATCTTAACTGGGACTCCTTTGAAACCAAACGAATTGAACAGATTCCAGCCCCTGCCCTCAATCATGACAAAAGCCAAAACCCCTGACCAGGACAAAGCACAGAGTTCAAGCGATCCACTAATCTTAACTGGGACTCCTTTGAAACCAAACGAATTGAACAGATTCCAGCCCCTGCCCTCAATCATGACAAAAGCCGAAACCCCTGACCAGGACAAAGCACAGAGTTCAAGCGATCCACTAATCATAATTAGGATTCCTTTCAAACCAAAGTAAAAGCACAAATTCCTGCCCCTGCCCCAAATCATTAAAAAGGGTCAAAACCCAGACCAGGACAAAGCACAGAATGTAAGGGCACCACTAAGTTTGCGTGTTCTCCCAGTGCCGTGTGGGTTTACTCCGGGTGCTCCGGTTTCCTCCCACAGGTTAATTAGGTTAATTAGGTTAATTAGCCACTTTCAGAAAAAAAAACCTTTAAAAACAAGCTACCACCTTACCGTGGTGGAAGGGTTTGTGTGTCCCAATGATCCCAGGAGCTTTATACCATATGTCCTGGGTTCAAATCCGGGTCAGGTCAGGGTGTTTCTGTGTGGAGTTTCCATGTTCTCCCTGTGCCGTGTGGGTTTACTCCGGGTGCTCCGGTTTCCTCCCACAGGTTTATTAGTCACTTTCAAAAAAAAAAAAAACCTTTAAAAGCAAAACAAAACCCCACAAAATGAACAAATATATATATATATATATATTTGTTTATTTTGGGAGAACTTGAATAAACTAGAAAATGCAATTTCTAGTTCTGCAATTTCTGATTGAAGAACTAAAATTTATATATATATATATGTATATATATATATATATATATATATATATATATATATATATCCCCTCCTCGAGCTACCACCTTACCGTGGTGGAGGGGTTTGTGTGTCCCAATGATCCCTGGAGCTTTATGCCTCTGGGGGGTCACCCATGGCAAACAGGTCCTGGGGGAGGGATCAGACTAAGGGTAGCTCAAACAGACTCCTTATGATAGACAAATATTTGGCACCGAGTTTCTCTTGCCTGATGAAGTTCCAGCTAGATATAGTCGGACTCGCCTCGACACCTAGTGTGGGCTCTCAAACCAGACCTCTTGAGTGGGGCTGGACTTCTTCTTCTCTGGAGTTGTCACTGGTGAGAGGCGCCGGGCAGGGGTGGCAATACTTATTGCTCCCTGGCTCTGTGTCTGTGTGTTGGGGTTTACTCCGGTGGACGAGAGGGTAGCCATACTCCAGTATAGCCTTCCATACTTCAGGGTTTTTAATCATTTTAATTTTCACAAGTTGAATTATTATTATTTTATTATTATTATTATTCATGCATTCTTCAATTCATTCAATTGAGTTCTTCAAATACATTCAAATCTTCCTGATACTTCAAACCTTCTTATCTTTCACATATTTTCAAAATTCAGCCATTCACAATAGCAGTTTAGCGATAGCAATTTCAACCGGAGCAATTCCACTCGCAATTTCTTCAGAAATTGCATTTTCTAGTTTATTCAAGTTCTCTCAACATAAATTTGAAGCTTTACGTTAAATGAAATATATTACTTTGCACTAATGTAATCAAAATACATGGAAGATTTACATGTGATTAAATTATCTAAAGTCAAGGTTTTTGGTACATATATTTTGTAATTGTACCTGTGACATCATCATCATGTGACATCAAGTTGTGACATCATCATCATGTGACATCAAGTTGTGACATCATCATGTACTCTATGATGTCACATCTTGATGATGTCACTACATGATGATGTCACAGGTACAATTTTTTTGTAATTGAACCTGTGACATCATCATGGAGTGACATCATCAAGATGTGACATCATAGAGTATATGATGATGTCACAACTTGATGTCACATGATGATGATGTCACAGGTACAATTACAAAATATATGTACCAAAAACCTTGACTTTAGATAATTTAATCACATGTAAATTTTCCATGTATTGTGATTACATTAGTGCAAAGTAATATATTTCATTTAACGTAAAGCTTCAAATTTATGTTGAGAGAACTTGAATAAACTAGAAAATGCAATTTCTGAAGAAATTGCGAGTGGAATTGCTCCGGTTGAAATTGCTATCGCTAAACTGCTATTGTGAATGGCTGAATTTTGAAAATATGTGAAAGATAAGAAGGTTTGAAGTATCAGGAAGATTTGAATGTATTTGAAGAACTCAATTGAATGAATTGAAGAATGCATGAATAATAATAATAATAAAATAATAATAATTCAACTTGTGAAAATTAAAATGATTAAAAACCCTGAAGTATGGAAGGCTATACTGGAGTATGGCTACCCTCTCGTCCACCGGAGTAAACCCCAACACACAGACACAGAGCCAGGGAGCAATAAGTATTGCCACCCCTGCCCGGCGCCTCTCACCAGTGACAACTCCAGAGAAGAAGAAGTCCAGCCCCACTCAAGAGGTCTGGTTTGAGAGCCCACACTAGGTGTCGAGGCGAGTCCGACTATATCTAGCTGGAACTTCATCAGGCAAGAGAAACTCGGTGCCAAATATTTGTCTATCATAAGGAGTCTGTTTGAGCTACCCTTAGTCTGATCCCTCCCCCAGGACCTGTTTGCCATGGGTGACCCTCCAGAGGCATAAAGCTCCAGGGATCATTGGGACACACAAACCCCTCCACCACGGTAAGGTGGTAGCTCGAGGAGGAATATATATATATATATATATATATATATATATATATATATATATATATATAAATTCTAGTTCTTCAATCAGAAATTGCAGAACTAGAAATTGCATTTTCTAGTTTATTCAAGTTCTCCCAAAATAAACAAATATATATATATATATATATATATATATATATATATTTGTTCATTTTGTGGGGTTTTGTTTTGCTAAAGGTTTTTTTAATTTTGAAAGTGACTAATACACCTGTGGGAGGAAACCGGAGCACCCGGAGTAAACCCACACGGCACAGGGAGAACATGGAAACTCCACACAGAAACACCCTGACCTGACCCGGATTTGAACCCAGGACATATGGTATAAAGCTCCTGGGATCATTGGGACACACAAACCCTTCCACCACGGTAAGGTGGTAGCTTGTTTTTAAAGGTTTTTTTTTTTTAAAAGTGGCTAATTAACCTAATTAACCTGTGGGAGGAAACCGGAGCACCCGGAGTAAACCCACACGGCACTGGGAGAACACGCAAACTTAGTGGTGCCCTTACATTCTGTGCTTTGTCCTGGTCTGGGTTTTGACCCTTTTTAATGATTTGGGGCAGGGGCAGGAATTTGTGCTTTTACTTTGGTTTGAAAGGAATCCTAATTATGATTAGTGGATCGCTTGAACTCTGTGCTTTGTCCTGGTCAGGGGTTTCGGCTTTTGTCATGATTGAGGGCAGGGGCTGGAATCTGTTCAATTCGTTTGGTTTCAAAGGAGTCCCAGTTAAGATTAGTGGATCGCTTGAACTCTGTGCTTTGTCCTGGTCAGGGGTTTTGGCTTTTGTCATGATTGAGGGCAGGGGCTGGAATCTGTTCAATTCGTTTGGTTTCAAAGGAGTCCCAGTTAAGATTAGTGGATCGCTTGAACTCTGTGCTTCGTCCTGGTCAGGGGTTTCGGCTTTTGTCATGATTGGGGGCCGGGGCTGGAATCTGTTCAATTTGTTTGGTTTCAAAGGAGTCCCAGTTAAGATTAGTGGATCGCTTGAACTCTGTGCTTCGTCCTGGTCAGGGTTTTTGGCCTGATTGGTTGCTTCTTCCTTTGGAGCTCCTTCAGCTGTATTCTTAGGCAGCGGATTTCCTTTGTTTTTTCATTTAGCTTTTCTGTTAACCCTCTCTCAATACAAGAATACACGTTTTCACTTAACTTGAGTTCCTTGATCTTTTGCCTGCACTGTTTGTGCACATCCTGATCTTTCATCTGCTCCAGCATGCCGTTCTGCCCCTTCATCATTTTGTCTTGGTTGTCCTGTTGATCCTTCTGTTGAGGCTTCTGTTGAGGCTTCTGTCGAGGCTTTGGATACTCAATTTGGCAACGGGAAGAACTGCCCTCCCTTCTTGAGCTCACAGCTGAGCAAAAAGGACGTTTTGGCAGGTCTTCGGTGTCACTCTCAGCCCCTGCACATCTACCTTTGAGAAGCATATTCTCTCGTCTCTCTTTTGTTATCTCCGCTTCCTTCTCAAGTAGGACACTTTGGAGCTCACTGATCTGTTGTTTTTGTCTAATGTCCCATTCCTCGTATTGAGATGCTTCGAACTGTAACTTTTCAATTTGTGACTCCAATTTTTTCAGATCACAGCTGGTCTTCTGATTATCCTTGTCAGTAATGTCCCGAAAGTCCTCCATTTCTTTCCTCAGTTTATCAAGACGATTCTGACAAGAGGCCAGCTTGCACTTCTCTGATTCATATTGAAATGTAGCTTTCTCGAGCTCTGTGGTCTTTGACTTAATCTCTGCAGCCTGTCTCATGACGGTGCAGTGTAGGTTATCGTTTTCTTGCTTGTCGAGACTGATTTCTGTTCGAGCCTCGGACAGTTTGTTTTGATAACGTGTTGTCTTTTCCTTGCTCTTTGCGGCCTCTGCAGTTGCCCTTTCATTGTCCTTCAATCTTGCCTCTAGTTTTTGTATCTCCCGTTTGAGCAACAAAATTTCATCATCGTTATCAGCATTTCTTTTTTTTAATGCCTTCTCATTAATATCCTGTGTGCAACAATGCTGCTTGTACATTTTCAGTTCATCTCGGAGCTTTAGGTTTTGTGTTTTGTTGTCCATCACCTTGTCATCGAGCGCCCTGATTGATTCTTTCATGCCAGTGATCTTGCAAGCATTGAGGATATTACTGTCTTTCAGCATCTGATTTTCCTTTGTCAGGGATGCTATTTGCAATCCAAACTGTTCGCTCTGCATTTTCAACTGAACTTCTTTTTGTTGCAACTCATTGTTCAAAGTTGTTATTGAATGATCCTTTTGCTTGAGAGATACTTGTAATGACTCAAAATTATTTTTATAGGGCAACAGGTCTGTCACTATTAACAGGAGCTCTCCTACTTCTTTTCCTGTTGATTTTCCGGATTTTGTCGTTCCTCTTATCCTCCTGAGCTTGTTCATTAATTCTCTGAGTTGCAGTGTGCTCTGCATTGTGGATAGCTGTTATTGGCTAAAAGAAAATGTCTAGTGTATGGTCTAGTAATTCAGCAGTTTGTCTGGGAAAGGAAATTCAATAGGAATTTCAATAGGAAACTAAGGCAAATGCTGAAAGATAGCACTGAAAATACAAGAGACTGTGGACTGTGGAGTGACTGTGAAATTTTTTACAATCTTTTTGTGAGGGAACATGACAGGATTTATATGGACATCTGAAGTGCCCACATTCCAATGATGATGTCATCCTTTGAAGTTCCCTTCAAAGGATGACATCATCACAGCTTGATGATGTCACTACATGATGATGTCACAGGTACAATTTTTTTGTAATTGAACCTGTGACATCATCATGTAGTGACATCATCAAGATGTGACATCATAGAGTACATGATGATGTCACAACTTGATGTCACATGATGATGATGTCACAACTTGATGTCACATGATGATGATGTCACAGGTACAATTACAAAATATATGTACCAAAAACCTTGACTTTAGATAATTTAATCACATGTAAATTTTCCATGTATTTTGATTACATTAGTGCAAAGTAATATATTTCATTTAACGTAAAGCTTCAAATTTATGTTGAGAGAACTTGAATAAACTAGAAAATGCAATTTCTGAAGAAATTGCGAGTGGAATTGCTCCGGTTGAAATTGCTATCGCTAAACTGCTATTGTGAATGGCTGAATTTTGAAAATATGTGAAAGATAAGAAGGTTTGAAGTATCAGGAAGATTTGAATGTATTTGAAGAACTCAATTGAATGAATTGAAGAATGCATGAATAATAATAATAATAAAATAATAACAATTCAACTTGTGAAAATTAAAATGATTAAAAACCCTGAAGTATGGAAGGCTATACTGGAGTATGGCTACCCTCTCGTCCACCGGAGTAAACCCCAACACACAGACACAGAGCCAGGGAGCAATAAGTATTGCCACCCCTGCCCGGCGCCTCTCACCAGTGACAACTCCAGAGAAGAAGAAGTCCAGCCCCACTCAAGAGGTCTGGTTTGAGAGCCCACACTAGGTGTCGAGGCGAGTCCGACTATATCTAGCTGGAACTTCATCAGGCAAGAGAAACTCGGTGCCAAATATTTGTCTATCATAAGGAGTCTGTTTGAGCTACCCTTAGTCTGATCCCTCCCCCAGGACCTGTTTGCCATGGGTGACCCTCCAGAGGCATAAAGCTCCAGGGATCATTGGGACACACAAACCCCTCCACCACGGTAAGGTGGTAGCTCGAGGAGGGGATATATATATATATATATATATATATATACATATATATATATATAAATTCTAGTTCTTCAATCAGAAATTGCAGAACTAGAAATTGCATTTTCTAGTTTATTCAAGTTCTCCCAAAATAAACAAATATATATATATATATATATATATATTTGTTCATTTTGTGGGGTTTTGTTTTGCTTTTAAAGGTTTTTTTTTTTTTGAAAGTGACTAATAAACCTGTGGGAGGAAACCGGAGCACCCGGAGTAAACCCACACGGCACAGGGAGAACATGGAAACTCCACACAGAAACACCCTGACCTGACCCGGATTTGAACCCAGGACATATGGTATAAAGCTCCTGGGATCATTGGGACACACAAACCCTTCCACCACGGTAAGGTGGTAGCTTGTTTTTAAAGGTTTTTTTTTTTTAAAAGTGGCTAATTAACCTAATTAACCTGTGGGAGGAAACCGGAGCACCCGGAGTAAACCCACACGGCACTGGGAGAACACGCAAACTTAGTGGTGCCCTTACATTCTGTGCTTTGTCCTGGTCTGGGTTTTGACCCTTTTTAATGATTTGGGGCAGGGGCAGGAATTTGTGCTTTTACTTTGGTTTGAAAGGAATCCTAATTATGATTAGTGGATCGCTTGAACTCTGTGCTTTGTCCTGGTCAGGGGTTTCGGCTTTTGTCATGATTGAGGGCAGGGGCTGGAATCTGTTCAATTCGTTTGGTTTCAAAGGAGTCCCAGTTAAGATTAGTGGATCGCTTGAACTCTGTGCTTTGTCCTGGTCAGGGGTTTTGGCTTTTGTCATGATTGAGGGCAGGGGCTGGAATCTGTTCAATTCGTTTGGTTTCAAAGGAGTCCCAGTTAAGATTAGTGGATCGCTTGAACTCTGTGCTTCGTCCTGGTCAGGGGTTTCGGCTTTTGTCATGATTGGGGGCCGGGGCTGGAATCTGTTCAATTTGTTTGGTTTCAAAGGAGTCCCAGTTAAGATTAGTGGATCGCTTGAACTCTGTGCTTCGTCCTGGTCAGGGTTTTTTGGCCTGATTGGTTGCTTCTTCCTTTGGAGCTCCTTCAGCTGTATTCTTAGGCAGCGGATTTCCTTTGTTTTTTCATTTAGCTTTTCTGTTAACCCTCTCTCAATACAAGAATACACGTTTTCACTTAACTTGAGTTCCTTGATCTTTTGCCTGCACTGTTTGTGCACATCCTGATCTTTCATCTGCTCCAGCATGCCGTTCTGCCCCTTCATCATTTTGTCTTGGTTGTCCTGTTGATCCTTCTGTTGAGGCTTCTGTTGAGGCTTCTGTTGAGGCTTCTGTCGAGGCTTTGGATACTCAATTTGGCAACGGGAAGAACTGCCCTCCCTTCTTGAGCTCACAGCTGAGCAAAAAGGACGTTTTGGCAGGTCTTCGGTGTCACTCTCAGCCCCTGCACATCTACCTTTGAGAAGCATATTCTCTCGTCTCTCTTTTGTTATCTCCGCTTCCTTCTCAAGTAGGACACTTTGGAGCTCACTGATCTGTTGTTTTTGTCTAATGTCCCATTCCTCGTATTGAGATGCTTCGAACTGTAACTTTTCAATTTGTGACTCCAATTTTTTCAGATCACAGCTGGTCTTCTGATTATCCTTGTCAGTAATGTCCCGAAAGTCCTCCATTTCTTTCCTCAGTTTATCAAGACGATTCTGACAGGAGGCCAGCTTGCACTTCTCTGATTCATATTGAAATGTAGCTTTCTCGAGCTCTGTGGTCTTTGACTTAATCTCTGCAGCCTGTCTCATGACGGTGCAGTGTAGGTTATCGTTTTCTTTCTTGTCGAGACTGATTTCTGTTCGAGCCTCGGACAGTTTGTTTTGATAACGTGTTGTCTTTTCCTTGCTCTTTGCGGCCTCTGCAGTTGCCCTTTCATTGTCCTTCAATCTTGCCTCTAGTTTTTGTATCTCCCGTTTGAGCAACAAAATTTCATCATCGTTATCAGCATTTCTTTTTTTTAATGCCTTCTCATTAATATCCTGTGTGCAACAATGCTGCTTGTACATTTTCAGTTCATCTCGGAGCTTTAGGTTTTGTGTTTTGTTGTCCATCACCTTGTCATCGAGCGCCCTGATTGATTCTTTCATGCCAGTGATCTTGCAAGCATTGAGGATATTACTGTCTTTCAGCATCTGATTTTCCTTTGTCAGGGATGCTATTTGCAATCCAAACTGTTCGCTCTGCATTTTCAACTGAACTTCTTTTTGTTGCAACTCATTGTTCAAAGTTGTTATTGAATGATCCTTTTGCTTGAGAGATACTTGTAATGACTCAAAATTATTTTTATAGGGCAACAGGTCTGTCACTATTAACAGGAGCTCTCCTACTTCTTTTCCTGTTGATTTTCCGGATTTTGTCGTTCCTCTTATCCTCCTGAGCTTGTTCATTAATTCTCTGAGTTGCAGTGTGCTCTGCATTGTGGATAGCTGTTATTGGCTAAAAGAAAATGTCTAGTGTATGGTCTAGTAATTCAGCAGTTTGTCTGGGAAAGGGAAATTCAATAGGAATTTCAATAGGAAACTAAGGCAAATGCTGAAAGATAGCACTGAAAATACAAGAGACTGTGGACTGTGGAGTGACTGTGAAATTTTTTACAATCTTTTTGTGAGGGAACATGACAGGATTTATATGGACATCTGAAGTGCCCACATTCCAATGATGATGTCATCCTTTGAAGTTCCCTTCAAAGGATGACATCATCACAGCTTGATGATGTCACTGCATGATGATGTCACAGGTTCAATTACAAAACAATTGTACCTGTGACATCATCATGTAGTGACATCATCGAGTACGAGTACATGATGATGTCACAACTTGATGTCACATGATGATGATGTCACAACTTGATGTCACATGATGATGATGTCACAGGTACAATTACAAAATATATGTACCAAAAACCTTGACTTTAGATAATTTAATCACATGTAAATTTTCCATGTATTTTGATTACATTAGTGCAAAGTAATATATTTCATTTAACGTAAAGCTTCAAATTTATGTTGAGAGAACTTGAATAAACTAGAAAATGCAATTTCTGAAGAAATTGCGAGTGGAATTGCTCCGGTTGAAATTGCTATCGCTAAACTGCTATTGTGAATGGCTGAATTTTGAAAATATGTGAAAGATAAGAAGGTTTGAAGTATCAGGAAGATTTGAATCAATTTGAAGAACTCAATTGAATGAATTGAAGAATGCATGAATAATAATAATAATAAAATAATAATAATTCAACTTGTGAAAATTAAAATGATTAAAAACTCTGGAGTATGGAAGAGGCTTGAAGAATCAGAAAGCTTTGAATCAGTTTAAATGAGTTGGAATGTGTTTGAAAAATTGAATAATGCATGAAAAGTGAAAATGATTTTTGATCGATCATATTGCTTGATCGAGAGGTTTCTGCAGCCTGTGTCAAGGGATTGAAACAGTCAGTATGGGAGTTAAAGAAGCAACAGAAGTTGTGTTCCTCTCAAAAAATAAAACCAGCAGTGATTATAATAATGACTGTAATAATACGAGAACTCCTCTGTCACATCACCACAGGCTTCGTCATTAGAAACAATGAGGAAAACCTCCGTTTTGTCACTGTTGAGTTCAAACCTTTTTATAAGTATCAGTGGGTTGAGAAGCATTGTCAGCACTAGTTCAGCAAAGCAAACCAATACTAACAACCTGTACATAGTTTGCAGAAATATATATATATATATATACACTGTGTGCACAATTATTAGGCAAGTGAGTATTTTGATCGTATCATCATTTTTATGCATATTTTCCAACTCCAAGCTGTATAAACTTGAATGCTTATTGGATATAAGCATATCAGGTAATGTGTATTTGTGTAATGAGGGAGGCTGGGGCCTAAGGACATCAAAACCCTATATCAAGGTGTGCATGATTATTAGGCAGCTTCTTTTCCTCAGGTAAAATGGGCCAAAAAAGAGATTTAAGTGACTCTGAAAAGTCAAAAAATGTAAAAAGTCTTTCAGAGGGATGCAGCACTCTTGAAACTGCTTAGATATTTGGGCGTGATCACAGAATCAGCAAACATTTTGATGCAAATAGTCAACAGGGTCGCAAGAAATGTGTTAAGAAAAAAAGACGCTAATTAACTGCCAAAGATTTGAGAAGACTCAACGTAAAGCTACCAGGAATCGCTTATCCTCCGGTGCTGTCATATTCCAGAACTGCAACCTACCTGGAGTGCCCAGAGGTACAAGATGATCAGTGCTCAGAGACATGGCCAAAGTAAGGAAATCTGAAATCTGACCACCACTGAACAAGACACACAAGTCGAAACGTCAAGACTGGGCCAAGAAATATCTGAAGAGAGATTTTTCAAAGGTTTTATGGACTGATGGGATGAGAGTGACTCTTAACGGACCAGATGGATGGGCCCGTGGCTGGATCAGTAATGGGCACAGAGCTTCACTTCGAATCAGACAACAGCAAGGTGGAGGCGGGGTACTGGTATGGGCTGGTATTATTAAAGATGAGCTAGCTGGACCTTTTGAGTTAAAGATGGACTTAAAATCAACTCCCAAATCCAATGCCAGTTTTGAGAAGACACTTTCTTCGAGCAGTGGTACAGGCAAAAGTCTGCATCTTTCAAGAAAACCATGATTTTTATGCAGGACAATGCTCCATTGCATGCAACAAAGTACTCCACTATGTGGCTCGCCAGTAAAGGCCTTAAAAACGAAAGAATAATGACGTGGCCTCCTTCTTCACCTGACCTAAACCCTGTTGAGAACTTGTGAGCCCTTCTTAAACGGGAAATTTACAGTGATGGAAGACAGTACACCTCTCTGAACAGTGTCTGGAACAGTGTCTGGAAGGCTTTGGTTACTGCAACACAAAAAGTTGATCGTCAACAGATCAAGAAACTGAAAGACTCCATGAATGGAAAGCTTATGACTGTTAATGAAAAGAAGGGTGGCTATATTGGTCACTGATTTTTTTTTTTAAATTTCAACAATTTTTATTTGTAAATTGAGTTGTTTGTTTATCATTCTCACTTTAACAAGTGAAAATAAACAAGTGAGATGGAAAATTTTTCATTTTTAATTTAGTTGCATAATAATTCTGCACACTAACAGCTGCCCCCAATAATTGTGCACACATAGATATTCTCCTAAGGAAGTCAAAATCTCATTTTTACTCCCTTAAATATTAAGGTTTGAGGTTTATTAACATTTTGGATTAACCAAGAGCACTGTAGCTGTTCAAAAATAAAATTTATCCTCAAAAATACAACTTGCCTAATAATTGTGCACACAGTGTATATATATATATATATATATATATATATTTTTTTTTTTTTTTTTTGTAGTACAAAATGTACAACATGATTATTAGCATGATCAGTACTGGTTCAGCAAAGCAAAACCAATACTAACTACCTGTGTCTTGGCCAAGAAAGCTGCAAGCATGTTCCAGCAAAGTTACAGACATACAAACATGATTAAAAAATAAACACTGGTTCAGCAAAGCAAGAAAAACGACAGTACTGCTTTAGTAGAGCAAAACCAGAACTAACAACCTAAACACAGTTTGCTGTAAGAGAAGATAAAGTTTTTTTTTTAATACAGTACAGCAAGATTATTATCATGATCAGTCGATCATCGAACTGCGGCCCAGGTTGTCCTGATGCCAAGTGTACATGTGGACACCCTTATGTCTGAACATGGTGTTCATTATGGATAGTGTTGTGGAAAATCCAGCATAAACTTAGTAAAACAATGCACAGGAGACCGGATGAGATCTGAAGAACAGCTTGGGCGTCTTTTATTGTACAGATGTAGAAATCAGTACAGATGACAAACAGAGTCTTGACCAAACTTGAGGAAAGCCTCCTTAGCTTTTTCTTCTACTCTCTTTTATACTGTTAGGTGTGTGTGCACGTGTGTGTGTGCATGAGTATTTCGTCATCATGGGTAAGTCATATCAATTCTACAGAAGGCTACCCATGATGACATATCTGACGCTCAACACTTTGTGTAGACTAGTCTTAACTCTCGCAGAGATTAAATGTTCCAACAGACAGATAGTTTTGGCTCCTGCAAGACAGCCTCAGGGTCATGAGGCTGCATAAGCAGGCCAACCTAGATTATTTGTAACTCCTTACTAAAATATAAATACTCTATATTTCTTAACCTAAATGTATGAAAAGATTCTACTACACAGTCCCCCCTTTGAAAGTTCTTACTTTCATAAAAACCTGATCATCATTTCAAACACTAACCATCCTTACGTAATTATAAATAAAACATGTACACTAAATTCTAAATGCTATGTGTGTGAATTGCTGCATCTACGACTTAATAATACCACATGACATGTGACACACTGGATATGGCATGAAAGAAAAATCAAATTGCATTAACCAGTTATATGAATTATGCAACCTGTAGGGGAATGTCTTCATACATTTAGGTTAAGAAATATGGAGTAATTATCTTTTAGTAAGAAGCTACAAATAATCTAGGTTGGCCTACTCCTGCTGCCCCACGACCATGAGATTGTAAGCAAGGCTGTCTTGCAGGAGCCCAAACTATCTGTCTGTTGGAACATGTAATCTCTGCCAGGGTCAAGACGAACCTAAACAAAGTGTCGTGGGGCAGACATGTCATCATGAGGGGCCTTCTGGAGAATCCACACACACACACACACACACACACACACACACACACACTCACACAGGATAAAAGAGAGTAGAAGTAAAGCTAGGGAGGCTTCCTTCGGTCTTGGTCGAGACTCTGTTGTCATCTGTACTGATTTCTACATCTGTACTATTAAAGACGCCCCAGGCTGTTCTTCAGATCTCATCATGTCTCCTGTGCATTGTTTATGTTGGACTTTCCACAACAAACCTTATCAAATTGTGATATAAATTCCCCCAAATATGCAAAAGTTTTAAAATTGTGGTATCAATATCAATTCTCAAGAACTGTGATAATCAAAGTTCATCAGGTTAAATAGTAGCTCACATTAATGTTCAATTTCTTCACCATCATACCATAGCTAGGATCATTTCAAATTATATCAGTGCATAAGACTGAAAACCCTGTTCGGCCTGATTTCAGTTCGATATCTCAGTTCACTTAATGTATTGTTTGTGTTGCTCAGAGTCCGTTCCTCATCCTTGTCTCCTTCAGAGTTAGGGAACAGTTCAGGTCCCCCAGTCCCTCCTTGATTAATCATACATTGTGCCGGCTGTTTTGGTGGCATTTCCTGTAGTTCATGGGCCAGTATTAGGCCCACTATAAGTCCCATCTCCTCCGTCGGCTTCCAACAATGTCTCTCAAAGGATGTGGACGATGCAACATGTGAGAAAGGAAATCCGAATTAGAGCTATCGCAGCACTCATGGCTGGGCCAAAACGGCTCCCATTCATCTAAAATTTGGACCAACCACTTTATTAACACGCCCCCCTTACCAGCATCCTCCTGCAGCTCCAATTTCAGCTTTTCTAGACCCTCCATAGCAGTAGAAAAAACTCCCTCAGGGTCTTGTTTTGTTGGAAATGTATCTACAAAAGTACTTTCCAAACCTTGAACACACATCTTTTCTCTTCAAATACCCAATTTAATGCTTGTCTGTATTGTCATCTCAGTGGTCTTATTACATGTATATGTCCTTCACTCTAATCATCTTCGCTGAGTAATTAACAAATCTGTCATTCGCTTACAAACTACCAATGATAGAAAAGTCTGTAAGTCTTCAAACAATCTACGACTGGATTTGATTCCTGTCCATTTTTAATGTCTACATTACAAGAATAGTAACAATAATTTCTGTCACATAATCGCTTAACTTTAGGTTTAAAAGAACAACACTTCTTCTCTTATTTGTCAAAATCTGGCAAAAATCTCTTCCCCATTTACCACCTCCAGTTGTTATTTTACTACCACACACGACTTTTAAACATTCTCTTTACTTCCTATGTGATAAATTCATCTGGAACCTTTTCTTCGGTATATCAGATCTACTCAATGTGTAGGGCTCTCTTTCTTCTTTTTCTTATGTACTTGTTTCTGATTATCTGTAAAAAATAAAAATTCTTTTCAATTTCATTTATCTATTTTCCTTAACCTAACTGTAAATCTGTAATAATCTGTGAATGTTGCCATGGGTTCTAGTGCTGTCTGGAGTGGTGTGGATTGTGTTTGGGTTGCATCGCACTCACCTGTGATGACAGTGTCTCAGACTTCTTCTTCTCACAGCTATACTGGCACAAGTTTGACCTTCACCTGTCTCTGTTGTCTCCAGTGTCTCTCGGTTTCTCCCCACACATTGTCCCTCAGCAGCAACATCAGGAAAACTGTTACTTTCAAGACTAGTTGCACAGTCATTTTGGGAGTCTCTTTTATCAAGTCATACTTCCCTTGTTTTTCTGGGCAGTCAGTGGTAGATGATGCCACATCATATTGCCCTCTTCTTGCACTGAAGTAGATGTCACCAGGACCACAGTGTTCAGGTCCTCTTGACTAGGATCAGATTTTTCCTCCAGATTTTTTCCTCCGCATTCCTCCTGCTAATTGATAAATCTTTTCATCCTAGTTAGCTGCCTCATATATTTAATTCACTAATTTTTCAGCTGCTCAAGTGAAAAGCTTAATTGTTTAGCCGCAGTAAAGTAGCAAAGCATCTTCCTATAGGTTTTGCTGATCTGATTTTTACTTGAGAGATTAACTTTCTTCCCCAAAATGATGTACCACATGGACATATTACTTCAAAATTATATACTTATTTATTTCTAGTTGACTTTTAGTTTATGTCTTTTTGTAAAAAAAAAAAAAAAAGGAGAATTTTCAACAAAAAAATGTTGGACTACTGAAAAGTATGAATACTTGGTTGGGGCTCCCTTTGCATGTGGGCAGGTACCAAAGTCTGTGGTGAGCAGAGGGAAACATGAAGTGCTCTAAAACGTCTTGGTAGACTGCTGCGCTGACCTTGGACCAGATAAAACACAGTGGACCAACACCAGCAGATCACAGAGTTCCCCAAACCACCACTGACTGGGGAAACTACACTTCACCTCAAGCGACTTGGATTCTGTGCCTCTTCTCTCCTCCTCCAGACTCTGGGACCCTGATTTGCAAAAGAAATGTCAAATTTACTTTGAGCTGAAAAAAGAACTCTGAGCCACTGAGCAGCAGTCCAGTTCTTTTTGTCCTTAGCCCAGGAAAGACGCCTCAGATGTTGTCTCTGGTTCAAGAGTGGCCCATGTTCTGGATCTGTCTGTGAATGGTGGCTCCTGAAGCACTGACTCTAGCAGAAGTCCCAGCCTTCCCCATAATTGTGTGGCCTACTGATCCAGACTGGTGGACCATTAAATAATAATTATATTAATAATAATAAATGTTATTTATAACACACTTTTACTCAAAGACGCTTTACAAAAAAAAAAAAAAAATAGAATACACAAAATTTTAAGGAGTAAGACAAACAATGTAAAAGGTAAAAAAAGACACAATATGAAAAGACAATAAAAGAACAGCTGACAGGTTGAAAGCCAATTGACAAAGGTGTGCTTTAGAAGTGATTTGAAGGTATAGGGGTCTGTACAGTCTCTCTCAGATGGGTTTGGGGAGTGAATTCCAGAGGCCAAGAACACCTTTGCAGGCGTTTTGAGTTAATTATCTGATTAAATTGTGACACCATGAGTCTTCAATATTTAATATCTTCATAATATACTAATTTCTGAGGGACTGGATTTCGGGTTTTTTTATTGGCTGTAAGTTACAATCATCAAAATGAAAAGAAATTAACACTTAAAATATATCGGTCTGGTGATAAATCCATATAATACACTAGTTTCACGTTTTTATCTGAATGACAGAAAGAAATAAACTTTTTGATTATATTATAATTTATGGAGATGCACCTGTATTTAATGTCTTGAAGAGGTTAAGGATCAAAAACATGAAACCAGCTTTGAAATTCTGCCGAAAAGAATAGAAATGATTTATAAAAAGCCTGAAAATTTCACGTATTTCAGGACCGTTAGAGTTTTGTGGTTGTTTTCCATTTTTTTAAACGTAATTAATAAAACCACCCGACTCTGATGATACAAGGAGAAACTCCAAACCCTTTCTTTTTGAAAATCTGCATTTCAGCGCCACCTTGTGGATATTTGTTTTTGTGAAAGGACGTACAACAAGGCATAGATATATATACATACGCTAGATGTCTTACGCACACTGTTGATCAATGGAGACCGACATCCGCGCATCCAAGTATGTTATATTAGTAATATTTCTATTATAGGGATAACTATAATAACATACAGCAATGACATATACAAATATTTATTTTCAACAATTTCTGCTTCGTGTTTCCATTTTAGATGTTTTTAACAAACCGAACAGCAGAAATCATGTGCAAATTCAGTTCTGTTGAATCGAAAGAGCATTTCTGCCTCTTTAACTGATGTAAAATAAACTTTGTAATATGTACTTGGTCTCACTTACAGTGAATCTGTTAGCCAAGTTAGACAGCTGATAAAGACAAACACATCCACAAAGACTGTCACTTAGACTAAAATTATTGACTGTCATACAAAAAATAAATACATAAAATCTCGATTGTGGTCTCAGCCTTGACAAAGCGACTTAAAGTTAGCCATTGCGCGCAAATAGCTGTGAAATAACTGTGCTTCATGATTAAGTCTTTTTTTTTCTCAAAGTAAATCTGCCATTTAATATGTCCAAGCATCCAGACTCACAGCCACATTATTGAAGTCTGTAATAAACAAAACCGTTTACAAATCTGTCAAGATTTCAGAGAGTTAAGAATATTTTTGATCATGCAGACCACTCACCTCCCGTCAGCTACCATAGAGCGTACCAGAATCGTATACTGGAGTAAGATGGCCGCCGTGGAGGGACGCCGGATATCTATGCAGCAAGAGGTCATAGTTGAATTATGACGCAAGCACGTAAATGGAGACGCAACAGTCGGAAAACGTAGTCAGAGCGGGCATCTAGTAAACAAGTTTGTCTATTTAATTTCTCATCGATATATCGATCCGTCCTTGATGCGCGTTGGTACGCTAATAGTCTCTCTTCAATACGCGGTGAATTCACGCATAAAAAACGACCAAACTCACCGCTAAAGCTGACTGCTGCTGAGCTAGGTTAGCATGATAGCTAGCTGTCAGCAGCGTTAGGATGGATGCTGTGAGTGTGGTCGAAGATGAAGTTTCTCTGGAGGGGCTGGACGGCATCACTCTGCCCTGTCTGTGGATCCGACTGGAGGACAGAGAGCCCAAGTTTCCTCTCAAACTCGACGACTGCACCAAAGAGCTCATCTGGAAATCTCTCATCAGGAACACCGACCTGAAGTTTTACGAGCTTCCTCAGGAGAGAGACGACGTAGAGCTGATCGACAGGTAAGGGGGAGCGTGCACAGGTGTGCGTGCTGTCAGAAAGCCTCAGGTCAACCACAGTCTGTGTTTTAAGACGAGAAAATCAGAGCAGGTTTCAAGGATACCGCATTCACAGATCCCAGAAGACTCTCACCGGGTGATTTCCCCCTGAACAAACATGTTTTCAGGTGATTTTTATGATGTTGCGTTTGTCTGGGTCCCTGGGTAGCTTTAGCATTGTCTTTGTACGGTGGCCGAGAACCGCCACTGCTGCAAAAAGAAAAAAAAAGAAGTCACAACAGAAGTTACTGATGCAAAAAAAAAAAAAGAAACCGAAGCCCGCTGCAAAAAAAACAACAAAAAACAAAAACGGTGTGGATAAATAAAAATAAAAAAACGCCACATTGGAAGTTTACAACGCAAAAAAAAAAGTGTTGATGGGGGAAAAAAAGAGTTACTTACAGTGAAAATTAAAGGATGCAAATAAAAAAAGCTACAACAGAAGTGAACTGCGGGGGACCAATAATGATGGTGCACCGGTGTTTTACGATCTAGGCACAGGAGACGACGACGAAAAGACGAACAAAGAAGTAAGTGGAAAGGTTATTGATGTGTCATGTGGTTGGGCCATGTAACGCCTGAGTCAATATGAAGTTAATCTGAAGCTAACACTACACCAGCATCCTCCAGTTTAACTTCAGATGGACTTAAAATGACACATTAAAAAGTTTACGAAGCGAAATTAAACAATAACCTTTCCACTTACTTCTTTGTTCGTCTTATTTTCGCATTTAAGTAATTTTTTTTTACCGCTGTGACAGTTTGCAAAGGGTATGAATAATTTTGGACATGCCACTTTTAGTTCAAATGTCAATAAAAGCTTTGAAGTATTTCTTTCCACGATGATGCCTCTTGTGCATCATCTTATTATCTTATGGGAGATGTCTGTGTCATTTACAATTAATAAAAAACTTGCTGGTTGAATAAAAGTAACTTTAAGTCAAAATTTGCCAGAGGTATGAACAATTTTGGACTTGACTGTGTGTGTGTGTGTATATATATATGTATATATATATATATATATGTGTGTATATATATATATATATATATATATATGTGTGTGTGTGTGTGTGTATGTATATATATATATATATATATATATATACATGTGTGAGTTAATTGTTCATGAATGCCTAACTTTAGTTATTTTGATGCATTTTTATATGGTTCCCTCATGGTCCTTTTTTCCTTCCTTTGGACATTACACAGTTAAAAATAAAAGAAAACTACTTTAATTTGTCATGTATTGTCCTATTTTGATATATTTTCATGTACTTTTTCTTGGGTGTATTATTTCAGGTAAAAATCACCACTATCATAGTGATAGTGATAGTGATGGTGTTACTAATTTTCACAGTCGTGGTCTCGGGTTAAGAAGAGGCTCAAGACTCACCTTTTAAACCAGGCTTTTCACTGACTGCCTTTTCATATTTCTCTTATTCTAAATGTTCATTTTAATCGAAGCTCATAATGTTTCTTATATGTAATCTTATTCATTATCTCTGTTCTTAGTTTGGTTTTTACTTCTTTTACCCTTTTATATGGTAAAGAGCTCTTACTTATCTGTTCATTTAATATTATTTTCTTGTTTTAGTCCATCAGGTTTTTAGCTTCTGTGAGACACTTACTTCAGAGTCTTTCACCACAGAGGCGTCCAGAGTTTGGTTTTGTATCCTCAACCAGTGTTACAATTTAAGTGAGAAGAGCTACTTAATCAGCACTCTTGTTTCGGGATTATCCGCCCGTTAAACATGCCTCTGTGGTTGCACTTGAATGCTCTGACTCTGTTTTCATGTTCGTCTGTGTTTACAGATTTAAAGACACCGACCCAGAAACAGGCACCGAGATAACACAGAATTTCTCTGACTTGAGGAAAGACGTCTACCCGGTCCACATCATCCTAGAAAACAAAGATGGGATTCAGGGATCATGTGCAACCTTCAATGAGAGGACGGATATCACAAAGCTTATCCGCTCCAAATCCCTCACCCCGATCCTCACCCTACAGCAGGCTTTTGAGAGGTTTGTAGAATGAGTTTGATCTGTGAAGATGCTCCCAGTCACCCTCGTCCTCTCAAAATGTAATTTAACAGGCAGCTGGACTCGGTTGTCTACAGATTTTGAAAAAAAAAACCATGATGAGAGCATCCACATGAAAATATAAACAATTAGTTGGTAAATTACACTTTCAAAGAGCTCAAAGTAGGGTTTTAAACCTCTTTAAATAAAGTGGAATTGTTCAGTTTTCTTGTGTTAGAGTTTAACTCCTTCCCCTTTAACCCGCACCCTTACAGATATGGCCGAAAGCTCGTTATCGTTGCATCTCAGATGCTACGATTCAGGTCCCTGATTGGTGCGGAGAGCGACCCTGATCTCAAATTCACAGATGACTCTTACTGCGTGTTGGAACGTATCGGCCGTGCTCGATGGCAGGGAGAGATGCAGCGTGATCTGCACAGATGCTCCTTCAAGTAGGAAACACCAAATACAGACTCAGTAAGCACGGTGTCACCGCTGCTCTGTGTTCAATCAAAACCCGTCTTCTGCTTCAACAGGATCGACGCTCGAAAAGCACACTACTTGAGGAAGTCTCTGGTCAGAAGTGGACTCATCACAGTGCAGGCTTATGTCACACGTGCACGGGCAGGACAGCAGCAGCACTCGGTCCTGCTGCTGCTCAAACGCTTTCATGTAAACAGGTCTGTTCACGAGGGGTGATGGCAAAAAATGCCACCTTTTTCATCAGAGCAGGGTTCCTACAGTCTAATCGAACGACCTTGAACCTCCTGTGTGTTTTTACAGGAGGGGTAAATACGACCTTCTGATGGAGTATGTGTCAGACCTCCTCCAGCAGATGCCCGGTCAGTTCACCACCCTGGTATCACTCCGACAACAGCTCGTAAGTCCCTCTCTGCAGCTTTAGCAGGTCTCTTTCCTCATTCATTTGTGTTTCTGATTGTGTTTTTCCTTCTGTACTCTTCACAGGATGTCAGTGACAGCACATTTAAGCGCACCTTTCAGTACATGCGAACCGCCAAGATGGCTGAATATTGCATGTATCCTCTGGAGGACTTGGACCCTGGCGCCGGGCCCTGCGTCAACAAAAAAGGTAGAATTAAGAAATTAGGAAATGAAGTCTACCTGCTCAGCAACAATAACCTTAAAGGGATATTCCAACGTAAAATTAATTTAGGGTCAAACACTGAGTTAGACACCCCATCCAGAGATGAATGTTGCTGATTGCTCTCTTCTCTAGTTATACCAACTTTAGTAACGACCGCAGGATAGAAATACACAGCGGTCTGAGGAGCCATAAACAAACCTCAACCAAAACGCCACTCTATAGCCACAAATAATGCTCAGAACAGCACCTAACTTCATCAACAGGACATATAGGGTTACAGCCATAGTACTAGACACCAAACATCTTTTTAACTTTGACTAATTTCTTTAACAAAGAGACTAAACACAACTCACCTACTCTCTTCCAGCAGACGCTTGTCGGGCCAGTCCATTACGGACTTCAGCGGGGTGACACAGCTCAAGGAAGAACATTTATGTTCATTTCTTCATGGAAATACAATCAGACTGAGACGCTAAAGCAGAAGAACTACCACGTCTGCAGAGCAAAATGATTAATATGATGATTATTACTTCAAGGAAATGATAAAGAAATGATCATAAATGTTCTTCCTTGAGCTGTGGCACCCCGCTGTAGTCCATGATGGACTGGCCTGAGGTCTCTCTACAAACAAGCGGCTGCTGGAAGAGAGTAGATTAGTTGTTTTTAGTCTCTTTGCTAAAGAAATTAGGGGGTCTAACTCAGTGTTCTGGTGTGTTTGACTCTAAATTACCGGAATATCCCTTTAAACAGAGTCTGTCATTTTAGATACACAGCATTATTATGATAATTAGTGTCTGAATATTAATATCATGAGTTGATATGGTCACCAAAGCTGTAGGTATACACTCCTTTTTTCAGTCACTTTTGAATTCTTCTTATTCATTTTCGTCCATCATCCTGAAAATATTCATTTCACCGTCAAACTTCAAGTTTTTCTATATTTCTCGTCTGAAAACTGAATCTCTGGACAGCTTTGTGTTTTTTGCCTCATGCCTGACGCTGAATTGTTTCGATCCGCAGGGAAGAAAGTGCAGGTCCGCTGTGTGAAACTGTTAAAGCCGTACTCCAAAAAGAACGTCACTGATGACGAAGACGATGAGGACGATGATGAAGACGATGACTCTGGAGCTCGGAGGAAAGGGATTCCTGCAGAGGGACGAATCATGGAGAGAGATATGCTGTCGCAGGCTTATGAGTTAGGTGGGTTTGAATCCACACAGAGAAGGTCGTTCCAGACAGGAAGTCAAGCATGAAAACCGCGCATGTCATCCTGTTTTTCAAAATAAAACACCATATGTGAACTCCCGACCGTGTATCGGTTCGAGTAGATGAGAAATACTTTCTGGTTCTGTATTTATCAGTAACACAGAACAATCCGATGGTCGATCCCTGATCTATGTGGACCCCAACAGGACTTTGACCTGCTAACTCTGTCTGAAGGTAACAGCATAAAGGAACAGAATTTACTTTATTAAACACGAGTAAACCTGCAAAAACACAAACTGGAAAATCACTTCAAGCTTTTTCACAGACAGTAGAGGTTCAACAGTCACTGAATTATATCCAAATTATCAGGAAATCGACCACAGAAAGGAAAAACAACCTGTTGTGAGGATGTTGTTTCCTCTATACTGAGCCCAGCTGACTAAAAAACTCAATTTTATACCACTGGATGAAAAAGAAGGCAGAAGAGTCATCTGACGTGTCATGAAAGATAAACTTGTGGTTATTTCTTCAGACTGAGAGTCCATCAGCACAACCCCGGATCCGAGACATGTAAAGCTCCTTCAGTCAGCTCCCCTCCAGGATTTGTAGCATTGACTCTCTCTTGTTTGTTTTGTAGTTTTATCTTCTGGTACGAAGGGAATCCCAAAGAGCACCATCGCGTTTAGGATGAACATCGGGAAGCTGGAATCTCGAATGATCTGTCGAGGGTTGGAGCGATCCGGTTTGGTCAAGGTGAGGTGGAGACTCTCCAAACTCTAAAATATGAAGGCATCTGCGTTTAGCGTATCCATGAGTGCAGCCTTACATATCTATGATGTAACCTTGTAATGCAGTTTCCTGATCACTAACTTTATTGATCATGTCTGTCACCTGGCAGGGATTCATGGTAGACGAGGGTCGGCAGAGGACAACCAAATTCATCAGCCATAAGTGTGTATCCACCAACAAGAGTTCAAGATTGATCTCATGAATACTTTAGTGATCCAAGTGTTATCCTGCCACCTCTCTCCCTCACAGGGCTGTGGGAGTGAGCGATCAACTCCAGCGCTTTGCCAAAGAGCAGGAACGGAACAAGCTGCTCTCCTCTGACGGTACACCCCAGATTTCAGACGATGCACCGGCCGTCCCTGCAGCTGCATCCACCTCAGGGTCCAGAGCAGAAGAAAACAACACAACTCCTGCAAAACAGAGGACTCAGAAAGCAGGTGGAGGAGGAAACAGATGTGCAGAGGATGATGGAGGGAGAAGAAAAGCAAGAGGGAAGTCTGGAGGGAGAGAGAGAGGGAGGGCAGGAGGGAAGTCTAGAGGGAGAGGAAGAGGAAGAGCAGGAGGGAAGACCAACAGGGTTAAACCTAAAGAGACACAGCCTGAGAGCCTGGTCATGGATCCTACAACAGCTGGCTGTGAGTTAAACTTACTGAACTTGTGCTTATTTAACACGGCTTATATGAGCTTTACCCTTTCAACGTTCCTCCTCCTGTTTTAGGTGAAACCCCGAAATCCTTGGAACCCACAACACCGGACTCAGCATCCACCTCCAAAGCAGGTAAATGGAGTCAAAGAGTTCTCATAGATCCTCTTTATCTCTGTAGAAGTCGAAGTTTTTCCTCCTGACTCCCAAATATGAACATGTATTAAACCCACAATCAAGGTTTTTTGGCCTCAAACAGCAAATACAGCTCAGAAGAAATCAGACAACATTCATTCATGATGTTTCAGCGCCTTAAATTTGAATAAATATCTGGTCCAGTGAACCCGCCAGTACCAGAGTCACCTCTTTCACCATCTGTCTGTTTTATTTGAAGGCTTGGTGCTGAATGATCCGGGTATTTCTGTCATCTATGCTCAGTATTGAAGTAATATCGAGTTGTGAGTGTCGTTTGTATTCTGGTGTTGTAGAACCAGGTCCAGCTGAAGGCGGGGAGGAGGAAGAAGCCGGCTCCAGTCCCACCAGCTCTCTCCCTCAGACTGAGGCGTCGACGACAACCCAAACACCAGCAGAAAACGAAGTGGAGGTTATTAAAGTTCTGAAGGTCTGTTTGACGGTCGGTTTTCTTTATTTCCGTCTAAATTCAGGAAGCGAAACTTAAAGCGTAATCCTCTCTTCTTAGACCCCAAGTCTAGGCATGTCATCCAGAGCAGTCGCAGTCGGCGGTCGTCAGACGTACCGTCTCCTGAGGAGGAAAAACCTGATCGCTGAAGCTGTCCGTAACTTCAAAGTCATCGAGGGAACTTTCCCGTGAGTTTGTCCTCCAATCTTCAGAGTCGATTTCAATGCAAAGTAAAAAAGAGAAAAGAACGTGATGTCTTTTCCTCAGACTCCAGAAGATGATCAACGAGGAGGAGAAGCAGGACTGCAGCACCAAGTGTTGCAAGAAGACGATTTTACGTCTGACCCAAAGTCTGTCCAGAGAAGGCGTGATCAAGATTTATCGGACCACCGTTGTGCAGGAGGACATCACCAAGAATGTAAACACACGAATCAAACCTGCTTTAGAGACCAGATATAAATCCTCAAAAGAGAATTTAAAATCAATCTCCTGCTTCCAAATCAGAAAAATAGGAAATGTCACTAAATGCTGTGAAGAGATTTATCAATTATTGATAGTTGATAGTTTTTTGGGTTTTTTTACACGCAGGTTGAGATGTATGTTCATCCGTCCATTCAGCCTGATGATGAGATCATCAAACAGCTGATTGAGCAGATTCGCTTCAGGATCTCCAGCTCCTACTCGGCGTTACGGTAAGAAGAAGACAAACCCGCCTGAAAGAAAGTCAGGGATGTGACGGTAGGGCTGCACGATCAATCGATTTTAAATCCTAATCAGATTATTTGTTTATGACGATGTTAAAAAAATTAAAATCATCAAATTGATTTTCCTCTCTATCATGTCTCGCACCTCCAGGCCACCGTAGGCTCCCCAGTTCCCGCACACACCAGTGTAAACAAACATGGCGTTTGCAGAAGAAGGTGATAATTTCGTGGTTAAATAGGACAAGAGCGAGTCAGTCGTGTTGAATTGGTACGACTTCACAGTTTCAGATGAAGAGTAAACCACTCCCCGCTGTAAAGTCTGTCTGAAGGCGGTATCAACCCGTCACCACGGAAACTAATTCAGGAGGAAACACTTAAGTTTTTTTGTCGTATCAGCGTTTCAGGTGACTGTAAACGGCGTTTCAGGTGACTGTAAACGGTCGAGAGTGAATAAATCTTTAAATGACGACCATTTCATCTCCGTGTGGATGTCTATCTGCATCTCTGGAAACGATCATGTGACACACGGTGTAACTCTTTTATGGCGCCAAAACAACCTTTATACACATGCGCTGTACTCTTCTTCTGTCTTTTGAGCATTTCCTGTGAAGCGTTACAGCGCCACTTACCGGCTTGGCATATGCACTACATCGTTTTCAGTGGTTTCGTTTTAAGAGATGATAGAAAAACTTTTTATTAAAGTGAAGTTTGGTGATGTTGTCATCGAAATTGAAAATCAAGTTTTTAGAGAAAAAGATGCGAATTTGATTTTTGGCCAAATTCGTGCAGCCCTACTGTGACTAAGATTTTGATCTCAGTTATATAAGGATTGTTATTTCTGGTGCGTATATTCATGAGTTATCAGTCTTCTCCTTCTGTCCCTCAGTTTGCAAGCTGAAGAAAAAGCCAAACAGCAGGAGAAAGAAAAAAGGAGAACGTTTGAGAAGGCCTTCAAACCCACTACAGGTTCTGTCTCACTCTGTTTAAGGAGCAGCAATGACCCTGCTGCAGTTTCTCTCTCTTTGTTTCGCTTCTTTTTTTTTTCTAACATCTGATTCTGTCTCTTATCTCGTAGTTCGAGGATTGGGGAGGAGTTTGGGCTTCCAACCCAAGATGCACCGCCTGCGTGTTATTCACAGCTTCCTCTGGTACCTGCTGTACGGGCACCCGCTCAGACAAGACGCCCCCAGCTCCACGTCAAACGCGCCAGAAAACTCGGCCGCCACGCAAACTGGAGATTCTTCGCCGTCTAAGTTGGATGTGATATCGTCAGGGGATGAAGACGAAGGGAGGGACAAATCACCGCCTAGTCCCTCTCAGAAAACCACGACAGGTGGGGGAGCCTCCAGTGAACAAACAGTATTAATCCTGTATTGTCTTTGGGGGTTGCTAGTGAACGCAAATTTGGACATAGTTATTTTTTAATCCTTTTGTGTGTCTGCTAGTGTACGCCGACGAAGAGTCATGGAGGAGGTTTATGCCTCCTGTCAGCGTGCGTAAGGAGTACGGTAGCGGTTGGGCCATGGTCAGCGACCTGCTCCTCTGCCTCCCTCTCTCTGTCTTCATTCAGATCATCCAGGTCAATTATAAGGTGAGCGCATGTTCAGTTACTGTCGCTCTCTAAACAACCTGAGGAGAAAGGTTCGAGTGTGTTTGAGATCAGAGAGAGAGGGCGGGTGAAATCGTAACGCCCAACCTTTCCTAAAGTAACCTCTCCAGGGTGACGGCAGGTCCTTAAAACTTATCAGTTTCTTTTGACCTTTAAAGACCTGTCCTGCTCCCTTGAAGACTGTCGGGCGTTTGCAGCTTTTTCACATCTGTTCATTTCTGGCCTCAGGTGGACGGACTGGAGGATTATCTCAACGACCCGGAGAAGCAGCACTTCCTGATCCGGATGCTTCCAGCCAGGATGAAAAGACAGCTTCTTTACAGACGGTGATTTTCTGTCTCCTGATCTCTCTGTCGTTAGTAGATCCTCATCAACCTTCTAAACGGGCTGTTTGTCATCTCAGGAAATACATCTTCTTATTCCACGAGAGCCTGCAGAGGCTGGTCTACATGGGTCTGGTGCAGTTTGCCCCAATAGAGAAGTTCAAGGAGAAGGATCAGGTACGTTCGACCACCACATGAGCTTCAAACCGGTCTCAAAGTTTGATCTGTTTGAACCTGATTGGTCCACGTGTGCTTCGTCCAGGCGTTTCTGTACCTGAAGCGCAACGCCACCATCGTCGACACCACCAGCTCGGAGCCTCACTACTGGCTGGTCACCGAGTCTCCTGACAAACCGTTCGAGAGGCGCCGCTACACCTTCAACACGGCTGAAGATGTGGAGAGTTACTGGTTTGACCTGATGTGCGTCTGCTTGAACACACCCTTAGGTACACAAACACACACGTGACCGACTACACAACCATCTCAACAACGTGAAAAGTCTGATTTTGACATTTTCTTGTACGTGTTTTCTTGAAGGGGTGATCCGGAGTAAGAGAAACTCCGGAGTAGATGAAACCGCTCCTTCCTTCGTGCACGATCGCTACGTGTTTGCAGGGCTGGCGTACCTTCTGAAGTAAGCTAACCTTCATTTCTCGGTGGAGTTCACGTTAGAAAACTATCCAGTTGTGTTCAAAATAATAACAGTCCCACATCACAAGCAACATAAATCACTGTTTTTGTTAGAATTCCAACTTCTACACCGCAAGTAAGTTTCTAGAAGGTTTAGTAAAGGTGAAGAAAACCAACAGACCCAACAGGCATGACGTTCATGCTGCTGATTATGAGAAACTGAATCTTTTACTGACGGGGGCGTGTTCAAAAATATATCAGTGCCGAGTTCAATTAGTACAGTTATTGATTATGTGAAAAAAATAGGTGTTAAACAAGTGGCCCTTATTTGCTGGCTGTGTATTTGTCCACTGTTCAGAAGAAGAGCGTTCTTTAATCAAGGAATTAATAATAGAGGGGAAAACCTAAAAAGAAGTGCAGAAAATGACAGGCTAAAATGTTATTAAACGCTTTAAAATGGCAGCCAAACCCGAAAGGTGCAGAAGAAAAAGAAAAACGACTTTTTGAATGGATCAGAGGATAACAAAAATGGCAAAGGCTCAGCCAGGATCAGAGAAGATCTAAGATTTAAGCCTGTGAGTACGTTAACAATCAGACCATGTCTATGTGAAGCCCCTCTGATATCTATTGCGATATTAAAAAATAGAGGAATTTTCAGCAGATGACCTGAATATGACTTTCTGCTGAAATCTTGAGGACAGTTAACCTGCTCTGATCTTTCCTCTTTTAGTGAATGTTAGTAGAATGGCTTCTGTCTGTCTCAGAGATCTTTTTAGCTTTTATTGTTCTGGGACGTTATTGGGGAAACAGATGAACACAGAACATGTGTTTTTTTTGATTGACGTCGTCCTTCTTGTAACCTGAAATAATTCCAAATAACTGACTTTTCTTTTCTTTTTGGCAACAAGTCTTTATTTTCGGTGGTTTTCTCTTCTTCGTTGCTTATTTTGCAATCATTGTTGTTGTGCCGAAAAATGCACATCATCGTCCAAGAATTGCATCCACCTCGCAGAAACGCGCTCCGCTTATAGTAGAGTGGTCCACGGTAATGTACAATTTAAAACCCATACAGTTCTTATAAACAGTGATGAGGAATGTCCCCAAAGCAATTCTTAGTAGACACGCGTTTCTCGGCACAACACCAGCGGCGCCAGGGACTCACTCCATGTGCAGGGGCGTGGTTTCCTCCTCTCTGATTTTGATTGACAGCTGGCAGGGTAGTCTGACTGGCAACTGAGTAAAGAACGAATGTGATTGGTGGATCGCTGCACAGCACATGCAGAGTATCAGAGTGTCAGCTACCCTTGAAATTAGGTAAATTCATTCACCTCCAACATCGCAGGCTCTGACGTGACTATAGCGCACACGTACATCACGATGACGATGCTCAAACGATATCTTGTGCAGCCCTACTGCAAACACTGAATTCAAGCCACAGTACACAGTGAAGACGGTGAAGCACGGTGGTAAAAGCATCATGATATGGGGATGTTTCTCCTACTATGGTGTTGGTCCTATTTATCACATACCAGGGATCATGGATCAGTTTGAGTACATCAGAATACTGGGAGAAGTCATGTTGCCGTATGCTGAAGAGAAAATACCTTTGAAATGGGTGTTTCAACGAGACAATGACCCCAAACACACCAGCAAGTGAGCAAAATCAGGGTTCCAGACAAACAGAATCCAGGTAGAGGAGTGGCCGGCACAATCCACGGACCTTAATCGCAGAGAAAACTTGTGGGCTGACATAAAAAATGTCGTCATGATGCAAACCGAGAAATGCAGAGGAATTGTGAGACGTAGTACAACTGTCCTGGGCTGCAATACCTGTTGACCGGTGCCAGAAGTTGGTCGACTCCATGTACCACAGATGTGAAGCAGTTTATCAGAAACCTAAATATTAGTTTATGATTCTCAGGGAAGTTGAATCTTCAAGCATTTCTTCATTTAAACAGTAAATTTTTGAGTTTGTAAAGAAAGATGTCAACACTGCTATTTTTTTGAACATTATATTTCTTGATTTTCTGTAAAATATCATCAAATTCAACGACTTTTTCCAATTTTCTTGCTTTGAAATAGAATGTGCAGTCTCCCCAATGCATTTGTGTTCATTAAAATACAATTTATTTAAAGACTTTTGAGGCTTACTCACCTTTTTAAACACACTGCTATTAATATGAACATAACTGTATGTTGATGTTGTTCGTCTGATCACACACACACACACACAGGGGCAGCAGGGAAGTGTGTGACGACGGGTCCGTACCAGGTGACGGTAAAGGAGCAGGAGGTCTGGACTCGGAGTTCTTCAGTCACCTTAAGAGGAACTGGTTGTGGACCAGTCACCTCCTCGCTGTTAAAACTGTATGTACACCAAAAGCACGCAGAGGAGGGGCGGGTTTGGACCTGGTTCAGGTTTCTTCATCACCTCATGGCGCTCTCTACTGTTGTGTCTAGACGCCGAGTGGCACAGAGGCGGAGACGGCCAAAACCAGACTGAAGAGCTTGTTAAGTAGGAACGCTCTCAGGATCGCGCTGACGGCCGGTGAGTCCAAGAATCTAAACTTTGAGAGTTCATGTTTTCTGTGATCTGAGTTTTTAAACATCTGTACGTAACAGGAGGATCCACTTCACCTCGCTGTGTGACCAACAAGCGCTCAGTGTCGTTGGAAATGGTCGAGGTGAGAACTTCTTATCTTTAAATTTGCACTGATTCTATGACTGCAGAGAAATTTAAACACTGGTGTCTGCCCTCCTGGTTTGTTTTAGAGCGCCCTGTGTTGTTGTGTGTTTGTAACCAGGTGGGGATCGAACCTGCGGCGAGAAACAAGCAGGTGATTGGAGGGAAGGGTCAGAAGAGGAAGAGGAGCAAAAAGGAAACATTCAAACCCCCGGCCAAGAAGAAGAAAGGTGCAAAAACAGAGGGGAAAAAAAACCACACAGTATTAAATCAGATTGACCGTATATTGTGTGTAACTGTCTTTGTGTGTTTTATTTCAAGAGCCAAAGAAACGCACACCTGCTCACGACGAGGCGGACCACCGCGCTCTGAGGATGATGACCAGACAGAGGGTCCTGTGGACGGTACAGGAAGACTCACTGATGATGCTCTGCAGCGTGGCGTCACACTTGCTCAACAGCAAGGTACACACACACACACACACACACACACACACACACACACACACACACACACACACACACACACACACACACACACACACACACAGTTAATTCTTTACTCATTCAGTGCCAGGTTCATTGATGCAGTTTTCACCCAGTGCCACCACTGACCGCCATAGAAGTCTTCGTATCTTTGAGGACCCACAGAATATCTTGTGTTCGGACTAGAATTAAGTTCAATATCTCAAAAGAAAGGAGTGATTCTCTTCTTTCATCAGAAAAATAAAGTGAGTCTCTAACCCGCTCCTGTGTTTAGTTATTACCTGCTCAGTGCAGCGTGGTCATATCATCTTTGCTGATCTGGAAAAACTCATTTTTTACGAAGGAGAGACTTCAGAGCAGAACTCTGATCGTCTGTTTCATTTCACTTCAAATTACTTTACCGGTGGCATCAAAGTCCTCCCTCCTCGGACTCCACTCCTAGTCACTCACGAGGTCGGATTGTGAAAGGTCACTTTGTGGTGGCTGGGAGTCGTATTGGCTCTAGAGAACCTGACGCTGCGACGTAAACCACACAGACTGCTCACATCCTCCTCACTGGGACTGTCGCTGAATTCCGGCGTACTCTTACTCACCAGTACCGGCACAACGACACGCTGGAAAATTGTTTCTTTGATTGTCTGCTGACGATGTGAAGGTCCGGTACCGGGATCTCCACTGGATCCAGAGACGGTAGCACCGCGCCCACGGGAGCCGATGTGCCGAGAGCGTTAAGTCTTGGCTAATGACTTCGGCATTTTCCTAGAGAAAAAACACTCCACAACTCGGCTAATTGGCACACTTCTCACTGACGAGTACTTCTTTTTGTTATTGTAACATTGTTATAACGTATTTGTCGGCTTTTCTGCGTTCAGAAAGACCCCAAACTTAGTCGCATGTTGCGGAGGAGCGCCCTCTGGTGGAAAACAAAAAAACTGAAAAATCCGTCAAATCCGTCAACGGCACTGAATGAGTTAAGACCTTCCACAGACAATATTGGACTTCAATTATTTTTTTAAGGGGAATTAAAATACGCTCAACCTTCTTTGTATCTGTTTGGTTTTATCACGTGGTCTCCTGTTGTCATGGTGTCGTAGCTGAAAAGGCCGTTCATACCCCACTGCGTGGTCAGAGACCTGCTCCACTCCGAGTTTGAGATTTCAGCAGATAAAACGTCCGTCGCTGTCGGACGTCGCTCACGATACATCCTGAAAAATCCACAGACACTCCTGAACTACAGGTAAGTAAACACGCCACATAGATGTAATGCTGCACTTAAGGGCCCGTGTCCACTGACAGCATCCAGACCTCAACCTTAGAAAGCTTCTTCTGACAGTGACTATTAAGTGGTTTTTGATGCTGTGCAGGCTTCACATTTTCTTGATATAAAACTTGATCTGAGCTGCTCTGTGTTGGGAGAAAACTCCGTTAGTGGACACAGGCCCTAATATTGATCGTGTGTGTTGCAGGATCTGTATGGCTGAGGTGTTTGAGGACAAACCTCTGATGAAGCTGCTGGAGGGGAAGAAACCAACTGATCCAGAAAACCCAGAGGTGTTTTTTTCTTCTTATTTATTCCCTTTTAGAAAATCTCTTTTTGATTGTTGTGACCGTCTGATTTGACTGTTTTATGGGTTTTATCGTTAAAGGATTGCGCAGGGGTGTTTTCAGAGTATGTGAAGCTGCTGCGAGAGAAGTTCAGCTCTGCTTTAAGCTCCGATCAGCATGAAATAGTCATACCCGACACCAAACAGGAGCTCTTTTCCCGGTAAGAGGAGGAGGAGGAGGAGGTCAGTCTTCCCGATGATTGGTGGTGACGTCTGAATGAAGTCTAAGATGTGTTTCTGTTTCAGGTTCAGAGTCTCAGCCATAGAGAACAGGAAACAGGTGCCCTGTAAGGATACTCTCACCTGGTGAGGACTCGAAAGGATTTCTTAAAGACTGATTTTCATGTTTTGATGGAGGTTGATTATTTTTCTTTGCTGGTCCGTTACAGCACTGACGACATTCATGCCATTGTGTTACACAATTTGATCCAGAGCACTCTGGCCATGACCAACTTTCAGATGAAGTCCTCCAGGTCCTTTCAGGTACCGCCATGTTGTTGTTGTTGTTATTTTAAGAGCACCATCTCATTTAAACATTTGTTCTTAATCACCGTAATTTATGTCATTAGATAATTGATTTTCTGACGCGTGTCTTTGTTTCATCTCGCATTGACTACTGTAATGCTCTTTTTATGTGTTTTAACGAAAAGGCTGTAAATTGCCTTCAAACTTTTCTAAATGCAGCTGCAAAGATTGTAACTAGATAGAAGAAAAGGGACCGTATCACCCCAGTTTTATATTCCCTACGCTGGTTACCAGTTAATTTTAGGATTTTAGTTCTTGCTTTTAGAGCCGTACATCACTGAGCTACTGAGACCCTATTGCCCCTCACGTTCATAATGTCATCAGACCACGAACTCTTGATGGTCCCTCGCACCTGTTTTAAAGCAGGAGGTGACTTCTCTTTCCAGGCCACTGCCCCTCGCCTCTGGAAGGTATTACCATTGACCTTACGTAGCATAGAGTCCGCTGAAAGTTTTAAAAAAGAACTTCAAACCTTTTTTTAGGCCGGCCTCTTCCATTATATTCATTGTGTTTCTCTGTATTCTTTTGCATTTTATCCTTGTTGTAAAGCACTTTGTGATTTTACCGATTAAAAAATGCTAAATAAATTAAATTCACTTACTTACTTACAAACCTTTTACCGTCGATCTGTGTTTTCTTCTCCAAGACTTTCCACATGTACAGCAAGTACAACCAGGAGCTCCTCTGCCAAGTCTTCATTCAGTGCAGGAAGAAAGGTCTGGTCAACCGCCGCCGTATCAACCAGTCGTTTGGACCCAAGAAGAACCGAGCTCTGCCTATCCTGCCCATGTCCTACCAGCTGTCCCAGTCCTACTACAGGTACTCCAGTTTAACTGCAGCCAGTGAAGTTATGGCCAAGTTAAAAATCCCCATTCAAGTGACTGGGATTGTCCGGGGCTGCTGCTCTCTATAAAGGTGAATAAGGTGATGGTTCTGATAGGAAGGTAATAGAGACTTGAAACCAAGCTCTATTCCCACTAAGTCAGGTACGGGCTTTCCACCCCCTTCAGTTCCAGAGATACGCCCCTTTTGGAGTCCAGAGTGGGCGTATCTCGGTAACGGAAGGTCGTAGAGACACATGGTTGGTGTCGACGTGTCGGGTGTGGTGAAATTCTGGCAGATGGGGGATCATTACGGCTAAAACCCACAGGATCCGGAACGGCTGCGCCCCGGCACGACAGGTGGATCAAATGCCCAAGCATTATAATTAATGTGTGTCATTCTACAGAATCTGTCCGCCGTCCGGCTCCGCTGCGGATCGGCTCCGGCGGCCAGATCAGATATGCAAGGGTTCTATTTTTCGTGGGGATGTGGGTGTTTATATACACCACCGTTTATATACACCCATGTTTATATACACCGATCTACGGATCTCATTCAGTGTCTCACGGGGAAACACACAAGATCTCGTGGGATTTCGTCCAGTCTCACAAGGAATATCAGTAATCTCGCGAGCGCTTCTCCTCCGATGGCGGCAACGGATCAGATCCGGTGGTGAAATTTTTTTGTTCTAGAATGGTAGGGAAAGGTCCCGCCCTCCTTCGCCTCTGATTGGCTAGAAGTGCTGGGCTCCGATTGGTTATTCCTAATGGCTGTGAAAATTCATCAACTGCCGGGATAGCGTTAGGAGATTCAGAAGTGCGATAATGTTCTGGAATGTTCTGTTCGATGTACAGAGCCGACAGCCCGCGTTTGGCTTGAGTGTGTGATGACGTTTCCAGCTTTTCTAACCAATCAGAGGTGAAGGAGGCGGGACTTTCTCCTACCATCCTACAAAAGAATATCATGATCCGGTAGGCGCTGTATGCTTGCGTTTTTGAGCCGCCTGCCATTCTGGAGCAGAGCAGAACAGTTCCGGATCCAGTGGGATCCCCGTGTTTGCGAGTCTCGCGGACGCACAGTTTATGAGTTATGGGCGTTAGAATAATCCCATGGTCAAAAAGTGGCGGTATTTAACTCTGACTCCTCCCCTCTCCATCTCCTTTCTTGCAGGTGTTTCTCGTGGCGTTTTCCCAACTCGCTGTGCACCGATTCCTTCCGCTTCTTGAGGGCTCTGCTTAACAACGGGAGGGGAGATGACAAACCTCTCACTGCGTTCTTCCACGAGACGGAGAACAGGCCGCCGCAAGGGGAGGGAGCGACGGAGGGGAAGTCAGCGCCCGGGAGGAAAAAAAGGACAAGCGCAGGGAGGTCGACTGGACCGGTGGGTGAGACAGAGGAACAACCTGAGAAAGCAGAAGAAGGAGGGAGCAACCAACAAAAACCAGAAGAAGAAGAAGAAGTAGAGAGGTCGATGGAGGTTAACGATGAAAAAACAGAACCTGAGGAAAAGGAAAACCCAGAAGATTCCTCCAGAGGTCCAACCCAAGACCATGAGCCTGAAGCTGCTTCCTCTCCTGAAGTGGAGATTCCAGACGTGTCGGACATGATGCGGTTCTCCATGGAGTCACCAGGTGGAGCCTGTGCGGCATCTCTCAGCCTGATGTCTCTGGGGCTGCTGAGCGTTCACCTGTCCATACCTAAACGGATGGTGGTGGTGGACAGCACCATGGTGGACAACAATATCGTCAAGAGGTGGGTGACGAACCACAAACTGATTTATCGTCTTTTGTTTTTTATGAGTGCCGGGTGTGAAGGAAACGGCTGCAAAATGGAATTTCTCTGTTTCTGACGAGCGGCTTTACTCGTCGTTTCAGTACGACCACGCAGACAGTTTTAACGAGTGTCACTGTGCTGCTGATTTCCTGTGAAGTGTCACACGCCTCCTTCACAAGTTTTCAGAAAAAGTGAGTCATGCAGCTGCTTTAGACAAACCTGAGAGCCAGCTGTGGTTTTCGCGAGTTCTTTGTCAGAAAAAAACAGTCGACAGAGACGAGAGAGGAGCTGTTTTTATAACAACAAACTCTCAGGGTAATCAGAATCCAACATGGCTGAATGCAGGGTCACAGAGTCCACAGGTAGATGGAAAGATATTAGTTTTTTTAATGGAGTTAACTTCAGATCAGATTATTACTTCAAGGAAATGATAAAGTAATGATCCTTGAAGTAATAATCTGATTGTATTTCCATGAAGTAATGATCATAAATGTTCGTCCTTGAGCTGCGTCACCCCGCTGTAGTCTGTAATGGACTGAGGTCTCGCTACAAACAAGCGGCTGCTGGAAGAGAGTAGGTGAGTTGTGTTTAGTCTCTTTGCTAAAGAAATGAGTCAAAGTTAAAAAGATGTTTGGTGTCTAGTACTATGGCTGTGACCCTATATGTCCTGTTGATGAAGTTAGGTGCTGTTCTGAGCATTATTTGTGGCTATAGAGTGGCGTTTTGGTTGAGGTTTGTTTATGGCTCCACAGACTGCTGTGTATTGCTATCCTGCGGTCGTTACTAAAGTTTGTATAACTAGAGAAGCAAGAGGTCGACAACATTCATCTCTGGAGGGGATGTCTAACTCGGCGTTACAGTGTGTTTGACCCTAAATTAATTTTACTCCGGAATATCCCTTTAATTAGAGCCAAAAATGCACCTTTTATTGAGAAGTGGCGCTTACAGTATCCGATCATATTACCTGGGAGAGAAAATATTTAATTAATGAGTTTTTTAAGAGAAGAAATAAGAAAGAAGTCGAATAATTTCAGTGAGCTGACTCGACATAATGCTCCTGGTCTAGCCTCTGTGTTTTCTACGACACTGTAATATTTTTATTTAGTTTACGTTCCTCGAAGACATCCTGCAGCGTCAATGAGATGAAAGTACAGAGCGTGTTTTATTAAAACGCGATTAAGAGGATTAAAGCGTAACCTCCTACAGAAATATGAAGGAGCTCTACTGTCGTCTTTATACTGAATGAAAACAACACGAACGTGGATCATCTCCTCGCCTGGGGCGTGTCTAAAATAAGTCAGTGTTGTGAATGATTGCTGGTGTCAAATGTGACTTTTCAGTCTGGTGGCTCTGGAGGAGGAAGATGATGATGAGGAAGACGGGGAGGACTGTGAGGGGAGGAAGAAACTGCAGGTGAAGGCGCATCAAGCGTCTCATACCAACTACCTGATGCTTCGAGGATACTGCAGTCCTGGCATCGGTACGGCCTGAACTGCCTCTCCTTTTCCCATGCTGCCTTTTGAGTTTGGAGTTGTTGACTCATCTCTTGGTCTTTGTCTGTTTGGTTGTTTCTAGTGAAGATGCGTAACCTCAAAACCAGCGACAATATCGTGTTGGAGTCGTGTAAGATGAGGCTGCAGCTCCGTAACACGCCGGCCCACCGTGTCTTCATCGAAGAGAGTGAGCACCCGCACATATAAGACCTTTATAAACACATTTTAATAAGAAAAACTCAGATCCTGTTTTCATTGACAGTTTCAGACTCTACACCCCTGGACTTGGTCAAATACGGTCCCTCGCTGGTGCCCTCCAACCTCACCTACTCCACCTCCTGCTCCTTTTCTCCTCCCAATGTGAAGGTGTGTGAGAGTCGGTTGATCGAGGCCAGCTGGTTCACTCCTCAGGACATAGAGGCCTGTGCTGAGATCAGAAAGAGTCTCGCTAAAGCGGGTGAGAACGGCATGGACATGCAGGATCTGTTCCAGACCCACAGACACCTGGTGGAGCCGCAATGTGGACGCACGAGGGGCCTGCAGCAATACCTGAAGGTAAACGTGTGTTTTTCTACCTGAAGAGGCCAAAACCAAGTGTGGTTGTTTAAAGTGTTGTCAGGATCTGGTTCTAGTTTTAAAGACAGGAGACATACATGCAGGTAAACGGCTCAGTCCAAAATCTAAATTCTGACCAAACAGCTTAATCTGAAGTTTGCAGATGAAAATGGGATCACAGAGTCTGCAGGGAAACTAACACCAGGTTGCTTGTGCTGGTCACACGTTACTCTAGAAAAAGTTAACATCAGAATGAGGCCAAACCGTGCCGTGAGCAGGAGAGCATCAAAGTATGAAAGCAGCAGTCATTAATCAGAGTCACAGCCACAGCTAGTTTTGAGCGGCTGCACTACAGATGAGGGTGGAGATGTTAACTCCTCTGGTGGACTGACCTCACACCCCGATTCAAGACCAAACCACGGTCAAATACGAACATATATATTTTTATTTATACTTTTATTTATCTAGTTTTCATTCCACTACCACTCTACCTCCAGAAAGTGCAATATTACCCAACATACTGCTTTTTTAACCTTAGTTTGTATTGTTTTTATTTGTTCTGTGTGTTAAATTAAACACCATCATGCTGTGATATGGAAGCAAAGCAACGACGTTTGGTTGCAGAGAGAAATCACTGCTGTGTTTGATTCTGTGCAGTGACGAATAAAGAAAGTCGAAGTCACAGCTTTCATCAACACAGCCATCGAAAATCAACATAAATCCACAGCTGATCAGGTGACCACTATTTATCAGCCTTCGTTAAATCTTTTGTTCATTTGAGCTGCAATAAAGAAAAAAAATATTTAAAATTATCCGTTTATTTTCTTTTTCCTCAAAGCTCTCAGGACTGAACTACTTTGGCCCTGGAGGTGGAAAAAAAAACTGTTAACTGAGAGTAAAAATATTAATCCGTTCCTGATCAGATTATAGGTCCTGTAAGGTACTTGTAGTTTGGGCTGGTTTTGGCGCCCCCCTGTGGACAGAGCAGTCTTAGCTTGTTTTGTCACTGTTGTGCTTATTCAATCTTTTTTTTTTTTTTCTTTTCTTTTCATTAAGCATCAACAATATTGTACATAGATAAACACTTTTTTTTATTCTTCTCTCGCCCACCCTGGGTGGTATTGCGTCTCTTCAAGCTCGGGTCCTCTACCAGAGGCCTGGGATCTTGAGGGTCCTGCGCAGTATCCTTGCTGTTCCTAGGACCCCCGCACGGGGGGTTTGCTCACCCGTGCGTGGTGAGCAACTTCCGAGTTTTAACATCTGTGTATATGTATAACAAACTGAAGCACATACATGAGTTCGCCAACACTGAAGCTGTGCACATAACAGGAAGAGAGGGTTCACATGGATTTAATCACAATCACAAACACAGGATGGTGCTAAGTGGTTATTAAGTGGGTACAGTTTGAAGTTTCCCAAAATGCTTCAACACCAGATCCCAGACAGAAAAGAATTTGTCTCTAGACCCCCGGAGAGTATTTTTTATCTTCTCTAATCGTATGAATTGTGTCTGGTAACTAAAGCACACAGATACTTTGGGTGTTTTTTTTATTTCCAATGTAATAAAATTCTTCTACGTGAAAGAAGCGTCGTAAAAGCAATCATGTTCTTCTAACTTTTCCTTAATGTTGTATAACTCCTTCAGTGTTTTCTAACTCCTGAGAGGAGCTTTAACAGTTAAATCCAAACCTTACAACCTTTAATGAGAATATTTTCATTTGGGTTTTCTGACAGTCTTTTTGTTTTCCGGGACAGAAGGCGTGTTTTAGAGGCTGCTGATTCAGCTGGTTTTAACCAGGGTGGAAGCTTTTTTAATGTAAAGGACAGTAGTTTAAAAAAAAGTTTGACACTAAAACTACAAGCAAACAAAACACAATCAGTCAGGTTTGATTACAGGGAGACGTGGGAGCTTATAAAGACAGAGGACCGGTCCAACGTAGACACGGGAAACACAAGAGACGACGACAAGCTAAACATTTATCAAACTTGGCGACGCACCAGGACAAACAACCAATCAAAACAAGATGTGGAGAAGCTGATCCAAAGTCCAAACTTCTCCTTTTTCCCTGATGGTCCCGCCCACTTCCTGTAAAGCTGTCTTAGACCAGAAATCCATCTTTTGTGGGAGGTGCTGGCGTTACTTTGTGGACTTTTATTGCAGCTCTCCTCTCCCACAGGCCCTGAATGCAGCATCCTTCACTCACACTGATTTTTGCAGACAGATGTCGATGACTTTCTTCTTACTATCATCTCTGTTTTTCTCCAGGAGTTACAAGAAGACGGCCAGGTCTTAAGAGTCGGCAGTTTGGGTGTCCGGTGGGTTCTCGCGCAGCATGCCGAGCCGTGGCTGCTCACCCTGAACTCCAAACAGTGGTCCCAGTCACTCAACTCTTCAGACAAACTGACCTTCCTGCAGAGACAGCACAAGTTCCCCTTCATGCGCAAGAGAGGCCGACGAGGAATTAGACGAGAGAAAGAAGAACCGCCTACGAAAAAAACGGCTGTGGACCAACAGGAGAGCGAGGGAAGGGAGGATGTAGAGGCAGCATCCACTGACGTACCGAGAGTTACAGAGACCGAGGGAGAACCGGGTGAAGGGCAGAAGGAAAGTCCAGAAGAGGGGACTGCAGGGAAAGTGCCAAACCCAGAAGATGAGAGAGGAGAGCTGGTGGAAGCTGAGGAGGAGAGGGAGAAGGAGGCTGAAGAGGAGAGGGAGAAGGAGGTGAAAAGTGAGGAAGAACAAGGGAAGAGGAGAGAGCTTAGATCCAGGAGAGGCAGTTTATCGAACGAGAAGGGATGTTCTCAACCTGCAGGAGCAGCTCATGATCACGACGAGTAAGTAAACTGTCGGATAAACTTTTAAAAGTTCATGTCCCTTCATTAAAATCCTCTCGTCCTCACAGAGACGAAAACGTCAGCTTCATCAGCCGCCCGTGGCGAATGGTTGACGGGAGCCTGAACCGGCAGGTGTGTAAAGGTATGCTGGAGGGTCTTCTTTACCACATCATGTACCACCCTGGACTCACGCAGAGGTCCATACTGGAACATTACAAAGCGATGCTGCAGCCGACAGCGGTGCTGGATCTGCTGGAGGTAAAACTGAAAAGTGGTTTAATATTTTTCTGCAGGAAACAGAAGCTGATCTAAAACCCTCCTCCTCCTCTTTCTCCTCCTCTTCTTCTTCTTCTACAGGGGCTCATATCTTTGGGCTGCGTGACGAGGAAGACTCTGGTCAAAGCTCCCAAACCCTCGCTCTTCACCCGGTCGGCGCCGCAGACGAGCGAGATAACAGCGAGGGTTGGAGATCCGGAGTGTGTTTTCTATGAGCCCACCATCAGCTGCGCTCTGAGACTCCCTCAGGTGTTACCCAACGAGCGACACTGGAACACCTGCCCCCCCTGAATGTCCTCTCCTCTCTCTCTCAGTCACGGCAGCCATTTTCCTCTGATGTCATCCTCTGTTGTAAAGAGTGAACATCAGAAAATAGACTTTTTGGGTTGTATAAATGTTTACAAAGAGTACCATCAGGTTCTGGTTCTACAGAACTTTAATTTTTGAAGTTTTTTGTTTCTGTTTTAGTGTTTGTAAAAATTTGATGAGGGCGTTTTTTTCACTTCACTTCAGGATTTATTAACATCATTTTTTTTCATGTAACAGTGTACAAGCTCTCATGTTCAGGTCTCCAGATCCCAAACAAGTGCAGTACAAGGATGCTCCAAAGGTCAGTCAAGCGAATAGTAAGTTTTCCGTTATGATCTCGATTAAAAAAGGTTAAAATCAAACGTTTTTATTGACGTGTGCAAAAAGATGCAGGAGGAAGTGTAAGTCGAGTAAACTCTATCCCTTTATTTACTAGATAATCACCAATAACAGTGAAACGCTGAGGAAAACCGTATTACATGTGTAAAGTGAGGCGTCTAACATGATAAAACCGGGTCTGAAGTTCCCAAACGTTGACCTCTTCAATCTGTCAGACCTGATCCAGGAAACATCACCAAACCTGAAGAAGTAAGACTTCAAATATTTGTGCTCACGGGTCCTTAGACAAAGCTGCTTCACAGATTCCTCCAAGATTTTTATCTCCCAATCTAATTTCTACTCGACAAACAATCCACATTGTGTGGTCGGAGGAGATGGTGGACTCCACCAAGATACTATCTCCGCTTACCTTCCTGTGTTCTACCCAAAGAATCGACAGGGTTTCTTCCTTCTGCCAAACTGGGTCTAGTTTCACTTTTTTACAACGTCATGACTCTTAAGGTCTTGTAGGATTTCCACCAACCGTTATAGACTCACAACATTATTCTTATGTCAGAGGTTTTTCTTTGATTTTCCTATCTGGACTAAAAAAAAAAAAACACTTCATGATATCCACAAAGAACCAACGTGAAGACGGGACAAGACTGAGACCCACTCTGACCCCAGCTTAATCTACATGAGTGAAACACTTCCTTTTACAGAAACCTCAAGCAGAACCAGAACTTGCAGAACTTGAGGAACTTTTTATTCAGAATGAGAGAAATAACTGCAGTTAATGATATTTTTCCCGAACAGTAAAGATTTGAGCGCCCCTCAAATGAGTTATTGAAACTCCACGTCTTCAGACAGAAACCACGATAACTCCGGCTTTGAGAGAAGTAACAGAGTCAGATTAGAAGTTTTGAAGTCAAACAGAGACAGTCGCTGAAGATTGATATGACCTTCATATGTCTCATTCTGACGACCTGAGCTACTGCTGAACGTGGTTTTACTTTTATAAATAAAGTCATTCAGGACAATATGGAAATGGAATCCTGACAAATCATGTTTGTGTGGTTACAAATGATCTTGATTAATAAAATCTGCAGGTTTTTAAGTTATGTGTATTTGTTAACGCTCTACACACAATTAGGTATTTTGTATGGAAGCGTATCTTTTCTGTTTTTCTGACATATTTTTATTGTTTTTTTTTTTTGTCTTTCAGTTTTTTTGTATTTTTTTGTCTCTCTGTTTTTTCATTTTTTTTTTCGTCTTTCTGTTTTATCGTATTTTTTTTTTCTTTCTGTTTTTCATACTGTTTTTCTTTCCCTCTGTTTTTTGTGCTAACAATTTTTCCCCTCTTTCTGTTTTTTGGACACATTTTTATTTTGATGTTTTTACTTTTTTTTCATCTTTCTGTTTTTCATTTCTTTTTCGTCTTTCTGTTTTTTCGCATTTTTTCATAGTTTCTTTTCTTCTGTTTTTGTGCTAACAATTTTTCCTCTCTTTCTGTTTTTTGGACACATTTTTTTACTTTTATTTTTTTTTCTGTCTTCCAATAAATCAAGCAGAAGGGGATGAAAGCATCTAATGAGAGCGTTAAATGATCATGATCCCAAAGAACAGGGGAAAAAAAGTCTAAAAACAAAACAAAAAAACAAAAAATATTTTTAAAAATTACTCTGAAAAACAGCTTTTTTTTTTGGTAATTGTAATACACTTTTTTTGCGTGGTATTAGCATGATAAAATCTTCTCAAACACCTGCACATAACGGCCGATAGGACAGGAGTTGATGGATCTATATTAATCTCAACTGTCATAAACAGGAAACATGCAAAGGAGGTGACAATCAGCACACACACACACACACACACACACACACCACTCTTTCTGTTCTCGACAAGTGTATTAGGAACATAAACTTAGTTCAGTGAATCACACAGAGTATCTAACTACACTGTTAACATACAGACAGGCATGATCTGCAAACACAATAACCGTGACAAGTGTGCGTACTATAACGGGGATTTCTACACAAAGAAACATGAAACTGAAAGTTCAGTCTAAGGTCCACAGAGGGTTTTCTTTTTTTGTTTGGCTCATTTGTGTAAAACAGAAACCCCATTCAGAAAAACCTGCAGCAGAGATCAAAACTATGCAAATTAAAAGATAAAATACATAACCTATTCAAATAACTAACATCTGATGCATGAAACAGACACAGAACCTTGTGATGTGGTTTCTCTCCGACTTTCTGCAGCACCGTCTTTCACTCGGGGTGCATTTCTTTCCATTTATACTTTAATGTGTTCGTGAATTTGCATTATTTCTAAATTGCACTCATGTTCTGATGAAACTCTTGCATGCTTGTCTGCAGCATGTTCGCCCTTGCTTCGACACATAATCACTCATATCAAGCATGTGTGATAGAAGCGCTCTTAACAAGACTCTCACCGACTTCCTGAGGATGTTAATCGGTCAGGTGACCTCCTGTGATCTCTGAACACGTGAGAACCGAAATTCACTCGTTTAGATTTTAGTATTCAAGGGGTTTTCTCAGTGATACCAAAACCATGAGAACAGGATTCTTTCTCTTCAAGGTTTGAACCAAAAACAGAACTCTAAAAGTCCTTTTTGATTTATAACAAACAGTAACAGGCTTTATTAGTTTTTAAGCAAACATTTGATAGTAGAAGTTTAAAATGTAAATGTAAATGGTCTTTTTATTTAAACAGCCTTTTACAACAACCCTTGCTGTGAACCAAAGTGCTTTACAATACATAGAAAATAAAAATGAATAATTAAAACAATACAAAAAGATTAAATACAATGCAGTAAAATAAAGTGTCACCACACTACTGGGTATTAAAAACCAGCATAAGTAAGTATGTTTCCAGGTTAGAAATAAGTCTTATTTTGGTGGGGATCTTATTCCAGAGCCCGGGACCAGTGACTGAAAAGACTCGGTCACCCCAGTGTTTGTCTTTTGACCTGAGCACCTCCATCAGAAGTTGATTTGATGACCTCAGAGCTCTACCTGGCTCCTGAACGGTTAAAAGTTCAGTTAAATAGATGGGGGCGAGGCCGTTAAGAGCTTTAAAAACAAACATTAAAAGTTTAAAATCAACCCTAAAAGAGACGGGAAGCCGATGAAGGGAGGACAGGAGTGATGTTCTCACGTCTGTTAGTGTTGGTTAAAAGACGGGCAGCAGCAGCATTATGGACAAGTTGAAGGCGATTAAGAGATGATTGGGAGATGCCAACATAAAGTGAATTACAATCGTCTAATCTTGAACTGATTAGAGCGTGGATGGCTATCTCGAGGTCGTGACAGCTTAATAACATTTTGACCTTGGCCAGGAGACGTAGTTGGAAGAAACTAGTTCTGACAACATTGTTAATTTAAATCATAATAACTGCAAAACTGTGTAAAAAGTGCAGATTATGGACAGCAGAGGGAGACAAAGGACCTGCAGCACTGATCATCCTCACACGCAGACAGTGATGCCCTGAAAATATATATTTTTTTCCGTACAGGTCATTGGTATTTCTATACTGAAAACAAACTGGGATGTCTGTCTCAGGCTGCCCTTGACTCGGTTTGGAGCTTTACATGTCGGCTGATCTATGACATAGAAACTAGTAACAAAGCTCATACTGTCTCACTGGAATCCTTAGAAGAACATCGCAGACAGTTTTCGAATAAACACCAGAAAAACCTTCGGAGGTCGCAGAAATACAGAAAGTTTATCACCAAAAAAACAAAACAAACACGGTCTCACGAAGGGAGTGGATTTTACAGAACTGGTGTCATAAACACAACAATACTCTACTCAATTTTATTTATAGAACACTTTAAAAACAACCAAAGCTGACACAAAGTTGTTTTAAAATATGATAAAAGGAAATAAAACAAATGCCGTCTCATGCTGGGTCAAAAGCCAAGGAGTAAAAGTGGGTTTTTGGACAATAATACGACATTTACGACAAGATTAGACCAATCAGCTATTTACCCCAAATATAAGTACTTCTTTCAGATGTACCTCAAGAATAAAAAACACTTCTTATATTCAGTTCATTTCAAAAGCTGAATAATCAGTTATCAATCTTAGTCTTTGGTTTTTGTTTCGGCACGTGGTCACAGCTGAATCACAGCCTCAATGATGTACAGTATGACATAAAGCCACGACATGTTGCTTAAATGGGAAATTTCAGCTGAGCACTCAAAAAAATCCCCTAAAACCACATCATTCAGTTTCCTGTGTCCTGGCTGGACATGCAGAACTTGACCTCTGTGGACTCATGTGTGAGTAAACATGAAGCTGTTCAACTCTCGATGTGATTATTGATTAATCTGAAGATTGCATCCGTCTCAGTCTGTCAGGTTTTGTAATATTTCTGTGAAACCTTCATCACAAGATGAGAACGTCACTTATTGCCAACTTCTCTTGAATTTTGACGCACGTTTCAAGGAAATACTTTGGTGTTTCACTTCTGCTTTTTTGTGGTGCTGGAAAACTGTTTCTACAAACTAAGAGGGCACATTAAGGGGAAGCCTGACTTTAACATCTTTGTACCTATGTTTTTTTTTTTAACTTATAATAGTGAGATGGAATTGACAGTCCATACTTAAGAGGTAACTCATTTACATCAGAGAGAAGTCATTCATGTAAACATGCTTTACGTCACTTCTTTGGCTGTTTCTCATGAGATTGTGAAAGATAATGGAGTCAAAAATATCCTTAGTTCCTGTTTCAGCTTGCTCTATTGGTGCGCAAATGTCAAATCCTTTTAGAGTGACTGTTTCAACCCAGACTGTGAACTGAAACACTTCTAACTGCTCAACCTGCTCATGAAAAACAAGGTCCCAGAGAGCAGGCTGAGACAAGTTTAACGAAGCCAGCGAGTGACACAAACAATGACAGGCGTGACGGTTGACTTTATGCAGTTGTACTGTAACTTGTGTTTTAACTTTTGCCTGGTTTTGAAACAGCTTAAAATTAAGAGACAAAACACAACTCACCTACTCTCTTCCAGCAGCCGCTTGTTTGTAGCGAGCCTCAGGCCAGTCCATTACGGACCACAGCGGGGTGACGCAGCTCAAGGAAGAACATTTATGATCATTTCATCATGGAAATACAATCAGACCGAGACGCTAAGGCAGAAGAACTACCACATCTGCAGTGCAACATGATTAATATGGTGATTATTACCTCAAGGAAATGATAAAGAAATGATCATAAATGTTCTTCCTTGAGCTGCGGCACCCCGTTGTAGTCCGTAATGGACTGGCCCGACAAACGGCTGCTGGAAGAGAGTAGGTGAGTTGTGTTTAGTCTCTTTGCTAAAGAAATTAGTCAAAGTTATAAAGATATTTGGTGTCTAGTAGCCTACTATGTCTGTGACCCTATATGTCCTGTTGATGAAGTTAGATGCTGTTCTGAGCATTATTTGTGGCTATAGAGTGGCGTTTTGGTTGAGCGCGTGGCTCTCTGTATTGCTATCCTGCGGTTGTTACTAAAGTTGGTATAACTAGAGAAGCAAGCGGTCTGCAACATTCATCTCTGTGTTATGCTGTGTTTGACCCTAAATCAATTTTACGCTGGAATATCCCTTTAAGCCTGATTTGTATTGGTTGATGTGTGGTGATCTTTGAAAACATTTCTCTTTTGTTTTTAACTTTTTAAGCTTCAGTTTGTTTCAGAAAGTCAGGGGTTGTTCAGCTTCTCTGTACCACTATTTCCAGCCGTGTGTCTGTTTTCCTGCCTCGGAAATATCTGACCTCCTGATATGGAGATCTGCCAGTTTTGAAGGTTTAGGAGAGGAGGGCAGGATTGATTATAAACAGGGAGGAAATAAAGTGAGTAACAATTTGGTTTAAAGGATTCATGGTACGAAAGGGTGTGAAGATACAAGAAGGTCTATGATAACAGATGGAAGGTATTTTTCCTCTTAAGGGAGAAAACACTGAGAGGAATCCGATAAGGGAAGTGTGTTTCCGGACCCCTGACATTCCTCTCCCCAAAAACACACCAGGCCGGTCAGACTCTGTAATTTGGTGCTTTTGTGGTTCATCTGTGTAACCTATCCTGTTATAAATTCATCCAGGGTTATATACAGACAGTTACCCTGTTGCCGAAAAGCCCCAGTGTTTCCGAGAAGTCACAACAACATCGGAAATCCTTTCTATAACCGAGTTTCAATTTCGCAGTCCTTCCCACTAACACTGACGGTATGAGGTAGAGCTGTGAACCCTCCTCCTCCTCCTCCTCCTCCACGGTCAGTAGAAAGAGAGGGGATTTTTCACTGACCGTGGACTTTCACTCTCTGACACACTTACTGACAGAGTCACTCAGATTTTAGTATCGGACACTATCAGGATGTCTTTCTCCACAGTGATTTTGGTTTTATCTTTGGTGACTCTTCTACACGACCTCCATGTGACCGGCTGTGGTGAGTTTACTCAGATGATAGTGGTTTATCCGCTAAACGAACTTAGACAGCATCGTCTTCATATCCGCCTAATGTCTCCGAAATTTAATTCAAATTTGGCTTTCAATGTCCTCTGTTGTTTTCTTTATATAGTGAGGTTCCTGCTCCACAGTTACAGATTTATATGTAGACTTTTGCAGCTTATCAGTTGTAACCCAGTTTCATTTCCGCCAGTGGCGTACTCGTTTTTTTTTGAGGGCAGGGGCATAACGAGTAAAAAAAGGCACCTGCTTGGGATATATATATATATATATATATATATATATATATATATATATATATATATATATATATATATATATATATGATTATATGATTGGTATTACCAAGGTAACAAATGTTTTTTCATGTAAATACTGCGGGTCTACCGGTGTCTTCTCACTCTCCATAACCGGGAATAACAACAGCAGCATGGTTAAATCTACTTGGCACCCTCGCTGTCAACGTCGGGTGTTGAATAAGGGACCATCAATAAATTACTCGTTGATGTTCAGAGAAAAGGCTGTTTTTTCCTTCAATAGCTTCCATGTCATGTGACCAAAAGACCTCAAATTGATCTTAAATAATAGTACTTATGTTGACCAATAAGACACACATTATTTGATCAATTTTCATTGTGCCCCTGAAGTTCTTTGCGTGCTCCTTACTTTTTCAACTTAGGAGAACATGTGAAAAAAAGTCAATGTCAACTCCTGTATAGGGCTTTTAGTAGCAGAGCTGCCGTGTTTGTGTTTTATTTTATACCCTTGCCAGAAAACCAAGAAGCTGGTTGTAGATTTCCGCAGGCGCAGACCGACCCCTCCCACAACAGTGAATGTTCAGGGAAAGGACATTAAGATTGTGGACTCTTACAAGTATCTGGGTGTCCACCTGAACAATAAACCGGACTGGACTGACAACACAAACTCACTCTACAGGAAAGGCCAAAGTAGACTCCACTGACTGGGGAAACTGAGATCCTTTAGGCTGCACTCCTGAGGACCCTTTAGGACTCTGTAGTGGCCTCAGAAATCTTCTCGTGAGTGGTCTGCTGGAGCAGCAGCATCACGACATGGGGAACGACAGCTCTGTCCTGGGCTGCCCTCTGGACCCTGTAGAGTTGGTTGGGGACAGGAGGATGATGGCTAAGCTATCGTCTCTCATGGACAATGTTTCCCACCCCCTGCAGGGCGCTGTAACAGCACTAGGCAGCTTCTTCAGTGACAGAGAGATACCGCAGGTCCTTCCTTCCTGCTGCAGTTAGACTGTTTGACCAGGTTTTTACCGCAGCTAACGGACAGTGACTCAATGTTCCCTCAATGTGCAATATTAACAGGCCAGATATTTAAACAATATTAACATCCCTACAGGTATAATAACTCAAATAATGTGTTATAATAACATGTTTAATTCTTTTTTGGTCACCGTGTGGAACCGTTTTAGTTTTTTGTTGTTGCTTTATTCTCTTTTTTGTGTAGTCTAAATTAACTTTTTATAATTATCTGTGGAAATAGGAACAGCTGAATGTGTGTCATATTGAATTTCCCTTTGAAATTTATTTGTTTTCAATGTCTGTGTGTATTACAGCGGTAAATTGCACCGATGAACCAAAATTCACACCACCCGCCCTGGTCGTGAAGTTCGGTGACAAGGCGTCTGTGGACTGCTCTGTTTGTCCACAATGCGCCGACTTCATCTTTGATTTGGAGATTGCGGTGGGAGTGAAGACGAGAAATGGAACCAGGCTGACATGGAGTGTTGACATACTGACTGAATGGGATCTTGAGCCCCAGTGCTATTATAATGATAAGGATGATAACCAGTGTTGTAGTGATCTTCCTCTGACTGTGTACAGTAAGTAATGAACAAAATGAAGAACATACTAATGTGGTGGTTTCCATCATGTAGAAACTAAATGAATCTGTTTGTCTCCTCAGGGCCTCCAGATAATGTGTCCTTCAGCTTTAGGAACGACACTGGACCTGTGACAGGACCCGTGACAGCGGGTCAAAATTACACCATGTATTGTCAGATAGAAAATGTCGCTCCCGTTGAGAATCTTGAAGTCGTCTTCTACCGAGGAAACTCACCATTACCTCCATTAAGGCTCACCAATGAGACACCAAAAACGCCCTTGACGCGGTCCTTTCCTATGGCCTATGTCCCCCTGAAAGGAGATAATGGAGTAGACTACTGGTGTATGGCACGGCTTAACCTGGGACCTTATGGACCACAGCCCCCTGTAGTGGTGGAGTCGCAGAAGTCTACCTCTGTTGTTTACTGTGAGTCTGATTTTAAATATCTTCATTTTAAGTTTTAAATTGTTTTAGTTTTTTTATTTCTGAAAGCTGCAGCAGCTGTTTGCCAAGAAATGGGTTCACATCACAACTACAGGTCGCTCATAAATAAGAACCACCCTGCGCTGTCCTTTATCTCTGCCAATCCTTATAACGTGTTTCACCTGATTGATTACTTACAGTCTGTACATTTAATGTCCAAGTATCCTTGTTCTTATAGGTTTATTTTCAGTTTCAATAAGCTATAAAACCGACTCAGCCCCAAATAGAGAAAAAATTTAAATTACTAACTAGCTACGCCAGCTAATGCACAGCTAGCGTAGTCGTCTATGACCCTCTGAGAGTTCATGACACAACAATGAGTCAAAAATTTGTGCTTTTCTGTAGAAACCTGCAATCACATGCAGTCTGCATGATTTAAAGGATAACAGTATGTCGGTGATGTTTTTGCAGCTTGTCTCTGCTGAACACTGAAGGCCAGAAATCTCTGTTTTTGCAGGTTTCAATGCACTGTGTGCATACTGTACAATAAGTCAAAACTCAAAGTATTTCTGATAACACTTCTTAAACATTACTGTAAGCTGTTATATAACACTTACTATCCCATTATAATCATTGGGGTCGTCATAAATCCAGATGAATTTATGAGACTTTATAGGTGTGGTAAGAATGCATTATAAGAGAAAGGTTCATGTAAAGTGTTACCGAGTTGTTTTCCACATAGTTACGTGCAATCACACTTGTCTTTGGGTCATCTGGTGGACGCCGAGGCTTCTTTAATAAAGTCGATGTATATATTGAATGAATTTTGGTTAAAATGCAAAATAATTTGCTTTAAATTAAAGCAGCAGAAACTGAAACAAACTGGATTTTGAGACAGTGGTGTGCAGGTACTCTCCAACGCTGCTCCTATAAATAGATAAACTTCATATTTTCCTTTTTAAATTTTGCTCTGACAAGTTATTTCTCTATCAACACTCAGATAAACCTGAGCTACAGGTTAGGAGAGATTTAGGGGAGATCATCCTCACTGAAGGAGACAAGCTGCAGCTGAACTGCACGTCTGTGGGGAACCCCAGCCCCTCGTACAACTGGACTCTTCCCTCTGGTCGCCTTTCCCCATCCACGGGTAGCGTCTTCATGATTGAATCTGTCGCCGCCGAACACAGTGGGAAATACATCTGCCATGTCAGCAACAACATCTGGTCTTTCCCTGTTGAATATTCAGTGGAAGTTCAACGTAAGTTTTCCATATTGCCATGTCCACTTTGCAGAGACGTGAATGTACAGTATGTCTTTGATTGCCTCATGCTGTACACTGAGTCATATTCACATGTCAGCTGTTTTTTCCCTGATTTCATCCCTGTGGGACAATCAAATGTTAGCACTCTTATTTTATGTTCCAAGACGTTAAATTTGTGTGTTTTTGCTTTTATTTCTATTCTCCAAAGGCGACTTCACTGCATACATCATCGCTGCCATAGTAATAGCTGTTGTTCTCCTCATCATTGTTGGGATATTCCTATACCGCCGTTACTACGCCATCAACAGAACGGGAAAGTACAACCTGAGGGATGTTTTCCGCCTCCGCCCACGCCACTCCCCAGTGTCCACAGCAGAGTGAACCCTTGGCTGTATACAAGTACGGATGAAGTGTCTCCGCCTGCTGCACTTGCACAATGAAGCTAAAGTCCCCGTTGCGGCGGACACTGGGACCTCGCACCGCACCCACACTAAACTAAAACACAAGGCGAGTTCCCTCTGGCTGGCACGGTCCACAGCAGGACAAACGAAGCGGACACTCACCGGTATGAGAAGCTTTATAAATCTTGTGTTAGCGTTTGTAACGATTCCTCTCGCCATTCCTCCTCTCTTGCTTAAGATCTAGCTTTACTAACAGAAACCATGTTTGTAGAAAAAGTATGACTGTTTTATTTCCTTGTTTGGACTGCTTGGTAACATGAAGGTTTATCACCTATACTGCAGCCAGTCAGTAGGGGGAGCTTCGATTGATACTGCTCCACTTTTTGGGTGCTGCTGCGATGTCCTTTTGTTTGTTCAGACCACAAACAACCGGGAAGAGCTGCTTTGTGGCCAGCTACTGTGAATAATCAGAGACAATAGGCTTCCCTGTGGCTCAAACCAACCATCAACAATTTCCCTTTTTCGAGCCAGTTTAGGGATCACTTCCTCTCCCTTCTACTGGGGTCATTCCTCCTCTGATACGAAGTATAGCTGTATAAAATGACTAAAAGAGTTCCGTCCAGCTTCACTAGCCTTAGCTTCGAAGGGGAAATGTCACTTGGTCTTTAGTATTTACTCAAGTTTTTTTAAAGAGTGATGTGTACACTGTAAATTGTGGCTTTAAAATGTAAGTGTTTCTGTATCTGCTGAGCTTATTAATCAGATTGCACTGTTCTTTATTTTTATATGCCAGCCAGTCTTTAAATCTGATGTGCTCAGCAAGTTACTTACCTGAAGATTCTACAGGATCCTGAACGGCTCCGCTCTGCTCTAGACCGGCAGGCGCATCAAATACGCAAGCATACAGCACCCACCGGATCTGATCCGCCTCCGCCATCAGAGGAGAAGCGCTTACGAGCTTACCTTTATTTTTCGTGAGACTGGACGAGACCTCACGAGATCTTGCGTTCAATGTCTTGTGAGACACAGAATGAGATCCGCCGATCGGTGTATATAAATGGCGAAGTATATAAACACCCACATCCCACAACCCTGGCCTCCCCTATTATCAAGTTAAGAACAGTTCAACGTTTTGACTTTAATTTATTTTGAAAATTAACCAGATATTTTTCCCTATAGCCACATACAACTTCTGCTGCCGTTCATGCTGCGCTGCACTGAATTGATTCGCCGTGCTGCAGTGTCCGGCAAAAATAGAAGCCTTGCGTATCTGATCCGACCACCGGAACCAGCGGAAATGGACAGCGGACGGATTGTGTGGAATGACACACATTGATCATAATGCTTGCGTATTTGATCCGCCTGCAGTGCCGGAGCGGAGCCGTTCCAGATCCTGTGGGTTTTAGCCGTTACTATTAAAGTCAGTTCTCAAGATTTTAATTTGCTCTATCCTCAAAACAGCACGGCTTTACTTTTTCTCAAAATGATACTCAAATAAAGGTTAAAAAAAGACCTTGAAGAAAAACGGAATAGACAAACTAGTTGCATCTGCGTTTTTGTACTCAGTGTGATGCCTTTGCAGCATGAAGGATCAGACTGATCGTGTGTCCTCTTGTCTTTCAAGGCCACCGTTTCATCACCAATGTAAGGGGTGAGCAAGGGAGCATTTCTGTCCAGACACTGACTGTTAGATGTCAACCATTTCTACACACTGTACCTGACTTGCTTAGAGTTGCACCACATCATGATGAGCTGTATACATTTTATAATAAATCAATTAGTGACGGGCCCAACTGTTTGATTCCTGTGTTGCAATATTTAACTTAACTAACAACACGTGTTAGTTGAACTCTAGAGGAAACATGTCGCAGGTGTAATGAAAGAACTTCGTTTGCTAGTAACAGGTGATTATTTCTGGCATGAAGGGAAACTTTGTGGCCAGCTTGTCAGTCGGTCACTGTGATATTAATATTTCAAATGGTTTGTAAAAAAATGAACAAATACACATATGCGTTCAAAGACCAGGCAGATAATATTTTACATAATAACGCATTCATTCTAATACAATGAATAGTTTCATAATGGTGAATTTTGCAGGTCAATGCTTCAGTGTGAAAGTAGTTTCTGGTGTCAGGATCCACTTAGACCTGTTTTTTTCTGACTCTCATTGCATTTCAATTATTAAGAAGACAACTCAAAACAACTTTGTTTGACACTTGCCTTAAAAAAAGGGATGTAATTTATTCCAAGTATAAATATTATCCAGACAGTCTGCTCTTATTTTGTATTTTGTCACACCTGTTTTTTTTTTACTATGTGGAAATAAATACTGTAAACTTCTTCTGACCTCATAAATTCAGCTGCAGTTAATTCCTCTGTATGTGCACGTGTGTGTTTTTTTAAGTTTTTTTTAACTGAAATATTTGAGCACAAAGTATTAACAATGAAGTGTTTTCTCTTTTATAAAATCAAATAAATCAGAACACATTATATAGATATTTTGTTGTAATTTCATACATTTACAAATATTCGGATGAAATGTGCAGTCTGGCTCCTTTTTCCTGACTTCCTATCTTAGAAATACAGATTTCCGTCATCAAGCATAACAATCTGACCTTAAATGCCCCATAGTGTGTGTGTGTGTGTGTGTGTGTGTGTGTGTGTGTGTGTGTGTGTGTGTGTGTGCCATGCTTTCTTGGTTCTACAAAGTGAAGTAAAGTAATCTCGAAGCAGCTGCTGGAAATGGAAAAAGGTAATTACAGTTTTCCTGTTTATGGTATTCTTCATTACTGGAGCATCTTAACCCTTTCAGGACGCTCAGAGGGGTTTGATCTTTTACTAGAAGCTCCGGTGCAAGAATTTAGTTTTTGGGTGGGGTTAGTTTATGCATCCCAGAAATGCCTCACTCATGACTCTTTTTCACTCCTCCGTACACCTCCCCCCTCCTGCTGAGAAGACCCTGTAATGGAGATAAGAATAGAGGAGGTCGATGTTCACTGTGATTCTTTCAAATTCAAGCTTAGATAAGATTACATTTCCTAAAAACTGTAGAGAAAGCATATCCATCTGTTAGGATTATTTTCCTTGTAATTTACCTTTCATTTTCACAGGAAAAGCCAGATTTTAAACCGAAAGCATTAAAGCAGGAAACACCTGGGCACTCTGGCCTGGAAAGCTTCCTCTGCCTTTCACATTAGTGTAGAAAATAATAAACCTGATGTGTTGTGTTTGTTGTTACAAATCATAAACTCATTAAAAAATGTCCTTAAAAATCTCCCAGGAGCTGAAACAATACACTCATGACCACACCATTCAGACATAGCTGAATGACCATCTCAGGTCAGGGCCAAAACAGCCTCAATCAGACCTCCGCGCTGAGCTGTGTTATCTGGTACCAAGATAAGCGCCACTTTATTTATGGTCAACTTACCCCATACACGGGGTAAGTTGACCATAGGAGACCACTTGTTTTTGGCATGCTATATTATCAATATCACAGTTCTGTTTACACTCATTCTGTTGGTTTGCAGGGGTGAACAACATTCTGAAATACATGCAGATACACTGGTTAGAGACAAAACTAGGATTGACTTGATGTAGTGATCTGAAACATGAAACATGGATCATCTTACCCCACTCTCCCCTACTAGTTTTATGACATGAAATGTACTATGAAATGTACTAGTTTTATAATATGTTAAGACACTTAAAATCATTATTTAATTTAAAAATTATCCATTTAAAACATAAAATTTAAATCTAACGGCTCAGCTCGCGCTCCTTGATGACGTTATTGATTGGCTTTCAGGCGCGCGCGGCGCTGCTGCTACTGTTGTAAAGAGGATTTTTCTGATCTGCTAACCTGCTCCTCTTTAGTACGAGTAAAGAGGATTAAGAAACTATCGATTCCTGGCTTGTGTCCTGACACTGTCTCGTTTGTAGTGTCCCAGCTTGATTTTCTGTCAACCACAACTGAGTTTGTATCCGAAAATCCGAGCAGAACCGGTGCGGAGGATGGGCACCAAAGGTGGCATCGACTACAGCGCCTGGGATCATATTTATGTGTCAGACGATGAAGACGTGACCTGTCCGTATGTCGACACGCCGAGCTTATTCAGAATGAGACACCGGGTCAGCGGTCAAACATGTTGTAGCCGTGAGGTTTGGAGTGTTTCCCGGTTAGTTTTTACTAGTATTAGTGAACTAGCGTGAGAGCGACAACTACAGGAGTCAATACAGAGAGGATTGACCAAACAGGTGTTATGCAGAAATCTGTGACCCTGCTGATTTACGACCCTACCAGCTAGCTTAAAAGAAGCAAGCATTTAACGGTACTCCTTAAAACAGCAATTTTATTGGGCTTTCCAAATAGATAATGAGGACATAGCCTTCATTAGATTTTAGAAGAAACGAATCTGAGCATATTTTATTAAATTTGGAGCTGATACAGCAAGAGAAAGCCCAAAAATACCATAAAAACATACGGAAAGTTCAACAGTTTTGTGTTAGACAGAAAATTGATCACTTGTAGCCTTAATTTCTTGAAATTATGTTTCTAAAATAACGTATTTTGTAGAGAACATGATTTTCCACCTTCTCCAAGGAAAGACTATTATTTGCCAAGATAATATTACTAGCTTATTTTAGATAATTGAAGATACGTGTATTTAAAATGTAATTGAAAAATCTAAATGAGCTGTTTATAGGGCTCAAATGTTGAAATGATGATTTCAAAGTTATAATAAATTCAAGATATACCCGCTAGATCTTCCCAGAGTTGTCCTGCATCTCTTGAGCATGTAGAAGAAAGCTCTAGAAAGTGTTCGAGGGATGCAGATTATCATTCAGTGTAAGCAAGGTTACATTACAAATGTTGGTCTAACAGCACTTGTGAATTAGTCAACACCTGGGACACAACAGCCAAATCCTAGGGTTTATTTTCTGTTTGTCATATATTTTTATTTAAGAATAAATATCTACAATAAGTCAAAATCAGCCTGTCTGCAGAAACAAGCTTTCACACGGGACCTTAAACATTCCCCTAAATCAGCGATAGCAGTAAATTACAACCCTTTACAATGTGAATCCATGAACTGTAAAATAGTGTTGTGTTTCTGTGGTTGATGACAGATAATGAGTGTTAACTAAATCACTTTTGGAGGGCTGGAGGGACTAAAACATCACCAAAAAAGGAGAAAAAAAATCTGAGTCATGGGTCACAAATCAGTTTTGTTTCCATCAGCTTTGGTCAATTTCTATTTGTATTGCTGTTGCTTAGCTGTTGTCACATGACTCGTGAAGAGGATGTTGTAATTTGTAGAAGTCCCCTGTTTTACCCCATCAGTTAAGTCTCATGTCTGAGATGAATAAAGGTCACTGAACTGGTGAAAAGGTCAAATGCATTTTCAAAATAGGCTCTTACACTGGAGCACGAGGTTAAGGATCATTGTATACACATATTTGATTTCATATAGGTTGTTTTTTTAATCCCAGTGAAGCTGATCAGTTCATTCTAGTCGATGACTGTGTATAAATTATTATTACTCAAACTAAAACTGTATGCTATTGAAGATACCTTTACCATTCACAGTTACTATTTCTTCATTATATTGTAAGAATTGTTTCACATCATATTAGATTAAACGGATATCTGTGAATGGACAGGTATTACCGCCCCACCTGTGAGTTAGTCCAGCTCTAAGGAAATAGTCTAAGCATGAGAAAAATCTGACCTTGAAGTCATGTGAGACTTTCTTCATCTCTTTCATGCACACAGTTACTTGAAATGTTCTCATTGTAGTTTTTCCTCTTGTTTAACCTTTGATGAATGAATCCCCTCCACTCCCTCCTGCGCTTTTGTTTTATTTTTTATTTCCTTCGGTTATTTCTTTTGTCTTGATCACTCTCCATATCAGTCCCGGCTGGAGAAAATGGCTGAGTTCCAGCAGAGAGGTGAAGACCTGGAGCATAACTTGGCAGAATGCAAGATACTATTGAAGGAAACCCAGGAACGGCTGAAAAAGCTGGAAGAAGACAGGCAGGAGGGAGAGGAGGATGAGGAGAGAGAGGCTGAGCTGAAAAAAGTCCAGGCTGAGGTGAAAAAACTGAGGAAGGATGAAAAGATGTTTGAAAAAATGATGGAAGAATACAGACGAGAGGAGAAGAAACTGCCCTGGAATGTGGACACTCTGAGTAAAGAGGGTTTCAGCAAAGTAAGGCGCTGTCTTATGTCCAGGCTGCTAGAGTTAATTTCACTTAGAAGAACTCTAATGAAACTTTTTTGTGTGTCCTAGAGTGTTCTCAACATCAAACCGGACACAAAGGAGGAAACTGAGAAGGAAAAGGTGGAGAAGCACAAGACCTTTGTGGAGAAGTATGCGAAGGAGATCAAACACTTCGGTATGCTTTAGTCTGGATCGGTCTGTGTACGTTCGCTCTCTTTGTTGCTAAATTCACCTCACTTTAAGTCACCCATCGAGGTTACACTTTAAACACACAAAAACTAACAGACAGGCATTTTTTTAACCTTTCGTAGAAATGTGTATTAAATGTGCATTTCATGATGGCTTCTTCAAAATAGGTATTGTCCTAACTTTTTAATGTCATGTGTTGCCTTCTAGTGCAGTCGTGCACATTATAGGTATTTATAAAGCCTGCTGTGGGTCTTGTGAAGCCAGGTCAAGCTGTGGGACTTTCTTTCTGTGTGTTCTCCTCAGTTTTTGGTCAGCAAACATGCTGACACTGGAGGCTCGTAAAACCACGTCCTTCATTTGACAGCTCGATGCACCACAGCCACTTCCTGATATTAACAGTTTGAGTTTCATGTGTGACTAACTAAAGCCCAAGAAGCCTGTGTTTAAATTAAAACATGTATATTTATCATTATGTGAAGTTATCTTGTTATAAAGTGGCTTTCAGTGAGTATTTTTGAACAGTTTTAATAACCATGGTTCATTTTAGGGGCAGGTTTTTGCTTATCCTTGTATAGGTATCACTTGTTGCAAGGGCTGAACGACACAAAAACTGTCCCAATATTTTTGGCTCATTCCAGTCTCAAACATTTATTCAAATTGAGAATCATCTACTGTAAGAATTTGACCTAGTTTTGATAAAAATGACTGTCCAACACAGGATTTTTCCTTGTGGTAGGTAGAGTATTTTTATGGCGCTATCATAAAAGTCTCAGGTTTTAACCCTTGTGTTTGTTTTTCATGATGCCAGTGAAGCTTCGGCGTTGCTCTCAAACTCGTCAACACATGGATCACCTGTTGTCGTGATGGATTTGTTAGTCAAAGTCGTATTGTTAGATGATTATTGTTAACAGAGCAGATATTTTACAGCCTGGTTACCTCAGTTTGTTTAATAAAGGGTGTTTTCATGTGTGATACTTGAACATCTCAGATGTCTTCTTGTGTTTAAAACCCAACCCCTTCAGCTTAACTCTTCATGTTGTCTCGCTCTCTAGGTATGTTACATCGCTGGGATGACAGTCAGAAGTATCTCTCCGACAACCCACATTTGGTGTGTGAGGAGACCGCCAATAGCCTTGTTGTCATCTGTATTGACTATGAGATAGACGAGGTGAGTGCAGCAAGAAAGATTTTCTATAACATTCTGTGTAAACCAAAAGTAAAAAGCAAATTCCTTTACGTGACGCCTCTAAATTTCTTATGAATTTTCAGAAACACGCGCTAATGGAGCAGGTGGCCCATCAGGCTATTGTCATGCAGTTTATCTTGGATCTAGCTCGGGCGCTGAAGGTCGACCCAAGAGGCTGCTTCAGGGATTTCTTCTCAAAGATCAAGGTCTGTTGCATTTCAACTGCATCTGCGGCCATGTTGTGTTTCTTAAGTTTCAACCACCATCTCTGTTGTCCATGCCAGACTGCAGACAAGCAGTACCTGGACATGTTTGACCATGAGCTGGAGCTGCTGAAGGAGCGCGTTCGCAGCTGTGCACAGAGTCGCATGGAGGGCGCTATGAAGGAGCTGGAGGAAGAGGAGAGGCAGAAGAGACTGGGCCCAGGTGGTTTGGACCCTGTAGAGGTTTATGGGTCGCTGCCAAAGGTAAACCATTTACACAAATGTCGGTCAGCTGATGTTGCCTCTGTGTAAATGGAAATATAATACAAACATTTAATCATAAATTAAAACAGGACATGTTTGAATCAGAATTAGCTTCGACTTCACTGACTCCAGTAGATTTGAAATATTACACACAGATGTACAAGCTTAGACATTTAACCTGCAAAGACATTTCAGGCTGTAGTGTAATATTCAGTGTGTTATACAGCAAGCGTCTAGAGTCTGAAACAACAGAAAAACCAACAAAGATCCAGCGTCACAAAAAACAAACACCTCAGCACAGGTCCTGGAATTGGCAGTGTTTGATAGTCAGGTCTGGTAAAAGGTTTTGTTTGTTTCTTCCTCAGTGATTATAGGATGTTATCAGTGTTTTTATCAGAAACAGTTAAAAGTGAAAGCAGAAACTTAAGCACTCACCTCGATCAGACATCCGATCATTTCACACATATTTATCTGATTGAAAGAATCGACCTGTGTGTGAAGAGAGACAGATCAACATATTCAGAGTATTTATAGTTAGTTTTTTTGTCTTTTAGAGACACACGGAAAAACAAGGCAAACAATGAAAAAACATCATTTTTATTCATGTAATTAAAACTGAATATTTACACTTCAACAGCAGTATTTAACCCCGTCTCACTCTGCAGCTGAAGGACTCCTTTCTGTCTGCATTATTCGTATTAACAGGAGACATGCTGAATGTTTATTTTGTGTATCTTTTACTGGTGTATCGCCTTTTTTCCTGCCACTGTTTTCCAGACTCTTCCTTAGGAGGGAAAGTTTAATACTGAGGCTTGTGAGGTAGACTGCATTTTTTCCACAGATTTCAAAACTGTTGATATTCGAGTAAATATTTGCGCGGCATATACAAACTGTGTTGCCATTTGGATTATCAGAGGAGTCAATACAGAGCTCAGCAGAACGGACTCCACCGTCAGGCGTGAGATCGCTGAGGATGGTAAACGGTATCATCTATAGTTTTATTTGAGCTTTGCTGTGAGCTTGTTCAAAGTTCAAAGACATGAAATACTTAGTATCCGTCAAAGTTTAGTCCAGCCTTTTAAAATATCGTGTTAGGGGAAAAATGAATCAGATTAAAGGACAGAAGTGCTTACATTAGAACTACTATTTCTGCTTTCTCAGAGTCACGTGAGCACTAACACGTGTTTTGTTTTATAGATGATGCAGAGGAGCTTTGACGAGAAGAACATTCAGATGCTACAGGAAGCTATGAGCAAGCTGGATCCTCTGGTGAGTGTTTTTGTGATCGAGTTTCACTCTCTAAAAAAAAAAGTTATTTATAGTAAAAAAAGAAAAACTTACAAAAGAGGAACAAAAAGATTTTTATTTCTGTGTACAGGAGGGAAGATACCATCTCCTGAGGTGCATCGACTCTGGGCTGTGGGTCCCTGAATCGGGAGAGACTGATGATGAAGAGGATGAGGAGGAGGAAGATCAGTCAGAGAAGGAAGGCGATAAATGAGCAGTAAAAAAAGACGTGGATTAAGGTTGCATGTGATATCAGATAAACAAACTTCTGTTGATGAAATAGTGTTCATTTGTACTTTTTTTAGTCATTATATTTATTGATTTATCAGGTGAATTCAAATAATCAATAGTCATCTATTGGCAGTGTAAAGAAAAAAAATCATTGTAATAGGTTCATTTTATTTGAAGATACACCAGTCAACAAAATATAGCTCATGATCACTCTAAAAAACTTTTTTAATATTTACATTTAACCTGTTAAATGTCATCAGGTCATGTGATACACGTCAGTATTAAAATACAGACACATATCGGTGTGATGTTGTTTCAGAGATCAGAGGGAGGAGACATTTGAATTATAATTTAAAGATTCCTATAAAGAAAATTGAACCATCGCATTAGAGTTTGAGATATTTCCACGACATACAGCCTGCCTGCACCTGTTGTTCCTCTGGCCAACAGCGCCCTCTTTAGTATATTTGGGGACAGACAGCCCATACATTTTTCAAAAACTCCACCAGTCCATCCACTTAGCATTTGGTGAAATTGAAGAATTACAGATTGACTGACTGATACTCACCACCAGCTGAGATTAGTCAGTATCCCCAAACAAAGTGTGTCAATAATACACTGAAGCTGAATCCAAATGTCCAGACTTCACAGCAGACTTGCAAACTTTGCGAGCATGTTCCCGGGAAAAGTGTGAGCGCTGGAAACCAATAATCCGTTTAGTCAACAAGTGGTCTGAGGCGGCGCTTCAGAGCGTCTGGAGCTTCAGTTCTTTACAGACAGGCTGTTACTTTTTTTCTATAACTTAAAAAAAGACCAAAACTTTAAAAAATGAAGAATCTTTATTTAGGAAAGCTGTCTGTGGAGTTTTTTAAAATAAAAGGGATAGTTCACCTTTTTATAAGCAGGGTCGCACCATAGTTCATAAAGGCGTCTTGTCTCAAACTCAGACTGCAGCATCATCTCTGTCTGGTTGATAGCCTAGCCTCTGTTCTTTTTCTCACTCTTAAGCATTAGCAGGCACCCCATACAACAGGCTCACTTCAAAAAAAGTTGGAATACCCCTTTAAAATTTCTGTTATTATTAATTGAATACCCAACCATCAGACTCCAAAACTGGAATAAATTTCGGTCAAAGTAAACTCTTTTCTTGCAGCTCTGTAATCACACGATTTAAACAACAAAATAAATATAATTATAATATTTATATCACACATGTTAGTGTTAGGAGACTGTTGGTTACATTATCAGAGGGTTTACAATAAATAAATCATAATTTCTGTTTTTCTCCATCAGTTTTCATGAATCCTGACTGGTTTTCTGCCACACTCCTCACTCAATCTCTCCCACACGTTAATTAATTGCTGGATTGCTCCCCCTTTCTCCCCCTCTCTCTTTTATAATTAATCGGTGGGTTTGATTTAGTGGTCTGTGCAGGATTTTTTGAGGCAAAGCTTCTTTGTGCAGTCATGTTGTAAATAGAAAACAATCAACGCAGGCCTGGGGCATAAATCAAATCTAGATAATGCGCATAAAATCCGATGGGAGAGAAACAGGGAGGCCTCACAGCTTCGTGCAGACCTGCCCTTAGATGTGTTTATTTGTATATGTAAAGCATTTTGAGTGGTCATTTCTTTATTTATGAATGATTTACAAATATTTAAAGATCATTGAACCTGCTTCAGTCAGCACAGGTGTTTAGTTTTTATCGTGCACTATTTTTTAGCTCCTCTGTCACAGTGTTTGTCCTGTAGAGCTGGATATAGAACAAGTTCAGTTACACAAGTAATAAATGTTGTTGCTTATTAAGCAACCGAAGCTTGTCTTTTTTCATTTTTTTATACTTTTTATTCATTTCTAATTAAAACGGAACAGTCACTATAGGTAGGGTGAGATCACAAATGTTATAATGAGGAATAAAAGGAGGCTCCACAGTACCAAAGATCACACTCTAAAACCGTAGACTTGATTCATAACACAAAAAAAGGTGTTTAAATCTCGACATAGATAAATTAATCTTTAAAAGAAAAGAGTAATGAAAGTGGAAGTACGGAATAACGGAAGTGTCCTCCATAAAGTCAAATGTGAGAGTGAGTTTTGTTTTGAAGAATTGATGTATAAGGATAACAATACAGACTTAACCCAGACAATCTTTTTCACTCATTTCTTAATGACCTAAAGTAACCCTTCTCATTTAAAGATACACGGAATCATAATAATGCTGTTTATAATGCATGTTATTATCTGCAATATAAATAGCAAAAAAAAACAAGCTGGTAAAGGAAAGCTACATCCGAATGAGCACTATTGAACATTGGCAGTTATTGGCAGTTATTGGCGTTTAGCCGAAGAGAGCTGATGGAAAACGGGTGTAAATGTCTCTGAATTGTGCACAGTTTTAGGGACAGAGGAGAATGATTCCTGTATGAGGACTTCTAATGGAGAAAGTACCGCATGTCCTTGAATGACTGCTTGAGGACATGGGGAGAAAAAAGCAGGGTGAGTACCAGGAACCACAGATCCCTGATGTGTGATGTTGTTTTATTTGTATGACCGAGGTGTTCCCTTGTAATGTGCTCTGTGTGTGTGTGTGGGTGTGAATAATGGAGCGAATCACGCCTGACTGTTGAAGCAGAGAATCGGCGTGTGTCTGCTAATAAGAGGGGAAAATCAAAAAAAGAAAAAGGAAGAGGAGAGAGGAGGAGCGGAGGCTGCTGTATGGGATTAATGGACACAGTGTGTGTCTGAGTGGAAGAGGGAGGGGAGGGGAGGGGAGATGGGCTTCTCCACGGAGGCTGTTTTGGTGGAGGTGGTGGGGGGTGACTGGGGGAGACCACTGTGGCAGGCAAGAGGGAGGAGAGGAGAGATAGAGAGAGAGGAGAGGGAGAGAGGGAAGCTGGTGAAGCCGCGGATATTCATGAAGACGGCTAGTGTTTTTTCTCTCGCCGTGGTGACACACAGCTCGTCTGCAGAGAGAAGGAGACGGGTGAAAGGAAGAAGACGTGGCCCAGCCCATCTTTCCACTGATCTTGAGGCAATCAAGGTGAGTGTGTTTTTATTCTTATATGCTGCAGCCTCACTCTGTGTGTGTGTGTGTGTGTGTGAGTCTGTCTGACACATATCTCATGCAGTGTGTGTGTGCAAACAGGCATGATGTCAGGGCTGTCCTCGTGTATGCATGGATTCACTGTCTTTACTCCAGATATAAAAATAAATAAATATATATATTTGGCTGTTTTGTAACAGAGGAGCAGGCTGGTCGTTGAGCAGCATATTGATGCGTTGCTGCTTGGTTTTATAAGCTGCTTTCTCTGGAGTGGAGGTGGTACTGGTGGCAGCCATATGTGCTTAAATTCCTAATTGCCCGTGTGTGTGTGTGTGTGTGTGTGTATATATGTCACTGTGTCACATTTGTTGAGTCCTCCACACAGCCCTGCTTTCACCAGAGCATATATGCAGACTGGGGTGAGAGTGCCTTCAGTGAGTGGGTGTGTTCTTGTTCATGACCCCTGCTAAAAGTCGTCTCCTCTCCACTATCTGTCTGTTTACCAGCTCAATCAGAAACACTCGGATATGCTGAATCTGTCCTATCCTGTGGAATTGGGTCATCATCTCGGACTGCTCACAGTAATTATATAACACCAGACAGCTTTGGTGTTGCAGTATCTGCTCTGAATTAGCCACAATGTAGGTACAGCTCCTGCAACGCCAAAATATTTGATCAGGGCTGAGTTCACCAATCATTTATCAGGATGTGAGTCAACAAATCAAGATTTTTCAAGTCAGAACACCGTTGCTGTTTTTTTTTATGTGTTTGGAAACAATAACAGAAGTCAACTGAGTCGGTAACATAACAGGTGGAGTCGAGTTTTTCATTTTAGCGATGCATCAGAAAGATTTCACAAAGCGAAAACAGGACACAGAGTTCTGACAAAGATGAGTCAGAAAATCAGCTCATCAAGTCTGTTTTTCTTTTTCACAGAATCCAAACCAAAGAGGACGCGCCGAAACGGGTTTGAGGATGCGTCCCGGCTTATCAAACCTGGAGTCTGATATGTGAACCCCTCTCTATGCAGAATTTGGATCCAGCTGATCGATCGGATATTGGGAAACTGATCTGAGACAGGAGACTTGGTACAAATGGATCCCCGTACTGGATCTGGATTACTCATACGATAAAGTGTCAGATTTGGAAATGTTCTGCAAACAATCCTCTGAGTTGGATCGTTATTCTAGGAAACTCGCCGGAGGGTTTTCTTCAGTTGTGACGCCATGAACTCTGACTGGGATATCCCGTCGGCTCGTCTGGCCAAATCAAGACAACATGCGGGCAGGCTTATTATCTTCCTGGAAACACCTAGCTCATAACAAGATGGAGTAAAGCTTTGATTTGGATCTGCTTTCTTCCAAAATACGTCTGATCAAAACGGAGGTGGTCCCCCTCAGGCTGAACCTGGAGCCTCTGAGGGGCCCTCAGATGCACTTTTAGCGGCGCAGCGTCAGGTTTGGACGCCTGCTTTCAGACACCCGAGGAACCGAGGTGCGGACAGAGTGCGAGCGAGGCCGTGGGCTTGCTGAGTCAGCACTAATGGGGGCCGGTTGTGACCCGGTCTGACCCCGGTTTGGCCTTGCAGTGACCTTTGACCTCTCCGGTCCTGGCTCTCCACCTGCTCTGCTGCCTGGGTTCCGGAACGCTCCGCCCTGGGGCCCAGAACGAGCCAATCAGGATGAAGAAGAGCCGCAGCGTGCTGTCTGTGACTGGAGAAGAGGTGAGCAGGAGAATAGAAACAAGCAGAGGTGTAGACAGAAAGACAAACGAGCCGACTGGAGGCAGAGCTGACGCTCAGATTCAGAGAGTATTTCCCTGAATCCTTACATGACTTAGAAACCTCGTGACTTTCACACATCGAAGGCTCCCTTTGTCTTGTTGTCAAGGTCTCAGGATGCTCTCAGAAGTCTGAGTGGTCAGTCTGTCTCTCACAGCCTCCTCTTACTCCGGCTGTGAAAATCAATCTCACTTTCATCATCAAAACACTGCAAAGGTCTGAGTTTATCTCAATGACGAGGAGGAATATTTGATGTAAACAAGCGTCCCTCTTTCACTCAGCATGTAAACATTGAACCTGTGGGATTATAATCATGCTTTTATAACACTGGGATGAAGCTTTGGCTCGTTTTCAGCCACCCTCACATAAAGCGGTGCCAATTTTGGATTCTGGAGGGACGCGCTCCAAACAGATATCATGTAAAACCCAAAGAGACATAAAGACTGAGTCACAGCTAGCAAGCACCCTTAATTAAATCCGTCTTTATTCAACACACTTGACTGTTTATTGCTGAGTAAATTTAATCACACATTGCATTTTTTCCACACGCTGGTTTTAAAGGCAGAGCTGTGTTATGACCAAGCTAACATCATGGCTGAAGGACATCATACCGCACATTATCCCGCCACGCTTTTTTATCGATGACGCTCAGAGGCCAATCATATACCTGTGTGTGTGTGTGTGTGTGTGTGTGTGTGTATGTTTTCATGTGTACTGTACGTGTGTGTGTGTTTATGTGTATGGATGTGAGCATCTCTCCACATCTGGGTCTGGACGGCATCAAACGCAGCATGGAAGCAACACGGCACTGTTGCCTAGCAACTGCTACCATTCCCCTAGTGTTTTGTTGCTACGGTACTGCAGTGCAGATCAGCCTCTAAGAGCTCGGTCTGTAGAGGCCTTATCCCAGACACACTCACACACAGACACACATGTAGCTTCACATACACGCACAGTCGGACGCATACACACACATGTAACCCATCACGCACATGCTCAGTCATACGTGCACATCGTCTCATTTGTAGTCGGTGTTTTTGTGGAGATTTTGGTCCCGGTCAGAAGTCAACATGCTCGGATAAACCTGCCAGAACAACAACAGTGTGAATCATGATTACGTCTCCTCTCATGAATCGTCATTTTAAGCCACATTATGAGAATTTTGCATTAAATTAGGAGAAAGAAAAATGTGTTATATCTGTTTCACCTTCCCTCCCTTCTGTCTCTCAGGGTAATGACACAGATATAACAGGTGCTGGGGAGAAGGCGGAGTCATCGCGCTACAGCCGATCTTACACGTCTGGGGCCACACTCGGGGCCGAGCTACGCAGGGGGAGGAGCAGAAGACTGTCATCGAGTCTCCAGGTATTTAGCATGGAGATCCACTAACCGTTAACCCCTCTACCTCCTGTGGACTCAGTCTGACAGGATCATGATTTTCAGAGGTTAAATATAGAAGATTTTTTTTTAAAGAAGCTTCTGAAAACTTCATCTTCAAATCAAGAAAACTTCCACTTATAGACATTAGTCTTGGACAGATGCCTCTGTGAGCCTTTTTTCATCTGAAGCGTATGTTTTGGATTGGTTGTCGTGTCTCTCTTCTTTTTAAAGGTACAGTGTGGATAATTGATCAGTATTTAACTGAATAGTGTGATAATAATAATACATTCATTAAAATACTTAAATTGGTGTGAAATCGTCTGGCTACGACCAACGAGTAATTGCCATTAGTAGTTTTGTTTACCGTGAATATTAACCAAACATGTAACAGCTGGAAGAAGAGGAGAGTAGCAGCTGTTGTCATCAGTTTTGATCGATGATTTTGACGGTTAAAACTTGGCCAACAAGGATCGTACTTATCATTGATCACAGGAGCGTCTTGTCCTCAAAGGTCACCATCACTGCACTGATGGAAGGGGTGAGCAAGGGGGGAGTTTTTCAGTCCACATATCCTTAAATTTACCCATTCAGTCCGTCTTCACCTTCGGTAATTTGAGCTGATTCTTAATATGTGTTTACATCAACCTTAAATTAGCCATTATACTCCAGATACTAACAGATTGAGGTTTATTTTCATTTTTTCCTTAAAACAGTGAAGAATTATTCGCTGCTTAGAATAATAATAGCAATAATATTCACAGAGGGTGCCTCAGAAGCTGACCTGGTTTTTCCACTTTCCATCTCCTCGTTTGTTTCCAGCTGTTTCTGATCTTTCTGTTTGTAAAATTGTGTCTCAGTCTTCTAAGCAGCAGGTGACAGGTGAGCTTTACAGTCTTTTTTGTTTTTCTTTCCGAACTCTTCAGGTGCCTTGTTGGCTTCGCCCTCGAGACCGAACTCGTTCACCAGAGATCCTGAATAATGTGTCCCGTCCAACAACTCTCCCCCTCCGCATCCCACCACGCATCTCCATCACACAAGCAGACTCTGACAGGTCCTCACACAATATCCTCCTAAATCTTATCCTAACTTTGCAGAAAGTTTTAATTTAGTCCTCTTTAACGATCCAATGTTTCTTCTTCTTCTTCTTCTTCTGTCTCCAGCTATGAAACAGAAAACGGCGTGTCACCGGGTCACACCCCGCTGGGCTCCCAGAGTCCAGGCCTCACTTTGCACACCTCCTTTCCCCAGGGCCAGAGGAGAGAGTCCTTCCTCTACCGTTCTGACTCAGACTACGACATGTCACCCAAGACAGTCTCACGTAACTCCTCCCTTGCCAGCGAAGGGTAAGACTCATGAGACTCAATGAAGGTGGGCGTTAATTCGTACAGAGAGATACATCTTTCTTTTCCCTTTTTAACTCTCTCAGGCACACAGGAGAGGACTTCATCGTCACACCTTTTGCTCAAGTGAGTCTTAGCGAACACCCTTCATCCTTTCCTCAAGTCTCCCCTCAGCTCATGTAGATTTATTCTCTACATTTCTTCTGATCGTTTAGGTTCTGGCCAGTTTGCGATCAGTACGGAGCAACTTCACCATTCTCGCCAACGTCTCCACACCAACAGTCAAGTCAGTGCAAAGAACTTTCATGAGTGTTCATGAGTTGTTGTATTTTCGCACATGTGTTGGTATGATGGCTGTTTTACTAATCCAAGAGGCGGTCCAGACATTGAGCGTCGGTTTCATGCGTTACTTTAAGGTCAGTTCCAAACAGCATGTGTACTGTGTCCTCAGGAGGTCGCCTCTGGGTGGGGTGTGCGTCAGTCCGAGGGCGTCACTCTCAGACCAGCAGTACCAGCAGCTCGCCCTGGACACACTGGAGGAGCTGGACTGGTGTTTGGACCAACTGGAGACCATTCAGACACATCGCTCTGTCAGTGAGATGGCCTCCAATAAGGTAGGGAAACATCGCTGAGTGTATATTTTTATGTAGACGTCAAAGTTTGGTTTAGCATGTTTTCTTCAACAGTAGAGTATCCAATCAGAAAAGGATCCTATAAGAATCAGTGTTAACCCTGAAGACATCACAGTGTTTTTCAAAGGTGGGGTAGTCGGGATATGAGGAAGTTCCAGTTTTTAGCAGAAATCTTGAATGTAAACGCTACCCCTGCCAACCAGTTTTCCCCTTAGCGCCTCCTCTTCAGCAAGCCCCGCCCACAAACAGACGCTCCTGCTCGCTCGTATCGTTCCAATTAAATTCAGATATAATGCAGATAAATACTTCAGATCATTACAAATGGGGCCCAGTCAAGGTGAAAGTAAACAGCATTGGTGCTACTGTAGATGCTAACAGACTACCAGCAAACACAATGTTTGCAGGACTTCTACAACTAGGATAAAGTGACATAGTCCAGGACCCGAGGGAGGACAGTTTAGCGATGGCGCTACAACACGCTACAGCAGGTCCGTTTGACAAGAAACACTTCTGTTACAGACACTTGTCTTACTTTGTTAAAGCGGTTTACCTGTCCAGCAGAAAGGTTACAGGGTCACCAAGATCCCCAAGCGTCCCCCATGGTTTATGTTGACCCGGCTTTTTAGCTCTTGTCCGGTCTACCTCCGTTTTAAGCGCCCGTTATTCCGCCAGAGTCTCCGGTATTTACTTTGTTTTCTTGCTTGTGTCGGCAGTCGTGGCCAAAGGAGGATTCAGACAATTTTCCAAACTTTCTGGTTGGTTTCTACTGTCCGATATTGTAGCACGCTAACTTTGTTTGGGCTCCTGAACGACACGGGGGAGCAGCGTCTGCCTCACAACCAATCAGGTTAGAGGAGGTGGAGAACGGCTTTGTTTACAGTCAGAAAGAACACAGAGATATCGTTATATTACCAATTGTCATCAATAACTAATAACTATTGACTGATATTAAAAGCTTTTTTGTATATACACCACAAAAAAAGATGCTTCTTTAACGGATTCCTGCCTACCCCACCTTTAATCCGGGTAAAACTTTTGTTTCACTATCTTTCATTTACTTCTCTTGGTCTCCGTGTCGAACAACAACAACAAAAGGATCAATCTTTGCTCAAAAAGGAAACTTAACAATTCATAAACTGTGTTTTTCAGTACAAACAGGCCTGTACTTGATATATGGGTACAGGTTTGTATGTAGAACGGCTCACCATCACATTCAGTCTGTAAAAACTGGAAGTTTGGCTGCCGGTTAAATAGGATTGATCAGATAATTAAAGAAATGAGCCCCAGGTGCCAGACGAACACCAGTTACTGTGAGGTATCTTTAAGAGTTCTCTAATTTTAATCAGTCTTGTTTTGTTAAATATTTTCTTTTAAAACATTTCTGATCCCCTGAATTTCCACTTTAAGAGCGAGCTTACATGTTTTCATGTTCCTGCTGGTTTGGTTCTTCTTCTCAGCTGCAGATAAACAATCGTTCAAGAGTCTAAAGAGATCAGCTCTTCACCGTCTCTCCTCTCTCTGTTCTGCTCTCATTCTGCCACAGTTTAAGAGGATGTTGAACCGGGAGCTGTCCCACCTATCAGAGATGAGTCGCTCTGGTAACCAGGTGTCTGAATACATTTCCAGCACTTTCATGGGTGAGAACAACCAGAATTCTGTTTCTGTTTACATCACTTCATGACCCCTCTGCAAGATAAAGATAACCGATGTCTTTGTGTTTGTCCGTCAACCTGCAGACAAGCAAAACGAGGTTGAGATCCCGTCTCCCACCCTGAAAGACAAACCCATGAGTCACATCAGCGGAGTGAGGAAACTGTCTCACAGCTCCAGCCTCTCCAGTACTTCCATGCCTCGCTTTGGTGTCAACACAGACCATGAGGACGAGCTAGCTAAGGTCTTGTTTGTCTGTTTTTCACTAAATCACTCAAAACATGTCGTACTAATCAATCCCTGTTCAGACTTTGACTGAGCCCATCACCCTGATCAACAAAACATCATTAATGATTCAGGAGCTCCTTGTTTTGACTCGCCACAGGAATAGTTTGGTTTCTTATAGATGGATTTGTATGAAGTCAGCTGGACCCCTTTATTCAGAAACTGTCCATGAAAGTTCGGCTGTAAACCGCTTCAGAGGAGACCAACTGGACCCCAAAGAAAGTCAGACCAGACGTTTGAGTCATGTCTGTTATTTTGGGATGCAACACATATGTGCGTGTTACTTTGCCTGCAGCGCACAGATCAGCTGTTCGGGTCCAGGATGAGAGAGTCAACTTGAATTTCATCTTGTGCTCTGATTATTTGGTGGACAGATCTGAGTCCCATTTCTGACAGCTGTAGCTCTGCGAACTCACAGTTCTCACACCTGAAACACCAGTTACTTAAAATCTCTTCTGCTCTCCAGTTAGTTCAGATGTTTCTCCCCCCTCTGCCTTTGGTTGAGTCTAGTTCTTCCTCTGTACAGGCGTCCTCATCTGTCATTGTCACTCTCAGAATCCCTCATTAGTCTGTGGAAGCTCGCAGTCCTGGTAGTTGAGCTGCAGGCAGAGGAATAAGTACGTAATTCATCCAGAAACAAAGTGGGGTAGCTTGACCCCATCTGTGATGGTTGATCGCCTTTAGCTTCAATATTTGGTCTGCAATCGGTTTCTGAACTGGCTAACTCCAGTCATATGAAAATAATACATTCATTCCATATAAATTCAGAGTCTTTAGATAACTGTCCCACTTCAAAGAGTACGTTTCCATTTTGTCTTCCATCCTGTGTGTCATTTCTTCATATGCTGTAACTATTAAAATATCATATATACATACATCCACACACACACACACACACACACACACACATACATATATACATATATATATATATATATATATATGTATCATAACATAATTTTAGACAGGTAGTTTTGTCTGAACCTCCCAGCTCTTTGTTTATAGTCATAAATATCCCTCATCATTCATGTTTTCTGTTTGTAAAATGTTTCTCTGTTTGACTGTGAGATAACTACAGATTGACTTTATAAGGAATAGATGAAGGTGATGCAATTCATAATGAAGCCCATCATATTAGATTAAATCAGATTAGATTAGATTAGATTGGATTAGACATCTGTAATTGGTTTGGTTTCACTTAACGATGTCTCGATAATGCCCTCTGATCACAAACTTAGAAACATGTCAGATCAACTTTCTTTGTATCTAAAACATTAATCATTCTGTCGGAAAAAATCACATTTTTTGTGTCTGTGTGCGTGCATGTGTGTGTGTGTGTGTTGGCTCGAGCAGGAACTGGAGGATCTGGACAAGTGGAGTTTTAACATATTCAGAGTAGCCGAGTTCTCCAACAACAGACCTCTGAGCTGCGTCATGTACGCCATCTTCCAGGTAAACACAGAGAGTGTGTGAGCGTGTGTGTCTGTGGGAGTGTGAGTGTGTGTCTGTGGGAGTGTGAGTGTGTGTCTGTGGGAGTGTGAGTGTGTGTCTGTGGGAGTGTTTGTTGTCTGTGGGATCGTTCTCACCTGAGGTGTTTGGAGCTTGTTTATGTTCACAGTATTTTACCATCAGGCGTTAACTTTCTCTCTGGGTGAGAGCTCAGGTATGAATGTGAGATTGAATGGCTGGAGCTGCACTGAGAGTGTGTGTGTGTGTGTGTGTGTGTGTGTGTGTGTGTGTGTGTGTGTGTGTGTGTGTGTGTGTCAAATCTCCTCTGAACAATGCCACCACCACACAGAAGAGGAGAAAATCCCTCATCTCCACCTGTTGTTGGCCTCGCTCGCTCGCTCGCTCGGCGCCCTCGGCGGTTGTCCTGTTCTCCCGGAGGCTAAATTGCCTCCAGCTGACAGCTGATGGGTTTCCAGATTGGACTTGAACAGACTCAGAGTTCTGTTTCCTCTCCTCTCCCCTCAGGAACGAGAGCTGTTGAAGACGTTTCGGATCCCAGTCGACACCTTTGTCACTTATGTGATGACCCTCGAGGACCATTACCATGGAAACGTAGCGTACCACAACAGCCTCCATGCTGCAGATGTCACCCAGTCGACACACGTCCTCCTCTCGACCCCGGCTCTTGATGTATGTTCACAACCACACACACACACACACACTCCAGTTATGGTGTTCATTCCCATCCTAGTGGGTCTTAAAAAAGCTCTTTATTTAATTTTTAATGCGAAAAAGTGAAGAACTTGATTATCAAACCAAAGCTGAAAAGACATTTTCCCTTTGCATGAAGCACAGCGGTGTTGTTGGTTCTGTTTCAGGTTTTTATAGGTCAGGAAAAAAGAAGTTTAACTGTTTTACAACCTGGAACATCTTAACTTCTTTTGACAGCAAATTAAATCAGGTACTTTAACGGTCCTATATGATGAAAAACACATTTTTCCTCGTCAGATTTGAGTGTGGAAGCAAATAAAGTCACTGCTTTAGTGATGGTGATGAAATGACAGGAGTAAGTGGTCTAAGCGTGCATAAGAAACCACTTCCACTCCTCGGCACTTCCACTTCCTGACACCATTGTGGTTTTCCTGTCGTGTTTCACAGCCGAGATGTCAGAGGTTAGAGGAACACACGTTAACGGGGTTTGTGTTGGTGGTTGAAAATATGAACACAACAGAAAACAGAGTTTGTAAAAAAGGAGAGAAAGTAGAAACTGCTCAGTCTTCCCCTCTGTTGGAGGTCCGATTCTGAGTCATAGTTGAAGTAAAGTGGTGCAGGTTCTTCTGGTGCGCTCACCATGTTTGTTTTGGTGTTTTTCCACCTCTGCACCGGTCTGCACCCTCACCAACCTACACTCAGACTTCTTCATAATGAGGTTCCTCACTGAGAGGCTGCCTTTCTTCCATTTTTGACACTTGTTTTATAAAACTGTTGAATTCGTATTTTTCCCCTTCTGCTCTTCTTCCTGTCCCGTCAGGCTGTCTTTACAGACCTGGAGATCCTCGCTGCTCTGTTTGCCGCAGCTATCCATGATGTAGACCACCCTGGAGTCTCTAACCAGTTTCTCATCAACACAAGTGAGCACAAACACACACTCACACTCACACACTCAGAACAAACTGGAACATACCCAGACGTTTGCACCAATCCCTCCTGTTCTCCCCTTCCCTCTGTGCTCAGACTCAGAGCTGGCCCTCATGTATAATGATGAGTCTGTTCTGGAGAACCACCACCTCGCCGTGGGCTTCAAGCTTCTGCACCAGGAGAACTGTGACATCTTCCAGAACCTCACCAAGAGACAGCGCCAGAGCCTTCGCAAGCTGGTCATCGATATGGTCAGGGCTTTGTTTACATCGATGCACGACAGGAATCACTCAAGTCTGCCGACCGGTTTGGTGTTGACTGTTTGTGTTCGGTCTCGTCTCTGTCTGCAGGTGTTGGCCACAGATATGTCCAAACACATGACCCTGCTGGCTGACCTGAAGACCATGGTGGAGACCAAAAAGGTGACCAGCTCAGGTGTGCTCCTCCTCGACCATTACACAGAACGGATACAGGTAAGAGCTCCTCTATACCCGTCCATACGACTGCTCTATCACACACACTGTGACCTGAAATAAATCAACTAAACTTAGTCTGGTCTCTGTGAAGGTGCTGAGGAACATGGTGCACTGTGCGGACCTGAGTAACCCCACCAAGTCGCTGCTGTTGTACCGACAGTGGACGGAGAGGATCATGGAGGAGTTCTTCAGACAGGGAGACAAAGAGCGAGAGAGAGGGATGGAGATCAGCGCCATGTGTGACAAACACACCGCCTCTGTGGAGAAGAGCCAGGTAGCACTCCATCAGTGGAGACAACTGGATATTAGAGGAGTTCTGCCTGACCTTATAAAAGCAACATGAGTCCAAACTAGATTAAAAAAAATCTGTTTGATGAGACTCAAACTTTTGAGTCCTCAGGGCTGTTTTTCAGGCCGTCAGGATAAGGACAGCTGTCAAACACCGATCCTTTTGAGACGGTATTTAGTTTAAACTTACCTCAACTCCTCAGAGCAAAATTCTGATGCCACCATAAATTACAGATGTTTGTATTTATTAATATAATTTAACGATATTTACATTTTTTAGCACAAAATTAAACTAAGATTAAAACTTCAGCAGTAAAAAAACTTGGAGCGATCACTCATGATTTATTTTTGGGTCATCGTGCAGAATCTTCAGTGTGTCTTAAAATGAAAATACCATCTTTTCACTGACTTTTCTTTTACTCACATATGTTTGATTTTCTGAAACTTATTATATATTCTGTGTTTTCACTAACCGCTCATTATCGTGATCTCTCTTTCCTTTTCTCCAGGTGGGTTTCATCGACTACATCGTCCACCCGCTGTGGGAGACGTGGGCCGACCTAGTCCACCCTGACGCCCAGGAGCTGCTGGACACACTGGAGGAGAACAGGGAGTGGTATCTGAACACCATGCCCCAGTCCCCCTCACCTCCCCCGGACAGACACCTCCAGCACGACCGCTTCCAGTTTGAACTCACTCTGGAGGACCTCGAACACAACAACCACAACCACGTACACCTGAGGAGCAGCAACAGCAGGAGCGGCGGCAGGAAAGCTATCTGCGAAGACGGCGCTGAAGACGGAACGAAGGAGGAGAAAGACGAGCAAAGAGGGGAGGAGCAGAACCATGTAGACACTGAAGACGAGGAGAATCACAACAGCGAACAGAACGGGTTGGGAGGTGAGGAGGAGGAGAGTGGAGAAAAAGAGGGTGAGGAAGAGAGGGAAAATACAGAGGAGGAGAAAGGAGAGGAGGAAAATGAGCAGACGGAGGAGGAGCAGAATCAGGACACAGGGCAGGAGCAGGAAGAGGGTGATGAGGAAGGTGATGAGGAAGGTGAGGAGAAGGAAGAAGTAGAGGAGGAGTTAGAGGATGAAAACAAGGAGGCAGAAGAGGAGGAGGAAGAAGTGGAAGGTGAGACAGAGGAGGCAGAGACGGAGGATAAGGAGGAGGACGAGGAGGTAGAAACAGAGGCAGCTGGTGAAGAGGAGGAGGTCGTAGAAACAGAGGAAGCTGGAGAAGAGGAGGAGGAGGTAGAAACAGAGGAAGCTGGAGAAGAGGAGGAGGAGGCTGCAGAAGGGGAAGAAGAGGAGGAGGGGGAGGATAGTTAGTCTGAAATAAAAACAGGAAGTATCAGGATCAGAGAGGAAAAAAAACAAAACTGGAGAAGAAGAGTTTTGAAAGTTTGCTGTAGGGCCGTCATGGAGGACGATTCAAAGGCTGGAGGTGAACTTCTCGCCGAACGACAAACGTCTCAAACAAACTTCAAACTCTGCAGAGGAACTTTTCAGACGGACGGACAAATACAGAAACTCTGCCGGGGCGTTTCCGTGTCCTCATCAGCTGGTAGTGACAAAAAGACAGGGAGTCTTCATCACCAAGTATCTGTACATCCATCACTGCCGTACGGGAATAAACTAGGGGAAAATAAAAAGTAGAGGAACCCTGTTTTATCCATCTTTTGTATCCCCTGAAAACGAAAAAAAAAACATCCTAAAGCGTGCGAATAAGTGCTACCCATCATATCTGTGTCACCGTCTCGTTCCTGAGAAACACAAACGTCGACCAACAACTGTTCAAAGAAACTTCCTCTGTTCGTCAGAAAAAAAGCAAAAAGTCTGGAAAAGTGTAGTTCGTCGTCTTATATTTAATACAAGAACACTTTGGAGTCCTGGTCCAGGAGCAGTTGAACCTCCACTCAGACTAACCTTGAAGCAAAAACGCTGGATTTCTCGAGGACAAACACTTCTAAGTAATATCAGGGTGAAGTGAATCTCTTTTGCGATCCAGATGGAGCCGTGGACCCCGTTCTAGTGTCGATGTCAGTGTGAGAAAAAAACAAAACAATAAATAACACCCAGTATTCATCCCAACTTTACTGTTTTCACACCTCTCCCGGAGCGTGAGTTTGATTCCTGGGTGAATCGTGCCAAACTGTCCCACGACCAGCACTGAGCAATTCAGCCGCCCTCCAGAATAACGGAGGAGGAGGCGACCCGTTCATGAAGCAATGAACTGTGGGACCAGGGTAAACGGGTGTGATGGTCTTCCACTAATCCCATGATTTTTTTTTTGGTTTAATTTTTGTAAAGAGAAAAAAAAGGTATTTGGCACTTTATCTAACACCCCTGTGACATATCTGTACATAATAAACATGTATTTTAATCTGCTGATGTCATATAATAAATACGATCAATGAAATCAGTGACATTTTGTCCTTGAAGGCGATGGAAGGGGTGAGCGAGGGAGCGCTTCAGACTAGGATCTAACTAGTAGATATCTATGAATACTCCTAATTCTCCACGTTGAAAACTGGAGATACCACAAAACTGGAAACTCCCGTTTAAAGAGTAAAAAAACATCAATTTTCTGAGTCAAATTTAAAAAACTATTTAAATTTCAGAGAAAGAAACGTCTCTCAGTTGCAGCAGAAACTTCCAGAAAACTTTTTTGGGGTCAATCTGTATTTTAAGGGACTTTGTGGATTTAGACATTAAATAGATACCTGCTGTAAAACTAATCATGTAAATACCATAGGCTGTATATACTATGGACAACTTATGCAAATATGAAGCCGAAAAGCTCTGTATTTCTCCACTTCTGCAGTAGCGTTGTGCATATTCAGCGGGAGAGTCGCCAATAGTCGCTGAGGTGACACTCGGCTCAAACAGCGTATCCCCCGGGTGAGCTACGCAATCTTTGTACGCCCCTAGGCTGTATCAAGTGTCAATCATAGAAAACATGAACCTCCCAATACCTTTTAAAAATGGAGCTGTACAGACAAAAGAGGACTTGAGCACCAACCAGTCTGACAGTAACTACATGTCAACATCACAACCAGGGGGGAGAAAAATTCATGTTCTGTGTAATAAATTTCTAAAGTTTGTCCACAGCTCCATAGGGATTGCTGGAGGAGGCGGGATTTATGACCTATACTGCAGCCCGTCACCAGAGGGCACTGTTCTCAGAGTGGCTTCACCCAGTGAGGAGGCAGACGGCGTCCATTCTATATACAGTCTATGGTAAATACCTGCAGCCCTTTTATAACGCTTAATTAGACTGATAGTTACTCATTCCTCCATCTACAGAGGAGTTTCAGGGTGAACTATGACACTCAAAGGTTTAAATTTAGGATTCGAATCATTTTGCAAACAGAAAATGTCACTTTGTTTTGCTCCAGATTGTTTTTATATTCATTCATGACATTTATCGAGCATTACAGCAGCTGGACTGACGGACAGAAAGAACACAAAGCACAGTAACTCCTTAAGGCACCGTCTCCCTCAGAATAAATACATTTTAAAACACTTTAAGGCACTTTTGTTGGGAATCCTGAACGTCACCAAAGTTAATAAATACCAACTTTCACATGCAGGTGTCTAAGCAGTAACCTGTCGGCGTACAAAATCTACCAAAGTTAGGTCTCCAGCATACAAGAGGCAGCAACTGCAAAAACCAGGACAGTAGACGACACAGAACTGTGACCATCTGAGATTTTTTCATCTTTAACGAAAAACAAAATCCTAAAGAAATCCAGACTTCATATTTGTTTGCTGAGTTTTTTTGTACCCTGTACGGATCAAGTGCAGCACAGCCATGCTTCTGAGTTTTCTGTCTCTGTGCGCTCATCGTTTTAACTCCAAAGTTCTCGATCCAGGTCCCCAGAACATTCACCGGCCGGTCAAAGACGGCCACTCAGGGAAGGTGTCGATCTCTCCGGTTTGGTTCAGCTGCCGCTCTCCGTGTGTCAGAGTCAGCTTGTAGCGTAGACGCAACTTTCGCTAAAAAGGAGGAGGAGGATATCAGACGTGTCATCATGGAGGAAGATGTAGCTGGATGAAGCGTTTATGTGGACATGTTTTTAAATCAGCCCTCTTCAGACTCACCCTCTGAGGATTAGCGAGCAGGAGGACCTGAGAGAGGGCAGGAGGAGGCAGCAGAGGGTTGTAAGGAGGAAGGTTTGTTCCTGAGGCGGGCTGAAGTTTGACTGACATGGTCTGAGGAGAGAGAAAGGCGAGAAACTGATGAAAAAAAAAACTGTCCATCACGCTGATTAGAGGACATAGTTTAGTTTTAATCGTTACCTTTTGGACAGCAGCTTGAAACAGGAAGTCTTTCACAGCAAGAGCAGATGTGTTCACAGTAGAAATGACCATCACAGCAACATCTGGATGACCAGGAGGAGAGTCTTTGGCGAAATGGAGAGAAACGTGGATCCCACTTTGATCGTATACAGTGATCGGCTCAAGATGACCTACGGACGAACAAGAAAAACAGAACGTAAACCCACGACTAACCCGGAATGCTCTCCTCATTAATCACAGTTCATGAGGACTTACTGGACTTGATGGTCTCCACTGGAACAAAGATGCTTCTCAGGATGTGTGGAGGACACGACTTCTCCTCTAGTTTCACTGAAGATCCCAACATTTGGTTGTTTTTTTCCTCTCCATTAGAGGGTGATACCAAGCCAAGAAACTGATCGTCACTGAGAGGTGACCTGACGACCGAAGAAAGAAGAGTTCAGGAGAAGAATTTTAGCAGAAACAACATCTCAGTGCCAAACACAGCGTGGACTCCAGGCTGATTAGGAGTTTAAAGAGCAGAGATTTAACACTTTATTGAAGTTCATTATCGGATCTTTATCAGAGAGGTCGAGTAAGACAGCATGTCTCACTCCTGTGGCTTTTAGAAAAACTGGTCATGACTTTACGAAAGTGTTGTTTCAATTGTTGTCAAAAGGAAGCCAAAGCTGAGTTGTGTGTGGGGGGGAAGTGTCTTACCCCAAGGTTCCACCACATCCGTAACGGCTACGAAAAGGTCGTATGCTCAGATCATAGCTGATCGTAACCATTCAAGTTAACGTGTCAATTTCCATCGGCCTCTTTCTGTTCAGCGGTGGATCGCCATACTCCTCAGCTTATCGCAAGAGTTTATTTTTTCCGGACGCCGGGGCATGCCGGGTAAATTCAGCACAGATTAACCCGTGCTGGAAAGGAAGTCGGGCACAAGTGAAAGGTTTTTAGATGTCATTTACATGGTCTTCCCTGGTTTGACTGTTAAAAGTCAGCAGAATGAGACTGTTCTCAGAAGATACTACTGGAGAAGGGAGGAGACAAGACAAGCAAAGACCACTTTGTCCACAGGGGGTGCCAAAACTGCCACAAACCAAAAGTGTCATACCGGAGCTTTAAATTTGACATTTTTATATGGCGTTTTGCTGCCCTCTACTGGCCGTGTTCAGGTATCTTTTCAGTCAGTCACATGAAGCTGTGAAGCAGTCAGTGACCAAGTCTGTGCATGCACATGTGAAACCATCTGTCTTACGGTGACCATATTCTGAATCCCTGAAAAGAAGAAACGACTACGCGGGGGCGGAGTCACAGAGTCGCTCAAAGTTAATTTTGAGAGTTTTTCGGGTCGGGTCGAGTGTTTTTTTACGCGCTTCTAACTCAGTAAGTCCACATGACACAAACTGGAAACTTTCATACAAAACCGCAGACATTTGAAGGATTATATAAACTCTCCCAGACAAGGACGGACAGCCCCCCAAAAAGAGGACATGTACGGGTAAAAGAGGACGTATGGTCACCCTAATCTGTCTGTAATCCACATATTTTAATAATCATCAACACTACGACTGTATTTGAAACTTTGAGTATGTTTTGGTTTGATGAGCTAAGCTAACTTCATTCAGTCATGTTTTCATGACTCCATTACTCCAAATACTTTCCCTTTAAATCATGAACTGATTGGTTATTTTCTTGTAAAGTTGCAGTTTTACAAAGAATCAGAAGTTAAAATGAAAAAGTGACTTTTGAGTTTCCAGCTCAGTACAAACGCAGGAACACGATCATGTGACCTGTTCTCTTTTGGTCCTCCTGTCCTTACCAGACGTTGGTCCCATTTGTTGCCGTACTGTCCGCTCCACATCCACGAGCTCTCAACACCGGGCCTCCTCCTCCTCCTCCATTCTGCTCCAAAGTCTTCACCTGGAGTTCTCCATCAAGCTGAGAGTAAAGGACGACTTGTGTTTTACACTTTCAAACATTTATGTCAAGTTTCATCTTCATGTGTGAGTCTCACCTCCATCAGTTCCTCAAAGTATGATCTGGAAGTCTCCTGAGTCTGTTTCGAGATCGTACTGAACCCTGAAATTACAGGATGACGTCAAATCACGAGAAAATTAATCAGCAAGAAAAGAAGACATTGGAGTCCAGAGAGGAAGTCCCACCTGATTTATTTAAGTCCTCGTCTCCTGCTGATTCAGAGGACAGGAACAAATCAGCTTTTCTGTGAGTCTGTGGAGAGTCCAGAGCTGACAGGTCGATGAGGTGGTAGCTTTTTATCTCTCTGGGACTCTTTGGAGCTGGAGGAACAAGAAACACAGAACTTCAAACTCGGGGTCGAGGTGTTTCCTACAGAGACTAAGTGAGGAAAGGAAGAAGAAGAAGGTCCTACTGTTATTTTTACTCTCCTCTTCCTCACTCCGACTTCTCTCTCTCCCGTTGCACTCTTTCTTTCCTGTTTGTTCTTTGTAGGCTTTCACTACCAGCGTTAGCTCGTCGTTAGCCGACAGGATCTGTGCCAGAGCGACATCGTCGTCAGTGGTGTCACTGGCCAGGCGGAACAGACTGGGCCTCAGTCGGTCACAGCGCTCGTACAGGGACTGTCACAGAGAGGAGAATTCAAGTTGAGCTTCACCTCCCACCAGCACATCCACCTGAGTAAGGCACGAACAAAATCTGCGCAATTTCATTTTTCTCCTTAACCTTAGTTTATTCAGGTCTGGTTCTGTAAAATTTACCACTAACATAACTGAGGGTGGAAAAAGTGAGGTAATCTTCTACTTGGGGTTTGGTGATAAAATGCCTCGATAGTAAACTGTGCCTCTTTTCAGTCAAGTGAGTTTGCTCCTCATGACTGAGGTCAGAAATCACTCCATGCTACAGGGGCAGGAGGATGAATTATGGAGAGGCAGGGTGACCTGAGAGAGCAGCTCACTTTTTAGCTGAAAAGAGGCTCCAAAAATGTGGCTTATTAACCAAATGTTCTGGTCTGTGTAAAGTTTATGAATCTGTTTTAGCAAAGAGGTTAAAGACAGTTACAGTGAGTCAGATGGACCAGAACCAGAGCTCCTCATGACCTCTGCATCTCCCTCTCTATCCTCTCTAAACCCAGCTCAATCTTAGCAGATGACGGTCTAACATCAGTCTGGTCCTCCTCGAGGTTTCTGCCTGTTGAAGAAAGTTCTTTCTCTCCACTGTAACTTGATAAACGCTGGAAAGTGTTTCATTCCTGTGGTTGAAGATTAGGGGATGGTCAGGGCTTGGAGCTCAGTCTGATCTGGTCTTTATGAACAGAGTCTGGTTTTTTGTTGAGACTGATCGACTGATCGACAAATACCTTCATGTCGTCACTCGGCTGTAACAGACTCCCGGTGACCGTGTGCTGGTGCAGCATCTCTCTCAGCTGTTTGGCGCTGTCCTCCACCTCCTTCAGAGTGGATTCACGTTTTGAGGCTTTCTCTGCTTTCTCCTGCTCCTACAGCACAAACAGAAAACAGTGTTCAGTCTTGACATTAATGCGAATATATTACAGGAGAAACGGAGATCTCACCTCCTTTATAGTGTTCTTAATGAGTCTGTTGGCGGTTTCCAGGTCTTCAGGGCGGGTACTCTTCAACAATCTGGCAAGTAGCTGACGATGATGAAGGAGGAAATTTTAGCAAATTGAAAATCAAAGTCAACATGAGCACATGTCCTGTGAAACTCGAACACACCGTGGCTTTGTCCTCCTGGTCAAAAACCGAGTCTGTGGTCCTCTGAGGTGGAGGAGCCATTATGAGTTTGCTGGGTAGTTTGGGGTCTTTCTTCACGATACCTGCAGTCACAGAAACACCGACATAGACACATATGTGATCAGTGAATGAGCAGGAAACATCAAGATGGCCAGCATAAAGAAAAATGAAATGGTTCATGTTTGCACCTTCCTGAGACCCTGATCAGATTAAGACTGCAGTGCCCTGAAATAAAACAACTAGCAGGCACAGAGTGAGTGAAGTTATTACTTTCTGACGTTGTTTGTTAGCTAGTAGCTGGCAGTGGTGAGGAGCATGGCTCAGGCTGCTGAGAAACAAAACATCCGAGTTTGTGGAGAAAACGAAACCAAAGCTCCGGGGTTGAATCCAAACACAGCAAACTCCTGTTCAAACTTTCATAAAGCTTATGCTAACTCTGACTCAGACTCGCCCTGGAGGTTTCAGCATTTGTTGTCTTAGTGTTTCACATATCAAAGTGCAAATACACCTTGGCCTTTGTTACAGATGTGTAAAATCATCTCTTTCAGAGTTGGAAATGTGTGTCTGCAGCATCCAGACCTTGTTTCTTGAGCATGCTGTAGGCTTCCTGAATCTTTGGTTCGTCTTTAAGCCAAAGAGTCCAGCCGTAGAAGACCTCCGTCACTCTGTCTTTGACTGTCTGAGGAGTCCAAGCGCCAAAGTACTACACAGGTAAAACAAAAACCATGTCAGGTTTTATATAGTCATCGAAAAAGGGGGTTAACAGAGAGCGTCCATGGCACCTGATATCTCGAGAAAGAAAACCTGAGCATGTTGAGCTTGTTTTGTGGTGAATCACCTTCATTTGTTTGTTTGAAACATACATCGTTCCCTTTAAACACTCAATAAAACTGCAGATAAGTACTCAGGCTTCAAACTTTCTTCACTTTGATTCAAAAAACTGTGCTCTTATTTCTTAAATGATGATGACTGTTACCTTTGGCGTTACAACTTTGATGAGCTCATTGAGAAAGCGAAACTTGGCCGCCTCACTGTGGAACCTCTTTCCGCAGTTATTCATACATGCCTCGAGCACCTGGAAAGCACCAGAAATAAAAATCCTTTTAAACGGGAAGTGAAACTGAAAGAAAGACGGTTTTATTTCCAGGTAACACAAAAGGTAACAAGAGAGCGAGAGCTTTGATGTCACAATGAAGTTTGTGGTTAACCACTTTTAAATATCACGAGGTGAATTTTCTCGTAGTTGAATAAAATAAAGCTGAACAAAGCGGCTAAATGTGTGAGTGATGACCAATGTGGTTTCACTTCCGATTCAAAGGCAGATCAAATCTATCATCTCATCTTGACCGTGTGAGAAGAGTTAGTCACATTTAATATTTACAGGAAAGTCTTCTGTGCAGAGTTTAAACACAGACAATTTCTTTATGAATGCCTCATAGCTCTGAGAAATAGCATTCAACAGAACCCATGAACACTCTGTCTTCTTACAAATGGCTCACAAAAGGATACCAGACCATTAAGTTTATAAAATAGAGGCAGGAAAAGAAGTTGTCTCAGGATACATGAAGACCCCGATCACTTACAGTCAGAGCTTGCAAAGCTTCTTTTTCCTGTGGTGACTGGATTTTATGAGCAAGAAGACGAATGGCTACCTGTGGGCTGAGAGCAGAAAAATAAGATTTGAGTTTCATTTAAATGTCTGAGGAGAGCAGGAGCAAAGAGGATGTTAGTGCCAATGTGATACTCACAAAATAAGTATTTTGTTGGGATTTTATTACTTTTTGTTTCTTTTCCTTTAAGAGTCACTTTTTGGTTCATTACAACTGTATTACATTTATTTTTTTTCTATCTAATTTATTTATGTTGGGAAATTACAAAGACAATGGCATGTCATTTCACAAAATGGACACTTGGTGGCAGCACCGACCACTCGCGTCTCTGGGCTCGTTATCCGGTTAAATGGAGAAGGAGCGAAAGTTGTCCTGTTTCCCTGATTCCTGTGTGATATTTCTAATACTTAGAGGTCAGTTATTCGCCTTTTATGTGATTACAGATGTTAAAAAGCTAAAATGAATCCCCGGTGATGTGTTATCGGTGAGCTGGAAGTGTGTTAAGAGTGTAAACATTGACGGTACGTGAGTACTGTAGGAGAGAAAATGGCGCCGGACGCGATAGCTCATATAATTCTTTTTCGTTTGTTTCTTTAGACTCACAGACATTTGTGAATTATTTCTGTGTGTATTAAAAGCGGCTGTATGTATGGGCGTCGTTTAAAACGGAGTGAGCTAATGTTAAAGTCATGTGTGAGCTGTACGAACATTAAAAGGTACGGTGGCCGAGAATCGCCAAATAAAAAAAGAATGCAAAGAAAAAAAAAACGAAGCCCACTGCAAATAAAAAAAGTAATGGTCCAGATTAAAAAAAAAAAAAAAAAAAGCCACAACGGAAGTTAATGACGCAAAAAACAAAGTGGTGATCGAAAAAGTTACTTACTGCGAAAATAAAAGGATGCAAATAAAAAAGCCATAATGGAAGTGAGCTGCTAGCTGCCAATAATGATAATGCACCGGTGTTTTACGATCTAGGCACAGAAGACGACGGCGAGAAGACGAGCATAGAAGTAAGTGGAAAGGTTATTGTTTAATTTTGTTTGTGTGCTTTTCAGTGTGTCATTTGGTTAGGACATGTAGCACCTGAGTTGATATGAAGTTGAACTGGAGGATGCTGGTGTAGTGTTAGCTTCAGTTCATTAAAACATGAAAAGAAATACTATTCACATAGTCTCTAGAAATCATAACAGTTAATTGTAGCTAGTAGGAAAAAATAAATCTAAAAGTAAGCTCCTCAAAAATATATATTTTTGTTGTAAAGAGAAAAAAAAGTGCTGCAGTGTTCCTCCTGTTTCTTGTTTGCTTTGTTACTGGGAAGCTGAGATTGCGAAGTAGAAATGAAGCAACTCAAATATGAGCGGGGAAGTAACCAGCAGCATCCTATGAAAGCTTTTGCAAGGGGTAGGGGCAAAAAGTCTAAAGATTATCTGAAAACAGAGGCAAGTAGTGACTGTTGCTACCCAATCCGTCCCGGAAACCCAATTTGTGCTGCACATATGTAAAACGTACGTTACTTCCTCTCTTGGCATTTCAGTGTGTTTTACGGCAGCGAGTCGCTACCCACCCGATCTGTACTGCGCAAGTGCAAATTTACTTCACCTAAAAAACTTAATTTAAACTACCGATCGATTCAGAAACAAGCTGGCGATGTGACAGACTAGCTAACAGGAGGCTCCAGAGCGAATGCCGAGGCATTCACCAGAGCTCCTGCCCAGCACAGTGAGACCTTTTGGGCCACAGAGAGCGCCACCACACGGCCAAAATTATGGTTCTCTGACTTTTCAAAGCATCAAGGGGGAATTATTTCATTTATTTTATAAATTAAATTTATTAACAAGAAGCCTACACATTATGGACAATGAATTTCAGCGTATTTTTTCAGCATACACTTTCAACACAGAAATATTCACATTCATTCAATCCTTTTATAACTACGCTGCCATTTTACAAATAAGCTGTAGTAGGAACCTTTAATCGTAAAACTGGGTGCCATTCTCTTGACTTTTCGGCGCTCTGCTTCATTTGGGGGAGCACTCAGTTTAGGAGAAAGGAAAAGTGTGTGGCTTTTATAAACTGAAGCATCCTTTCTGACTGACCGAAGTGAGCTCGCTGATGTCGTGGCTGTCGCAAACCGCGAGGGGCAAAGAATTATTTAGCTGTCACAAAGATGGCTAGTAGAGGAAGTGACATACATTTTGTTTCGCACATGGGCAGTACAAATCGGGTTTCCAGGATGGATCAGGTTGCGACAGAGACAACCCCTCTGTCACAGCAGAGGTAAAAAGTGAAAAAAAAAAGAGTGTGTTCTGCTAACCCATCAGTCTCTTTGTTGACAAGCTCGTAGAAGGCCTGGATGCAGTCCCATCGGTCCTCCTGATTGTTTGGGTCTGTGGCCTGACCTGCAAACACCAAAAAGACTTTCATCAAACACTTTAACAAACAGGCCCAACATTCAATTTAGCAAAGAACTGAAACCTGAATACAGAAACAATGGACAGCACCTGTTTAATGCTAAGTACACTAGTAAGTGAGGATGCACGGTGTTTACTGATCCTAACACCTTCAATGATATGTTACTAATTAAAGGGATATTCCGGCATAAAATTAGGTCAGGATCCACCGTAATACCGAGTTAAGATGTTTGGTGGCTAGTACTATGGCTGGGACCCTATATGTCCTGTTGACGAAGTTAGGTGCTGTTCTGAGCATTATTTGTGGCTATAGAGTGGCGTTTTGGTCGAGGTTTGTTTATGGCTCCTCAGACCACTGTGTGCGGTCGATAGTTAAGTTGGTAAAACTAGAGAAGCAAGCGGTCAGCAACATTCATCTCTCGACCAGGATGTACAACTCGGTATTATGGTGTGTGACCCTTAATTAATTTTACACCAGAATATCCCTTTAACTGTCCCCTGCACAAGTATTTACTTGTTACTCTCCTTGTAAAAGTCTACATGATGATGAGACAGAATCCTGACTTTTTCTTCAGTTTGAGATAGGTAAGAAACTTTACCTTTTTCTTTTTTTTTCTTTCAGAAAAACTAGGTAAAATTTTGAATGTGAGTCTTTCACTCCTCAAGGACAACCGTTTGTTGTTAGCTACAACACTGGTTTGACCGTTACACATATTTCATAACTTATTTGTTTATTTTTTGGAAGTAATTAAAATGAAGCTTTTATTTCAAACACTGGATCATTATTAATCCTGTTTAGGAACATTTCGATCATTAATCGCCGCAGTAATAATAATCAATAGTTGGTCGATCGAGTTAAGATCATAGACTGTATATAAGATCTCTTATATACAGTCTATGGTTAAGACATTGTGAGCATTTCCTGCGCGCGCTCCCGTGGGAGCAGACACAACACAGCAGCGCGGCTCGGGAACGCGCACTGTCACAAACTTCCTGTTTGAGGCTAAACTTTCTGCACACTGACAAACTTATCATTAGAGCTTAATTAGTCTTCGCATTTAAAATAAGCTTTATTTTTTCCTCTTTATCACAGAAATACAGTCAGAGTGACTCTGACACAAACTAATAAGACGGCGCGGCGTCAGTTTATCCGGAGATGTTAGCTAACACCGTAAACAAACACAAACGGCGATAATGTCGGTGAACTTACTGCACAGCTGCTCCAGAGTTGCGTGACTGTCGCCGGTCGCCATGTCCTTCTGTCCCCTCCACTTCCAGAGATGTTGAACCTCTGGTCTTTCACTGTGTGTCTGTGTGTGTGTGTCTGGGGAGGTGTCAAACTGCAGCAGCTCGACATGTGACACTCACGCCCAGTCAGTCACACTCCTGACACGCCAAAAAATTAAGTTACACGCCCCCTCCTCCTCCTCTCACTCAAGACAACAACCCCACTCAGAGATGATTAAAACGGAGACATAAGTCCTCTAGAAAAGAAAATGGACGGATAAGAGCAGCTCAGAAGTTTAGTAAAGAAAGTTTTGTGGTGTTTTTTGTCATTTCTCTGACACAGACTGACTCCCCTTCATTATGAGACTGCACCAGTTTCTCTCTGCAGGTTACACACAACAATATATTATTATCTTTTTTTAACCTTTAATACTAAAATAATAGCAGAATCATATAAACTTATGTTAACTGACCCATATGGTTTATTATTGCATATTTTTTAATGTTTATATCAGCATCCTTTTTCATCTTTTAGTACAAGACTCAATACGACCGAGTATTGGGGTCACGTTAAAGGGATATTCTGGCGTAACATTAATTTAAGGTCAAACACACCGTAACATCGAGTTAGACACCCCTTCCAGAGATGAATGCTGCCGACCGTTTGCTTCTCTAGTTATACCAACTTTAGTAACGACCGCACGATAGAAATACACAGCGGTCTGAGGAGCCATAAACAAACCTCAACCAAAACGCCACTCTATAGCCACAAATAATGCTCAGAACAGCACCTAACTTCATCACCAGGACATATAGGGTCACAGACATAGTACTAGACACCAAACATCTTTTTAACTTTGACTAATTTCTTTAGCAAAGAGACTAAACACAACTCACCTACTCTCTTCCAGCAGCCGCTTGTTTGTGACCTCAGACCAGTCCATTACGGACTACAGCGGGGTGACGCAGCTCAAGGAAGAACATTTATGATCATTTCTTGATGGAAATACAATCAGACCAAGACGCTAAGACAGAACAACTACCGCGTCTGCAGTGCAAAATGATTAATATGGTGATTATTACTTAAAGGGGAAGATAAAGTAATGATCATAAATGTTCTTCCTTTAACTGTGTCACCCCTTTAAGAGAAAAAAAATTGATACTTCGAGATTAAAGTCGTTAATTTCTGAAAATAAAGTAATAACTCATGAGAATAAAGTTGTGATAAAATCATTATGATAGTTATGATAATGTGGTGCTGATGTGCCTCAAGATGTTAAAGAAACATATACCAAAGTACATTTTCATGAAATGCTCCATGGTTCTCATTTCATCTTAAACATACGGTTAGAATGTAAAGACTTTATTCTGACTTTACTCTATAAGTTTTTATTTTATTATTTTATTCTTCTTCTTAATGTGGCCCTGATACTCTGTCGTAACTCAAAGTATTCTTTATTTTTAATTTTTATTGTGTTTGCATATGTCAGAACATCTGTGTTCGGTTCGTTAGAAGTTAATCCCCATCAATATTTGCATAGAAGAAAAAAAATCCAAGGTACTTTCCATCTCTGGTTGTGTGCCACCTGATCCTGTCAGGAATAAATAAAACCACCAGATTTCCTTTTTTACGTATTTTTTTTTTTCATGATTCAAGTATTTTGGCCACAAGTGAACATTTAGTCTTTGGAGTTGATGAGTTGGAAGCAGGAAAAATGAGCCAGTAGAAGGATTTAAACAAGTCTGACACAGGCAGGGTTAGGATGGCTGAATGACTGAGGAGAAAACTGCAGATCAGGTCACAGGAAGCCAAAAGCAGGTCCACTTGGTCAGATCCAAAAGAAGAACTTTGAGACAAAAGTTCAGAGTGGCCTCGATGTAAAAGTGCGTCACAGTTTGGTTGATGGGTGTGTGAGCAGGTCTTGTCTGAATCAGACTTTAACTCGTCTCTGGAGGCAGCAGAAGTCTCTGGAATCGATGGCTGATCTCCGCAGGCCCCAAAGACACCATCATCTCCGCTACACTGGGCCCCTGCTGCAAGTCAGAGAGCAGAGGAAGTCATGCAATTAAACCAGACGGAAAGAAAAAAACAGACAGTAACCTCTTTAAAAATGCAATCAGAATCTGCTTCCTCTTTCTGCCTTTCTGCTCTCAGTATCTGCAGGGTTACTGTGGCGAATGAGTCACTGAAGGATTTAGTCAGCAGTATCATTTCAAACATGATTTACACTTTTCTTTTGCCGAGTCAGACTCTGTACAACAAAGAAAGGGTCACATGTATGAAAAAGTCTGGCAAAGATCTCCTGATTCTGATTGTTAAAAAAAAAAAAGACTGAGTTCGCTGCACGTGACTTGTTAAAAAATGCAGAAATGAAATCACAACTTCGCTGTAAAATTGAAAGAAGAATGTCAAAACTTCCTCTGAGAGTCAAGCAATATTAAAAACTGTAAAACAGCCGGTGAGGAGGACAAAACAAAACCTCATCAGACATTTTTTTTTATGGCATTTAAATTGTGTATATTTTATGGCATTTAAATTGTGTATATTGTAGAAAGCTTTATTTTTTCTTCTCCCTTTTCTAATTTTTTTCTTAATTATTACATTTATTCAAGTTCTTGATATTAGGACCCTTATTGCTATAACTGCATTTTTGCACTTTTTGGCTTGTCTGTGATGCTGCTGTGACAAAAAAATTTCCCCCATGGAGGATCAATAAAGGAATATTCTATTCTATTCTATTCTAAAACTCAAGGAAAAAACTCTAAATCCAGACCATGTGCTTAATCAGTCTACATTTTTAAATCCATCTTTTTCCGAACAACTAAACTCTACAGGCCTCCTCTTTAGGGCCCGAGCGTAGCTGCTAAGCAGCTGCGAGAGCCCTCTTGTTCCTGTAGTTTCCTTCTTTTGTTATTATTATTTTTCCTCCCCTTTGAACTGGAAAATGGCCCACTTCCCACTGGCGAAAACTCATGAAATTTGGCAGGACGACCGGGCCTGGTGAAAAATTTGATATTCCGAAGTCGCCCAAACAAGAAAATGCAAAATGGCTCCATAGCGCCCCCTAAGGTGAAAATTCACACTATTCACTGTCACGCCTGTACGCTTTGTCAAAATGACACAAAAATTGACACACACATGTATCTCAATAAGATCTACAAAAAAGTCAGTGCGGGCGTATCTGTCAAATGTACGGTTAAAGGGTTATTTCGCATTTTTTGCCGATCCGCACACATTGGAATTTCGCTAACTCCTCCGAAGGCTTTCGTTCCACCGGCACCACATTTGCTCAGGCCAATCTACACCCCATGGCCATTAAAAGTTATTCAAATCATGACGCTGCACCCCACGGTTTACGTTCTAGGGGGCGCCAAAGATAACCCTAAAATCCACATATTTCAAAGTCTTATAACTTTTTATTTTTGTCCTCACTGGCCTCCAAGTTTTCTAGGATGATGCAATGTCCAGCCATCAACACATTTGTGAAGGAATTTTTACTCCCCAAAAGAGCGCCCCCCCATGGCAGGAGAAAAAAGTCGTTTTTTTCGTGTCCCATAAGGTGAAAAAACACATTGTTGACTGTCATACCTGTATGCTTTGTCATATTGACACAAAATTTGACAATCACATGTATCTCAATAAGATCTACGAAAAAGTCAATGCGCGCGTATCTGTAAAATGTACGGTTAAAGGGCTATTTTGCATTTTTTGCCGATTCGCACACATTGGAATGTGGCTAACTCCTCCTAAGGCTTTCGTCCCACTGACACCAAATTTGCTCAGGCCAATCTACACCCCATGGCCATTCAAAGTTGTAAAAATCATGACGCTGCCGCCACGGTTTACGCTCTAGGGGGCGCCAAAGATGACCCAAATATCCACATTCTTAAAAGAATCCACATTCCCCCCCCCCCCCCCATCCCCCAACCCCCATGGCAGGAGAAACAGTCAAGTTTTTCCTGCCCATCACTCAATGGCTCAATCGCATCACTCTCCCGGCAACACCGTAACGAGGAGCAACCTGCCATTTGGATATATCCTAGCTGTGTTTGTGCCCTCACTCATGGTCCAGACTTTTTTCAAATAGGACATGAAGTTTGTCTGCAGCGAGTGTTTTGGTAGAAACTGCGCCTCCCATTCATTATAATGGGAAATGACCACAGACAAGTGCGCACACCATCTTTGGACCTTGAGTGTGACGCGATCGGGAGGGGGAGGCGGTCGCGCTGGGGGCGGCGCGACGCGGCTCGGGCCCGACAGTGCCCCACCGGGGTCCTAGTCATATGTTTGTTACTGTAAAGACCCAAATATATGTTCCTCTAATAAATCAAATACATCTACAAAGCTGAAACCATCTCATGTTCTGGTTTTGGTGATTAAATATCTCTGTTTCTCCTAACAATATAGACCTCCATACGTCAGCTACAGTGGCAGGACAAAGAGATAAAGACAGATGGTGACTGGGGCAAAGTTGGACAAAAGGACAACTGAGGAGGTGGGAAGAAGGCTTGTTAATGCAGCGGAAACAACCGTCAAACAGTCATAACACTTTGGTGTCATGAGAGTAATGTTAGAAAATAGTGGGCAGAAAAAGATCACCCTAAAAAAGCAGAACAAAGGTTTGCTCATTACCAGACCTGTCATCCGTCAGACAGACTGCAGCTTATCTAATCTGTCATGGTATTTAAAAAACGTTAATATAAATACTAAAATAACATTATTATGTTTCTATTTTATCATGACTTACTTTTTAAACTGTTTTCTTTGAACTTTTTCTAAAACAAAGTCCAGAAAAGTAGGAGTTGTCTTAAAATCAGGGTCGTCTGATGTTCAGGTCACTAAAAGGGATTTTAAGGAGGTCAAAGTTGCAGGTAGTAACTGGTCCGGTCGGTCAACCACTCAGCAGACATGACTCAGAACTGAAGGTGAAGCTGTGGGTGAATGTTGGTTTGAAAGTGTTTTAGTACCTCCTCCACTGAACCCATGTCTGTCAGGGCAAGTATGAGTGACTATATGACTACTAAGAGTCAAAAACAGGAACATGACACGTTCAGGTACCTCCAGACCGCTGAGGGTCAGGCGTAGCAGCTTCATCACTTCTCTGTACTTTGTAGCTTTTGTCTGTTTAGCGAGAATCTTCAGATCTTTAGCGAGTCGATCTACCGACAGCTCCTCCCTTTGCTCAGATATCAACCTACGACACAAAGAAGCAGAAACGTTCAAAATCCTGATAAGAAGTTAACGGAGAAGGGAAACTGATCAAAACTACATACTTGAGTACTAGTGAAACAATGTGCTGGGCCTCTGTGGTGAGTGCTGCCACCTGCTGGCTGGAGATGGAAGGACGCACCCATAGATAGGAGTAAGAGGGACTCAGAAGGTCTTTGAGGAAGTAGATGTGACCCTGAAGACAGAAGGGTGGAGAGCAGTTTCAGTATGACCAGAAGGAACTGAGAAATAAGAGAAGAAACCACTTTGGTTATCCTGCAGAGAGAGACACGATAGATGAGAGTCTAGACGTTAAGTATGGGCAAGAGGTCGACTACAAACTGGACGTAAATGTCATCCAGCAATGTCTTTAAGCTGTTTCTACAAATTACAAAGAAGCTTACGTTTCAACTTGCAGATTGAGCATGAAAGTATGTCAGTGGTTTATACCGTTTGAATGCACTCCACTGTTTTGGTACCTTTCGAAGATGCAGCACCCGTCTAATATAATCTTCATGCAAAACATCTTTATCCTGAATCTCTGCCGAGTACGTCTGCTGGATCTGTCCCTGCAGATCTCTGATCAGCAAACAGCACTGCGCCTCGTCTTCAATCCGGTGCTGCAGGTGAATTCTGCATCAGTTAGAGAGGATACCGATTTATGAGTCAAATTTCAAAGGAGAAAATCAATACTTGTTTACTTTCAAGACCATAAAGAGCGCACCAAAATAAAACACCTAAAGTAAAGGGGAGATACGGTAATCATGAGTGTTCTGTTGTTCTGGGAAACAAAGTGTAAGAAGTCCTGACTCACCTGTTGAACTCCGGCAGCTTTTCCAGGTCTAACAGGGCAGAGTGTGTCGTTATCTTTGATGGAGTAAACTCCGAGATCAATTCATCGATCCTCCGACCCATCTGATTGGCTGAAAATCAACAAGACTAATTCAGTAACAGGACTGAAAGCTTCACTGTTTAATAATGGGAATTTAAATGCATCACAATCTTTGGCTCGACTGTTAACACATTTCTCTCCTGAGTCCTGGCCCACTCACTGTTAAATCCAGATCCACAGTTGGTTGTGATATCCAGCAGGGCTTCAGGCAGGACTCCCTCTCTCTGGAAGCTCTGGATGAATATATCTCCCTGCCTTTTGGACAGTTTACTGCCGTCTTTGTTCATCAGAAGCGGCAGGTGTCCGAAAGTAGGCGGCGTCCACCCGAGAGCTTTGTACATGAGGAGATGTTTGGAAGTCGAGATGAGCCACTCAGACCCCCGCAGCACGTGGCTGATTCTCATGTGGTGATCATCCACTATGTTGGCAAGGTGGTAGGTGGGAAAACCATCAGCTTTTATCACGACAGGGTCCCCCTCCACCTAAAAGAAGACAACAACAACAAAAGTTTTGTTGTCATTTAACTCGTGCAAGAATTTTTTTGCTTGTTGGAAAAACTTGTTCATCCTTTTGTCTTGAATTATGTGCAGCTCTATGTAAAGCCCATTTAAACACTGACCTGGGCGACCTCATGACGACTCCAACCAAAGACCATATCCTGAAAAGGCTCCACACCTTCTTCTAGACGAAACCGGATCACATGTGGAACTCCCTGAGCCAGTTTCTCCTGGACCTGCTGGGCTTTAAGGTGACGACACCTGTTATCATACCTGGGAGAGGGAAAAGGGGACACGGCTAATGTCTTTAATACGGTAAATCCACCAAAAGTCCCCAGGGTGTTCTGTTAGTCCGAGCTTTCTTGAGCCGTATATTTCAAATAGAGCTAAAACTTAAAGGTGGGGTAGACAGGAATCCATAAAAGAAGAATCCTTTTTTTGTGGTGTATAAACAAAAAAGTTTTTAATATCAGTCAATAGTTATAAGTCATTGATGACATTTGGGAATATCTTGTCTTAGATCCTGACTACCCCACCTTTGATTGTATTTGTGAACATGCTCTCATGTAGTCTCATCACCTCGGCGTCTGCCCGCTCCTGAAGGCCTCTTTCTTCAGCAGCTCGAGTCTCTGAGGGCTGCAGAAACAGTAGTAAGCATGTTCACTCTCCACGAGCTGCTGCGCCGTCTGTCTGTAGAGGTCGAGTCGCTGAGACTGCAAGTAAGGACCAGCAGACCCGCCATGGCGAGGACTCTCATCTGGAGGTATACCTTTAGGTAATGACAAGTTTAAGTATGTTTTGATTATTTTTTTGAATCCGTATTTCCCATTAAACTTTGAGAATCACATCCCTCTGTCTCACCAGCCCACTCCAGCATGTCCTCTATGGACTCTGCAGCTCCTGGGACCAGTCTGCTCTGGTCTGTGTCCTCCAGGCGTAAAATAAATGAACCCCCATACTTTTTGGCGAAGATGTAATTGTAGAGAGCCGTTCGAAGGCCTCCCAAGTGTAAGAAACCTGCAGGTTAGAACAACGTATTGATAGAAGATCATAGCAAACCAGGAAAGCATGTAAAGACACTATTTCAGATAAAGATAAACTATTAAACTTAAAAAACAAAGCACACATTTTGACAAGCCATAATCAGATGGCACAGGGGCTATCTTATCACATTTTTTTTTGCTTGTCTCCTTGCAATCAAGTCAGAGATACAAAATAATAACAATAATAACTTATAGCACTTATGCTTTGGCAAACAGTCGTAAAGCACAGAACATCAGCACATGGAAATAAAAAACAAATGCTCAGTTAAAAACCTCTGAATTGAAGGACAATTTCATTTGCCATAAGAAACTCGGACAATACAAGAACCGTACAACATCAAATGAGACCACGAGGACCAAAATAAAAACATATAATAGGTAAGAAAAAGCAATGTAACAAAAAAGGGAGGTAGAAAGATTATAAAACAAAAATTTTCACTGTATAGTATAATACAAATTTCAAAGAATGACATGATAAAAATGCCAAAGTGTAGTAGATTAAAAATTTATAGTATGGTATGTTAAAAAAATCATAGTTAAGCATGATAAAAATTTCATACAATCGTGTGATAAAAGATCATAGTATAGAATGATAAAAATATCATATTAGAAAAATCCCATTGTATAGTATGGTAAAATTTTAACAGTTTAGTAAAATACAAATGTGACAGTATAGTATGATTCAAATGAAGTATGGTAAATATAAGAAAAGATTATCAGTAAAACAAAGGCTAAAAAGACAGTAAGTGGAAATGAGATAGAGGTAAAAAAAAAGAGAAAAGAAAAGACAGCATCACTTAAAAGCAATACAACAATAATAAAATAATATAACAATAATAAAATAATAATAATATAACAATAATAAAATAATGTAACAATAATATAACAATAATGAACAATAATAAAATAATATAACAATAATGAACAATAATAGAATAATAATAAAAGAGTCTTCAGACTGACTGACCTCTATAACAGAGTTGGTTCAGGTAAAATCAGTGGGATTAAAGGGGAGGGTCTTACCTGTCGGACTGGGTGCAAACCTGACCCTGACGTCCCCCTGAACAGGTGAGCAGCTCCTCGTGACCGCGGCGCTCAGGTGGAGTTTTCTCTTTAGGATGGTGACTGCTGTCAGACCCTGAAAACCTCTCTGAGGTAAAGAAAACAGCATCTTAACTGAGTCTGATCTTCACCTTCACGACGGTCAATGAAACTGCATTTAGTTTAAGGACGGGACGAAAACACCAGTGAACGTAAATGTGTAACTGTGACCCTCATATCGGTTTGTTTACGCGCTTCAGTTTCAGAAACACATGACCGGACTCCATTGAAGAAGTTTCTTCTTCTTCGGAAGCGGAAGAGGAACTGAGGGCGTTCATAGACCACACTGCCACCTAACGGAGGAACCTGTCATTAACACAAGGACGATGATACTCGATGAATTACACAGTTTGTGTTTTTTCCTGTCAGTAAATGATACAACTTCCACCTTGTTAAATATCTTGTTGGAAACTCCCGGGTGTAAGAGATTTTACTCAGGGAAAACAGTGTGGTTGTGGATAAGGAGGGAAATTTTAAAGAGTTATGTAAAAAAGACACCAGAAGGCACTGACGAAGATAAAATAATAATGTGTTTTGATGGTTTGATAACTCACAAACTTCCAGAGAGCATCAAACTCACGGTAAGTACAACAAACACGTTAAAATAAAACCGACAATAGATGGCAGGAGACACCACTGCTTGGAAAAGGTAGTATACAGCAGCTGAAATAGAATACAGGGGAAATAATAGTAAATTATTAAATATTTTTAAAATCTGAATATCAGTCTTTGAAATTATTTCATGTTTGTAATTTATTTAGAAGTATTTATAAGTATGGTACATTAAAACATCATACTTAAAAAATGTCATAGTATAGTACGATAAAAATGTCATGAAGTATGATTAGTATGTCATAGTATAGTTTATTAAAAAATGTCCGCATGTTATGTTAAAAAAATGTCATAATATATTATGGTAAAAATATCATAGTATAGTATGATAAAAGATTTCATTATATAGTATGTTAAAAAAATATCAGTGAAGTATGATTAATATGTCATTGTATCGTGTGCTAAAAAATGTCATAGTATAGTATGTTAAAAATGTCATAGTATAGTATGACAAATTCTTTAGTTAAGTAAATTAAAAAAAAAAGGTCACAATGAAGTATGATAAAAATGTCAGTAAAGTATGATAAAAAATATTGTATAATATGTTTAAAAATCAAAGTATGGTATGATTAAAACACTAAGTAAAATATGATTAAGAAAGTCATTGTAAAGGATGTCAAAATAGGAAATAGTATAATAAAGACATGTCAAAGGAAGTCTGATTAAAAATCGTTATAATATGGTACGATTAAATGTCATTAAATAGTATGATAAAAAATGTCAGCGAAGTATGATTAAAAATGTCAGTATAGTATGATGAAATATGTCATAGTATTGTATGATAAAAAGGTATCATTGTATAGTTTGTTGAAAAATCAAAGTATAGTATGATTAAAAAGTCATTGTATAGGATGTCAAAAAAACAAAGTATTAGTATGATTTAAAAAATCACAGGAGGTATAAAAATGTAATAGTATAGTATGAAAAAACTGTCAAAGTATCGTATGATAAAAAAGAAAATCATTGTATAGTTTATTTGAAAATCTAAGTACAGAATAATAAAAATTGTCATAGTACAGTATGATATAAAAATGTCATTGTATAGTATGATAAAATATGTCACGGTATATTATGCTAAAAAAATATCATAGTATAGTATGATAAAAATATAATTGTATAGTATTTTAAAAAAATGTCAAAGTAAATTACGTCATAGCTTAGTATGATAAAAATGTCATAGTATGGTATGATAAAAAATGTCATAGTATAGTATGTTAAAATGTCACGGTATAGTATTTTTCAAAAATCTCATTGTATAGTATTTTTAAAAAATCATTGTATAGTATGATAAAAAAATGTCATAGTATAGTATGATAAAAAATGTCATAGTTTAGTATGATACAAAATGTCATAGTATAGTATGATAATGTCATAGTATAGTATGATAAAAATGTCAGTTCAGTATGATAAAAAAATGTTAGTGTAGTATGATAAAAAATGTCACAGTATAGTATGATAAAAATGTAATAATATTGTATCATAAAAAAAGTAATATTATAGTTAGTTAAAAATGTCACGTAAAGTATGATAAAAATGTAATAATATTGTATCATAAAAAAAGTTGCAGTATAGTTTGTTAAAAAATGTTATTGTAAAGTATGATAAAAATGTCGTACTTTTGTATATGTTAGTACATACTTTATGTACATACTACCTTTGAATGGCACAATGAGTGTCAATATGAAGCACAGCAGGCCTGTCACAGCCAGTCAGTTGAGTCTGAGTTTTGATTTTTTTTTCTTACCTAAAGCAAGAATGGACCACAGAGGCCTTGGCTCGGCCTCTTTTTACCGTCATCCCAGAAGAGAAGATGTTCTTCTTTGACTTACGATCTCACAAACAGCAGTGGTTTAAATAAATCCACAGGAGGTCCGTTCAGGTCCACAAACGGAAGTGAGGACAACGTTGCAAATGCTTTTCAAGACCCACTCTGCTGAAAATCATGTTGTTTCTTGTTGCCTTCATGACCTCAGTCTTAGAGCTTTGGTCCCTTTTATTAGGAGTACTTGAACTACACTTTTCAGCATCTGGTGACCATTGTCCCATCAATAAAGAAGAAGAGTGAAGTCAAACCCACAAAGGAGAACACAGTCTTGAGTTTAAGTCAATGAGGAATTTTAATTTGTGCTACACATTTGAACAAATCACAAAAACAAGAACATTTAAAAATACATATACGTCTCTATTTCCAGAATGTTTAGGTATTGATGACAGCTGTTGTTGTTTTTTACATATAGCAAAATATTTTTCTTTTTTATCCAAAAGGAGAAAAAATTACCTTCTAGAGAGCTTTTTCATTTAGCAGATAGAGCAGCATACAATCATTACGCATCTTTTTTTTTTTTTTTTTGCTTTTTGTGATAATGTGCAACAACAATCACTGAAATATTGCGCAGGTTTGTGCCTGATTGCCAGCCAAAAAAGAGGCGTGAGAAATCGCATTCAAAAGAGCTAAAGGCAGAGTGAGAACGAGTGAAAAGAGAGAGGGGGGGGGGAGAAAGTGCTGGAAAAGATTCGATTAAGGCAGAGACTGACAAGAATTGCCAACAGCATAATGCCTCTTTGGAGACAGCAAAGATGGAGACTGCTCACACAGAGAGAGAGAGAAAGAGGGAGAGAACAAGGTTAAAAGCAAAAGAGTAGAAAAGACACCAAAAGTACCAAAGAGAAGAAGAAGAAGAAGAAAAAGAGAGCAGGTGGATCTGTGGTCGTGTTGGTCCCGCCCTTCCCCTGATAAACCGATACTAACTACTGATGCAGCTGAACTGTCAACCGTTGTAGTGTTGCTGATTGTGTTTTTAAAGAAGCGCCGTGTTAACAATCTAAAACAGGTCGAGCTGTCTGTCTACAGATTAAAATAAAATGACAACAAAGTAGAAATATTTAAGGCTTTAAGGATTATTCTGATAATGCTTTTCTGTGCTAAGACAAACAAAAACACTGTAAGCACAGGCTGCTGCTCCACTTCTCCTTTAGCACTACTAAAAAAAAACAAAAAAAAACAGGAAAACAAAAAGACTAAAATGAAACAATCAGTTTGTCTACATTAGGTCAGCTCCACTTCAACCAACTCTTTGCTTTTTTTGCCTTTTCTTTGCTCAAATCATGCAGATCATCTTCAATTTGAGGAGCTTCACACGGACAAACCGCACTGAGCTGTAGTGAAGCCAGAACTCCAAAGTTTCTCTGGGTTTCTCCGCGTCTCTTCTTCCAAAACATTATCCCTTTCTTGTTGTGTGAAGACGCCTCACATTCAGGTCTGGGCCTCAGTGTGAACATGTTTCTTTTCGAGTAAAGACAGCCTGCTCCTTCTCGCAGTCAGGACTGGCTCGTGAAAAGCACATTCGTTTTCTAAATATCAGCCCAGTCTGGGAAAATATGCAGCCAAGTCCTCTCTTTCCTTTCAGTGAACAAACACAATATATCAGCTCTGATGGTCACAGTTTCCTCTGTTTCTATCGGCCATTTTCAGATCCGTGAACACGCCTTTTCAGTCCAACAGTGACTCTGATCACATGTGCAGGAGAGGTGAGTTCTTTGGCCTGAGAGCAACCCATGATCCGTCCGAGAGAGGAAAACAGACCTGATTTACAAGCCCACATTCACATGGTAAAAGTAGTGCTGAAATGATTTTTATATGCATAATGCTTTCACAAGCTTGAAGTCCTTAATGTGCTGCGTTATCAAAGAGAGAGAGAGATGGATCACATTAAAAAGATTTCAGTAAAGCTGAAAAACCTCCTGAAAGATTTCCTTTAGACATTCAGAGCGGATTTCAACCTTCCCGTGGATTTGGGAGCAGAATTATGTTCCTGACTTTTGGATTCCCTTCTGTCCAGAGAGGCTGCCTGTACAGGGTTTGGCCGTGGCGGCGGCTGCAGTCATATCAAACGAGTATAAAAGGCGAAGCAGTCGGGGGGGACACGAGGCTGTCCGTTGGGTACCTGGTAAGAGACCCCGGGGGTTTCACTTCCGAGGGTCGTGGCTTTGTGATGTCATGGCGACGATGACAGGCTGCTGGGCAGGGGCGGGGACTTGATGCTGGGCAGATTCGGTCCCACCTTCGTCCTCCATCTTTGGCCGCTTGGCCTGCGGCTCGGCTAGCTGCTCAGCGACAGTTTCTGCGTTGGACTGTCGGCTCACCAGCACCGGAGGGGAGCTGGAGGCCTGAGCAGCCAGGATCTGAAGAGGACTACTGAGACCTACGAAGAGGAGAGAGACAAAAGAGGGAATCATGGACGGAAGAAAAACAAGCTAGAGAACACGGAGCGCCACCTACAGACAGGCTGCAACATGGTCATACAGGGACATGGATGAAATCAAACCCTAACAGGGTTTTTCATTTAGCTCTTTTTTCATATTCAGATTACAGTTCAAGTGAAAATGTTTGCTGACATGAAAAAGAACAGAACGCCATGAGTGACCGCTCAGTCCACAAACGCTCCCCCTGGCTGTGTGCCGGATCAGCCGAGAGGAGGCAGAGGGTCTGTGAGTGTGACTCAAAACTTTGGATGGATGCAAAATGATTAATATGATGATTATTACTTCAAGGAAATGATCAAGAAATGATCATAAATGTTCTTCCTTGAGCTGCGGCACCCCGCTGTAGTCTAATGGACTGGCCTGAGGTCTCGCTACAAACAAGCGGCTGCTGGAAGACAGTAGGTGAGTTGTGTTTAGTCTCTTTGCTAAAGAAATTAGTCAGCCAGAGATGCTGACAAACCTACCAGATGCATTAGCAAGGCTGGTTGCTGTGGCAACAACAGTAGTGGTGTGTTTGCCATTCTGGGTAACGGGACGGACAGGAAGTTGATGTAAACCCGGGGCGAAGTTCCTCCCCTCCCCGCCCTGAACCGCACTGTCCACAGTCTGGATCACTCGCTCCCGGTTCAGCTGAGCATCTGGAAGAAACAGAGACGATCACAGATCCACCAAACCTCCTCGGATCTCCTCATCCCGACTATCGGAGCAGAAATAAAGAGGAGCGGGAGGCCCTACCTCTGAGCTCACTGTTGCCCTCTCCCACAGAGGGGGCGCTGTACCCGTTTGGAGGGTTGGATGTATGAGAGGTGCTGGTAACCACCCGGACCATCGTGATGGAGGACTGAGGGGGATTCTGGAGCAGGTGGATGGGCTGGACTTGGCCGCCACCACCTGGAACCAAAGCAAGGGTTTTCCCTGCAGGGTGAGGGGGCGCCGCCATGATGACAGGCTGAGCGCTGACTGGAGATCCTGCACAGAGACAGAGTGTGTGTGAAACCTTCATGTGTGTGTGTGTGAGTGTGTGTGTCTGTTCCAGTGTGCAGGCTCACCTGGGGCGCTCTGAGAGTACCTGTACTCAGGCACAGATGCCAGTTTGTTAGCCAGCTGCTCGTGATGGTCGTGGGGGATCGGAGAGCCCTCCCTGCTCAGACACTCGGGGGTCTGCAGACCACTGGATGGAGGAGACAGGAGGCCCTGGTGGGTCGGGGATGCGGGGGCACTCCTGCAAAAGAAGCAATGAAGGGAAAAGATCCAACCAGGAAAATCAGAAATCATATTGAGAGACTCCTGCGAACATACAGAGCTCCTTCACTGCAGCGCCTGGAGAGACTTACTTTGTTCTATCCAATCAAATGACAGCCAGCAGCAGAAGCAGAGAGATAAGAGAAAAGGTTATCAGAGTCAAACCAGACGCCAAAGAGCATGAGTCGAATCTGAGCGTGCATGAGAGCTGCTGGAATAAACCGCTCTATAAGAACGAACAAACACTCTGATGGTCTGAACCATTTTGATCGTTTTAAATCAGGTTACAGGATTTAGGAGCTCCTGCTTCATCAAGACTTCCTGTTTTAGTCTGAAAGTGACAAAAACTATGAAGACTTGTCAGGTAATTAATCTACTTTGATAAACAGACAGTTAGATCAATACTGACGGCTTTATTCGCAGCCTCACTGAGCTCACGTCTCCATGCTCTTTAAAGGCTGTACAAACGATCCGATTACCTTGAGGAAAGAGGTCCGAATGGTGTCCTGAAGCAGGCCACCCCTCTTTGCCGTCTTTTCCTGAACGCCTGTTCCACCAGCTTGCTCTCAGAGGCGGAGTCCACTCGCCAAAAACTGCCTTTACCCGGCTCATCCTGAGATCGAGCTACTTTCAGGAAGTAGCGGTTGAGTGACAGGTTGTGTCTGATTGAGTTCTGGGGGAGAAAAAAATACAGGGTTACCGGACAGCACCACAGAACCGGAACTTTATGACTCCTGATGAAAAACCGACATTAAAGAGGCCTGAGTGTGACCTGAGGGAGGGGAGAGGTCCTCTGTCATAACGGCTGATTCTGGGGTATAAATAATGATGATTATAGTTAATTATAGTAATAAAATTAATAATAACAATCATAATAAAAACAATAATAGTAATAACAAAAATCATAATAATAACAATGAAAAAAATAAAAAATAATAAAATAACGTAAAAAATTATAATTATTATTGTGATAAAACTATAATGATGGTAATATTAAAAAAAGCAACGATACATTTAATCATGTAATGATAATGAATAAACCAATAATATTACTAATGGTACAGTTACTTGTGATAAAATGTCTACAATAATAGTAATAATAATTATTATCATTATTATCATTTTTCATATGTTTTTTATTAGTATGTAAAATAATAATAATAATATTCAAATCCATGGCAATAATATTGATACTTATTGTTATTGTTTTAATATAATAATAATAATAATAATAATAATAATAATAATAATAATAATAATAATAATAATAATAATAATAATTGTATATGAAGTTTATTATCAAATAATAATAATAATAATTGTTATTATTATTATTATTATTATTATTTGATAATAAACTTCATAGTTTCAGAAAGAGAATATAGCAGGAGAATAAAAACAGATTCAATCGTTTGCATTCACACCTGCAGTTGATCTGGACAACATCAGTGCTTGAGTTCAGTGCTGTGTTCAAAGTTTCCACAGATTTATGAAACTGGAGCAGAGATGTTCCAGTGAAGTCCTAAACTCTGTCCACGGACTTCAGATGACTTCCTGTGAGGCTAAAGACCTCCTACACTTTAGTTTACAGGTGATGAAGCGTACCTGCCAGCCCTTATCTGCAGTGCGATAGTAGGGGTAGTGTTTGGTGATGTGGGCGTAGATGCCACTGAGGGTCAGCTGTTTGTCCGGGGCAGAGGAGATGGCCTGGACGATCAGCTGTGCGTAAGAATACGGCGGTTTGGACTCATCCTGGACAAAAAAACAGAAGGTCAAATTAAAACATGAACACGCTCTGATCCAAACAGAGTAACGCGCCTCTCTGAGAGTCCAAAAACAACCATCCTCTCACCTTGGGGCTGTCCCCTCCAGCTGACTCCCCCCGCGCCTCATTTCCTCCAACCCTATGATCGCTGAGGTTTCGTCTCTGCTCAGAAACGGCCTTGGCTGCATATTCAGCTGCTAACTGGAGGTCAGAGGTCACGTTGCGTCCATAGCGATACCCCGATGACCCTGCACCTCGTGGACTAGCCGGACAGGAGTTAGGAACACTGGAAAGGAAAGGAAAGGAAAGAGACAATGTGAGGGGCTTAAAGACCTCAGCTGGATATTTAAAGTGTCATGAGCAGATACCTCCTGTCTGGAGGTATTTTGAGTCATCTCTGAATGAGGATATTTATCAAAGATCTATTCATCAGTCATGATTGAATCAAACACCGTCCTGTTTTTTATCAATATCAGCATAGACCAAAATGAGTCTGAAAATGTTGGCATGAAGGATATTAGCAAAGATAATCTAAAACTGTGCAGCTCGAGGTTTGATCGATTCACGACAGATCAGCTGTTTCAGACCCTCAGACAAACACAGAGTGGAGTTCATGAGATCTTCCTGTCCTGGTTCATAAACACATGAAGGAGTTTTCACTCCGTGTTTTCACTGAGAAGTTAATGTGTGTTACAGATGTCATGAACGTAATTAACAGCTGTCCCTCTGCTGAAAAAAAGACCAAAACTAGAGAAACAGGAAACGATCGCAAGTCATTAAAGCTCCAGTCAGGAGTTTTAGCAGCTTATCTGACCATCAAGAATAAAACCGACTATGATTTTAAATATCTGTTAGTGCTGCAGGGGGGCGGAGTCGAATTCCAATCGCATGATCTGGGTGTCTTCATCGGCATTCTCCGACTCCAATCAGAGTTCTTAAAATTACGAAATATTCAGAGGCGAATTTTGACGCGCCTGACTACACACATCAAGCCCGATGCAATTTTGTGACTTTCCGGGGGGGAAAGACGCATCCCGGGAAAGACTTTTCCCAGGGAAAGTCCCGCCTCCTTCGCCTCTGATTGGCTAGGAAAGCTGGAAACGTCATCACACGCTCAAGCAAAACGGTCAGCACTTGTAGCCAATCAGAGGCGATAAGATAAGCACATGAAACTATGGTAACAACCGTTAGCTTACGTTAGCACAGATGAAAGTTAAAACAAAGATGTTTATCAAACTGTTAAAGCACACAAACCATCGTCATATGAGAAATCTGACGCTATGACTCCCCACATGTTGTCCTTCAGGTCGTTATCTTTGTAATGTTTGTGTCTTTTATCAAAAATCACTCTGTTCTCCAACAAGTAAACAATCAACCTGTCGGCCATGTTGGATATAGCGGTGAATCAGACGTTTGTGCCAATATCGGATCAATATCGGTATCATATTGGAAGTATTAAAGTTGTATCAGGACACCCCTAATACCACCCCCCACTCTCCTCAGCTGTTCTATCTAATAAAGACAGAAACGCCTGAATAATTTCATTCATTGGTGGTTTTGAACTTTGTAAGAGATTTCAGTTTTATACTATGTGTTTAAGACAAACCTTTAAACAAATATACTTAATCTATAATAATAATAATAGTGATAATAATAATAAGACAGAGGGAGAAACAGTCTTTAGAGAGCTCATCCACAGTGTTACAACACATTTAATCTTTTTAAATACGAAATAACTATAAATATGATCTTAGTGCCAAGATTGAACAAAGCCAAAGTCACAGGTTCAGCAGGGCAAAGACAAGCCCGCCCACACACACACACACACACACACACACACACACACACACACAGAAAAACAATAACAGTTGCGATCCGCGCTCTTCTAAACACATAAAACGCTCATAAAACAGAGAAGAAGGAGCCCAAACACTCAGAGGTGAGTGGATCATTAACCAGCTTTTATCTGTTGGTGTTGGGAGACAAAACCAAGCGAGTTATACAACACACACCTGCTCCTGTTAGTAAAGTAAACACGGCTTTCTGGGAGAGTCGCTGTGCTTTGATTTGCCTTTAGCAACAGAGAGAAACACACACACACACAAGAGCACACAAACACACACATGTACACACACACACACACACACACACACACATTGGGAGGGGGAGAAAATGTTTGTATTTTTTGGCTGAGGAAACGGCAGGAAGCTGCAGGCGGTGTTTTGAGAGCAGCGCTCAGTGAGCTTCGTGTTGACCGATGAATGAAGACGAACGAAAACCCTCTAACACGATTCAGAGACACTTTTAGTTATTAAAACAAAACGCTTTATTTTCAAATTTAAACTTTGTTAAAAAAAGTTTCCTAGAGAGAGTCCTCTGACATGTGTGTGTAAGTGTGTGTGTGTGTACACGGAGCAGCTCCAGTGTGAGTGCTGACAGAGGAATGTTATTGTACACAATTCATTCAAGCCGCCCAACAGGAAAAGTCACTCTGTTGTCGTTTCAAGAGGCAGCACGTGCTTTTACTCAATACTCTCCTATTGTATGTCCTGTATATGTGTGTGTGTGTGTGTGTGTGTGTGTGTGTGGGCTCAACAATCTGCCCGAAAAAGGCCACAGCCTGAAAGTGTTGGAGAGATGTATGAGCAAGGGTCCTTACTCTGTGTGTGTGTGAGTGTGTGTGTATGTGTGTGTCCACGTGCTCGAGAACAGGAGCTGAGGGCTGTAAGGGGGGGGGGGGGGGGCTCTGAAAAAAGGAAACCAGGAATGGACGGAAAAACGGCCTACAGGCAAAACAATCTGCCCCACAGCCAATCAGGGGCCTCGAAGCTGCAGCCATTCCATATAAGGCAGGCACACACAGACTTAGATTGGTGGGGATGCAGGATGTTTCACCCACAGACCACCAGCAGAGGGCGCACCCTGCAGAGCCACCACTCACTTGATGCTCAGTGTGGTCTGTCAAAGAAACAACGCTGTGAGCTGTGAGCTTTACAAGTGTTCGGTTTAGAGGAGTCGACATGCTCCTCCATCACTCAGACCACTTCATAAACAAAGTCTGGATTAATTATAAAAAAAAACATGGACTGACATGGAAGTGTTTCATTTAATACAAGATTATTTTTAACTGTGTAAATATTTATAAATGTTGAATGTCCCTTTTAAATATATGAGCTGCTAAATATCATTTCATTAATTCATCAGTCATGTGATCGGATAATTTGATTAACAGATTAACTAAACCTCAGATTACAGAAGCATCATAGTTTGGGAAATAAATTATACACACGCATGTTGACATGTCCTTTCACACACGATCAGGCCCTAAATCTAAAGAGTTGATGTTTTATTTTTCAGTTCTTATTTATCTTTTACAAACACACGATTGTGTCTGAAAAATTAAAAACAGCTGGTTCGTGGATAAACATGTAAATAAACACGTCACAGAGCATGAGTGGAAATCTGAGCGTGGACGTTCACAACCATCTTTTTTTACCTTATGGTGCCAGTGGGCGAAGGCAGCGGAGAGCCGAACGCCCGGATGTGCTCTTCATGCTGCTGCATTGTGGGAATGCTGATTTTGAGGGGGGAGATGTGGGGCAGCAGCGGGCGAGGGGGGAGCGCGGGCTGCTCCCTCTCTCTGTGCTCCTCCTGCTCCAGGAGAGACAAAAACTGGATCTTGATCACCGTGCTGGGAAAACGAAACACACACCTAGAGAGGAGGAGAAGAGAGGAGGAGATCAGAAACAGGAGATGAGACGACTTCTCTCCTTCATCCAGAAATATGATTTTTAGGTGATAATTCAGGGTTTTCACTGACATGTATAAGGTACGAATAAGACTGTCCTCTTACATTTAAAGATGTCATACCTGAGGACTAAAATCCTACTAATGTCACCACTCAGTATCTACAGTATCATAACAACTCCATTTACAAGGAGAGACCATGTGACACAACTGGAGTCACATGGTCCTGTTATAGAAATGTTTTATACAGCGCCGTTTCAAAGGTTTCATCAGCGCTTCAATACTCCGACCCGCAGATGTCCTCCACTGATCCGTGTTAGTGAGTATTCACGATAATTCACACCAAACAAATCTATAAATACATATATACGAACAAAATGAACAGAATCTGATCAGAAATATATTCAAATAAATTAAATGTCAGACAAAGTTCAGCATCCTCTGTCAATGTAATTACATTTATTTATAAAAAAAGAGCTCTCTGAGAATTAAAGGTACAATTAAAAAAAACATGGATGCAAAATGAGCAGAAGAAGCTGTAACCTTCAGGAGACAGTGGAGATGACCCGAGGTAAAGACGTTCGGTTTGTAGTTTTATGTTTAACAAAGGTGAGCGCTTTTCAGTCAGGAAGGATTTCCTGTAGTCAGGAAACAGGTCACCAGGGCGACCAAATCCGAACACTTTTTTTCTCGGACTAGCCTGAAGAACTTCATTTTCCTCCCAGGATGTTTTCATGATATTGAACAATATCTACACCTCTCATAGACAGATGCTGCTGGAGGATAAACTTCTCTCCTGGTCACCTGCGTCTCTCGTCCTGAACAACATTTGGAGTGTGAAAGTGATGAATGTTAAACCGTTTCAATGCTGTCTGACCAAATGTGATGACTTTGCAGCACAACCACATCCCTCCTTCTGTCTCTGACCTCTCTCTGCAGACAAACGAATAAAAATACAGACAATATCTGCGTGTTTATTTGTGTCCATCGACTGAAGAGTTTGGTCTCTACCGAGAGCAGCTCATCCTCAACAAGCAGAGCAGAGAGAGGAGAGGCCTGAAAAAAGGCTCCAGGCCTCAACCGCCCAGAGCGGAGACTGTGCATACAACAACTTTTGTTTATATCCCTCACCAGTCCCAGCTGTATGCCCGAGCAGGAAAAAGAAAGCAACTGTTCAAAGAGCTCACATGACTCTTTCAATCGTGTTTTCTCGCAGGCATGTGAGAGACTCGGAGACACAGCAGAGGAAGGTCGGAGGGTTTAATGATTGGGGCTGAAATTAAGCTTCTTTTCCATAATTATACTCAGAACTGCACATTCTCGGAAAAACATCATACCCAATATTATATCATGAGTAATTCACTGCTGCAGAAGATGATTAGAAGTAAAATGAAAAAACGGAGCCGTGATGAGATTCTGCAGCACTTCACAGACAAACAATGAAGAAGAGCGAAGAAACCTGCTCTCAGAAACGCTTCATTTTAAGTGTGCGAGCGCGAACACCAATGCAGTTCGTTGCAGTTACTCCTGTCCTTGAGTCCGCTTTTTAACTTGTTTTAGGCTTTAATCCTTTCTTTCTACTTTATATGCATACTATTTTACTATTTTGTGTTGTTTATAGTGTACATACTTGCATACTATCTCTTTATTTTTACTTATTTTATCTATTTATCTCTTTATTTTTACTTATTTTATCGATTTATCTCTTTATTTTTACTTATCATATCTATTATTTATCACCTCTTTCTACTTTATTTGCACTGGAGTTACTGTAACGAAAGGAATTTCCCCCTGGAGATTATTAAAGTATTTCTGATTTTCATTGTTTTTCAGCTCGTCTATAGATTATGAAAATTCTCTCTGTATTGGGTTTTCTCTTCATACCTGCACTTTTCATCAATTGCCTCTTAAATGCACCCAAAGCTCAAGAATAACAGTGTGGTTTGAAAAATTCAACTATCTGGAAAAAAAAAGATCCAAATTATTTACAAGCTCTGGTCCAGACGACGGTCTTCTCCTCTGTAATTTACGGCAGGACTCAGAAATCGCCGTGTAATCATCGGTGTCTCTGTGAAACTTGACTGAGCTTGTGAGCGTCTTTACGGGAAACTGGGAATAATTGGCCCTCTGCAGATGAATCAACATGATTCATGCTAAACCTAGAGAGTTGTAATTTCAGTGTACGAAACCTCTTCGTGCTGTGCTGCAGTATTTTACCTTCATCTAAGAAATCTTCACTCTTTACTCCTTTTTAAAGAGTCAAATGTCGTATTCAGTTTTCCATGAATGTGTTCTGTAACAGGATTAAATGTAAAAATGTGTCATAATTACTAAAAACCTCCTCCACATTACAGGAGGTCCAGTTCATTCAAGTGTTTATGGTCTCAGAGTGAAAACAACAACACAGGCGTAAAAGGGAGTGTTGAACATGGCCTTGGTTTGTAAGTCTTGTGTTTACTCCATGTGTTCCTACAATGAGGATGTCATTTCACACTGCACTTCCTCTTCAATGTCTGACACGCCCACAAACAGTTTTGACAGCCAATCAGAGAGGAGAAGAGCGCAAACCCCCCTCACCCCCCTGTAACCTCCTCCTTCCGCTCCACCCTGTGATTGACAAACAGAGCAGAAACTTTAGAGACGTTTCCCAAACTAAAAGCTTTTAACCTTTCAGTAACAGTTCGAAAATACATCAACATTTCACGCCATGGTGTTCCTATTGAGAAAAAAAAAGCGTTGCAATGCAAAACAAACACACCTATTCAAACAGAAGCTGTGGGCTGAGCTGTCAGGGGTGCGTTTGTTTACTCGACTGTTAGTGTGACAGAAACATGTCGGCCTACAACTGGAGAGTCAAAAATGTTCACACGTGACTTTTACCTGGAGACATGCATGTAAAAATGTCAGGATTCAGACATGTGAGGAGACTAATCTTTACATGAACACTTTGACTTTTGGGGGTGAAATGAAGAAAATCGTCCAGACAGGCTTACAAGGTCAATAATTCACTGAGTAGGGCTCAGGTTTTCCTGGATAAATAAAAAAGGGGTTATTAATTACAGCTCTACTACAGCTACTGTAGGAGAGGTTATTTTTTTAACCTTAAAGTGGAATACAAAAGAAAATAATCCAAACACCTGGTTTAGGGGTGTTCTGACACACTTTGTGACCCACGAATGAGTTGCTGGTTTTGCAAATTTGGAGCATGGGTTCCTGTAAGTCCACACAGATAAAATAATTATATATTTTCAGTACATTTTGATGTCTATTTAGAGCTTCAATCTCCAAACTACTTATTCAGTGAAACACAAACAGATCAAATCAAACTGGTCTGATCAGGAATGCTCTCAGTCTGAACCAACCACCTGTTTAATAGTGTAAATGTAAAGGTCCAGGATACACTTGGAGAGCAGGTTTATCTTATATTCTACTATAGAAACACTCGGTCAGTCTGAACATTTGTGGTTTCAAACTTTGAATCAGAGGTGGGGGTGATTTCGATAAGGTAACAAACTGTGTCAGAACACCAGCGCTGTCTCTCCCAGCAGGTTAATAATGGATCTACAGAGCAGCTTCTGGTTCGGCCCTCCCCACACCGCCGGTACCGGGACTAGAAACCTGTTGGTAGCAGCGATGCTAACGACATGCTCACTCACTCTCGGGGCAGCGGCAGCGGCGGCGCCCCTCTCCGCTGGAACACCCCGTCAACGAACACGCCATTCTTGCCCAAGCACCGCAGGGAGAAGCCGCCCGCCTCGTCGTAGGTGATCTGCAGGTGTCGCCGTGAAATGAAGCTCGAGTGACCCATGTTGATGTCCACGGAGCCGTGAGAGGAGTTCCGGCCGATGGTGACCGTCCTCTGGCGCATGAAAAACTCAAAGTCCCGGCCCTCGAGTCTGGCCAGGGCCTGCGGAAGAGGACAAGCGAGGCGCACGGGAAAAGCCCCGGCGTCGGTGTGGGCTTCGACCATCGGAGCACCGAAGAAGGAGAGCGGAGGCTGGTGGAAAGGGTGCGAAGTCACCGCAACACGCACGGGACTGCACGGCGCCGACTGTAGAGCAAGCAGGGCTCGAGCTCCGGTGTCTTCCCGGTAGTCTGCCATCTTCTTTCGGATGTTCAACACACACTCACACAGAAACACACTTTACTTCTCGCACACACAGAGTTGCAACGTGAGAGTTTTCGGTCAGGGCACTTGTTCCCTCCGTGGCTGGCGGAACAACATGGAGTCCGGGTCGGAGCAAAAACTGGACCGGAGTCTCTCCAGGAACAGGAATGGTGCTACGTTCAGGACCGCCTCGTACAACTCCCAGACCAAAGTTACCACATAGGGCTCTATTTTCGTGCCCGCCGGCGGCGCGGCAGAAGGTGGCGGACCCTGTGCAGTGGTATTTTCGTCTGACGGAGCCCGGCGTACAGCCAGTTTAGTATTTTCGTAGACTGAGGTGCACCGAGGTCCGCCAAGTTGGGCGTGGTGGTGCAGCAGGTGGAGAATCAGCTGGCGCAGTGACATTTTCGTGCTCGTCGGCAGCGTAGAAAGTGCACTGAAAGCTCGCCGATTCAAACCTGGTCAGCTTACAGCGCAGGCGGAGCACAGCTGGTCTAGTGGTATTTTGGTAGTCCGACGACATAGCGCACATACGTCACCAATGCCTCACCGGCAGGTTTCCACAGTGTCAGGCACCCTCTACAGCAAAGAGACTAAACACAACTCACCTACTCTCTTCCAGCAGCCGCTTGTGTGTAGCGAGACCTCAGGTCAGTCCATTACGGACTACAGCGGGGTGCCGCAGCTCAAGGAAGAACATTTATGATCATTTCTTCATGGAAATACAATCAGACTGAGACGCTAAGACAGAAGAACTACCACGTCCGCAGTGCTAAATGATTAATATGGTGATTATTACTTCAAGGAAATGATTCAGTAATGATCATAAATGTTCTTCCTTGAGCTGCGGCACCCCGCTGTAGTCCGTAATGGACTGGCCTGAGGTCTCGCTACAAACAAGCGGCTGCTGGAAGAGAGTAGGTGAGTTGTGTTTAGTCTCTTTGCTAAAGAAATTAGTCAAAGTTAAAAAGATGTTTGGTGTCTAGTACTATGGCTGGGACCCTATATGTCCTGTTGATGAAGTTAGGTGCTGGTCTGAGCATTATTTGTGGCAACATTCATCTCTGGAGGGGGTGTCTAACTCAGTGTTACAGTGTGTTTGACCCTAAATTAATTTTACGCCAGAATATCCCTTCAAATAGTTGTAGTCAACATTATCACCACCCTGCTAAGTTGTCCTTGAACGCCACATCTGAGCCCCTCAGCGGATTGGCTGCAGTTTCTGTCGTCACACCAGGAAACTGCAGCAGAAGTATCTCGAGATTTGTGGGTCGGTGCAGTCAGTCAGTCAGTGTGATTCAGAGCTGCTCTGGGTTTGACACCCTTTCACTTTCATGTCTTTCTAGGAGAAGTTGTAATCACACTTCTGTGAAACAGACTGAGAGGGGAAGATTTAATTATATATGAAGCATAAATAACAGAGTCTCCACAGAGGCTGTAGTTCAGTGTGTTAACTCTAAAGTGAAACTTAGTTGTTGGATTAAGATTAACGATGATAATGATTTAAACTTTTAAATCTAATCTGATCTCACAGATTGAAGTCATTGTCAGGTTAGATCCTGCACAGTTCTCCTCACTCCCAGCCCCCCAAGAACATGTGGTGTCCGGAGTGGAGCTGGTTTGCCCACCTCAATTTTTTTTCTGTCTTTTCTTTTTTTTTTTTTTTTTTTTTTTTAATCTCTAGCCTCTGTTTATAAACATGGAAAGAACAAGATGGATGGAAAACACGGAAACTGGATAAGTGAAGGAGCAGGATCAGAGACAAACTGAAAACCGATCATCCACACGAGGGCGCTGTTGTGATTTTAGTCTGAGGATGAATCAGAATCAGTCCTCTCAAAGGTCTCTGGTTCAACTCCAGCTCTCACCCTCTTCTCCCTGTATCCTATTTTTCATGTTAATTCAGTCAGACAATCAGAGCAATTATTATTCTTGTGAAGCAGAAGTGTGTCCTGTTTAAAAAGAAAAAAAGTCCAGCCTAATGTTTAAGGATATTGATAACTAAGGATATCAGAGCTCCTCGACTTTGTCAGAGGAGATAAGGCGAGCAGAGAGTCACTTCTTTAAGTCAAATTTAAAAACTCACTTTTACAGACTTACTTTTATGTGTTTCCTTCTTTTCTCTTTTTTCTTTTATCTCTTTTACCTCTATCTTATTTCAAATTACTGTCTTTTTAGCCTTCATTTTACTTATAATTTTCCTATTAAACGTTTAGGCCTTTTTTTTTATTTCATTGTTTTTTTTCCATCTCATTTTCGTTATTACCATCATTATTATTTTATTATGATTTTATCTTTATTATTAATATCATCTTTTTATATATACTGTCCTGTTTCCTGCTTTCTACCCTGCTTTTTTATTTAATTTCTTCTTCTTACCTATTTAATCTTTTTATTTTGGTCCTAATGGTCTCATATATGTTGTAGGGTTCTTTTATTGTCTGGGTTTCTTATGACAAATCAAAATTGGCTTTCTGTTTTTAACTGAGCTTTTGCTTTTTTATTTGTTTTTATTTCCATGTGTTGATGTTCTGTGCTTTACGACTGTTTGCCAAAGCAGTTTGTAAACTCCTGTTTTTAAACGTGCTTTAAAAATAAAGTTATTCTTACATATTTCTAAGCATATACATTTTTCTATCAAGCTGCTTTCACACTTTAGCCTGTCAAGCACCCCTTAACAACCCGCAAAGAGGACAAACAGCACACATGAAAAAAAGTTTTATTTTTAAAATAAGTTTGATAAAGCATCATTTTGTTAGGATCAACAATAATAAGAGGTTTTGCAGCAAATAAGAGGAGTAACTGATACAAACAAACACACTTTACTATGATAGAAACAGGTGATGGAGAAAGTTCTTCGACTTAGAAAAGAATGAAGAGTGTTGAGAGAGAGCCCAGGGGAATCAGTGACTTGTTTCCTATCTGATGTTTGAAGCAACATTTTCAGTCATTGGGTGTTGGCACATTGTAGCATTTATCTGCTTTGCAATAAAAGTCGTCCCTGAATACATTAAAGTAAGTCAGAGGAGTCGGACGTACCACACATAGAAGCATAAAGTAGTAGCAGAAACAGAAATACCAAAACAAAGTAAACGTTCCTTCAAATCACACACAATAAAGGGAACGTGTGTATTCACAATGTGTCTGTAAACAACATGATATGATACCATTTTTGACTTGTGGTATTTCTAGCCTGCAGCCTCGGGCCGTGGGACCAGCTTGAGTTGGATGGGTCGTTTTGGGGCCAGCAGGCCTAGGACGTCCATCTCGATGGGGATCTGTCAGGAAAGGACGGGTTTAAAGGAAACTAATAATCAGAAAACTCCACCTCTTTTTTATACAAATCACTGGCAGTACCAACAAAGGGCAGAGACGTTATGCAACAGGCTGATAGCTTATCATAGTGTTGACATTATATAACTCCAATACCACAATCTAGTTGGCAATGAATAATATTTGCATCAGATAATTGTCCATAAAAATCAATATCAGGAGGATTTCTGTGGCTCACCTCAGTCTCTTTGCACACTGAGAAGCTGTACCTCTGGAGGATCTCCACCACTGCCAGCTTCATCATCACCAGAGCAAATCTCATCCCAATACAGTTCCTTGGCCCGATCCCAAAAGGCATGTACGTGTACGGATCGATGGTGTCCTTGTTTTCCTTGCTGAACCTGCGGATGCACACGATCAATTATTACGAACAGAATCAAAACACGAGTATGCAGAACTCCGGTTCTTTCTCTTCATACCTTTCAGGCTTAAATGCTTCCGGTTCGGGCCAGATCTCAGGGTCCCGGTGCAGGGGCCATGTGGGCACCATCACAGCCATATCTTTTGGAATCACAAGACCGTTTATCTCCATAGATGCCTTAGCAACACGCTCCAGACGAGCAGCAATGGGGTACAACCGCAGTGACTCATTAATGGTACTGTCTAGGTACTCCATCTGCATCAGAGCCTGGTACTCCACAGGTGCCTGTACAAACACAAACACACACACGCATATATATATGACAACACAACCTTCCTCATATATAGTAAAGGAGCAACTTTCTGCTGATGGGCTACTATCTATTTTTAGTTTAGTCTTTATACTAAACTAAACTGATCTCCTCCTGGTGTGTCTTTAAAATGGTGAACTATTCCTTTAGTGATCATTTAGTCTTGACAACAACCTGTAACCTAATAATGAACTAAATCTGAGACTTTTCAGGTTTTTAAAAAAAATGTAATCCTGTGGAACAAAAAATAATTAAATGATATTTAAATAATATTTTTACTTTACCTGATCAGCTCACCTGCACAAATCTCATCTGTGAGTATCTTATTCACAGAACTCAAGTTTAATAATTTCATCTTCGGCCTGGAAGACTCCTGATGTTTGTCAATGTCAACTTTATGATGTGATTTTACAACTTAACAGGATATTGCTAACTTGTTTTGCAGTCACATGACCTGTTCAGAGGGCCCAGTTTTCAGGGTAAACTGTGATTTATCGATCAATAATTAACCTGACCTGACCTGAATTTCTCTTCCTGGAGTTACTATAAAGCTATTAAAGCTATTTCTTACACCATCCTTGCCTCGCTAACAGCGTACCTTGTTTGGGAAGGTGGAGTCAATCTCCTGCTGCAGCTTCGTCATAACGTGAGGGTTTGTTGCCAGATTGTACGCCAGGAAAGACAGAGAGCTGCTGCTGGTTTCATAGCCAGCAAAGAGGAAAATCATGGCTTGAGAGAGGATCTCGTGGTCACTTAAACCTAAAGGAGATAGTCAGGACATGATACACTGTCGTATTCACATGTGTTCCTCATGTGTGTGTGTAAATCTCCATATCTACCTTTCTCATGTACTGCTCCACTGGGGTCATTCTCCTTCTGAGAGTCGATCATCAGCTGCAGGAAATCCACTCGAGTCTGAAAGCAAACATCGATGAGGGTTTCTGTTTTCTGATTCTGCTGATACGCTTGGTTTGTGCAGAAACACATACAGGACAAAGTCTACCTTCTGCTGAGAGGCCTCTCGATTTGACTTGATCTTCTGCAGGGCGGCGTAAAAGAAGTCTGTCACAGATTTGGGGAAAAAAGAAAACTCCAGCTTCTGGAACACTGGACCCATAAAGGGGAAGAAAGCTGAAAAAAAACAACAAAACAAAAACAAAGTTAGTTTAATGTTCACCTGCAGGTAAATCAAAGAAGCGCACTTGAACAGTTTCTTTACTAAAGACAGTGAGTCCTGTACCAACTATGAGGAAGAGAGGGCTGAGCAGGTCAAATTTGAGCATCTTCTTAATGTTGGTGACAAATGGATCTGAGGGATTGTTGAGAGAGTCAATGTCCACGCTGAAGGCTGTGCTGGTGACTACATCCATACTGTAGGGTCCAAAGAACCTGAAAATGGCACAAATACACTGATGATACGACTGTTATACACTTTGGATATGGAGTGTGCCGTTCCAGGAGAGGTTCTTACTCCTTCAGATCTAGAGGCTCATCCTTGTCCGCTTTCTTCTTCATGCCGTTGATTAAGGTGGCAGAGTGACGCTTCATGATGCCGAACATCTGAGGCACAGACAGACAGACAGACAGACAGACAGACAGACAGACAGACAGACAGACACAGAATTAAACAGAAGAAATAGTAAACCTGCATTTTAATAAAAATTTGAGAATTAAAAACACACAAAGATCCCATATTTGATCGGAAGGAGTGCCAAGATGACCAGTCAAATGCTGTATCTTAAAAAAGTGATTGTTTTATGAAAAATAAAAGCTGGTTTTAAACCACATACCAGCAACATGACATGAAACAGTTGATGGAGACAACAAAACAATGACAGAGTTTATCTATATAGTTTCTTCAGCTCATTCAGGGTCTGGTCTAAAACTACACGTCCTTTCCCGAACAGAATCTTCCAGCCTGGGTGGGATATGTCACCCAACCTCTAAAGGGAGGCATGTTTATCAAACGCCTGAACCACCTTGGCTGACTCCCTCTGATAAGAAAGAGCAACATCTCCCTTCTAACAACATCAGTGTATTAAAGAGACACCACTCTGAGTGTGGAAAGATAGTATGGGCTTAAATCACATTGTCTACAAATACAGGTTAAAGATGTATAATGCAAAGATGGAGCGATATATAAACACAACCCTGGAGATCCAGCATCTGCTGTGATACAGGAACACAGAGGAGCTGAGAGAGCTCCATTAAAACTGAATGATCTACATCTGCTGCCATCCAGACGTTGAGTTTTTCAGGGACCTCACCTGATGCATCAAACTACATTAGACCTGGATCACAACAGCAAGGCTCCAACCTGCAGTACTGCTTTTGTCAACCATTGGTAAACATTTAGTAAATCATGACCCAAGAAAACTTGAGTCTGTTTTGTTAGCTGGTGTAACGATTCTTTTCTGCAACTCAACATGTCAAAAACGAAAGACATGATTCTTGATTTCCGTAAGAATCGACCTGCCACAGCCCAAACCTTCATCATGGTAAAGCTGTAGAGTCAGTACAAATACCTCGGTACCATCCTGGATGACAAAGTGTCCTTTAAGACCAACTCAAAGACAAATCAGAGGTTATTTTATCTGAGGAAATTGAGGTGTTTTTACGTTGACAAAAAGCTTCTTAAAATGTTTCACTCTTCTTTTATTGAGTCCATTTTATTCTTTTCTATGATATGTTGGTTTGGTAATCTCAGCATCGCAAATAAAAATAAGATGAGGAACATTGTGAGGGCAAAGGTCATTCTGGCAAACCCCCTCCATCCTCTCCGTACAGAATTTCAGCAAAACCAAATCAAACAGTTATCTCCAATCCTTCGTTCCAAAGGACATTGTTTTTTTAAATAAGCTGTAGGTGAGATTGATGGGAACAATGCACCCATGAAATTGTGCTGACTTCATATATTCACATGTACTTATTTATATTATTTCTGCTGTATCAAATCAAATCAAGAAAATACGACAGAGAGGATCCAAAACTGTGTGAGAGTCTCCACATATTTGAAGAAGTCATGCACACTGACATAACAGGAAACAGATGAACATGTTTGGAAATAAAGAGCAGAGAAGTTAGGCAGCAGGAGAGGACTGTACCTCCTTCAGTCTCCCTGAGGTGAAGGACGGAGAAAGGACGCTGCGAATCCTCTTCCACTGATCATCCTCGGCGATGGACACGGCGTCGTACAGCGGCCCGTTCAGATAGAAGTTCTACAGCAAAGTCATGAAGAGGGAGTTCAGAGAAGATGTGGAAAGTGTACTGAGAGAGTGAGTGAGTGAACGGGGTTAGTGGTGAGACTGCTTACTCTGCGGTTGGTGAAGAGAGAGTAACACTCCTTTACCAGAACCGTTTTAACCATGGCAGGATCGGTGATACACAGAACAGGCTGACGGCCGTCGAAAATGCTAAACAGGAAACGAAGGAAAACCAATTAAAGCAGCGATGATTTTTATACAATTATACAGGAAAGCAGATGATACTAACACACACACACACACACACACACACATAAACACACACTCACTCATTCACACAGACCTACCCCCAGATTTTTCCATATTTCTTGAAGCACTCTTCATCAAAGTTGGTGAACCCCTGTGTACAAGAATATTAACTTGGATGTTACTGGTACTTCATGCATGTTAACATCATTACTATTGATCATGATTTTTAGTTTTCATGTATCATAAAAAAACCATAAATATGAATTCTAGTCTAAACCATATTCAGTCTATAAACTCCCCCCTACTGTCCTGTCTGATATACTCTCTGATGTTTTTGGGCACTGTAGGCGAGGATGTTTCTGAAGAACAGATTTTGGACAAATGGAACAAAAATGACTGAAATATCTCTAAACCCTCTTGAAATGTTCACATTCTCACTATGATTGTTCTTTCTCTGTGTAACAATATATATTTGTATGTATATTTTTCCATCTGTGCCTTTCTTTCCTAGTTCTTTTCCTTTTTTTCCCTCTTTTAAGTATTTTGAAAAACTGAATGTATTCATATAAAAAAAAAAACTTCCCCCGGGTGTTTTAGTCTCTATATATTTAATTTAACGATGTGATAACACAGATAAAACACAACACAGAACAAGCTGCCATTTGTCATGAGGTGAATTAATCACTTTAGATAAATGTTCATTTTTAAAAGCTCTTTAGTCGTCCTTTACATTTTGCCATATTAACTAATGAGCATTTTGACGTAGTTCAGACATCCAAAGGCTTTAAAAAAACAGTTTTTTTTAAATATTTCTACAAGACAACTTGATACCAAACAGTCCAGACTAAATTGATTGTATTAGTGTTCATCTAGAGTGTCATGTCTCATTGAAACCAACCTTTCTGTAATTCAGTATAGTGCCGAAAAGAGGGATGGGTTTTGGACCAGGAATGCCCATTTTCTTAAAAACACCATACGGCCACATGATATACCTGTGTGGAAAAAAAACAGCACAGGTATAAATGAAACCATCTTCATAATCACACCTACAGAGCTGAAAGACACTTTTCTAACACTCACACATAAAGAAGAGTAACGAAGGCCACCAGGAGGGTCCATGTCTCCGCGGAGAAGTAGAGCAGGTAACCCATGTCTGCACCTGTCCTTCCTGGTCTGCTGTGGTTCAGGTTCCTCTGGGGTCCACATCAGGACTCCAGGAGGGTTTTTATGTGGCTCTCAGACCTGCTGGAAGTGTGTCGGAGGTGAACCAATAGGAGCCGGTGATCTCAGGTAAATCATCAACAGAAAAGACCGAGAGGCGTCAAACACTATTCTGTTTATTAGTTTAGTCATCTGTGATTCAGCGTTTTTTCAACGTCTGAATTATTTTATTGGCCGTGTTACGAAAGAAAAATAAAACAAAAGTCATGGGAGGGGTTTCAGTCTCTATGTTAGGGTTTTAATATATATATCTATGTTTATTTTTGATATTTCTTTTTAGTATTTATCTTTCTATTTTATTCTTATACATACGTTTTGTTTTACTGTCCTGTAGAATTCTTGTCTTGTATATATTGTACCTTCTTTCTTACAACTATTTGTACTTTTATTCCCTTATTTTTATTTGTCTATTGCACTAAAAAAGGAGAAGCTCTTCAATCTCGTTGTACTTTTAGTATGATGACAATAAAGAACTTTCTGATTCTGATTTAATCATCATAATTTGTTTTAATCTTTTAATCTGCATTATGTGATTTTACCCTATTTTAGTCCTAGAATAATTACTTTGTGTTTTATTACCTTTTTTAAAATTTTATTTCTGTTATTGTTTGATTTTAAGACTGCTTTATTTAATTAACTTTTAATGCTTCATCACCTTTATTAAATTTTGTATTATGGTTTTATTGTTTTAGTCCTAGATCCGGTGTTTCCTCATCTTTTTTAACTCAAGATAATGTTTCCTCAGTTATCTGTGGCAAGTTGAAGAGTCAGTGCTGTTGTTGTTCCTCCAGGACGAGGTGAGAGGCCACTGTCGGTGGTTATGTAACGTGGAGAGGACAGGCCACGCCCCCTTTGACAAGACGCTGCAGAGACTCTTGCGGAAGACTTCTCACACCGAGCCGAGGAAGAGGAGAGATGATGGGGTCGATGTTGGGTCTGTCCCTGGAAACATGGATTCTTCTGATCACATGTCTCTGCCTGTTTGTCATGTAAGGAGAAGAGAAGATTTCTGTTTGTTTAAAACGAAACTAGGAGCCTCAGAGTTTAGTTTCCTTTTCTGACAGAGTCATTTGACTTTCTGCTCCACTCCTCCTCACAGGTATGGTAACTCCACCTTTGGAGTATTTGAGAGGCTGGGGGTCCCTGGGGTAAAACCTTTTATGTATTTTGGGACAGTTGGGAGACACAACAAAGTATGTGAACTTTAACATGAAAACATTGACTTTGTTTTTGTCTTTTAAAATCCCACTGAGACGTTTATTTCTATTTTATTTTTGTTTTAAGGTTTACTACATCGATGATGAGTTGAGTTCAAAGAAGTTCGGGAGGGTATGGGGGTGAGTTTACACTTTTTTTCTTCTTCTTGTAGGGCTGGGCGACAGGAAAAAGTTTATCACAAATTGTTTTTTCATATCAGTCGATATCGATAAATATCACGATATAAAAAATTTGATTTAACAGTGTTTATTGGTCGCATGTCTTTTGCAATTCATGTTCACACCGCAGGTCAATTCTTATTTTTTAACCACATGTGACACATATCTGATTTTTTCATGTAAGTGTGAACAGGTCAATTCAGATTTGTTCTAATCCAACCCAGGCCTGTTTTGTATGTGGATATAAATCGGATATGTATCCGATGTGACTGCAGTGTGGACGCTCAGGTTGCGTTCATCCGACCTATACGTCATCAATATGCGACAAACGTCACCATTGTTCGACAACATAAACAGGCGAGAAAAGCAATTTGGGCTTTGTGCGCGTGCGGGTCACTTCATGGACGCATTCTGTTCACATTAGATGCCGCATTTGTTGTTGTAATGTGAACGACCGCATAAAAAGATCGGATTTAACAAAAAATCTGAATTGTGCATCATAACATGCAGTGTGAACGTAGTCCGAGTTACTGCATCTGTGAGGTCTTCGTGTCTCGTCGACGTTTTTGTCATTCTTTCTCATTTCGTTAGAGAAAGCAGACTGGAGCTGCCAGTCCGACAGTGCTGTTAGCTTCACCTGTTAAAGTGCTATGGTTGGATGTAGCTGCTGTCTGCTACTACGCAGTTGTTGCTACTTGGTTCTAATTCAGCATATGATTGGTTCAGCGTGAAGTGGACCCGGAACATCTACCCTTTTCATTGGCTATTCATATAGTTTACCAAAACATGACAGAATGCCGACTATCTCGAAGCACATCGACCATGTTTCATATTGATACTGAGGGAATTTAATTTTCGATATATATCGTAATCGTTTTATCGCCCAGCCCTAATAAGAAGTACCTCAATGGGATGGGAAAGCCGAGCGTCATCACAGCGACTCTCCTGCCGAATGCGCACAAAAATCGCGGAAATACTGAGAGCTTTTTGGCTTCAAATCCGTATTCAGGCAGGAACCAAGTTGTCCATAGTATATACAGTCTATGGTTACGACAGAAACAAGGAGGCTTGTATGATTTATTACCATCATCAGGTGTTGATGACGGTCGTGTCGATTTAAACAGCTGAGTTTTAAAATGCATCTTCATGTTTGTGCAAATGTCCAGTATGTACGAGTTCAGAAAGCCCATGTTGGCTGTGATGGACCCTGACATGTTGAAGACCATCCTGGTGAAGGAGTGCTTCACCTACTTCACCAACAGACGGGTGAGAAACACCGAGAACACAGAGGACTGGGTAACAAGAGAGACTGCAGAGAGATTCATGTAAAACCACCACAGTGTACCCCGTATATCAGCATAACCAGTTAAACAGGAACTGAAATCAGATCCAATAGAATCAGGCGGGCTGGTCCACAGACGTGAGCCTCACCGTTTTTAAAGTAGGAGGTACAATCAGGCTGTGATGTTGACTGAAACTAAAAGACCAAAAAAAAACCCTCATAAGTTTATGATTTTAAAGAAATCAAATCAGAAATCAAACTTGATTTCCACAGGTTCACAAGTTTAAAAACAACAAAGTTTAATAAAATGTCCAACTTCTATTATTTCTATGACTCCAATTAACCCTCAAATACTGTTCAAATCCTGAACCCTCACAGTATGTTCCAGGTCAAAATTGCCCCTTCAGAGAGTTCAAAGAGCAGCTTTCTGTCACAGAAAGTTCTCTTGACTAGTTAGGTCATTTTGACCTCTGTCTAGGTGTGTCTGTGGGACTGTATGTCTGTGTGTGTGTGTGTGTGTTTCTGTCAAGGTAATGATAGTTTCATAATGATTTAAATATATCTTTTTGAACAACAAACCTTACATTGAACACGGTTATTACTGCTTGTCACTTGTCCCACTCTGCTAGATCTAAAATCAATCTAAATATAGATACGGGTCAAATTTGACCTGTAACAGCCTTAGAGGGGAAAAATTTGTAGCACATAAACAAAAATACACATGAATATCTTTAAATTTTGCATGACGTAAATTTATCAATCAACCAAAAGCTGGTTTCAGATTTGATCTGATAAATGAACGAGTGAATTAACATCAACAGGGCAGGTGTGTAATTGAATTTTTGCTCTTCAAGTCGTGCAGAAAAGCCCGAATCCTGCTTATAAGTGCAAACATCTTATTATTATAAAACCTGAGAGTGAAGACTTATTATTTTATTCTATGTGATATGATATACATGCACACTTACAATCAACCAAAAGCTGGTTTCAGATTTGATCTGATAAATGAACGAGTGAATTAACATCAACAGGGCAGGTGTGATGAGCTTGGAGCGATTCCTGCTTAGAAGGCCACCGGAACACATACTGGTCCAGATCAACTTGTTTTAACTTCCATCAATTAAACGAATACTTACACACACACACACACACACACACACACACACACACACACACACACACACACACACACTGTGCCTCTGCAGAACCTCCGCCTCAACGGGGAACTCTATGACGCCGTGTCCATCACTGAGAATGAGACATGGAGGCGGCTGAGGAACATCCTGTCTCCGTACTTCACCTCTGGACGTTTGAAGGAGGTCAGACTTTTCTCCACCTCAGTTTATTTATTCTTTTTAATTACGTCCAGCACCGTTCAGACTCTTGTGTTCATTTCTCATTTTCCTGAAGGCTTTTGCCATCATGAAACATCATTCCAGTAAACTTAAAGCCAGTCTGCAGCCGAAGGCACAGAATGAAGAAGTTGTCCAAATAAAAGAGTGAGTACTCCTAAAAAAACTCACGTTCATGTCCTTGAATGTCTCTCAGATGAAGTCTTGTTTTGCTGTTTTTCTGCTCTCACCAGAGTCTTTGGTTTCGTTTCCTTTTATCAAACTGTTATCTACTTTAATTTTGTCAAATGCAGGTGTTTTCAGCTGGCCTTGTTCTGGGTTTTTATATCATGTGAACTTTTGATCTATTTCAGCTGATTTTTATGAGCGGTGTTTTCCAGCTTCTTCGGAGGCTACAGTCTGGACGTGATGGCGAGCTTCACACTGAGCGTGGATTTGGACACGATTGACAAACCCTCCAATCCTCTGGTTTCACACTCCTCAAAGCTCTTCAGAGTCTCTGTACCACTTTTCCTCTTCCAAGGTACACTCCTCCTTTTTTTCTTGTGACACCTCCTCCCCTATTTTCCGTTTTTGTTTTCTTCACTCTTCAGAGATGCTGACCACCTTTGTTTGACCACTCAGGGTGTTTTCCGTTTGCGCTCCCTCTCTTGGAGTTGATGGGAGCTTCATTGTTCCCCAAGGATTCTTTGGCTTTTATTTTCAAGTTTGTGGAGATGATCAGAGCGGATCGCACAGTGAACTCACAAAAGGTCTGAACGAAACACTAAAACCTGGAGGAGGGTGCTGTGGGAATGTTGTCTGTGGTCTCATAGTCGCAGTAGGGCTGCACGATTTCAGCCAAATATAAAATCCAGATTTTTTTCTCTGAAAACTCAATTTTTGATTTTTTTATTTGGTGACAACTTCACCAAACTTCACTTTAATAATAAAAAGTTTTTGTGTGATCTCTCGAAACCAAACCATTGAAAATGATGTAGTTTATATGCCAAGACAGTAAGTGGCGCTGTAACACTGTACAGGAGAGTTACTCTGTGTGTCACATGATCGTTTCCAGAGATGCAGATAGACATCCACACGGAGATGAAATGATCATCGTTTACAGATGTATTCACTCTCTGACCCGTTTTCAAAAAGTACCGTTTACAGTCACCTGAAACGCCGATACAACACAAAACTTAAGCGTTTAATCCGGATTTTATTTCCGTGGTGACGTGAAGTCGTACCAATTCAACACGACTGACTCGCTCTTGCCTTCTTCTGCAAACGCCATGTTTGTTTACTCTGGTGTGTGTGGGAACTGAGGAAAGGGGGAGGAGCCTACGGTGGCCTAGAGGCGCGAGACATGATAGAGAGGAAAATGGATTTGAGGATTTTAATTTTTTAAATGTTGGATTTAAAATCGATGAATCGTGCAGCCCTAAGTCATAGAGATACACATGATATTAGCCTAAAGAAGACTTCCTTAAACACAGCACATAGAGGGTTAAGTCGCTGTTCAAACAGAGCTGATATAGGACTTCTTTTATATGATATGAGCGTAGATGAGTTTTATTAAAGTCATTAAAGTAGAGAATCATCGTGTTAACGAACGCTGTGAGACATTTTTTCAAACTGCTGATCCATCATGATAAACTAAAGCATTTGTTTGACTGAACATACTGACTAACTGACCTGTTTTCAGAACTCAGGAGACATGCTTCAGAGTCTGATGGACACCCAGGCTAACGTGAACGGAAAGGAGAGCAAAAGTAAAGAGATGACGACACTCACAGACTCCTCACACATTCTCAGTGAAACCTCCTCCTCCTCCTCTAATCCACTCCTCTGTCTGTTGTTCTGTCTGTCCTGGCAGGTTTGACTGATCATGAGATTGTATCTCAGGTCGCCACGTTTGTGTTTGCTGGGAACGAGACGAGTGCCTCCACTCTTGTTTTCCTTGCATACAGTTTGGCAAGAAATCCTGAAGTCATGAAACGCCTGCAGGAGGAGATCGACGCCACCTTCCCCGACAAGGTCGTCCGCTTTTCATCAGTCAGAGGGTTTTTCAGTTTGTGAACATTGTTAAATCAAACTGTTATCCTGATCCGCTTTTCAGGGTCCAGTTCAGTGTGAAGCTCTGATGCAGATGGAGTACTTGGACTGCGTGATCAACGAGAGTTTGAGGTAATGAACATTTTTGAGGAGCTGGTTAAAGACAAAACTAGGATTTGTTGCCTGATCCAAACTCTGCATCAAAAAGTCATCTTAGTTAGTCTGAATACTAAAAAAACTGTCTACAACCACGTCAAACAACAACAACACACGACAATTATCAGCCCAACATGACGCTACAACACTGAGGTATCCGCTGAACCCATGGACTCAGAGGAAAGAAGGGTTTACTGGTGCGACTAGGGCTGGGCGATAAACCGAAAATGTACTGATACTGAAATTTACGACATTAACTGACTTCATTTTTGCAAACATCCAGTCCATAACAAAGAGGGAAAGACAGGTGAGGAGATGGAGGACGGTTCAAAAGTTCAAATATCGGGATATTGATTTGAGGCCATATTACTCAGCCCTAGATGAAACTCTCATCCTCCACTCTCTACTTCCCTGATTTCCTGTCTAATTAAGAAATTAAAGGATCGATAACAACCGGAGAAATGATAACAGATCAGAGGTACAGTGCTATCAATAATTAGTATAAAGATAATCAGTATAATAGGTTATTGGTGGAAGGAAGGCATTGACGCTAAAGTCTCATGAATGAAGGTGGCCATATTGATGGGATTAGTCATGGAAAATAAATGTATTTGTGTTTTTATATATTTATTTCAAGAACAGACCCTTCTTTGATGTACGCCGTATAAATTGAATGTTTGTCTCTCTGACCAAACTCATTAAAAAAAACCTTCACCTTCTTTCCAAAGGCTCTACCCTCCAGCCGCACGTTTAGAACGAGTAGCCAAAGAAACCGTGAAGGTCAACGGGATCACCATCCCAAAGGACTTAGTTGTTATGGTTCCGGTCTACGCTCTCCACCGTGACCCAGAGTTTTGGCCCGAACCAGAAGAGTTCCGACCTGACAGGTAGCGAGCATCTACACACCTGTTGTACTGATCCTCCTTCATTTACATTTTCCATGTATTTGTAACGTAACCATTCCAAGATGTCTGTGTTGTTTCTGATTCAGATTCAGTAAAGAGAACAAACCGAACATAAAGCCGTACTCTTACTTGCCGTTTGGCGCCGGGCCCAGGAACTGTATCGGGATGAGGTTTGCTCTGCTGATGGTTAAACTGGCTCTGGTGGAAGTTCTACAGGACTACAGCTTCTTAGTCTGCGACGAGACGGAGGTTTTTATTTATTCATGTTATTTTATTTTAAATCTGAACATCATGTCCGCTGAATTCTTTTAATAATTAAACTTCACAGACTGAAAAAAAAGCATCTAATTTAGTGCATCTCTACGTTTCCTAGATCCCTTTGGAGATGGACCCTCAAGGCCTCACTGGACCACTAAAGCCAATCAAACTGAGAGTGGTGTCACGTTCAAAGCAGTAAACTGGAGAGAGGTCAGAGTGAGACATCTGTGAAGGTTTTCTATGTGAATCTAGAATCAAAGTGACTTTAAGTGGGTCCTGATTAAGACGAGAACACTGGAGCTTCAGACGGCGAGTGGACTCAAGACAAAGTGTCCGTCTTCAGTTACCTTCCTGTCAAACTTCTAGTCATCAGTCTAACGTCACTTTTAGGGTCTGAAACTATGGAATAATCTCTAAAATTAATATCATCCCTCAACTCCTTTAAATATCATTAAAATCTCATCTGATCCTGTTTTAATCACATCATTATTTGTTATGATCACGTTTCTATCCTTCCTATGAATACTTACATTGTCTTTATCACTGTTTGATGATTAATCTGTGTTCCATTTATGGCAATTTATATCTGTTTGACATTTCCCTAATTGTATATTTGTTATAATTGTATATTTGTAACCTGTCTATGTCCTAATTACCTTGTCGTCTCCACCTTGTGCTTTTGCTGCCCCGATGGGAGTGGAACTCCGTATAAGCCTACTTTGTATAAGGCTTCGTTCCCTCCTTGCACTGTTTTTAATCTGTGATAAATAAATAAATAAATACAATACTACTATTACAGTCAGGATGGATTCAGGTGAAGCTGCTCAGTCACACAACAGATCTCAGTGTTTGCACACGCATTAACAGGAGTGTGTGCGGTGATTTTAGTTCTGTATTTCAGTAAAAAAAGAGTCATCGTAGGACACAACAGGTGACAGTAAAGAGGTCATGTCTGGACTTTAAGACGTGGTTTTTGTAAAGTTTGTTTTATGTTTTATTTGGAGGATCATTCTTTCATCAGGAGGAGTCCCGCAGCTCCTCAGTGAAAAGACTGTGAAGTGTGTCCTCCTCTGCACATTCACTCTGCCTGTTGTTGCTCATTTTCACATTTAGTGATACAAGTGGGATCATGGTAGCTGAAAAATTATGAATAAAACAAAATGTACATAATGGCAGAAAACATAAAGGCGCTTAACACAAAGTAACCGAGTCACTGAGGGATGACTTTGGGAATATGGTGTGTTTAATTTATCTGCTTTAAATGAGAACGTTTGATTGTCTACGATCGGCAGGACGAATATGTAAGAACTGTTTCCACTACATGATGTCTGGATTAAATTGTGACGTATAATTTTTCTGATTTAAACTTTGATCGTTTTAATTTTGCCCTTCAAAGACCGATTTATGAATATTCCTGTAAAAATATAAAGATGTGAAAACAGTCATACAGAGCTACGATCAGTTCTCCAGCATAAATCTGTTAATGGATCGCTTATTAGAGGACTGAAGGTTAGTTTGAAGATGGACTCTGAGGTTTAAACTGGAGGGTGTATAAACCAGAGCTAATGAACATGTTATTATAACCGACACAGACACACTCTGGTGACAGATGTCGTCAAGTCTTGAGGATGGCCACCTTTGCTCTTTCGCCTGGACTTAGGACAGTCTGGACCACGTCGTGTTATGGGGGGGCTGAGGACCTCTGTTTAGCTGTTTTTACTAAAATGCTGAAACTGTTTGGACCTTGAAAAGTCGCCCGAGGGAACGCTCACTTTGAAAATACGTCTCTGTAAACGACTGCAGGGAGTTTGACTTTGACTAAATACTAAAGGAAGTGAAAACATGAGCGGTATGCTGATCCAGCAGCACGGCATAAACATGTGACTCATCAGTCACATGTGTGCAGGTGTGCTAATGTAGGTGAGACGGTATCTGGAGCTCCTACAAAGAGATAGGTTACATAACATCAACCTACTTTTATGAACGGGAGCGAAATTCTGGACAAACCTCGGCGATCACTCAGCAGAATTCAGCTCCAGATCTCTGATCAAGTTTCTCTGCCTCCAGATAAACTAGATTACCGTCACCCTTTGACTCAGTTTGGAGATCAACAGGAAGTTCACGAACACACTAATACAACTGATGGAAAAACACGTCCAAATATCTCCTTTAGAAACCGGTTTAATGTTTGCTGATCACCTTTGGATAAGTGAGTCAAGTATAAAAAGAGGCACGAAAATCTCTCTCCCAGTTTTTATCCTTCCTCTCCTTCCTCCTTTCTTCTTTCCTCTGTCCTTTCCTTCCTCCTCCCTCCTTGTCTTTTGATGGAGGTTTAACTGCTTCACGGTCCCTGGCTTTAAAGTGGGTTACTTTCGCTCTTTTCACCTGTCCATACCCCAGACCTTCCTGGTCTCTCTTCAGCACCGTAGGGACCGGTTGTCTCGGACCCTCTCCCTCAGGCCCCAGCCCTGTCCCTGGTTTCCAGCCGCTCCGAACCATCATCTTGTAGCTGTTGCTGGAGGGGGGGAGGCAGTAGTAGGGCGTAGGTGAGGGGCGTCGTAGACTGAACTGATGTAGAGTGGAGGAGAGATGTGACGACTGACTGCCGCTGTACTCACTACGACACACACCGCACCACTGGAGCTGAGAGACGCTGCCGACAAAACAAACAGAAGCAACAGGAGAACGTTAAAGGACCAGTTCACTGCTCTTTTTTTCCAGGTCTGTCCTAAAGTCCAGCAAGTAAGACAGGATTATTTATTCTTAATTATATTATTTACACATAAGAACATTTTCAAAATGTCACGATCCTGTTTCCCTGTATGTTTTTCTTTTTTCTAATTCAGAAACGTTCCTTTTATGTCCCTCTTCATCTGCATGCACCCCTCCTCCGTTAGCACCTTTCCTCACCTCTTACTCTGTCTCAGATCAAACACAACCTCATACTGGACCTTCAGGTGGATTTGATGTCCACACTTCTTTGGTCGTCTTACACACTCACATTTTTCATTTATTTGTTTTTTTCAAACATGTTTGTGCAACACAGGAAAGTAAACTGAAAACAAACAAAACCAGTGAAAATATTCAAAACAACAATAACAATAACCAAAGCAAAAAAGTTAAATAAAATATATATATATTTCAAACTCAACATAAAAAAAGGAGGAGGATGAAGCATTATGCTTTTTAATAACCTACACCTTCTCCTTTACTCAAAAAACAGTCAGTCTCTGGCATATTTACATTATATTAACAAGAAAATAGAACATAAATAGAATTAATAAGTACACTTATTATTTATGAAAACACCCGATCTTTAAAGCTCCTCCTCTCTGTACGGCTTTTTAAACAGGGTCATGCTTAGACAACGCTCGTGCTCCATAACCTTAATACACAAGCATGTTCCTTTTCCATCTGTTCCACTTGTTCTACGTGACAGAGCAGGAAACTCACTGAGGTTTGGAGAAGGCGACACTCACCTGCTGTCAGGTTGGGTTTCTGTCTGTGGGCTTCTCCCGTAACTCTCCAACTCCTCCACCACCTCGCTGTGGCCCGCTGGCAGACAGACAAAAAGTGAGTTTATTCATTACTATTTTATTTTACTATGTTGTGTTGTATATAGTGTACATCCTTACATATTATCTCTTTATTTTTACTTATTATTTTATGATTATTTCTCCTTATTTGCACTGGAGTTGCTGTAATGAAAAGCAGTTTTCTGATTCTGACTCTTCGTCTCACAACATCACAGAAACTTGGTGCTGAAATAAAAACCTCACACTCGTACCTTCCAGAGCCAGGTCTCTGGCATCTCTGCCCTGAGTGTCGACCACTCCGACCCAGGCGGCTCCACGCTGGAGCAGAAGCCTGACTGCGGCTCTCTGACAGGACCAGCTCGCACACATCACTGCGGTCCAGAAGAAAGTATCCTGGAGGGGAGAAAGACCACGAGAACTTAAAACCCAGATCCAAGTCCAACAGGTCCTCACCTGCTGTCTCACCTGGACAGTAAACCGGAAGTTACCTGGTAGTTGATGTCAGCCCCCTTCGACAGCAGGTCTTTGAGGCCTGAGATGTCCCCCTCATGGGCACAGCGCAGAAGTCTGAGTCCCAGAAGCTCCATGGTCCTCTCTGGGAGGTCTGGACCTCCTCTTTGGGGTCTTCGGGGCCCAGAGTCCGTCTCTGAAGTCCGGACTCTCTGCTGGTCCCTGCAGGGTCCTCTCCTGCTCCTGGTTCTTCTGGACCCCTCTTTCTGGCTCTCATCTTGGATCAGGTTTTCGTAGAACTGTCGGACCTCCGCTCCGCTGACTGAGGAGCTGGTTCTGGACCCGGACTGGTTCTGGTTCGACTCGATACTGAAAACATCTAGTCCATTTGCTCGAGTAAAACCGAACGAAGCCATTAAAACTGCTGAGACTGAAAACTGAAGTTAATATAAATACTATAGATCTAATAATGACATTTCAATGTTTTCTGTTCAAACCGGAAGTTTACAAACCTAAAGTTAGCATTAGCAATCTCTTTTAGACGGATTTAAGGTTGTTATTAATAACACCAACTTTGTTTAATAACGGGACCGAATACGAGTTACTTTAGAATAGTATCCAGGCGAGAATAGTATAGAGGCGACTTTGGTATCTTTATAAAATAAAGTAAAATCTTAAAAAGAAAAAATGAGCTTTATCCAACAAACGATACCGTCTGACTTCCTCCGTTTGTTGTCAGTTTATAGCGCAGCCGAACACCGAGCACTGCCCCCTACCGGTCTGGATGTTCTTTTTCTTCTTCTTGTTTTACGGCGGATCGCACAATCATGTGTGCACATGTAACGCCACCTGCTGTTGTGGAGGTCAAACTACACCAGATTTAGCTGAAGTGGCTCAACTTTTTTTTTTTTTTTTAATTAATTTAACGTCAGCCCAACCACTAACAGGGCAAATAACTATTTTTTAAATAAACTTTATTGAGCATTTAACAGAACAGGACAATTCAACACATATAGGAAAACAGGAGTCTTTATAGAAAAACATTAAAGTACATAAATGTATGGTCTTGATAACTTAGAATTTTTAATAGTATTAATATACAGCTTGGTTTCATTTTTGAAAAAAATAAAGCAAGGATTTTTATTAATATATCTACATTTATTGATATGCCACTTAACCAAGAAAATAATAAGGTTAATTATATAATAGTGTTTGTTTTTGGAGGGTATAAAGGAAGTACCTACCATAGTATATAGAATGGACAGAGTCTGCCTCCTTGCTGGGTGAAGCCACCGCGAGAACAGCACCCTCGGGCTGCAGTATAGGTCATAAATCCTGCCTCCTGCAGCAATCCCTATGGAGCTGTGGACAAACTTTATAAATTTATTACACAGAATATAAATTTTTCTCCCCCCTGGTTGTGATGTTGACATGTAGTTACAGTCAGACTGGTTTGTGCTCAAGTCCTCTTTTTTCTGTGAAGCTCCATTTTTAAAAGTTATTAGGGGGTTCATGTTTTCCATGATTGATACTTGATACAGCCTATTGGTGTTCAGGGATTGCGTCATCACAGCGACTCTCGGCGACGCTATTGCGCAGCACTGGTTTCCAGGAAATGAAGAAAAATCCCAGAAATACAGAGAGCTATTTGGCTTCAAATCCGTTACAGGCGGGAGGCGGAACCAAGTTGTCCTTTTCTCAGACTGAATAAATTCTTCAGGTTCAACACTCTCATTCCACTTTCCTGTAGTTACCTTAAAATAATTTCTCTTAAATTATTATACTATGATTATTATACTGACACAAGTTTATATATAAATGTTCTCCAGTTTAATCGAGAACTCCACAGTCACATCTTTCTGTTGGATGTTTTCCAATTAAATTCATAGTTTTGTTTAATCCAGTGTGACCTAGTCTGAATCTTGACATCACTGTTTGTTCCCTGATAGATTTTCCTATAATTTCCATACTACCCACTTTTTGCTTAATTCCATAAAGATGTTTATTACCAACCTCCCAACACTTTTCCCATTCACTCATGATTCTGCTCTTCATAAAAGCCTTTAGCTCTGACTCACTAAATGTAATTGCCATGATTCTGTTGTGTTTCAGAGCTTGTTTTGCCATTTCTGGTCCAGATGTTCTTTTCCTCTTTTGGTTTTATTAGTGAACTACAAGCCAACAGTGGGGGTACGTGTTTCAATCATGGCTTCAATGATCATATTCTCGACTAAGTTTAACAAACAGTTACTCTGTGGTATTAAACTGAAGCCCTTTGTACTTTTTTTCTAACAGTTCTTAAATGCTTCATTCTCTCCCTAAATTACCATCCTTTTCCATAACATTTATTTCCTGTATTTTCTTTACTTTTACGTTTACAAATACCTGTTTTAAAAAAAATACAGTGAAATACTAATAAAACCCGAGTGTTCGAGCCTGAAATTAGAAAGTAGGAAGTCTTCTTTCCTACTCGTACCTTTTGTGTTTAGAACCCGGCCTTTTGTGTCGTTGTCCCAGGACTCCTCAGGACCAACAATTTTACATTTTAATTCTTTCACAAAATATTGATTTTACTGAGTCTGGATGTTCATCTTCGTGTTAAGTCTTGTGACAAAGACGGAGTGACGTCAGCATTGGTCTGATGATTCTGAGCAGCCTTTATACAACATTTTTTTTCTTGTTCAGTCAAGAACCTTAAAAGTCTATTTTTTATGTTTGCAGGTTTATAATTATAATTTTATGTATTTTAAAAACAGGGTTAATTTAATGTCTCAAACTCTCCTCTTAGGTAGACTGTGCGTTATTTTCTGCTTTCATACATGAAAAAAATCAGAACATCCTGTTTTTACCGATCAAATAAAATCAGAAAACTCCTTTTTGTTTTTGAAAATAATCTCTTATTAAGTACATGATTGAGAACTTTTACATTCCTCATAATCTGGAATAAAAAGTGTCGTCCAGGTCATGTGATTAAACTGATATTCTTGTTCTGTATGTGTCCTTGTCTTCAGACCTTTCACACTTTGTGTTTCTTGTTCATTTAAATGAGCTCTGGCACTGACGAGAGGACAGAGACGGTTTATTTGATTTGATTCATATTTACACCTGAACGATGAGTTTCTGACTGAAGGTGAGAATGAAGATGCGGCTCACGTTTGCTTTTTACAAGCTTTGCTCTTTACATGGTTGATAGTTTCGTTTTACTGCATGTCTTTATTCAGCACTGATACAAAATAATCAGGAAACTATAAAAGAAGCAAAGAAACTCAAAAGTGAAAGGAAATATCATGAGCTGTTATACTGCGGTAGAGAACGTGTGTTTTGATATTTGGAGCCACATAATCAGCTGAGCTTGACTGAAAACTCATTCACATGCCAGTCATTAGTGTGTGTTTGTGGGTGAGTTAGTGTATTCCAATGTGCAAGGGTTGTATTAAAGGGATATTCTGGTGTAAAATTAATTTAGGGTCAAACACGCACAGAGTTAGACACCCCCTCAAGAGATGAATGTTGCCGACCGCTTCCTTCTCTAGTTATACAAACTTTAGTAACGACCGCAGGATAGAAATACAGAGAACCACATGTTCAACCAAAACGCCACTCTATAGCCACAAATAATGCTCAGAACAGCACCTAACTTCATCACCAGGACATATAGGGTCACAGACATAGTACTAGACACCAAACACCTTTTTAATTTTCTTCACCAAAGAGACTAAACACAACTCACCTACTCTCTTCCAGCAGCCGCTTGTTTGTAGCGAGACCTCAGGCCAGTCCATTATGTACTACAGCGGGGTGACGCAGCTCAAGGAAGAACATTTATGATCATTTCTTTATCATTTCCTTGAAGTAATAATCACCATATTAATCATTTTACAGACGCAGTAGTTCTTCTGTCTTAGCGTCTCGGTCTGATTGTATTTCCATGAAGAAATGATCATAAAGGTTCTTCCTTGAGCTGCGGCACCCCGCTGTAGTCCGTAATGGACTGGCCTGAGGTCTCGCTACAAACAGAAATAAGAAATTAGTCAAAGTTAAAAAGATGTTTGGTGTCTAGTACTATGTCTGTGACCCTATATGTCCTGTTGATGAAGTTAGGTGCTGTTCTGAGCATTATTTGTGGCTATAGAGTGGCGTTTTGGTTGAGCGCGTGGCTCTCTTTATTGCTATCTTTGTTCGTTACCAAAGTTGGTATAACTAGAAAGGCAGGCGGTCGTCAACATTCATCTCTGGAGGGGGTGTCTAACTCGGTGTTGAAGTGTGATTGACCCTAAATTAATTTCACACGGGAATATCCCTTTAAGGTTAAGTCAGGCACAGAGTGAGAGAGTGAGAGAGAGAGAGAGCCATCCTCATGCAGAGCCTCTGAAGTTTTGATGTGACAGAATAAAAGCCAAAGTGAGACGACAGAAAATTTCACAGCAGTGGAAACCTGCTAACGCAGCTGCTCCTCCAGCTCAGACAGATCAGTGGTTTTGCATGTTTTTAGTTCCCCCAAATTTACACAAATCTTCGTCTCGTTTCTGATCGTCTCAGATGTCAGACCACCTCTTTCTCACAGGTTATATTCTTCTCAACATGACAGTTTTTTTCTTTTCCTCAGAAACAGTTAAATGATGTTTTTATGACCAATAAGACAGAAGACTTTGCTGAAAATAGTTTCAACATTTTCACTGTCCTTGAACAGAGCTCCCAGTCTGGGCCGAACAAACATGCAGAACCACGAACACACGCCTCTCTACTCTGAACGTTTCTAATTAGTGGTATTTACTGATGTGTCTGTTTCTGTCCCCGGTCTGTGTGAACGTCTGTCCACAGTGAGGGCAGGAGTACGGTCTCTCTCCGGTGTGAACCCTCATGTGGACGTTGAGTTTGTCTTTGCTGATGAAGCGTTTGCTGCAGCAGGTGCAGGCGTACGGTTTGTCCCCGGTGTGGTAGCGTTGGTGCATCTTCAGCTCCGTCATGCGGCCGTAGGTTCTGCCGCACTCGGGGCACTCGTAGCTGGGTCGGATGTCCAGGTGCTGCTTGCTGTGGAGCCGCAGCCCGCTGGACGACCTGAAGCTCTTGCTGCACTGCGAGCACTGGAAGGGTTTCTCTCCGGTGTGGATGTGGATGTGCAGCTTGAGGCTGGCGGCGGAGGGGAAGCCGTCGCCGCAGATGGAGCAGAGGTGGGGTCTCTCCCCCGTGTGGATGCTCAGATGTTTCTCCAGCTTGTTCTTGTTCAGGAAGGTCTTGCCGCAGATGGGGCAGTTCATGGGCTGCTCCCCCTCGTGGGACGTCATGTGCTCCGTCAGCTCGATCAGCATGGAGAAGGCGCAATCGCAACGAGTGCAGGAGTACGGACGCTCTTTCTTGAACTTCCTGTGTTTGAGGCAGTGCTGATCGAGGTCCTCCTTATCCTCGAAGGACTCGATGCAACAGGTGCACTGATACGGTCTTTCTTCTGTGTGAGTCCGCAGGTGATACTTGAACGCCGTGAGCTGGAGAAAGACGCTGTCACAGTGTGGACATCTGCACTCCCGTCTGTCGTGGACCATGATGTGTCTCTTGTAGTGGGACAGTTTGGTGAAGTGTTTGCGGCACAGCGAACAGTAGTACTGCTCGTCCTGGTGACTCTGCTCGTGTTTCTTCAGGGCGTACTCCACCTTAAACTTCTTCCCGCAGGTGTTGCAGGGGTAGGTCTTCTCGTGTTCGCCCATGTGCGCCTCCAGCTCCTCAGGACTGCTGAACTTTCTGTTACATTTCGGACACGTCCCGTTGTTTTCCTTCACGTGAACCTCCAGGTGTTTGTTGAGGTCCTCTGGGAAAGCGAAGGTCTTCTGACAGTCGGGGCATGTGTAGGACTCGACGTTCGCAGCTTTGCGGTGGGACATGAGGTGTCTTTTCAGGTGGTACATCCTGCCGAATACTTTCCCGCAGTCCCCACAGATGAGGCTGCGAGGGTTGGTGACCTTCTTGTGAACTTTGAGATGACGCACAAGCTCCGCCTTCTCCTTAAACTGTTTGTCACACGCGAGACACGTCAGGCCTTCGACGGCGTGAGTCTTCCTGTGCTCTTTGAGTTCTAACCAGCTTCCTAAACTCTTCCCACACTTCGTACAGATATACTGGCCCAGGTCATGCTGGTTCCTCAGGTGTCGGGTCATGTGGTAGGACTGGCTGAAGGTTAGAGAGCAGACCGGGCAGCTGAAGGGTTTCTCTTTCGTGTGCGTCCTCATGTGTCGGGCGAGTTTATTCTGCCCTCTGAATCTTCGGTCCACACAGATGGGACAGACGTGGTCCTTGGTTCTGGTCTTAGAGGGGACCTTTTCCTTCGGTGCGTCTCCATCTCCACCATCGGCCTCATCTGCGTCCCCGACTTCGGTCTTTACGGTAACTTCAGATCCGATCTCCTGAGAGTCGTCTTTACCAGAGTCTGCATCCACCTCCGTCACGTCATTACTGCACTCGTCACTCTCATGATCGTCTACGTCACATGATTGACTTGATTCGCTGTTTTTAACTTCCTCGCCTTCCTGAGAACTCCGCCCCTCGGTCTCCTCGCACTGATCTTTGCTGTGAGACATCAGGTGAGTCAAAAACGCACCTTCTCTGGTGAAGTTCTGATAACATGCAGGACAGGACAAAACCCGGGGCTCATGCGCCCTCTTGTGACTCTGCAGCTCGGAGTGGGACCCTAAACTCTCCCCACAGGTGGAGCAGACGTGGGGGCCCGCACCGTGCTGGTTCCTCATGTGTCGGGTCATGTGATACGACTGGCTGAAGGTGACGGAGCAGATGGGGCAGCTGAAGGGTTTCTCTTTGGTGTGCGTCCTCATGTGTCGGGCCAGTTTGTGAGCGTCTCTGAAGCGCCGGTTGACACAGAGGGGACAGAAGGGACCCTTAAGACCTTTCTGGAAGGATGGAGACGATCCCAAATCTTCGTCTTCATCGTCATCATCACAAATAACATCGTCACTGGCTTTGTCAGAGACTTCCTCCTCTGTCCTCTGCGACGCTGACAGGGCCGAGTCTTCATCAGCGGCTGTCTCACTGCTGGATTTGTCTCCGGTCTGCGTGGTTTTGTCCCCCTCCTCATTTTCGCTGTAGTACATCTTATCGTCGGAGTAATAAAAGTTATCTTTGATTTTAGATGCTCGAGCAGGTTTTTCAGCCGGGCGGGGTTTGATGACAGTTTTCTCCCTCTTCTCGTCTTTGCGAGGACGTCCTCTTTTCCTCTTTATAACAGGAGGGTCAAAGTCGTCTGAAATGTCCACACTGACCTCGTGAACACCAAAGAGCTCGCCGTCACCTAAAGCTGATTCGACTTCCTTCGCGATCACCAAGGCTTTGTCCAGGGTCAGTCTCCCTCTCTCCAACATGAGCCGGCTTTTGAGCTGTGTGCAGTTTGTTTTCTCGATCAGCTGATCCAGGACCAGTTTTTCTTGTGGGCCTCCGTAGTTGCACGACCTCAGCAGTTCTTTTAACTCACACACAAAGTCAAACACAGTCTCTCCGGGCTCCTGACCTCTCTGGTGAAATTTAAGGCGGTACATTTGAGAGCTCTGACTGGAGCTGAAGTAAAGACTCAGAGTGGAAATAGCTGCTGCGTACGAGGTTTCACTCGGGTTCAGTATGGAGAAGATGCGCTGACCCTCTGGACCGAGACAGTTCTGCAGGAGCAGACACTTACTGGTGTCGCTGAGCTCATGTTCATTGAGTCCTTCCACATAGTGTTCAAAGGCTTTGAGCCACTTGTGCCATAACATGGCGGGTCTTCTAGGCACGGGTAAGAAAGGCGGAGGCGGGGACAGGATTATCAGTAACGGCTCTGGCAGCGGCTCAAAGGAGAAGTCCTGTTTTGTCACTTCTTCATCTACTTCCACAGTCACTTCATCCATCGTTGATTTCAGCTTTTAAACAGACGCTCAGTCTGTGTCTCTGTGTGTTTATTTCCACTCAGGTCAAAGTCACTGTGGTGTGACTCTCTTTGCTCCGTGCTCAGGGTCCAACTCAGTCAGTCTGAGGAAACCAAGTGGAGAAAAAAACACAAATGAAGATTCAGGTTCAGCAAAATCAGAACTTAGATTATAGGTGACTGAACTGAAAGAACTGCAGTCTAACTCAGCTGCTCTACAACAACCAAGTCCAAACTCTGAGGCAGGAAAAATGAGAAAATAACTATCCATGAAGTGAGCGCTGCTAAAGACACACAGACATGATTTTAATGTGAGGACTAGGGCTGAGCGATGAAATGCTAATGATATGTATTGAAAATGAATTTCCTTCAATCTCAAGACAAAACATGGTCAATCTCCTTTTCAATAATCGGCATTCTGCCATGTTTTGGCCATTGTATTGCAAAAGACATGATACCAATAATCACAGTTACATTTTGTTTTTTAATAATGATATTTATTGATATTGACTGATATGAAAAAAATATATTGTGATAAACTTTTTCCCATATCGCCCAGCCCTAGCAAGGACTCAGAATTCTACATATAAATCCATTCGCTAACTGGACATGACATTATGAACACCTCTAACACTTATTCTGGTTTCAGGAATCGCCACATTTTTAGTTTTTGATGTTACATTTGCACCATGACAGCCCTAAATTTTAGCATTTGTTATGATTTTAAATGTTTACCCTTCACTTGTTCAAACTTTGGACACAGTTTATTGGGTTAAATAGTCTGTATTTATTGTAGTTGAGTTGCTTTTGTGTAAAATATGTTTTTTTAGTATTTTTCTTCCTTCACTGTCATCCTTCAACATTCACCGTTGAGCCTCCTCTATCAGGAGGTAGGAGGGCTTCAGTGGACCCTCAGACAGTTAAAGATAGTTGGTGTTTAATGAGGTTTTATTATAAATTTCTCTATAATTCATGAACTCTCTCTGTAACTAACCGGAGCTCCTCGTTGTTGTTGTTGTTTCTAACCTTTATTTTCACATGTAAACTGAGAGTCAAACTGACACTTTCAGGTTCTGCATCAACTCAGGACTCAGCTCAGAAATACTGGATCAGACTGGAAACCAGTTTAAAGAGGAGAGGACAGAACTTACCACACCGAACTGGGTCACAAGTCACGACGTGTCCAAACAGCCGCGAACATTAACCCTCCGTGGAGCAGACGTCTGATCCCGGGACCGAGCGGAGAGCTGCGGGTCGATACACTGAGCTGGAACCGCTCACTGCAGAACTACTGGGCTGTTAGAGACGAGAAATGACTCTAAAGACTAAAAGGCAACGCTGGAGGTGGAAAATGTATCCGCCATGCTGAGGCTTCTTCTTCCGGAAAAACCTCCACGATCCCGGGAATCGTTCGCTCCACAGCGCCGCCGCCTGGTCGGGAGGGACATGACGGTAAGAAAACTCCCCCCACAGGACTGTTAGCTGTTAGCTCACATTTGTACCGAACCCAGAACAAAAACCTGCCGAGTTAAGACCGACTCTCAGATTAAACCACCTTAAACTCAATAACTCTTCCAGGTCTCCAGTTTAGTGGAACAAAAACATTTTTAGTTAAATTCGGCAAACTCAAACCTGCAACTTTTACTAAGGTTATTTTTAAAACAGTGGAAGTTAAAAAACTTTTTTTTTTTTTAACGATCACTAAGAATGGTTTATCATCAAATAACTTTTTACAGCTACATCAACACTCCCCTTAAGTATTTTATCTTGGCAGAAACAACAATTGTCTTTTCGAAGTGATAATAAAATAAAAAAATCATTGCTGTTTATTGCATCTACATAGGGGAGACCGGGGTAAGTTGAAATGGAAATGGACGTTGGAAATTGTAAAAGAAATTGATTATGTGACCAAATATTGAGGAGATGGGCATAAATTCATGGAGTCTGTAAAGGTTAGAAGCTCATGGGTGAAGAGGTTAGAGATTTATTATTATTTATTTATTATTTATTAAAAAAAAAACAAAAAACTTTTTTTACTCTGTAAAGTGAATTTAGTCTGTCATCAGTTTGATTAGAATTGTGTTCAGACCAAAAAAAGATAATTTTTAATTTGTTTCACACATCAATTGTGGTATCTATGAGCGACAACATGAGGTCAAAAACGTAACATAAAAGTCCACCATTTTAGTTTAGAGGACTAATAAAGTCATCATAGTACTCCATATATGGGCTAAGTTGACCATAGGAGACCACTATTTTGGCACGTTAAATTATCAAGACAGTTATGTTTACATTTTTCTGTTGGTTCGCAGGGATGAACAACATCCTGAAATACCTGCAGATACACGAGTTAGAGACAAAACTAGGATTGACTTGCTGTAGTGATCCGAAATATGAAAAATGGTTCATCTTACCCCACTCTCCCCTTTATGTCGATATCAGGAGTGGAAAGATAAGTCAAATATTCTGCCCACGGAAAAGTTCTTCACTTTACTGAAAATGACTTTAGCTTAAAAAATAAAGGGTTGCTCAGAAAAACTGGTGTTTTCATAAGACCAGGTTGTAAAATAATCATAAAATCTTGTATTTATATAAAACTCACCTGTGTAGTTCAGCTGTAAAGACAAAATGACAAACAAGATGAATCTGGATGAAGTGGTTGATTGTCTGAACGGTGAGAGTCGTGTTTTATTTTCATGATAATCCTCTTCAACATAACCTTTTTACTTTAAATTCTTTAAATAACATATAAAATATTTTTATTCCCATTTATAACCCTGTTCATTTTTGAGCCGTTTCTCCTCAGTGACTTTCTTTAAACTTTTTGATGAAACATTTTTGTGGAGGCGTTTTTTCTTCCTGCGCCGTTTCATTTACCTTCATGTCAATAATTTAACAGAAATCAGAGAATCGGATAAACTTCTGAATTTAAACCACATTAAATATTTAAAGACGCGGCTGAAAAAGCTTGTATTTAATAACACATTACAGCAGTTTGCAGTGAACACACTCTGTCTCTTACATAACTGTTTAATAATTCAACTAACTGCGGCTCCCAGTTTCCTCGAATGCGAGTTTTTTCAACGAAAGTGTTTTACAGACTCTCAAAACACTGAAACACTTGTGGGTAATAATTAACAGACAAGAACTGATAAAGCCGTGGACCGTCACCGTGGTTAATACTGATCCAAACACACACCTCTGACACCGACAGGCCCGGATACCAGAGTCCAGGGAGGCAGTTTGAGGATCAGTGAGGCGGTTACACAACTTTAATTCACTCCAGGAGACCGAGGAGACGCGTTGAGTGTACCGGGACTGAAACGAATCACCAAGACACCCAGTTAGACAATGACCATTTATTCACACACTGTATGGGACTCAAAACAAGCGTGGCAGAGTGAGGCAGGAGGAGCTTGAAATCAAACATGAGAGAAAAAACTCATTTCAATCGATTTTTGAGTGAAAGGTACAAAGTCCAGCAGACAGAGGGAGTTTATGATTCAGAGTTCAGTCACACGAACTTTTAACACTCAAACATCCCCTCAGCTTTTTCTACTGAGGACGCTTTCCAAACAGGCTCCGCCTCCTTTTCCCTCTTCCTCTCATTGGTTGGTCGAGCTGAGGACTCCCTCCAGTGCTGTTTTCCCACTATTACCTTTAAATTACAAAAACATGGTCAAACTACAAACAAGAGCACACACATAAAAAGGGTTTCCTTTTACAAAATCCATCTGAAAATACAAACACACACACGATGGCACGCTTCGCTAAGCTGTGAACAACTGAGACGAACGGACACGCGCCGCCGCCGCACTCAAACACGCCGTCAAAGAATCTGTAGAAAATGAAATCTGGACAGGGTTCATCTGAAATGTGAGGGGCCGGGCTCAGTGCAATCGTATGGCTTGGAAGGCTGTGAATAAGGAGCGCTGACGATAGGAAGTAGACAGTAAAAAACCTTTTTTTAATCACACTCCAACACTTTGTGAGTGCTTTAACCTCTCTCTCTCTCTCTCTCTCTCTCTCTTCATCCTTCCTTTAAGTCAAAAACGCTGATAATTGATTGTAATTTTTTCTCCTCCTCCTCCGTGTGTTGTTTTTTTTTTAAAGCTGACAGCTCTGAGTGTGCACAGGAGCCCGTCGACTCTCCTCTGTGCTCTCTTTGAATCAACCTCCATCTCTTCCATCTTTAGGAGTTTAAGTGCGTCTTTGTTTGTTCGTCTTTGTTTGTTCGTTTTTGTTTGTCTTTGTTCGTCTTTGTGCACTTCAGTGAAAACACAGAAAAGGACGAAGCCTTGTGCAGAAGTTCCTGGTTCCTCCACATTCACACAATCAAGTGAACTCGAGTGGTCTCCGCTCTCAGCTCTTGATAGAGAGTCTCTAGAAAATCAGGTGTGTGTGTAACAGTTAATGTGTGTGAGTGTGTGTGTGTGTGTATGTGTGAGCACAGTGACACAGAGGCGTAAAAGAGCAGGAGAGCAACACACACGCTTGTCTACACAGTGAGGAGGATCTTGGTGCACGAGAGGAGAAGGTGAGTGAGGAGTGGAGCGTCTTCAGTCTGTCTCAGGTCTCCTCCCCTCGCCCCCCCCCTTCGCTCCGCCTCCTTTCGTCCAATCACACAGCGGCCCCACTCCTTCGTTTTTGTGTCGCCGTGTTTTAATTTGTGCAGATTTTGTCTCTAAAATCAAACAAATGAAGAAAATCCCGTCACAGGCGTGCGTGACCCCGGCGGGTTGGTGTTGGGGTTGACGTGTGTGTGCGCCGGCTGCCCTGTCGGCGTGTAGGCCCCGCCCGTGCTGTGTTGGGTGACCACGGTCTGGTAGTAGGGCTCCGCTGTGTCTGCTGTGGCACATTCCTCATACGGAAAAGGAGAGCTGACGGCTTTGAGGCCTTTGGGCTGACGTTTCCAGGAGTTGTAGTAGGTCGGGTCGCTCATGTAGTGGTTGACGAATGAGTGCTTGGGCTGCTCGTCCTCGTAGTCGCTGTCTGTTAACTGGACAAAACAAACAAAACAAGAGTCAGTGTGAGGGTTCGACAGATGCAGTTGGTTCACCCCCAATTTCCACCGCATCCAGAACATCTACGAAAAGGTCGCTGCTGATCATAAACATTTAACATGTCGATTTCCACCGGCTTCTTTCTGCTCTGCTGCGGATCGCTGGACTCCTCAGATGATCGCAAGGGTTGTATTTTTTCTGGACGCCGGAGCATGTCGGATAAATTCAGCACAGATTAACTCGTGCTGGAAAGGAAGTCGTACACAGACACAAAATAAAACATCCGACTTCTTTTCAAAATAAAACACTCCGTGTTTCAGGAGGATCGTATTTCACTCCATGCAAACGGGCGGAGACGAACAAGTGAAAGGTTTTTAGACGTCATTTCACCCCGATGACACCATGGATGAGGAGATGCTGATTCTAGAAGTCTAGAAGTAGATTTCCTCCTCTGGAAGGACACAATCTACTGCTTATATGTCTATGTGTCTGTCTTAATATAGACAACTCGTTATCACGTGATTGCACATGAATTCTGTGAGTTCTTGTGAGTTCTCGCGATTCCTGCTTTTATAATTCGCCTCACAAATGGATCCGGTAGGAATTGGCAGACGGTGAAAATCGCCGCCGTTCTGGATGCGGTGGAAATCCCGGGTCAGTCTGACCCTCTTATCCTGAGAGTTTCTCCTCCTGCTGCTTCTCACAGCAACCAGAAAATCATTCAGGAGAAATAAACACAAATGTACAAAATACAAAGTTTTGGATCATCATGAAATCTCTGCTGACAAAATTTACTCTGTCTGTTTATTCTTGTTGCCATGGAGACAGAGGAGCGACAAGTCCGGGAGAGAGAGAGGAAGAAAGGGGAGGGCAGAGAGGGAGAGGGAGAGAGAGAGAGAGAGAGAGAGAGAGAGAGAGACCTGTACCTCTGACTCTGAGACCTCGGTGGGTTTCTCCGTCAGTGTGGTGCTCTCCGTCAGCACGGCTCCGTTATAGTTGTTACAGATGTCTTCATCAGAGTAGTGAAGGACTCCTGGACTCGGTCTGGGGGGAGACCTGAACACACAACAACCATCAACAACCATCAACAACAACACATGTAACACCCCATACATCACACACCTGCACAGAGTGTGTGTGTGTGTGTGTGTGTGTGTGTGTGTGTGTCCAGACCTGGTCCCGTTCTTCTTCAGGAAGGAGTTTTTGGTGTTGAGCGTTCTGCTGTTGAGCTCCAGAGCGGTGAAACCTCCGTTGTCCAGCGTCACTGACTCCTCAGCTGTGGACATGTGTTTTCCTGGAGAGATGGAGGAGAACAGAAGATGCTTTAAGAACAGAAACAGGAGAGATTTTAGAGAAACCGAACAGTTGTGCTGTTTCGATCGTTGTGTATTT